GCCAGATCAATGCCACAGTGCCACTCCTGGCGATGTACTTTGATGGAGAGAGTGACCTATGCCAAGACTTCTGCCTCACTAGGGAGTCTCTCAGGGGTCTGATGGCCATCCTTGGGACCCAAATGGACCATGGCTGAGGGCCCACCATCGAGGCCCTGGTCTTCTTATTCTGGTTGGCCAGTGGGACCTCTTACCATGACGTGGCCAGAGCCTTTGCCATGCCCTGGACCACTGTGCACCGCATGGTGCACAAAACCAGCCACAAGGTCATGGGGCTCCTCCAGCTGGTTGTCCGCCTCCCCTTGGCGGAGGACCTTCATCACCTGGGTGCTGGTTTTGCCAGGTTTGCTGGGTCAGCAGCCTTCAACAAGGTTGTTGGCAGCATTGATGGCTGCCATGTAGCCTGTTACCTGAACAGAAAACTGTTTTATTTGGTTCTGTTGCAGGCTGTGTGTGATCACACAGCCAGGTTTATTTACATTTTTGTGGGCTTCCCTGTGTCAGCACACAACACCAGGGGTCCGTTTCACGTAGCAGGTTTAATGGAAACTCAGAGTCTGTTAACCCTGAAATCAGGGAAACTCTGAGTTTTCCGTTTCACAAAGGAGGGTCAGTTAAACCAGAGAGAGAGGGGTAACTCTAACCTGTTTCACAAAGAGAGGTAACTCAACCTCGCGGTCAGTTACCATAGTAACAGACTCCGTGAACCTAACCTGCTAGGGAGCAGGTTTAACTCAGTAAACCCAGAGTTTCAGGTGAGACATCGGCATTTTCTCATTTTGATCATGTTTTACATTGTCAAGTAAGTATTAAGTGGCAGTTTGATCCCTTATAAAATGCTCTTTTCACACTCAAAAATGAATTTTACTCTCTAATTATGTTCCGTTAAATCATAAGGAATATTAAACTAACACAGACTTTCACTCAGCAAACAGAAAGAGGGCAGATGCCAGAAAAACGGGTGGTGGCCCAGCAGCCCCACCTTTAACGGAGGCAGAGGAGCTGCCCCCCTCGCCCCCCCCGTTCGACGATCGCGGCCGGTCCGATCGCAAACCCCCCCCCCCCCCCACACACACACACACACACACACACACATGCACACCGGTCCGACGATCCGATCGGATCCGATGTTGTGTAAGAAGCATCAGGGGACCTTTCAGAGCCAGCACCTCCGGGCCCCATCTGTGGAGCAGAAGACAAACTGTAGGTAAATGTCAATTTAGTACATCTGTTCATATGTAAATATAATCTAAACTGAATCTGATCTAATGTGTTATGAATAGTATGTGTGTGAGTGTCCACTCCTCACGCCTCGCCTCCCTCTCTCTTGCCTCAAGTTCCAGCTGGGCCTGCTCCCGCAGCTCCCTCAATGCCTCCACAACATCCACCCGCCACCTCTTGGGGGTGGATGTTGTGGGGCTGTCCCCTCCTGAGCTGACCACAGAGGGGGGTGAGACCATCGCTGCATCCGGGGAGAGTGAGGCAATGAGGACAGGCGGTGTGATGGACAACCTGCCCCTGATTGCCTCATCCATCAAAGTGTACCACTTCCAGGACACAGCAGTGGTCTCACCCCCCTCCATGCTGACCCCAGTTTTTGGGCACTTGAGGTCCTGTGCAGGAAGTGCAGCAAATTGCAGAGAAACAATTAGAATTATGTAATAATGACTGCGTACCAGAGTGCGAAAGAATCAAGAATAAATTGTATTTCTGCTTTAAGTTCTCCCATTCCTTTTTTACAAAGGCTGGGGTTACCCTTCCTTCTAGACCTTTTTCTGCAATGAACGCCCTGGCAGGAATTTTTACAGAATGTTTCATACAACATGTAATGATAGTTTAATATTATAACTTAAGCATTCACTTAATCAGAACCACAGATTGAAGCATTACGCCTCCCAGTGAACAGGGAGGCGTTAACAATTCTCCAGGAGATGAGGCTCATGGTGTTCTCGTCTGTACCTAGAAAGAGCAAAACATATAATGTTACTGTCTCTATTCACAGGCTAGCTAGCCTCGCTAGCCAACAATAGCTGCTGTATTTTGCGAGCGTTTACGATGGAGCCCTCCCCACAGTTCTAATACGAGCCTCCTCTACAGCGAGGAATTTGCTGATATCGGTGCAGCAGACCCGCTGGTTATTTCTTATTTGCCAAGGGTAACACTTCGGAACCTGGCGGCTACTAGCTAACTAGCTAACTAGCATTCGCGATATCGTACCTTCCCCCCAATCTGTCAGTCCACGCTGAGGGCACTCTGCCACTCAATCCTCTCCTGTTCAACACCTTCCCACAGTTCCTGTAGAAAATCTTCCTGTCTGTGGCCTGCAGGATAAGTTTGTCCGTTTTTTTGAGTTTGCCTCTCCAAACTGGGAGGTCACAGAGACCTCAGGGAAGCATCGTTTGGCTCTGTCCTACAGCCATACTCCATCAGTAGGGCTCTTTCCCTCCCAGAGAGCCTCTGCCGCCACACCTCCAAGACCTTCACCACCACCCTGGCGGACTGGAAGCCCAGCAAGGCGCTCACAGCCTGGGCATTATTCAAATCTGGCCCTGCAGCATCCTCCACCTGCTTCAGGACCAGGATCTTTTCCTTGGGCAAGGCTGCCGTCAGTCCAGGTGTGGCTTTGCTGGAGACATCCATCCTGGCGCCATAGACCAGGGGCTATTTAACAACCAGTACAGAGGGTAACAGCTTTTCCTAGGAGTACTTTTGAACAGGGCCCACGATTAAAAAGCACCCTGATAAAACGGAGGCAACCCCTTTAACTTCAAAAAATTAGAATCAGTTAAAAAACAGTGCAGCATCCAGTCCCACGTACATGTCTGGGGATGCAGCTGGCCCTCCACACCAGATCTGCCGGTCCTGCCAAAACCTTTGTACAAACTGTAATCCAAAATTGGCAGTTCTGCTGGCCAAGTGGATGAGGCCCTGTCCCCTCTCCTCTCTCAGTAAGAACAGCACTTCCTGTGGCACCCAATGCAACCCATTCCAAAAGAAGTTTACTATTTTTTCCTGGATCTGGGATAAAAGACCTGATGGGGGATCCAAACAGGCCAGGCAGTGCCACAGCAATGAGACTACAAGATTATTGAGCACAAGAACTCTACCTCTGAAAGACATCTGAGGGAGCAGCCATTTCCATGCATTAAGTTTTTTATTTACTTTTCCCATCATTTCCTCCCAATTTCTTTTAACCACTACTTCATTCCCCAGGAAGACACCAAAGTATTTAAGGCCATCTTTTTTACAGGCTGAACTTTGTGGAAGACCAGGTAGGCTGTTACACCATCCATCAACAGCAAGGGCTTCACTTTTTCTCCAGTTCAAAGTGTTAAAAGCATCAGTTTATTTAATAAAAAGTCAACATCCCTTTGATTTTTTACTAGGGCGATGATGTCATCAGCGTAAGCCGATAAAACAATGTTCTTGTTAAAAACCAGGTAAAATCAGGCCATCAATGCTTGCATGTATCTTGCACAGGAGGGGTTCCAGGGAAAGTGCATAGAGCATCCCAGAAAGAGTACAGCCCTGCCGGATGCTTCTATGCACCCTGAAAGGCGCACATAGACTGCCACTGAACTTCAGCATACTCTCAGTGTTATTGTACAACACCCAGACCTTGGCGATAAAACCAGTGCCAAACCCAAACCTCTCCATGATCCTCCAAAGGGGGGTTGTGTTCAACACGGTCAAATGCCTTTTCTTGGTCTAACCAAATGAGACCAATCTTGACCATAGACTGTATATACTATGGACAACTTGGTTCCACCTCCTGCCAGCATACGGATTTGAAGCCAAATAGCTCTTTCTTCATTTCCTGAAACCAGCACTGCGCAGTCGCCGAGAGTCGCTGTCATGACGCTCGGGAACCCGGGACCGGACCAGTGCACCTTGTGCCTTGGTATCTAGCAGGTTGGCTAGAGCTATTTTTTTGGACTTGAGGATTACAACATATCCTCAATTTCCTGTGGAATTGCTTGGTGTTTCCAATTCCACGATTTCAGTCTCCAAGTCTATAATAGATCGACAGGTGTCTCTTGTGACATTGAGAGTACACTGCTGACACAAAAGCCTTATCTCTGCTCTGTCTTGGTCCCACCACTGCTTAAGACATGTAAAATCAACTTTCCTTTGTCTGATAGAAGTCCAGAAATAACTTAGAACCTCTCTAAAACCTTCATCAAAAGTTAAAACCGATTTAAACTGCCAGTATGCACTCTTAGGTAAAATATTCTTAACAACAACATGACACAAAACCAAAGAGTGATCAGTAAAACCAGCTGGCATCATCTTACATTTGTAATTCATGTCTTAAAAAGCCTTATTAGTCAACATAAAAAATGCTCAATAATCAGTGCGGTTTTCATTCAAGGATATGGTTGTCTTCTTCAAGGAAAGTTTAATAGAAACCTTGATTTCTAACTCACAGATTTTAGATTTTTTGAATCTGAATATTCACATTTTGACCTGAATTCATCTTGTGATCACTATTAACAACTGATGATTTATTAATTTTATTTATTTTCACCACATTTTTCTGCATTTTATTTTTTACCTTAGTTAGAGATCATTTAGTATTCACCCTGAACTTGTGTTACTCTCTGCTAACAAAAAATTTTCATTTGCACAAGTTGAAAGAATAACCCACAAAGGTTGACCTGTACCATGTAAATGAGCTGAGTTTGTTAATCATATTCAAAAATTGATTGAAAAAGTGAAAGAGTGTTTTTTTTTTTTTCAGCTGACCATACTGATTATCTGGAGCTGTGAACATTTTCATCTCTTTGACTTCAAATATTTATGAGACTGACGTGTTACCAAGTGTTTAGGGACCGGATTTATAACCATGGAAACCAATGATTGAGTTCCTCAGCACTTAATTCATGCTTTTTACAGTTTTAAAAACACAACAAAGAAAGAGTAAGGGAAGAAGGGAAGGAAAGAAGAGAAGGAAAGTTGGGTAGTAAAGTAGGTGGATAGGGGGGTACGATGGTGGGCTTGGAGGGTAGACTGAAACCCATTTAAGAATTTTTAATCAATATATTTTAAGAAGGTGAAGTCAAAGAATATTTAAACAAATATGAACAAAAAATACCATTAGAAATTCTTTAAACTAATTAATAAATATGTATTGAAATATAAGTGTATGTTAAATGTAAGTCAGCACAAAGAGACACAATTTGTTTGCAGACAACCTTTTCACTTCAGTGTCACTGGTGCTCAGCCTTCTTAAGCGAAGGATCTACTTCATAGGAACACTGGTTGTCATCTTTACGTGGCAGTATGGGCCGACAGCCCAGCTGTACCTTGATTAGGCTGCAGTCTCGGCCTATGCCTTCAGGGGGCATAGTCTTTAAATGTGGGTGCTTGCTCCCTGGGAGCCCTCTCCCTCTGCTCAGAGCTCTTGTCAGCTCTGCTCTCCCCGTAATCACAACACCTGGTCACCGTACCTGATCGTCTTGCTGCCTGATTGTGCTGTGTGCTCAGTTCGCTGCTCTTGGTATGTTAATCACATACTTTATTGTATCGCTTTAAAAGTTTTGCGGTTGCCGTCAGGGTTGGCTTTTGTCTCCAACAGTTCCTCACTGTGTCTTCTCTCTCCTGCATTGAACCAGTTGCGGGACCCAGAGTGTGTGTTCCTGCATCCCCACACAGCTTGGGTTGATCAGCTGAGTGGCCGTTGATTGTTCTGTGGCGCTGTGGGTGCCTCGTTCCCTCGCCCTCGTGAGGTTCATTCAACTTTCTGACGGTATGTGTTTAAAATGACTGCAACTCACGCTATCATTATTAAGCCGTGGTGCTAAATTATATTTTTCTCACATTAGGTTTAGGTTTAAGTGGGCTGAAAGTCAAAAGTCGCGGGCTTGTGAAATGGGCTCAAATTCAAAAGTCGCAGGCTTGTGAAATGAGCTCAGAGTCCAAAGTCGTGGGCTGTTAAAATGGGCTCAAAGTCCAAAGTCGCGGGCTGTTGAAATGGGCTCAAAGTCAAAAGTCGCAGGCTTGTGAAATGGACTCAAAGTCAAAAGTCGCGGGCTTGTGAAATGGGCTCAAAGTCAAAAGTCGCAGGCTTGTGAAATGGACTCAAAGTCAAAAGTCGCAGGCTTGTGAAATGGGCTCAAAGTCAAAAGTCGCAGGCTTGTGAAAAGGGCTCAAAGTCAGAAGTCGCAGGCTGTTGAAATGGGCTCAAAGTCAAAAGTCGCGGGCTTGTGAAATTGGCTCAAAGTCAAAAGTCGCAGGCTTGTGAAATGGGCTCAAAGTCAAAAGTCGCGGGCTGTTGAAATGGGCTCAAAGTCAAAAGTCGTGGGCTGTTGAAATGGGCTCAAAGTCAAAAGTCGCGGGCTTGTGAAATTGGCTCAAAGTCAAAAGTCGCAGGCCTGTGAAATGGGCTCAAAGTCGAAAGTCGCGGGCTGTCCAAATGGGCTAAGAGTCAAAAGTCGCAGGCTTGTGAAATGGACTCAAAGTCAAAAGTCGCAGGCTTGTGAAATGGGCTCAAAGTCAAAAGTCGCAGGCTTGTGAAATTGGCTCAAAGTCAGAAGTCGCAGGCTGTTGAAATGGGCTCAAAGTCAAAAGTCGCGGGCTTGTGAAATTGGCTCAAAGTCAAAAGTCGCAGGCTTGTGAAATGGGCTCAAAGTCAAAAGTCGCGGGCTGTTGAAATGGGCTCAAAGTCAAAAGTCGTGGGCTGTTGAAATGGGCTCAAAGTCCAAAGTCGCGGGCTGTTGAAATGGGCTCAAAGTCAAAAGTCGCAGGCTTGTGAAATGGACTCAAAGTCAAAAGTCGCGGGCTTGTGAAATGGGCTCAAAGTCAAAAGTCGCAGGCTTGTGAAATGGACTCAAAGTCAAAAGTCGCAGGCTTGTGAAATGGGCTCAAAGTCAAAAGTCGCAGGCTTGTGAAATTGGCTCAAAGTCAGAAGTCGCAGGCTGTTGAAATGGGCTCAAAGTCAAAAGTCGCGGGCTTGTGAAATTGGCTCAAAGTCAAAAGTCGCAGGCTTGTGAAATGGGCTCAAAGTCAAAAGTCGCGGGCTGTTGAAATGGGCTCAAAGTCAAAAGTCGCAGGCTTGTGAAATGGGCTAAAAGTCAAAAGTCACAGGCTTGTGAAATGGGCTCAAAGTCAAAAGTCGCGGGCTGTTGAAATGGGCTCAAAGTCAAAAGTCGTGGGCTGTTGAAATGGGCTCAAAGTCAAAAGTCGCGGGCTTGTGAAATTGGCTCAAAGTCAAAAGTCGCAGGCCTGTGAAATGGGCTCAAAGTCGAAAGTCGCGGGCTGTCCAAATGGGCTAAGAGTCAAAAGTCGCAGGCTTGTGAAATGGGTTCAAAGTCAAAAGTCGCAGGCTTTTGAAATGGGCTCAAAGTCAAAAGTCGCAGGCTTGTGAAATGGGCTCAAAGTCAAAAGTCGCGGGCTTGTGAAATGGGCTCAAAGTCAAAAGTCGCGGGCTGTTGAAATGGGCTCAAAGTCAAAAGTCGCAGGCTGTTGAAATGGGCTCAAAGTCAAAAGTCGCAGGCTTGTGAAATGGGCTCAAAGTCAAAAGTCGCACGCTTGTGAAATGGGCTCAAAGTCAAAAGTCGCAGGCTTGTGAAATGGGCTCAAAGTCAAAAGTCACAGGCTTGTGAAATGGGCTCAAAGTCAAAAGTCGCGGGCTGTTGAAATGGGCTCAAAGTCAAAAGTCGCAGGCTTGTGAAATGGGCTCAAAGTCCAAAGTCGCGGGCTTGTGAAATGGGCTCAAAGTCAAAAGTCGCAGGCTTGTGAAATGGGCTCAAAGTCAAAAGTCGCAGGCTTGTGAAATGGGCTCAAAGTCAAAAGTCGTAGGCTTGTGAAATGGGCTAAAAGTCAAAAGTCGCAAGCTTGTGAAATGGGCTCAAAGTCAAAAGTCGCAGGCTTGTGAAATGGGCTCAAAGTCAAAAGTCGCGGGCTGTTGAAATGGGCTCAAAGTCAAAAGTCGCGGGCTGTTGAAATGGGCTCAAAGTCAAAAGTCGCAGGCTGTTGAAATGGGCTCAAAGTCAAAAGTCGCAGGCTTGTGAAATGGGCTCAAAGTCAAAAGTCGCGAGCTTGTCAAATGGGCTCAAAGTCAAAAGTCGCAGGCTTGTGAAATGGGCTAAAAGTCAAAAGTCGCGGGCTGTTGAAATGGGCTCAAAGTCAAAAGTCGCAGGCTGTTGAAATGGGCTCAAAGTCAAAAGTCGCGGGCTTGTGAAATGGGCTCAAAGTCAAAAGTCGCGGGCTGTTGAAATGGGCTCAAAGTCAAAAGTCGCAGGCTTGTGAAATGGACTCAAAGTCAAAAGTCGCGGGCTTGTGAAATGGGCTCAAAGTCAAAAGTCGCGAGCTTGTCAAATGGGCTCAAAGTCAAAAGTCGCAGGCTTGTGAAATGGGCTCAAAGTCAAAAGTCGCGGGCTGTTGAAATGGGCTCAAAGTCAAAAGTCGCAGGCTGTTGAAATGGGCTCAAAGTCAAAAGTCGCGGGCAGTTAAAATGGGCATAGTCAAAAGTCGCAGGCTTGTGAAATGGGCTCAAAGTCAAAAGTCGCGGGCTGTTGAAATGGGCTCAAAGTCAAAAGTCAGGGGCTGTTGAAATGGGCTCAAAGTCAAAAGTCGCAGGCTTGTCAAATGGGCTCAAAGTAAAAAGTCGCAGGCTTGTGAAATGGGCTCAAAGTCAAAAGTCGCGGGCTGTTGAAATGGGCTCAAAGTCAAAAGTCAGGGGCTGTTGAAATGGGCTCAAAGTCAAAAGTCGCAGGCTTGTGAAATGGGCTAAAAGTCAAAAGTCGCGGGCAGTTAAAATGGGCTCAAAGTCAAAAGTCGCAGGCTTGTGAAATGGGCTCAAAGTCAAAAGTCGCGGGCTGTTGAAATGGGCTCAAAGTCAAAAGTCGCGGGCTGTTGAAATGGCTCAAAGTCAAAAGTCGCAGGCTTGTGAAATGGGCTCAAAGTCAAAAGTCGCGGGCAGTTAAAATGGGCTCAAAGTCAAAAGTCGCAGGCTTGTGAAATGGGCTCAAAGTCAAAAGTCGCGGGCTGTTGAAATGGGCTCAAAGTCAAAAGTCAGGGGCTGTTGAAATGGGCTCAAAGTCAAAAGTCGCAGGCTTGTCAAATGGGCTCAAAGTCAAAAGTCGCAGGCTTGTGAAATGGGCTCAAAGTCAAAAGTCGCGGGCTGTTGAAATGGGCTCAAAGTCAAAAGTCAGGGGCTGTTGAAATGGGCTCAAAGTCAAAAGTCACAGGCTTGTCAAATGGGCTCAAAGTCCAAAGTCGCGGGCTTGTGAAATGGGCTCAAAGTCAAAAGTCGCGGGCTGTTGAAATGGGCTCAAAGTCAAAAGTCACGGGCTGTTGAAATGGGTTCAAAGTCAAAAGTCGCGGGCTGTTGAAATGGGCTCAAAGTCCAAAGTCGCAGGCATTGTGAAATTGGCTCAAAGTCAGAAGTCGCAGGCTGTTGAAATGGGCTCAAAGTCAAAAGTCGCGGGCTTGTGAAATTGGCTCAAAGTCAAAAGTCGCAGGCTTGTGAAATGGGCTCATAGTCAAAAGTCGCGGGCTGTTGAAATGGGCTCAAAGTCAAAAGTCGCGGGCTGTTGAAATGGGCTCAAAGTCAAAAGTCGCGGGCGTGTGAAATTGGCTCAAAGTCAAAAGTCATAGGCTGTTGAAATGGGCTCAAAGTCAAAAGTCGCAGGCTTGTGAAATGGGCTCAAAGTCAAAAGTTGCACGCTTGTGAAATGGGCTAAAAGTCAAAAGTCGCAGGCTTGTGAAATGGGCTAAAAGTCAAAAGTCGCGGGCTTGTGAAATGGGCTCAAAGTCAAAAGTCGCGGGCTGTTGAAATGGGCTCAAAGTCAAAAGTCGCGGGCTGTTGAAATGGGCTCAAAGTCAAAAGTCGCAGGCTTGTGAAATGGGCTCAAAGTCAAAAGTCGCACGCTTGTGAAATGGGCTAAAAGTCAAAAGTCGCAGGCTTGTGAAATGGGCTAAAAGTCAAAAGTCACGGGCTTGTGAAATGGGCTCAAAGTCAAAAGTCGCGGGCTGTTGAAATGGGCTCAAAGTCAAAAGTCGCAGGCTTGTGAAATGGGCTCAAAGTCCAAAGTCGCGGGCCTTTGAAATGGGCTCAAAGTCAAAAGTAACGGGCTTGTGAAATGGGCTCAAAGTCAAAAGTCACAGGCTGTTGAGATGGGCTCAAAGTCAAAAGTCGCGGGCTGTTGAAATGGGCTCAAAGTCAAAAGTCGCGTGCTTGTGAAATGGGCTCAAAGTCAAAAGTCGCGGGCTGTTGAAATGGGCTCAAAGTCAAAAGTCGCTGGCTGTTGAAATGGGCTCAAAGTCAAAAGTCGCAGGCTTGTGAAATGGGCTAAAAGTCAAAAGTCACAGGCTTGTGAAATGGGCTCAAAGTCAAAAGTCGCGGGCTGTTGAAATGGGCTCAAAGTCAAAAGTCGCAGGCTTGTGAAATGGGCTCAAAGTCAAAAGTCGCAGGCTTGTGAAATGGGCTCAAAGTCAGAAGTCGCAGGCTTGTGAAATGGGCTCAAAGTCAAAAGTTGCAGGCTTGTGAAATGGGCTCAAAGTCAAATGTCGCAGGCTTGTGAAATTGGCTCAAAGTAAAAAGTCGCAGGCTTGTGAAATGGGCTCAAAGTCAATAGTCGCAGGCTTGTGAAATTGGCTCAAAGTCAAAAGTCGCAGGCTTGTGAAATGGGCTCAAAGTCAAAAGTCGCAGGCTTGTGAAATGGGCTCAAAGTCAAAAGTCGCAGGCTTGTGAAATGGACTCAAAGTCAAAAGTCGCGGGCTTGTGAAATGGGCTCAAAGTCAAAAGTCGCAGGCTTGTGAAATGGGCTCAAAGTCATAAGTCGCAGGCTTGTGAAATTGGCTCAAAGTCAAAAGTCGCAGGCTTGTGAAATGGGCTCAAAGTCAAAAGTCGCAGGCTTGTGAAATGGGCTCAAAGTCAAAAGTCGCAGGCTTGTGAAATGGGCTCAAAGTCAAAAGTCGCAGGCTTGTGAAATGGACTCAAAGTCAAAAGTCGCGGGCTTGTGAAATGGGCTCAAAGTCAAAAGTCGCAGGCGTGTGAAATTGGCTCAAAGTCAAAAGTCGCAGGCCTGTGAAATGGGCTCAAAGTCGAAAGTCGCGGGCTGTCCAAATGGGCTAAGAGTCAAAAGTCGCAGGCTTGTGAAATGGGCTCAAAGTCCAAAGTCGCAGGCTTTTGAAATGGGCTCAAAGTCAAAAGTCGCAGGCTTGTGAAATGGGCTCAAAGTCGAAAGTTGCAGGCTGTCCAAATGGGCTCAAAGTCAAATGTCGCAGGCTTGTGAAATTGGCTCAAAGTAAAAAGTCGCAGGCTTGTGAAATGGGCTCAAAGTCAATAGTCGCAGGCTTGTGAAATTGGCTCAAAGTCAAAAGTCGCAGGCTTGTGAAATGGGCTCAAAGTCATAAGTCGCAGGCTTGTGAAATTGGCTCAAAGTCAAAAGTCGCAGGCTTGTCAAATGGGCTCAAAGTCAAAAGTCGCAGGCTTGTGAAATGGGCTCAAAGTCAAAAGTCGCAGGCTTGTGAAATGGGCTCAAAGTCAAAAGTCGCAGGCTTGTGAAATGGACTCAAAGTCAAAAGTCGCGGGCTTGTGAAATGGGCTCAAAGTCAAAAGTCGCAGGCTTGTGAAATGGGCTCAAAGTCATAAGTCGCAGGCTTGTGAAATTGGCTCAAAGTCAAAAGTCGCAGGCTTGTGAAATGGGCTCAAAGTCAAAAGTCGCAGGCTTGTGAAATGGGCTCAAAGTCAAAAGTCGCGGGCTGTTGAAATGGGCTCAAAGTCAAAAGTCACAGGCTTGTGAAATGGGCTCAAAGTCAAAAGTCGCGGGCTTGTGAAATGGGCTCAAAGTCAAAAGTCGCAGGCTTGTGAAATGGGCTCAAAGTCAATAGTCGCAGGCTTGTGAAATGGGCTCAAAGTCAAAAGTCGCAGGCTTGTGAAATGGGCTCAAAGTCAAAAGTTGCGGGCTGTTGAAATGGGCTCAAAGTCAAAAGTCGCAGGCTTGTGAAATGGGCTCAAAGTCAAAAGTCGCAGGCTTGTGAAATGGGCTCAAAGTCAAAAGTTGCGGGCTGTTGAAATGGGCTCAAAGTCATAAGTCGCGGGCTTGTGAAATGGGCTCAAAGTCAAAAGTCGCGGGCTTGTGAAATGGGCTCAAAGTCAAAAGTCGCGGGCTGTTGAAATGGGCTCAAAGTCAAAAGTCAGGGGCTGTTGAAATGGGCTCAAAGTCAAAAGTCGCAGGCTTGTCAAATGGGCTCAAAGTCAAAAGTCGCAGGCTTGTGAAATGGGCTCAAAGTCAAAAGTCGCGGGCTGTTGAAATGGGCTCAAAGTCAAAAGTCAGGGGCTGTTGAAATGGGCTCAAAGTCAAAAGTCGCAGGCTTGTCAAATGGGCTCAAAGTCCAAAGTCGCGGGCTTGTGAAATGGGCTCAAAGTCAAAAGTCGCGGGCTGTTGAAATGGGCTCAAAGTCCAAAGTCGCAGGCATTGTGAAATTGGCTCAAAGTCAGAAGTCGCAGGCTGTTGAAATGGGCTCAAAGTCAAAAGTCGCGGGCTTGTGAAATTGGCTCAAAGTCAAAAGTCGCAGGCTTGTGAAATGGGCTCATAGTCAAAAGTCGCGGGCTGTTGAAATGGGCTCAAAGTCAAAAGTCGCGGGCTGTTGAAATGGGCTCAAAGTCGAAAGTCGCGGGCTGTCCAAATGGGCTAAGAGTCAAAAGTCGCAGGCTTGTGAAATGGGCTCAAAGTCCAAAGTCGCAGGCTTTTGAAATGGGCTCAAAGTCAAAAGTCGCAGGCTTGTGAAATGGGCTCAAAGTCGAAAGTTGCAGGCTGTCCAAATGGGCTCAAAGTCAAAAGTCGCGGGCTGTTGAAATGGGCTCAAAGTCAAAAGTCGCAGGCTGTTGAAATGGGCTCAAAGTCAAAAGTCGCAGGCTTGTGAAATGGGCTCAAAGTCAAAAGTCGCTCGCTTGTGAAATGGGCTAAAAGTCAAAAGTCGCAGGCTTGTGAAATAGGCTAAAAGTCAAAAGTCGCGGGCTTGTGAAATGGGCTCAAAGTCAAAAGTCGCGGGCTGTTGAAATGGGCTCAAAGTCAAAAGTCGCAGGCTTGTGAAATGGGCTCAAAGTCAAAAGTCGCACGCTTGTGAAATGGGCTAAAAGTCAAAAGTCGCAGGCTTGTGAAATAGGCTAAAAGTCAAAAGTCGCGGGCTTGTGAAATGGGCTCAAAGTCAAAAGTTACGGGCTGTTGAGATGGGCTCAAAGTCAAAGGTCGCGGGCAGTTAAAATGGGCTCAAAGTCAAAAGTCGCAGGCTTGTGAAATGGGCTCAAAGTCAAAAGTCGCGGGCTGTTGAAATGGGCTCAAAGTCAAAAGTCAGGGGCTGTTGAAATGGGCTCAAAGTCAAAAGTCGCAGGCTTGTCAAATGGGCTCAAAGTCAAAAGTCGCAGGCTTGTGAAATGGGCTCAAAGTCAAAAGTCGCGGGCTGTTGAAATGGGCTCAAAGTCAAAAGTCAGGGGCTGTTGAAATGGGCTCAAAGTCAAAAGTCACAGGCTTGTCAAATGGGCTCAAAGTCCAAAGTCGCGGGCTTGTGAAATGGGCTCAAAGTCAAAAGTCGCTGGCTGTTGAAATGGGCTCAAAGTCAAAAGTCGCGGGCTGTTGAAATGGGTTCAAAGTCAAAAGTCGCGGGCTGTTGAAATGGGCTCAAAGTCCAAAGTCGCAGGCATTGTGAAATTGGCTCAAAGTCAGAAGTCGCAGGCTGTTGAAATGGGCTCAAAGTCAAAAGTCGCGGGCTTGTGAAATTGGCTCAAAGTCAAAAGTCGAAGGCTTGTGAAATGGGCTCATAGTCAAAAGTCGCGGGCTGTTGAAATGGGCTCAAAGTCAAAAGTCGCGGGCTGTTGAAATGGGCTCAAAGTCAAAAGTCGCGGGCGTGTGAAATTGGCTCAAAGTCAAAAGTCGCAGGCTGTTGAAATGGGCTCAAAGTCAAAAGTCGCAGGCTTGTGAAATGGGCTCAAAGTCAAAAGTTGCACGCTTGTGAAATGGGCTAAAAGTCAAAAGTCGCAGGCTTGTGAAATGGGCTAAAAGTCAAAAGTCGCGGGCTTGTGAAATGGGCTCAAAGTCAAAAGTCGCGGGCTGTTGAAATGGGCTCAAAGTCAAAAGTCGCGGGCTGTTGAAATGGGCTCAAAGTCAAAAGTCGCAGGCTTGTGAAATGGGCTCAAAGTCAAAAGTCGCACGTTTGTGAAATGGGCTAAAAGTCAAAAGTCGCAGGCTTGTGAAATGGGCTAAAAGTCAAAAGTCACGGGCTTGTGAAATGGGCTCAAAGTCAAAAGTCGCGGGCTGTTGAAATGGGCTCAAAGTCAAAAGTCGCAGGCTTGTGAAATGGGCTCAAAGTCCAAAGTCGCGGGCCTTTGAAATGGGCTCAAAGTCAAAAGTAACGGGCTTGTGAAATGGGCTCAAAGTCAAAAGTCACAGGCTGTTGAGATGGGCTCAAAGTCAAAAGTCGCGGGCTGTTGAAATGGGCTCAAAGTCAAAAGTCGCGTGCTTGTGAAATGGGCTCAAAGTCAAAAGTCGCGGGCTGTTGAAATGGGCTCAAAGTCAAAAGTCGCGGGCTGTTGAAATGGGCTCAAAGTCAAAAGTCGCAGGCTTGTGAAATGGGCTAAAAGTCAAAAGTCACAGGCTTGTGAAATGGGCTCAAAGTCAAAAGTCGCGGGCTGTTGAAATGGGCTCAAAGTCAAAAGTCGCAGGCTTGTGAAATGGGCTCAAAGTCAAAAGTCGCAGGCTTGTGAAATGGGCTCAAAGTCAGAAGTCGCAGGCTTGTGAAATGGGCTCAAAGTCAAAAGTTGCAGGCTTGTGAAATGGGCTCAAAGTCAAATGTCGCAGGCTTGTGAAATTGGCTCAAAGTAAAAAGTCGCAGGCTTGTGAAATGGGCTCAAAGTCAATAGTCGCAGGCTTGTGAAATTGGCTCAAAGTCAAAAGTCGCAGGCTTGTGAAATGGGCTCAAAGTCAAAAGTCGCAGGCTTGTGAAATGGGCTCAAAGTCAAAAGTCGCAGGCTTGTGAAATGGACTCAAAGTCAAAAGTCGCGGGCTTGTGAAATGGGCTCAAAGTCAAAAGTCGCAGGCTTGTGAAATGGGCTCAAAGTCATAAGTCGCAGGCTTGTGAAATTGGCTCAAAGTCAAAAGTCGCAGGCTTGTGAAATGGGCTCAAAGTCAAAAGTCGCAGGCTTGTGAAATGGGCTCAAAGTCAAAAGTCGCAGGCTTGTGAAATGGGCTCAAAGTCAAAAGTCGCAGGCTTGTGAAATGGACTCAAAGTCAAAAGTCGCGGGCTTGTGAAATGGGCTCAAAGTCAAAAGTCGCAGGCGTGTGAAATTGGCTCAAAGTCAAAAGTCGCAGGCCTGTGAAATGGGCTCAAAGTCGAAAGTCGCGGGCTGTCCAAATGGGCTATGAGTCAAAAGTCGCAGGCTTGTGAAATGGGCTCAAAGTCCAAAGTCGCAGGCTTTTGAAATGGGCTCAAAGTCAAAAGTCGCAGGCTTGTGAAATGGGCTCAAAGTCGAAAGTTGCAGGCTGTCCAAATGGGCTCAAAGTCAAATGTCGCAGGCTTGTGAAATTGGCTCAAAGTAAAAAGTCGCAGGCTTGTGAAATGGGCTCAAAGTCAATAGTCGCAGGCTTGTGAAATTGGCTCAAAGTCAAAAGTCGCAGGCTTGTGAAATGGGCTCAAAGTCATAAGTCGCAGGCTTGTGAAATTGGCTCAAAGTCAAAAGTCGCAGGCTTGTCAAATGGGCTCAAAGTCAAAAGTCGCAGGCTTGTGAAATGGGCTCAAAGTCAAAAGTCGCAGGCTTGTGAAATGGGCTCAAAGTCAAAAGTCGCAGGCTTGTGAAATGGACTCAAAGTCAAAAGTCGCGGGCTTGTGAAATGGGCTCAAAGTCAAAAGTCGCAGGCTTGTGAAATGGGCTCAAAGTCATAAGTCGCAGGCTTGTGAAATTGGCTCAAAGTCAAAAGTCGCAGGCTTGTGAAATGGGCTCAAAGTCAAAAGTCGCAGGCTTGTGAAATGGGCTCAAAGTCAAAAGTCGCGGGCTGTTGAAATGGGCTCAAAGTCAAAAGTCACAGGCTTGTGAAATGGGCTCAAAGTCAAAAGTCGCGGGCTTGTGAAATGGGCTCAAAGTCAAAAGTCGCAGGCTTGTGAAATGGGCTCAAAGTCAATAGTCGCAGGCTTGTGAAATGGGCTCAAAGTCAAAAGTCGCAGGCTTGTGAAATGGGCTCAAAGTCAAAAGTTGCGGGCTGTTGAAATGGGCTCAAAGTCAAAAGTCGCAGGCTTGTGAAATGGGCTCAAAGTCAAAAGTCGCAGGCTTGTGAAATGGGCTCAAAGTCAAAAGTAGCGGGCTGTTGAAATGGGCTCAAAGTCATAAGTCGCGGGCTTGTGAAATGGGCTCAAAGTCAAAAGTCGCGGGCTTGTGAAATGGGCTCAAAGTCAAAAGTCGCGGGCTGTTGAAATGGGCTCAAAGTCAAAAGTCAGGGGCTGTTGAAATGGGCTCAAAGTCAAAAGTCGCAGGCTTGTCAAATGGGCTCAAAGTCAAAAGTCGCAGGCTTGTGAAATGGGCTCAAAGTCAAAAGTCGCGGGCTGTTGAAATGGGCTCAAAGTCAAAAGTCAGGGGCTGTTGAAATGGGCTCAAAGTCAAAAGTCGCAGGCTTGTCAAATGGGCTCAAAGTCCAAAGTCGCGGGCTTGTGAAATGGGCTCAAAGTCAAAAGTCGCGGGCTGTTGAAATGGGCTCAAAGTCCAAAGTCGCAGGCATTGTGAAATTGGCTCAAAGTCAGAAGTCGCAGGCTGTTGAAATGGGCTCAAAGTCAAAAGTCGCGGGCTTGTGAAATTGGCTCAAAGTCAAAAGTCGCAGGCTTGTGAAATGGGCTCATAGTCAAAAGTCGCGGGCTGTTGAAATGGGCTCAAAGTCAAAAGTCGCGGGCTGTTGAAATGGGCTCAAAGTCGAAAGTCGCGGGCTGTCCAAATGGGCTAAGAGTCAAAAGTCGCAGGCTTGTGAAATGGGCTCAAAGTCCAAAGTCGCAGGCTTTTGAAATGGGCTCAAAGTCAAAAGTCGCAGGCTTGTGAAATGGGCTCAAAGTCGAAAGTTGCAGGCTGTCCAAATGGGCTCAAAGTCAAAAGTCGCGGGCTGTTGAAATGGGCTCAAAGTCAAAAGTCGCAGGCTGTTGAAATGGGCTCAAAGTCAAAAGTCGCAGGCTTGTGAAATGGGCTCAAAGTCAAAAGTCGCACGCTTGTGAAATGGGCTAAAAGTCAAAAGTCGCAGGCTTGTGAAATAGGCTAAAAGTCAAAAGTCGCGGGCTTGTGAAATGGGCTCAAAGTCAAAAGTCGCGGGCTGTTGAAATGGGCTCAAAGTCAAAAGTCGCAGGCTTGTGAAATGGGCTCAAAGTCAAAAGTCGCACGCTTGTGAAATGGGCTAAAAGTCAAAAGTCGCAGGCTTGTGAAATAGGCTAAAAGTCAAAAGTCGCGGGCTTGTGAAATGGGCTCAAAGTCAAAAGTTACGGGCTGTTGAGATGGGCTCAAAGTCAAAGGTCGCGGGCTGTTGAAATGGGCTCAAAGTCAAAAGTCGCGTGCTTGTGAAATGGGCTCAAAGTCAAAAGTCGCGGGCTGTTGAAATGGTCTCAAAGTCAAAAGTCGCGGGCTGTTGAAATGGGCTCAAAGTCAAAAGTCGCAGGCTTGTGAAATGGGCTAAAAGTCAAAAGTCGCAGGCTTGTGAAATGGGCTCAAAGTCAAAAGTCGCAGGCTTGTGAAATGGGCTCATAGTCAAAAGTCGCGGGCTGTTGAAATGGGCTCAAAGTCAAAAGTCGCGGGCTGTTGAAATGGGCTCAAAGTCAAAAGTCGCGGGCTTGTGAAATTGGCTCAAAGTCAAAAGTCGCAGGCCTGTGAAATGGGCTCAAAGTCGAAAGTCGCGGGCTGTCCAAATGGGCTAAGAGTCAAAAGTCGCAGGCTTGTGAAATGGGCTCAAAGTCCAAAGTCGCAGGCTTTTGAAATGGGCTCAAAGTCAAAAGTCGCAGGCTTGTGAAATGGGCTCAAAGTCGAAAGTTGCAGGCTGTCCAAATGGGCTCAAAGTCAAAAGTCGCGGGCTGTTGAAATGGGCTCAAAGTCAAAAGTCGCAGGCTGTTGAAATGGGCTCAAAGTCAAAAGTCGCAGGCTTGTGAAATGGGCTCAAAGTCAAAAGTCGCACGCTTGTGAAATGGGCTAAAAGTCAAAAGTCGCAGGCTTGTGAAATGGGCTAAAAGTCAAAAGTCGCGGGCTTGTGAAATGCGCTCAAAGTCAAAAGTCGCGGGCTGTTGAAATGGGCTCAAAGTCAAAAGTCGCGGGCTGTTGAAATGGGCTCAAAGTCAAAAGTCGCAGGCTTGTGAAATGGACTCAAAGTCAAAAGTCGCGGGCTTGTGAAATGGGCTCAAAGTCAAAAGTCGCGAGCTTGTCAAATGGGCTCAAAGTCAAAAGTCGCAGGCTTGTGAAATGGGCTCAAAGTCAAAAGTCGCGGGCTGTTGAAATGGGCTCAAAGTCAAAAGTCGCAGGCTTGTCAAATGGGCTCAAAGTCAAAAGTCGCAGGCTTGTGAAATGGGCTCAAAGTCAAAAGTCGCGGGCTGTTGAAATGGGCTCAAAGTCAAAAGTCACGGGCTGTTGAAATGGGCTCAAAGTCAAAAGTCGCGGGCTGTTGAAATGGGCTCAAAGTCCAAAGTCGCAGGCATTGTGAAATTGGCTCAAAGTCAGAAGTCGCAGGCTGTTGAAATGGGCTCAAAGTCAAAAGTCGCGGGCTTGTGAAATGGGCTCAAAGTCAAAAGTCGCAGGCTTGTGAAATGGGCTCATAGTCAAAAGTCGCGGGCTGTTGAAATGGGCTCAAAGTCAAAAGTCGCGGGCTGTTGAAATGGGCTCAAAGTCGAAAGTCGCGGGCTGTCCAAATGGGCTAAGAGTCAAAAGTCGCAGGCTTGTGAAATGGGCTCAAAGTCCAAAGTCGCAGGCTTTTGAAATGGGCTCAAAGTCAAAAGTCGCAGGCTTGTGAAATGGGCTCAAAGTCGAAAGTTGCAGGCTGTCCAAATGGGCTCAAAGTCAAAAGTCGCGGGCTGTTGAAATGGGCTCAAAGTCAAAAGTCGCAGGCTGTTGAAATGGGCTCAAAGTCAAAAGTCGCAGGCTTGTGAAATGGGCTCAAAGTCAAAAGTCGCACGCTTGTGAAATGGGCTAAAAGTCAAAAGTCGCAGGCTTGTGAAATAGGCTAAAAGTCAAAAGTCGCGGGCTTGTGAAATGGGCTCAAAGTCAAAAGTCGCGGGCTGTTGAAATGGGCTCAAAGTCAAAAGTCGCAGGCTTGTGAAATGGGCTCAAAGTCAAAAGTCGCACGCTTGTGAAATGGGCTAAAAGTCAAAAGTCGCAGGCTTGTGAAATAGGCTAAAAGTCAAAAGTCGCGGGCTTGTGAAATGGGCTCAAAGTCAAAAGTTACGGGCTGTTGAGATGGGCTCAAAGTCAAAAGTCGCGGGCTGTTGAAATGGGCTCAAAGTCAAAAGTCGCGTGCTTGTGAAATGGGCTCAAAGTCAAAAGTCGCGGGCTGTTGAAATGGGCTCAAAGTCAAAAGTCGCGGGCTGTTGAAATGGGCTCAAAGTCAAAAGTCGCAGGCTTGTGAAATGGGCTAAAAGTCAAAAGTCGCAGGCTTGTGAAATGGGCTCAAAGTCAAAAGTCGCGGGCTGTTGAAATGGGCTCAAAGTCAAAAGTCAGGGGCTGTTGAAATGGGCTCAAAGTCAAAAGTCACAGGCTTGTCAAATGGGCTCAAAGTCCAAAGTCGCGGGCTTGTGAAATGGGCTCAAAGTCAAAAGTCGCGGGCTGTTGAAATGGGCTCAAAGTCAAAAGTCACGGGCTGTTGAAATGGGTTCAAAGTCAAAAGTCGCGGGCTGTTGAAATGGGCTCAAAGTCCAAAGTCGCAGGCATTGTGAAATTGGCTCAAAGTCAGAAGTCGCAGGCTGTTGAAATGGGCTCAAAGTCAAAAGACGCGGGCTTGTGAAATTGGCTCAAAGTCAAAAGTCGCAGGCTTGTGAAATGGGCTCATAGTCAAAAGTCGCGGGCTGTTGAAATGGGCTCAAAGTCAAAAGTCGCGGGCTGTTGAAATGGGCTCAAAGTCAAAAGTCGCGGGCGTGTGAAATTGGCTCAAAGTCAAAAGTCGCACGCTTGTGAAATGGGCTAAAAGTCAAAAGTCGCAGGCTTGTGAAATAGGCTAAAAGTCAAAAGTCGCGGGCTTGTGAAATGGGCTCAAAGTCAAAAGTTACGGGCTGTTGAGATGGGCTCAAAGTCAAAGGTCGCGGGCTGTTGAAATGGGCTCAAAGTCAAAAGTCGCAGGCTGTTGAAATGGGCTCAAAGTCAAAAGTCGCAGGCTTGTGAAATGGGCTCAAAGTCAAAAGTCGCACGCTTGTGAAATGGGCTAAAAGTCAAAAGTCGCAGGCTTGTGAAATGGGCTAAAAGTCAAAAGTCGCGGGCTTGTGAAATGCGCTCAAAGTCAAAAGTCGCGGGCTGTTGAAATGGGCTCAAAGTCAAAAGTCACGGGCTGTTGAAATGGGCTCAAAGTCAAAAGTCGCGAGCTTGTCAAATGGGCTCAAAGTCAAAAGTCGCAGGCTTGTGAAATGGGCTCAAAGTCAAAAGTCGCGGGCTGTTGAAATGGGCTCAAAGTCAAAAGTCACGGGCTGTTGAAATGGGCTCAAAGTCAAAAGTCGCGGGCTGTTGAAATGGGCTCAAAGTCCAAAGTCGCAGGCTTGTGAAATGGGCTCAAAGTCAGAAGTCGCAGGCTGTTGAAATGGGCTCAAAGTCAAAAGTCGCGGGCTTGTGAAATGGGCTCAAAGTCAAAAGTCGCAGGCCTGTGAAATGGGCTCAAAGTCAAAAGTCGCAGGCTTGTGAAATTGGCTCAAAGTCAAAAGTCGCAGGCTTGTGAAATGGGCTCAAAGTCAAAAGTCGCAGGCTTGTGAAATGGGCTCAAAGTCGAAAGTCGCAGGCTTGTGAAATGGGCTCAAAGTCAAAAGTCGCGGGCTGTTGAAATGGGCTCAAAGTCCAAAGTCGCAGGCTTGTGAAATGGGCTCAAAGTCAAAAGTCGCGGGCTGTTGAAATGGGCTCAAAGTCAAAAGTCGCGGGCTGTTGAAATGGCTCAAAGTCAAAAGTCGCAGGCTTGTGAAATGGGCTCAAAGTCAAAAGTCGCGGGCAGTTAAAATGGGCATAGTCAAAAGTCGCAGGCTTGTGAAATGGGCTCAAAGTCAAAAGTCGCGGGCTGTTGAAATGGGCTCAAAGTCAAAAGTCAGGGGCTGTTGAAATGGGCTCAAAGTCAAAAGTCGCAGGCTTGTCAAATGGGCTCAAAGTAAAAAGTCGCAGGCTTGTGAAATGGGCTCAAAGTCAAAAGTCGCGGGCTGTTGAAATGGGCTCAAAGTCAAAAGTCAGGGGCTGTTGAAATGGGCTCAAAGTCAAAAGTCGCAGGCTTGTGAAATGGGCTCAAAGTCAAAAGTCGCGGGCAGTTAAAATGGGCTCAAAGTCAAAAGTCGCAGGCTTGTGAAATGGGCTCAAAGTCAAAAGTCGCGGGCTGTTGAAATGGGCTCAAAGTCAAAAGTCGCGGGCTGTTGAAATGGCTCAAAGTCAAAAGTCGCAGGCTTGTGAAATGGGCTCAAAGTCAAAAGTCGCGGGCAGTTAAAATGGGCTCAAAGTCAAAAGTCGCAGGCTTGTGAAATGGGCTCAAAGTCAAAAGTCGCGGGCTGTTGAAATGGGCTCAAAGTCAAAAGTCAGGGGCTGTTGAAATGGGCTCAAAGTCAAAAGTCGCAGGCTTGTCAAATGGGCTCAAAGTCAAAAGTCGCAGGCTTGTGAAATGGGCTCAAAGTCAAAAGTCGCGGGCTGTTGAAATGGGCTCAAAGTCAAAAGTCAGGGGCTGTTGAAATGGGCTCAAAGTCAAAAGTCACAGGCTTGTCAAATGGGCTCAAAGTCCAAAGTCGCGGGCTTGTGAAATGGGCTCAAAGTCAAAAGTTGCAGGCTGTCCAAATGGGCTCAAAGTCAAAAGTCGCGGGCTGTTGAAATGGGCTCAAAGTCAAAAGTCGCAGGCTGTTGAAATGGGCTCAAAGTCAAAAGTCGCAGGCTTGTGAAATGGGCTCAAAGTCAAAAGTCGCACGCTTGTGAAATGGGCTAAAAGTCAAAAGTCGCAGGCTTGTGAAATGGGCTAAAAGTCAAAAGTCGCGGGCTTGTGAAATGGGCTCAAAGTCAAAGGTCGCGGGCTGTTGAAATGGGCTCAAAGTCAAAAGTCGCGGGCTGTTGAAATGGGCTCAAAGTCAAAAGTCGCAGGCTTGTGAAATGGGCTCAAAGTCAAAAGTCGCACGCTTGTGAAATGGGCTAAAAGTCAAAAGTCGCAGGCTTGTGAAATGGGCTAAAAGTCAAAAGTCACGGGCTTGTGAAATGGGCTCAAAGTCAAAAGTCGCGGGCTGTTGAAATGGATTCAAAGTCAAAAGTCGCAGGCTTGTGAAATGGGCTCAAAGTCCAAAGTCGCGGGCTGTTGAAATGGGCTCAAAGTCAAAAGTCGCGGGCTGTTGAAATGGGCTCAAAGTCAAAAGTCGCAGGCTTGTGAAATGGGCTAAAAGTCAAAAGTCACAGGCTTGTGAAATGGGCTCAAAGTCAAAAGTCGCGGGCTGTTGAAATGGGCCCAAAGTCAAAAGTCGCAGGCTTGTGAAATGGGCTCAAAGTCAAAAGTCGCAGGCTTGTGAAATGGGCTCAAAGTCAGAAGTCGCAGGCTTGTGAAATGGGCTCAAAGTCAAAAGTTGCAGGCTTGTGAAATGGGCTCAAAGTCAAATGTCGCAGGCTTGTGAAATTGGCTCAAAGTCAAAAGTCGCAGGCTTGTGAAATGGGCTCAAAGTCAATAGTCGCAGGCTTGTGAAATTGGCTCAAAGTCAAAAGTCGCAGGCTTGTGAAATGGGCTCAAAGTCAAAAGTCGCAGGCTTGTGAAATGGGCTCAAAGTCAAAAGTCGCGGGCTGTTGAAATGGGCTCAAAGTCAAAAGTCGCAGGCTTGTGAAATGGGCTCAAAGTCAAAAGTCGCAGGCTTGTGAAATGGACTCAAAGTCAAAAGTCGCAGGCTTGTGAAATGGGCTCAAAGTCAAAAGTCGCAGGCTTGTGAAATGGGCTCAAAGTCAAAAGTCGCAGGCTTGTGAAATTGGCTCAAAGTCAAAAGTCGCAGGCTTGTGAAATGGGCTCAAAGTCAAAAGTCGCAGGCTTGTGAAATGGGCTCAAAGTCAAAAGTCGCAGGCTTGTGAAATGGGCTCAAAGTCAAAAGTCGCAGGCTTTTGAAATGGGCTCAAAGTCATAAGTCGCGGGCTTGTGAAATGGGCTCAAAGTCAAAAGTCGCAGGCTTGTGAAATGGGCTCAAAGTCAAAAGTCGCAGGCTTGTGAAATGGGCTCAAAGTCATAAGTCGCAGGCTTGTGATATTGGCTCAAAGTCAAAAGTCGCAGGCTTGTGAAATGGGCTCAAAGTCAAAAGTCGCAGGCTTGTGAAATGGGCTCAAAGTCAAAAGTCGCGGGCTGTTGAAATGGGCTCAAAGTCAAAAGTCACAGGCTTGTGAAATGGGCTCAAAGTCAAAAGTCGCGGGCTTGTGAAATGGGCTCAAAGTCAAAAGTCGCAGGCTTGTGAAATGGGCTCAAAGTCAATAGTCGCAGGCTTGTGAAATGGGCTCAAAGTCAAAAGTCGCAGGCTTGTGAAATGGGCTCAAAGTCAAAAGTTGCGGGCTGTTGAAATGGGCTCAAAGTCATAAGTCGCGGGCTTGTGAAATGGGCTCAAAGTCAAAAGTCGCAGGCTTGTGAAATGGGCTCAAAGTCAAAAGTCGCAGGCTTGTGAAATGGGCTCAAAGTCAAAAGTTGCGGGCTGTTGAAATGGGCTCAAAGTCATAAGTCGCGGGCTTGTGAAATGGGCTCAAAGTCAAAAGTCGCGGGCTGTTGAAATGGGCTCAAAGTCAAAAGTCAGGGGCTGTTGAAATGGGCTCAAAGTCAAAAGTCCCAGGCTTGTCAAATGGGCTCAAAGTCCAAAGTCGCGGGCTTGTGAAATGGGCTCAAAGTCATAAGTCGCGGGCTTGTGAAATGGGCTCAAAGTCAAAAGTCGCAGGCTTGTGAAATGGGCTCAAAGTCAAAAGTCGCAGGCTTGTGAAATGGGCTCAAAGTCAAAAGTTGCGGGCTGTTGAAATGGGCTCAAAGTCATAAGTCGCGGGCTTGTGAAATGGGCTCAAAGTCAAAAGTCGCAGGCTGTTGAAATGGGCTCAAAGTCAAAAGTCAGGGGCTGTTGAAATGGGCTCAAAGTCAAAAGTCGCAGGCTTGTCAAATGGGCTCAAAGTCCAAAGTCGCGGGCTTGTGAAATGGGCTCAAAGTCAAAAGTCGCGGGCTGTTGAAATGGGCTCAAAGTCAAAAGTCACGGACTGTTGAAATGGGTTCAAAGTCAAAAGTCGCGGGCTGTTGAAATGGGCTCAAAGTCCAAAGTCGCAGGCATTGTGAAATTGGCTCAAAGTCAGAAGTCGCAGGCTGTTGAAATGGGCTCAAAGTCAAAAGTCGCGGGCTTGTGAAATTGGCTCAAAGTCAAAAGTCGCAGGCTTGTGAAATGGGCTCATAGTCAAAAGTCGCGGGCTGTTGAAATGGGCTCAAAGTCAAAAGTCGCGGGCTGTTGAAATGGGCTCAAAGTCGAAAGTCGCGGGCTGTCCAAATGGGCTAAGAGTCAAAAGTCGCAGGCTTGTGAAATGGGCTCAAAGTCCAAAGTCGCAGGCTTTTGAAATGGGCTCAAAGTCAAAAGTCGCAGGCTTGTGAAATGGGCTCAAAGTCGAAAGTTGCAGGCTGTCCAAATGGGCTCAAAGTCAAAAGTCGCGGGCTGTTGAAATGGGCTCAAAGTCAAAAGTCGCAGGCTGTTGAAATGGGCTCAAAGTCAAAAGTCGCAGGCTTGTGAAATGGGCTCAAAGTCAAAAGTCGCACGCTTGTGAAATGGGCTAAAAGTCAAAAGTCGCAGGCTTGTGAAATAGGCTAAAAGTCAAAAGTCGCGGGCTTGTGAAATGGGCTCAAAGTCAAAAGTCGCGGGCTTGTGAAATGGGCTCAAAGTCAAAAGTCGCGTGCTTGTGAAATGGGCTCAAAGTCAAAAGTCGCGGGCTGTTGAAATGGGCTCAAAGTCAAAAGTCGCGGGCTGTTGAAATGGGCTCAAAGTCAAAAGTCGCAGGCTTGTGAAATGGGCTCAAAGTCAAAAGTCACGGGCTTGTGAAATGGGCTCAAAGTCAAAAGTCGCGGGCTGTTGAAATGGGCTCAAAGTCAAAAGTCGCAGGCTTGTGAAATGGGCTCAAAGTCAAAAGTCGCAGGCTTGTGAAATGGGCTCAAAGTCAAAAGTCGCAGGCTTGTGAAATGGGCTCAAAGTCAAAAGTCGCAGGCTTGTGAAATGGGCTCAAAGTCAAATGTCGCAGGCTTGTGAAATTGGCTCAAAGTCAAAAGTCGCAGGCTTGTGAAATGGGCTCAAAGTCAATAGTCGCAGGCTTGTGAAATTGGCTCAAAGTCAAAAGTCGCAGGCTTGTGAAATGGACTCAAAGTCAAAAGTCGCGGGCTTGTGAAATGGGCTCAAAGTCAAAAGTCGCAGGCTTGTGAAATGGGCTCAAAGTCATAAGTCGCAGGCTTGTGAAATTGGCTCAAAGTCAAAAGTCGCAGGCTTGTGAAATGGGCTCAAAGTCAAAAGTCGCAGGCTTGTGAAATGGGCTCAAAGTCATAAGTCGCAGGCTTGTGAAATTGGCTCAAAGTCAAAAGTCGCAGGCTTGTGAAATGGGCTCAAAGTCAAAAGTTGCGGGCTGTTGAAATGGGCTCAAAGTCATAAGTCGCGGGCTTGTGAAATGGGCTCAAAGTCAAAAGTCGCAGGCTTGTGAAATGGGCTCAAAGTCAAAAGTCGCAGGCTTGTGAAATGGGCTCAAAGTCAAAAGTTGCGGGCTGTTGAAATGGGCTCAAGGTCATAAGTCGCGGGCTTGTGAAATGGGCTCAAAGTCAAAAGTCACGGGCTGTTGAAATGGGCTCAAAGTCCAAAGTCGCAGGCTCGTGAAATGGGCTCAAAGTCAGAAGTCGCAGGCTGTTGAAATGGGCTCAAAGTCAAAAGTCGCAGGCTTGTGAATTGGGCTCAAAGTCGAAAGTCGCAGGCTTGTGAAATGGGCTCAAAGTCAAAAGTCGCGGGCTGTTGAAATGGGCTCAAAGTCAAAAGTCACGGGCTGTTGAAATGGGCTCAAAGTCCAAAGTCGCGGGCTGTTGAAATGGGCTCAAAGTCAAAGTCGCAGACTTGTGAAATGGGCTCAAAGTCAAAAGTCGCAGGCTGTTGAAATGGACTCAAAGTCAAAAGTCGCGGGCTTGTGAAATGGGCTCAAAGTCAAAAGTCGCACGCTTGTGAAATGGGCTAAAAGTCCAAAGTCGCAGGCTGTTGAAATGGGCTCAAAGTCCAAAGTCGCGGGCTTGTGAAATGGACTCAAAGTCAAAAGTCGCAGGCTTGTGAATTGGGCTCAAAGTCAAAAGTCGCGGGCTTTTGAAATGGGCTCAAAGTCAAAAGTCGCGGGCTTGTGAAATGGGCTCAAAATCAAAAGTCGCAGGCTTGTGAAATGGGCTCATAGTCAAAAGTCGCAGGCTTGTAAAATGGGCTCAAATTCAAAAGTCGCAGGCTTGTGAAATAAACTCAAAGTCAAAAGTCGCAGGCTTGTGAAATGGGCTCAAAGTCAAAAGTCGCAGGCTTGTGAAATGGACTCAAAGTCAAAAGTCGCAGGCTTGTGAAATGGGCTCAAAGTCAAAAGTCGCAGGCTTGTGAATTGGGCTCAAAGTCCAAAGTCGCAGGCTTGTGAAATGGGCTCAAAGTCAAAAGTCGCAGGCTTGTGAAATGGGCTCAAAGTCAAAAGTTGCGGGCTGTTTAAATGGGCACAAAGTCATAAGTCGCGGGCTTGTGAAATGGGCTCAAAGTCAAAAGTCACGGGCTGTTGAAATGGGCTCAAAGTCAAAAGTCGCAGGCTTGTGAAATGGGCTCAAAGTCAAAAGTCGCAGGCTGTTGAAATGGGCTCAAAGTCAAAAGTCGCAGGCTTGTGAATTGGGCTCAAAGTCGAAAGTCGCAGGCTTGTGAAATGGGCTCAAAGTCAAAAGTCGCGGGCTGTTGAATTGGGCTCAAAGTCAAAAGTCACGGGCTTTTGAAATGGGCTCAAAGTCCAAAGTCGCGGGCTGTTGAAATGGGCTCAAAGTCCAAAGTCGCAGACTTGTGAAATGGGCTCAAAGTCAAAAGTCGCAGGCTTGTGAAATGGGCTCAAAGTCAAAAGTCGCGGGCTTGTGAAATGGGCTCAAAGTCAAAAGTCGCAGGCTTGTGAAATGGGCTCAAAGTCCAAAGTCGCGGGCTGTTGAAATGGGCTCAAAGTCCAAAGTCGCGGGCTTGTGAAATGGACTCAAAGTCAAAAGTCGCAGGCTTGTGAAATGGGCTCAAAGTCAAAAGTCGCGGGCTGTTGAAATGGGCTTTAAGTCAAAAGTCGCGGGCTTGTGAAATGGGCTCAAAGTCAAAAGTCGCGGGCTTTTGAAATGGGCTCACAGTCAAAAGTCGCAGGCTTGTGAGATGGGCTCAAAGTCCAAAGTCGCGGGCTTGTGAAATGGGCTCAAAGTCAAAAGTCGCGGGCTGTTGAAATGGGTTCAAAGTCAAAAGTCGCAGGCTTGTGAAATGGGCTCAAAGTCAAAAGTCGCGGGCTTGTGAAATGGACTCAAAGTCAAAAGTCACGGGCTGTTGAAATGGGCTCAAAGTCCAAAGTCGCGGGCTTGTGAAATGGGCTCAAAGTCAAAAGTCACGGGCTGTTGAAATGGGCTCAAAGTCCAAAGTCGCAGGCTTGTGAAATGGGCTCAAAGTCAAAAGTCGCAGGCTGTTGAAATGGGCTCAAAGTCAAAAGTCGCGGGCTGTTGAAATGGGCTCAAAGTCAAAAGTCGCGGGCTGTTGAGGACATGACACAGGTTTGGTTGCAAAAAATAAAAGGGGAATGAAATTCAATTTATTCCAACAATAAAAATATTCGCATTCATTCAAGCATTTTTAACTACGTGTCAATTTTAAAAATTAAGCTAGTGGTAGAAACCTTTAATTGTGAAACTGGGCGCCATTCTTCTGACTTTCCGAGGCTCTGCTTCAGTCGGGGCATGTAGCTGTTGATAAATTGGAACCTCCACTCTGAAGCGGGCTCGCTTGTGCTGCTTAGGCTGCCGAACAAGTGTCAAAGCTGTCACAAACCGCTAGGAGCAAAGAATTGCTGAGGTGTCGCAAAGATGGCTAGTTGAGAAAATGACATCCGTTTCGCACATTCGCAGTACAAATCGTGTTTGCGGAAAGGATTGGGTAGCCACAGCAGAAAAAGAAGAAGTGAAGGAAAAAGAAGAGAAGAAGAAGAAAAAGAAGTAGAAGAAGAAAAGAAATAGAGAAGAAGAAGAAAAAAGAGTATGTAGAAGAAGAACAACAACTTTAATTATCATGAGGGATAATTCAGTAGGCAGGAGGCAGGCTTTGTTTACCTTTACTATTACTGGTCAAATGGTGGAGCTCCAAATGTTTTGGTTTCACTTTCAGAGCATGTAGATAATAATATAATAATACATTTTATTTAAAAGCGCCTTTCTGGACACCCAAGGACACTGTACAGGCATTTAGAACACAGTTAAAACACTTTTAAAATAAATAAAAACAATATACATGTATGGAAATGGACAGTTAGAGGGAATATGCAATTTGGAACAGATGTGTTTTGAGTTTTGATTTGAAGTGGGGTAGTGAGTCCATGTTTCTGAGATCCGGAGGGAGAGAGTTCCAGAGTTTGGGAGCAGAGCGACTGAAAGCCCTGCTCCCCATGGTGCTAAGTCGGGCAGAGGGGACAGAAAGGTGGAGGGAGGAGGAGGATCTGAGGGAGCGTGAGGGGGTGGCGATGTGGAGGAGATCGGAGAGGTAAGGGGGGGCAAGGTTATGGATGGCTTTGAAGGTGTATAGTATGATTTTATAGTGGATTCTGGACCGGATAGGGAGCCAGTGAAGCTGCTGAAGGACAGGGGTGATGTGGTGGAAGGAGGGAGTTCTGGTGATGATACGGGCTGCAGAGTTTTGGACAAGTTGAAGTTTATGGAGGGATTTGTGAGGGACACCGAGGAGGAGTGAGTTGCAATAATGGATACGGGAGGTGACAAGACTGTGGACTAGGATAGCTGTGGTGTGAGGAGTGAGTGATGGGCGGAGACGGTTGATGTTTCGTAGATGGAAGTATGCAGACCGGGTGATGTTATTGATGTGGGAGTGGAAAGATAGTGAGCTGTCGAGGATGACACCCAGGCTCTTAACCTGAGGGGAAGGGGACACTGTGGAGTTATCTATGGTGAGGGAGAAACTGTTAGTTTTGGAGAGAGTGGACTTAGTACCGACCAGGAGGAGTTCTGTTTTATCAGAGTTGAGTTTGAGGAAGTTTGATGTGAACCAGGATTTAATTTCTGAGAGGCAGTGGGTGAGGGAGGAGGGTGGGAGAGAGGCGTTGGGTTTGCTGGAGAGGTAGAGCTGGGTGTCATCCGCGAAACAATGAAAGTGGATGCCATATTTGCGGAAGATGCTGCCGAGGGGAAGGAGATAAATAATGAAGAGGAGGGGCCCCAGGACAGAACCCTGGGGCACACCTGAAGTGACAGGGGAGGGGCTGTGAGGTGAATGATTTGAGTTGGATGAACTGAGTGCGGCCAGTGAGGTATGAGTGGAACCAGAGAAGGGGGGTGTGAGAAATGCCTATGGAGGAGAGTCTATGGAGGAGGATGGGATGAGAGATGGTATCAAAGGCCACACTCAGATCAAGGAGGATGAGGATGGAGATTAGACCGGAGTCAGCTGCCATGAGGAGGTCGTTGATGATCTTGATGAGGGCTGTTTCAGTGCTATGGAGGGGGCGGAAACCGGACTGGAACTGTTCGTACAGGCTATTGTGGGTGAGGTGGGTGTGGAGTTGAGAGGCAACTGTTTTTTCTAAAATTTTGGAGATGAAGGGGAGGTGGGAAATGGGGCGGAGGTTATTGAAGTCGTTGGGGTCTGAACCAGGTTTTTTCAGGGTAGGACTGATGGCTGCAGTTTTGAAGGGGGTGGGAACAGTTCCAGTCGACAGTGAGGAGTGGATGATGACTGAGATGAGGGGGAGTAGAGAGGGTAGACAGGATTTGACCAGGGAAGTGGGGAGGGGGTCCAGTTGGCAGGATGAGGGTTTGGATTTGGTAATGAGATCAGCGATTTCTGAGGGATTAGGGAGTAGAAAGGTGGAAAAAGGTTGTAAAGGAGGGAGAGGTTCAGATGAGGGAAGTGGTGGGGATGTGGAGCCCAGGTTCTGATGGATTTTAGTGATTTTGCTATTGAAGAAACTGAGGAGGGAGTCGCAGGTGTCTGAGGAATACATGTGGGGAGGAAAGCAGTCCGGGGGTTGAGTGATATGGTTGTAGACAGAGAAAAGAGATTTGGTATTTCCAGCATTGGAGCAGATAAGTCCAGAATAGTACTGTGATTTTGCATGGGAGATGGAGTCCTTGTAGTGGGATAGCTGAGTTATTAAGATGTCTTTGTGGATGGTGAGGCCGGTTTTCCTGTAAAGTCTTTCTAGCTGTCGATTTTTGGATTTCATGGAACGGAGATGGGGGGTGAACCAAGGTGCGGACCGGGTAAAGGAGACAGAGCGGGATTTGACGGGAGCAAGGGAGTTGAGTATGTTGGACAGTCCATTGTTGTAATGTATGACGAGATCATCAGGGGCGGAGGTGGGGTTCAGGGTGAGGGTAGTGATGGAGGAGGAGAGGGAGTCCAGGTTAATATTCTTAATGTTGCGGTATGAGATGATGCGGGGTTTTGGGATGGAGAGCTGGAGAGTGGTGTTAAATGAGAGGAGGGAGTGGTCTGTAATGTGCAATGTGTCGGCGGTACAGTTGGAGGGGGTGAGACCTGAACAGCAAATTAAATCTATTGTATGGCCTTTGATGTGTGTGGGGAAATCTGCAAATTGTTCAAAACCAAAGCTGTCGAGTAGTGAGGAGAAGTCCATGGTAAGGGGTAGGGTAGTATTGTCCATGTGTATATTGAAGTCACCGAGCAGAATAATGTTGGGTGAGAGAGTGGCGAGGTGATTAAGGAGGACAGAGAATTCATTTAAAAAGTCACTGTGAGGTTTGGGAGGACGGTATATTGTGGCAATGATTGTGGGGACATGTCCAGGTAGCTGACACGCCAGGCATTCAAGTGAGGAGAGAGGAGGCAGAGAGACAGGTAGGACCTTCCACTTCTCGCGGTAGAATATCGCGAGACCTCCCCCACGACCCGACTCGCAAGGTTTGGAGATGTACACAAACCCCGCCGGAGAGGAGTCGTTCAGCTGGGAAAAATCACCGGGGACTTGCCACGTCTCATTTAGGCAAAAGAAGTCAAGCTTACGGTCAATGAGGATATCATGAATGAGGTGTCCTTTACCGGAGAGGGATCTGATGTTGAGCAGACCGAAGTTGGCGTTCGTGGTGTTGTGGGGAGTGCTAGCCGACCTAGCCAGGTCGGCTAGCACCCTGTGGTCCACAGACCGGCTGGTGTTTCTCTGTGGGCGACGAGTGGAGGACCAAAAAGATGTAATCTCGTTGGAGCTGCCAGAATGGAGAGTCCGCCGAGACCCACGGTGGATGTACCTCGGGCGAGGCAGGAGGGCGATGTCCGGGTGGAGGTGAAGAGCTGCCGGTGGAGATCCAGGCTTCTGGGAGCGGAGCCTGAGGAACTCTGCCGCCGAGTATTGGAACAGACCTTCCACGGATAGATGGAGGAGCGACAGGGCAGTCCACACCACGACAGCCAGAGTAGCCGGTCCATAGAACCTACTGGTCCACATGGTGTAGTGTGGCGGAGAGGATGAGACGCGGAGCCGGGTCGAGCAGGCAGGCTAGGATCAGCTTACCCGTCAAGACACAGAAGGCGGTGAGAGCTCCGGTAGCAAAGTCTGGTGTGTAGGGTAAGAGTCCCAGGGAGAACAGCATTTGTTGATGGCTGGTCTCCAGAGCACGGAAGAGTGCTAAAAGAGTTAAAAGTTTACCAGAGAGCAGCGGCAGCCAAACGCGCCAGCGTCCACTCGAACCGGAAGTCAAGTAGATGACCAATTTTTTTACAGTTTTTTACCAAATACATCTGAGATCTGTTTTCAGTCAAATTGTGTCTTTGTTGGTGCTTTGTGAGGACTTTGTGGCCACACATCTGGTTAAATCATTGTTAAATAGCCTCAGCATTGTAATATGATGCCTGCGGCTGACTTTCATTCCACCTCTTGAACCTGGAGTGTAAATATTATAGATGTAAACAAAAGGTCAGCTTCCCCTTGACATTAATGCCTCGCTGGCAGTATTGATTACTGCCCCTGTTAACCCAGTAATTGAAGGATCCATCAGCTGAAGCACACCTCCGGTCCTCCTAAATTAGTTTCTCTGTCTTTATTTTGGGACTCTATTGGAGAGGGAAAAAAAACATGAGTCTGAGAGCAGGGGACACTCACAGGCTGAAAAAGGCTTCATTTACATGTCAGATACTAGTGATCAGCTCTTACTGTTAGTATTTTGATTGCCAGAGGTAGAAATAGGTAGAAGTTGTTGAATTATGCCCCAAAAGAAGAGCCCAATATGTATTTTTTTTATAGTGTAATCCTACAGTACACATAATTCAGATTCTATAACAGTACTGTATGTGTACATAGATAATTTCTTTATCCTTCATCACTATTTTTCTGGGAATTTGAGGAGATGTTGCCATGGTCGCCAGTCAGCAGCACAGGTAATTGTTTCTCTCTATCTCTCTCTCTCGTTCTCGTCCCTGCTCTGATTCACCACTTCACTGACAGTGGAGGGTGTTCTTAAACAACAATAGAAAGGATACACTTTGTTCAGTTTAGATAGAAATTACTGCTCAGCTAACAAATGTGTTTGCGGCTCATTTAGCTGTAATATTTTTTTATACTTGTGGATGTGAGGGATTATTTTTGTTCTGACACTCAAATTGAGGGTGAATCATAAAACTCCACCGTTGAGTAAAAAGACTAATGATAGCTCAACAGTGATTTTGATTTTAAAGTGGTTGCATTTATTTGGTCTACTATGAATTTAAATGCTACAGTTTCTTCTAGCTTGTAAGTGTAAAGAGGGTGCAATATAATAATACATTGTATTTGTATAGTGCTTTTTACAGGAGCTCAAAGACACTACAAAAACATAACAAAAATACAATGAGGCAAAGATTAATAGTAACAAGTTAAAAATAAGGTAAAATTGAATATAAAAGAATACAAGTGGGAGGGGCAGATGTGAAGGGTGAGATAATGGTGAGTCAGGGGGGGGTCAGGTAATAAAAGCAAGTGTGAAAAGGTGGGTTTTGAGGACAATATTGAAGCTGATGAGGTCCGGGCATTCACGCATGTGTTTAGGGAGGGAGTTCCAAAGGGTGGGGGCGGAGACGCTGAAGGCCCGGTCCCCCAGGGTACGGTGCTGGATTTTGGCTGGGGGTGAGAGGAGGTTTGCGTCAGCTGAGCGGAGGTTTGCGTCAGCTGAGCGTAGGGGGCGGTTCGGGGTGTGGCGGACAATGTGGTCAGACCGGTGGGGGGGGGGGGCCCGGCCCAGCAGTGTAGCCTGGCTGGGCCATCCTGTTGCGTGAGTCACTTGACGTTCCTTCCCACCACAGTCTGGACTTCAGCCCATAGAGAGCGTGTATGCCCGATCAGAAAATAACCGGGCCAATCAGAGACCGTGTTTCCACTGTTACTCGGACAACAGGGAAAGGCAGCCCCTTATTGGTCCATGTACTACTGTAACCAATCACCGTAACCAAGCAACTGTGATGATGTCAGATGCTTGGTTACAGTGATTGGTTACAGTAGTCTGTCTATCAAGGAAAGTACTCCCGCCCACTTTCAGGGTTTCCAATGGGCCGAAGTCCAGACTGTGGTGGGAAGGAACGTCAAGTGACTCACGCAACAGGATGGCTCAGCCAGGCTAATTGCAGTGGCCCAGTCTGGTGGTGATGAAAGTGTGTATTAAGGTTTCCGCAGCAGGGGAGTAGGTAGAGGGTGAAGAGTGGGGGACCAAGCACCGATCCCTGGGGACACCTTGGAGGAGTGGGGCAGTGGAGGAGGAGCACTGGTTGATATGGATGAATTGTTGACGGTTGGAGAGGTATGATGAGATCCATGAGAGTGGGGAGCCAGTGATGTGGAGGTCGGATGATAAACGGTTGAGGAGGATTGAGTGGTTGATGGTGTCGAAAGCGGCAGACAGGTCCAGGAGGAGGAGGATGGTTAGTTGGTTAGAGTCAGAGGTGAGCAGGAGGTCATTTGTGATTTTTAGCAGTGCTGTCTCTGTGCTGTGCTTGTTGCGGAATCCTGATTGGAACGGTTTGAGCAGGTTGTTGGATTGGAGGTGGGCTGTGAGTTGTGAGGCGACGGCATGTTCTAAAATCTTTGACAGGAATGGTAGATTGGAAATGGGGCAGGAATTGCTGGGACATTTGGGGTCAAGGCCAGGGGTTTTTTATCTCTGGAATAAAATCTTTTAGTATGTTTTTTTTTTTGTTTTTTTTCCTTTTTAAGAGAACACACTGTCACTATGGCACAAATTCTCTATGGCAATGTTAAATTGTTTTGTTTTTTTAGTCAGTTGACTTTCCACCAGATTTTGATGTAGTTTTTCCTCAAAATTCAAGACTACTTCACTGGTCTACACAGGAGAAATTTTAAATTTCATGCAGGCCATCCAAGCAAATTTACCCACCCACTATGTATATTGCATGTGTGTTGCCAACATCAAAATTTAAATTTCTTTAAACTTTATTAGTTTAGGTTTTAAATTCCAATTCACTTAGTTCATAGCTACCTTTTTTGACTGTGTTTTTCTTAAAAATCAATACAACTTTGCGGGAGCAATTCCAAGTTTCAAGCAGGTGATCCATATATGTTGTTGCCTCACGGGGCGTTCACACCAAGTGCAAGTAAAATCATCTACTCACTGAATTTGCGCATATCTCGACGCATAAATGAATAGTAATTACTTGCTTCATTCGCGCGCATAACTCATTTAATTCACAAGAATCAGATTCACATGTCAACAGAGTACTTAAAAGCTGTAAGCCATTTATGTTCATTTCAACAGTGATCCTTACCAATTCAACCGGCGGGATCAAGTGATAGACATCAGTTTTCCTCACTCACTTTCCTCCAAGTCAGCTTGTTTTATTCCTGTTTTTAATTTTAAAAAAGCTGTGGATACGGCAAGAGAGGGCGAGAGTCTCCATCAAGCATGGCAGGAGTGAACCATGTTCAGCGGATTGCTGTTTTGCTTTTGCTGTGGAAGGTCCACAACCGTTGGAGATGTAGGTGCCACCATGTAAGGGTCTCCTCCAATAGCTGCACCTGGGTGATGGCTGTTTCCAGCGGTATTTTCGGGTTACCCGAACCCAATTTGATGACCTGTTGGTGAGGGTCAGTGCCAGGATATCCCTCCAGGATACCAATTACAGGTGTTCTATCGCAGTTGCAGAGCGGTTGTCCATCTGTCTACTGTGAGTGGAACCTTTGTGCTGATTGGTCATCGTGATGCAAATATCCGCTTGAGTTGAGACATTTTTAACTCTCACAAATTTGTGTCTGCTCAATTCACACCACCTAATTTACATCATATGCACCGCCAGAGTAGTATGAGCATCTAATCACATCTTTGCATTGAGTTAACATGTAATTCATTTGCACGAGTGATTTATCCCGCTTGGTGCGAGTGCCGCATAACAGGTATATCTTACTGCTCACTGCTTGGCGTATTGTCTTCTTATTATTCTACACATCTATGACACCTATGGTTCATGTCCACTTTGATGGATCACAGATGTAAGTCAGGAGTAAAGCCTGTGCATATGGCTTCAAAGTAATGGTTAGTATTAGTACAAAATGTAATTCAAAACTATCACACAAATACCAGCAGTATTTAAATATCTGTGCAAAACGGGTTGCACATGTGAATGCAAAAGCTCAAATATTCACCTGCACTGTATCACCTCCCAGCACTACAAGACATCAGGTTGGGCCAATTTCTGATCCCTGAGAACCAGGAAAAAAACCTCAAGTGAGTGAAAGAGGATGATAATGTCACTATAATGCAGCTGGTGCAGTTGATCAAGAAAGCATGTGTAAAACAAACATGGTTCAAGATCTTTAAAGGTATGGAGACACAATTACAAACCTAGTACCTTGGGTAATTTTATGTAATTTTATCAATAATACTAATAGAATTGAATAAATGGATTTATCAACAAGTAAACAGTGACAACCAAAGCATCCCTTTTTAACCCCTAACAATGTGTCAAACAAATGTGGCTAAAGGAAACATCTGAGTATTTCAGGGGTAAGCTGTTTTCAAATGTCTGTCTTGACCTCTGTTTTCTCTCTTTCATGTGCACTAGATGAAGGGAAAATACAGTTTTTGCAAATGTATGCAACACAGTAATAAGTACCGCCAACTTTGCACGAGCAGCAGTCAAACACATTTGTGCAGCAGAGATACTCGCCCCTCAAAAATAAGACAAAACACGTACAAGGAGCTGTCATTCTCATAGTGTGTTTTAACACCCCAGAGAGGAGCAGGAACACTGTGAGGAGAAAAGAGTCCAGATCATCTACACCTTCAGCATCAGCCCTGCTGCAGCCTGCAGGGAAACATCATGACTGGGTTTATCCTGCATGAAAATACAAACCTGATTAAAGTGCAGGAATAAAAAGAAGAGAGTGTGAGAGAGGAAAAAAGATGAGGCTGTGTTTACAGTCCAGCAGAAATAAATCTGACTTATGAATTAGTCTTTTCATCCACAACTGGACACAGAAAACGGATCTCATAAGACTGTTTCTAAAAATACTCACTGGAAGGAGCAAAAGGTGTGTTCTGAAATCACAGCTGCAAGCACACCAAGCTCGGCAGATGTGGACGGGAACAGAAGTCAAGGTAACCTGACATAACAGTGATCATACCTGTCACTCACATTTTCACACCTACACATGCACACAGACTTTCTGAATTTCTAACGGTGAATGTCGCTCTGCAGAACGGACACATTTCTTCTGGATTATTCTGTTGTACTAACATTCATGTTGCTCTAATTTATGTGTTATCATATATTTACGTTGCATGACCACTTAGTCACCATGGAAACACTTTCAAGAGCTGAATGCTTTAGAAAAATAGGGAAGGAAGAAAATAGGGCTTATAGCTCTTAGAGGTTTTGTGTGTGTGTGTGTGTGTGTGTGTGTGTGTGCGTGCGTGCGTGCGTGCGTGCGTGCGTGCGTGCGTGTGTGTGTGTGTGTGTGTGTGTTAGTTTATTATTTATGGCCATTTTTTTATTAGAATTTTCCTACTTCCATTTTACATTTGACATACTTGCTTTCTAGCAATAAATTTCCAAAACTGAACTAATTACATTCAAAAAATATGTTTACATTGTTATTTCCATGGCATTAAAAAAATTTCTAAGTTTGAGGAAGAATTAAAAGCCACCTCAATACACCCCCTCAGAGACTCATTCCTTTTTCCCCATCAATGTCTCCTTGCTCCCTCCTACCTAGTCTCTCCTCTATTTTTATCCACTTTAAGACAGATATATTTTTTTTTAAGATTTCAATTTCATTTTCTCTCAAGAATACAGTTGGTCTAAAATCATAAAACTATCTAAGTTACCAAAGCCAATGAGTCTGCTCTCCATGGCACAGCTGAAAAGAAGCTGATCTGAAGCATGAGAAATCAGACAAAGCAACACATTGATGCTGAAAGGAGCTCAGCTGTGTGGAGGACAAACTGAAAGCAGTAAGATAACACACTCAGAAAAATGAATCATAGTTTATTTTTAAGTACATCTGTTTGATTTTATTCAACACATTTTTAGAATTTATGTTGTCAAATTTCTAAAAAATCAGCATAAATCTGTTAATTTTGGAAACCATTCATTTTAATCATTTAAAAGCTGTGAATATAGTTTAAATATGATGAGCTGTGGATCAACAAAGATTCTTTTAGTTAAAATTTATTAGGCTGTTGTACATCAGGTTTACTCAGATATTTTAGTTTGCCCATGCTCCACAGTCCAGTCCTGTAGGTGGGAGTAATGCAGCTGCCTGTTAGCGGCAAATTCATAGTCAGCAGAGAAGAAGAAGGATTTTCCCTGCCTTCCGTCCATGAGTCCATGATGATTGATACCACAGAATTCCTTTCCAATCCAATACAAAGGAAAACTGAGTCTGGTATCAGCGAATACAAATACACCTTATATGTCTGGTAAATCTAAAAAAAAGCCATAATAAATGCACAATTTTATCAATACCCAGATTTTTAAATATTCATTTAACAGTTAAAGGAAAATGACTGATTGTAAATAACAATGGAAGAGTTTTATAGATAAAATGTTGTCCATTTTCTTATATACAGAATATTTTTTCTAAATTCACTTTGACTGTTTTATCACAATTGCTCTTCATAATTTAATGACACCTAGTCTGTGTTATCCACTTTAATGATCAATTTTTTACAAAAGTTTATTTATAAAGTTTATTGGCTATTTCATGTTAAATCTAAGTGATTTAAATGGATGGAAATTTTATATGCGATTGAAATGCATAAATCTCATGAATCAGGCCAAAATTTTTCTGAGTGCACCTTTGTGATGTTTCCTCATCCCTAGAGAAGCTCTTGAAGTAAACTGAAAGGTCTTGCAGTCCTTTTTGCTGTCCAGAGTCCCTCTGCTTTAATGTTGCTGCATCTGTATGTTGTCCTCAGTGTCACTTTTGGACAAACTCAGCCTTGTTCCAAGCCAGCACAGAAGAAAAGACTGCAGCTGCCAGAGACTTTAAAGCATATATGGGTTACCTGTTGCCTAGCAGCCATGCTAATTTAATCAGCCTTATGTTAGTTATTTAGTTATGTTAAGGATCAAGATGTTGAAACTCTTAAGGTGTGTTATTGATATTTCCTGTGACTCAATGTGGCACACAGTTTATATAATTTGATTTTCATCTCTGGCTTTTTCATCAGTCATAACACGCAGCTTTTTCATATTTTATTCTTAGTCACCTGCTAAGAACCTTTTTGCTTTTTCAATAACTTTCCGTGAAATTACAACAGAGTCCTCAAAAAACCTGTTGTCAGGAAGGTTCTTGGTCAGGAGCGTTGCTCCTCGGATGTTTGTTGACCTGCTGTGTTAAGTAACTGTCCTGAGTCTGCTATGTTACACAACTGAACTATCATCTGAGGTCTTGAAGAGGATGTCAGAGGAAAGCAGCAGGAGCTGGTCAAGAGGAGGAAACATTGTGGTCAGTGGAGAGAAGCTGCAAGAGGTAAGGTATGCTTGCCTTGCCTCTATCTAGGTAGGCAAATGCTCATCACCCTGAGGACATAGTTAATATACATCTTTGACACTTACCAATAGACCAGCAAAGATCACTGGGGTTTGTGCAGTCCACAGCCAAACAATTGAAGTAGACAATAGCAGATAGAGAAATTTCAGTGACTGCTATGTCACTATTTTGGTACATTTTCTCTCTCTGGTAAGATGTAAAGCAGGAATTGCTTTGGTCAACAGGGGCCTCATGTATCAACGCTTGCGGCGCAAGAAAACCTTGCGTACGCCAAAATCGGCGCACACGTCCAGATTTATCATCGCGAAACGAGCGTCGGTTCCAGCGCTAATCAACGCGGAGGTGTCAGGAGGTCAGGAGAAGTCAGGAGGTGGTGTAGAAATTGGCGTTGAGCAGATACTTGCGTTGACTGTGATTCGCACTTTGGCGACGCTGTGTGGCGGTGTTTGGTGACTCACTATGTGACAAGCGTGCACCACATCCCCGTGGCCGGGCAGCACGTCGCCCCACATGACGAACCAGCAGCAGACGGAGGGATGCGAGCTGATCCCTGCCGGGCCCGCCGTCCTCGCGCGGGAGAATCTCATCGCCACAGTGTGAATGGGTAAGAAGTGAATACACAGTTCAATGAGCCAAATTAATGTATTTTCTCCACCAGACGCTCGAGGAAATTTACGAGCCGGTCCAGCCGCTCGTTGATCCCCGCGATCCCCCTGATGATTTCTTCCTGCGATTGCAGGACCCCCTCCGCGAGGACCCTTCCACTGCGTCCGGGTGGTCCAGCGGAAGCGCCGCGGCTGGTGGACGCTCCACCGCTTGTCGGCGCGCTGGTGCTGATGCTGGTGCTGGGGCCGGGGGCCGGGGTGGCCCGAATGCCGCTGGTCCTGGCCGACGACTCCGAGCCGGCGGACGGGCTGCCGCGGGCCAGGGTTCCGCAAGCCGGCGACACGGCCGACATATTGATTTCTGTGACACAATAAAAATATTTCTTTATTTCAATTCCTGCTTCTGTGTATCTGTTGCGTTTACATCTCTCTCCACGGTATCATAGGTAATGTAATCCAGTATTTCAAGGTCAGTTATGCACATTACAGTTGTTTATTGCATAAAAAGTGATCGAAAAATGAAGTTAAGGGCGAAGTATAAATCACGTCTAAAAATAGACTGAATCCCGACGTTGAAATGAAGGATAAACTTAGACTAGACGTCTAATATACGTCTTTTGCTCAGTGGGATGACAAAGCATGTGGACATTTGTGTGACACGCCACTTACCCTATAATAATAATCGCCACCACCCGCTGCTCAAACGGTGTGAGGGTCTCCTCCCACGGACCCCCACCTGTCTGGCCGGTACTCCTCCGGAGGGCAGCTGTACGCCGCTTGACCTCCACCTTGAGGTCCGACCACTTTTTTTTAATCTCCGCGGGGGTGCGTGTCTCGGAACCCACCGCATTCACCCTCTCGCAAAATTTCTCCCACTCCAAGCGTTTTCGTTTTGCACTGACGCCACTGGACAGGCTGCCAAACAAAACACGCTGTCGCTCCTCCACCTCCGCCACCAGCACCTCCACCTCGCACGCCGTAAATTTAGTTTTTCTTGTCATTTTGTCTGCGTGCGAGGACAGGGAGACCCTATTTAAATAAATCTGCATATTTATAGGAGGGCGTAACGGGGACGGGCCCAGTCACTCCGACATCTGCGCTCAATTCCACGCTGATTGGGATTTATCAAGGAAACACACGTGGATTTCGGCGCCCGCACACATTGATACATACGGATTTTTTTCAGCGTGACGGACCTTGCGTGCGCTCGTTTCTGGTATGAGTTCCACGCAAGTGTTGATACATGAGGCCCCAGAGCTGTCATTTTATTTATTTATTTTTTTACAAAATAAAGCCCCTCTACTGCCTCTTGAAATACTCCCTGAGAATCTTAAACATGAAATAAAGGCTGCCCTGAAACGTCCAGTTTGACATAGTTGCAGTCGTTCCTACTAACAATAAAGAAACAATTTACTTATTCACTAATGATTTTGTTTGCCTTCAAAGGTCAAGAAAAGGCATCGGCATCAATTTCAGTCAGTTTTACATCAGAAAACAAAAAAAAAACAAATGCAGCTTAAAGCTTCAAAGCACACAGGAATCAGAGGCACTGTAGCTTTTATTCTTTTACTGTCTGCATTTTATTCTACAGTTTCTAATGTACAGCACTTTATTTGACTGTTGTCTTTTAAAGGTGCTTTATAAATAAACATTGACTTGACTTGACTTGACTTGACTTCAAAGAAGTTTTTAAAACTTTCCTTTTAATATGTTCAATGTGTATTTTACTATCCAAATGTAACCCATCTGCATAAACATAGGAAGCAGGGTGGAGAGCTTGAAATATTTAGGCTTCATTGTGGGGGAATGACTGTATGACTGTGAGGCACCAGTTGTAAAATTGTGCACACCAAAAATCACAACAACATTTCTTCACAGTAAGCTTTAAAACATAAAAAAGTTATATACTATTACTGGTAAATGCTAGATGTTTGAAATAAAGATCAAATATAAATGTTACTGTTAAACTTAAACCTTCAAGTTTAATTTAAGTCTACTGTTTAATATTAATCTAAAAGTCTGATTTCAAGTCAACATTTTAAAGGTTAACACTTGGAACCAAGTTGGAGCTACCAAAATAAAAGTTTATTGATGCTGAAGCTTGATATTATTATCACCTTGTTCTGCCCTGTCCCAGGATAAACTTTATTTATGGGCTTAGACTATCTTACCAGGAAATTCACTTCGCTGGTAAGACAGTCTATTTTGATTTTTATTTCATATTAGATTTCACGTTTAACTTTTGTATATATGTTCAACACTTAGATTTTACAGTTAAAGTTGTCTCTCATAGTCTATAGTCAAAACTTCATTAAAGGGTCAACATGTGAATGTTGAAAAACTACAGCACATAATTTGTCAAAGGTAAATTTAATGTCATACAGGCCAATTTAAAGCTTTCAATGCATATATATACTGCAGGTAAAGAACAACTTGTACTGCACATGTTCCTGTATACATTTATGTGTGAAGAGACTGCTCCTTTTCACAACAATGGATTTTGCCCTCTGATATAGACTGCACCAGTATTACACTACTATCTCATCAAGCGGATATCCGTGATAAGCATGGTGGGGGGAAAAAACAACAACACTGACGATCTCAGTGACGACAAGAATAAGACCACTGACGACAATTCCTGCGGAGATTACAGTAAACCAAAGCTGATAACAAACAGAGACTTTGTTCCCCTGCTTCTGTTTCTGAAAAGCTCCTCATGTGCTCCCTCTTACCGACGCCAGAGAAGATTAAACTTTTACTTACTTTTGCTGCTTTGCTGCTGATTTGATTTGAAATTACATAAAATGTTGCAACTGTGATTTAATTTGCTATTTGTGTTACTGAACTGAGCAAAGAGAGGCCATTAAGTGAAAAATAAAACTCTCAAAATATGGTGTTCAAGCAGCTGTGGCTCTTTGTTAACATGGTGCTGTATTTTCAGGCCCCAGTGTTTGTGTTGCTGAGAGGTTTTATGTGGGCAGTAAGCCTCTGATCTCTTAACATGTCTAGACTTTCGCCAACATTTTACAACAAAGTCTTAGAAACAACAAAAATAACTCACATTTAAAACATTACAGGAATTTGTCAGCAAAGTAGTTATGTAAACGCTCAAAGTTTTGTGTACTGTAGGTTTCTGACCTACAAAGCTCCTCATGGCCAGGCACCATCATATCTGAAGGCCATGTAGTTCCCAATCACCTCAGTAGATCATTGTGCTCTCAGTATGCAGGCCTGCTAACTGTACCAAAAGTCTCAGAAAGAGGAGAGAGTCTCTGAGCTCCATCATGCCGTAGGTACCTCTGGATCACTGCTACAGATGTTTCTCTGCTGTGCACCTGCCTGCTCTCCAGCTGCTTCAACTATGTGGCTCAGTCTCCCCTCTGCCCATCTCCCTCCATCCCCTCTCTAAACCTAGTGCATTAGCAACAGATGACTGTCTTACATGAGTCAAGTTCTCTCTACATGGTCCCCTTTTCAGTTGGTTATGGCCAGTGTTGGGAATAACGCACGACAAAGTAATGGATTACAGTAACGATGTAACTTTTTGGGGGGTAACAAAGTAAAGTAAGGCACTACACAAAAAAATCAGAAGCTTAATTGCTTAACTAAACAATAGAAACGCGCCTTTCTGTGTTACATCAGCTGTGTTTCCCTGTGTGCAAAGTTCTGATCTGTTGAAGTGGTTCATGCATGCATGCTGCTTGTTCATCTGTGACAACAAGCAGGGGTTTGGTGCTCATAAGGATCAATTTAATCTTTTTTTACTTTTTCTTGATATTGAGCCTTTGGACTATTGTCCAACTTGTCTCTGTACACTCTGACACTCTTCTTTTGTTGGATTCATTTTTCTTGGGGGTTTTTTTTCTCACTTTTTTCTCCCTGTCTAATGTAAGCTAAAAGTTGTCACTACCCTATCCGTCCCAGAAACCCGATTTGTAGTGCGCATATGCAAAATGGAGGTGTGACCACCCATTGTGCACCCTTTCCAGGCTAGAATGCGCCACAACCTGGTCAAAGTCATGGATCTGACTTTTTAAAGTATCAAGGGGGGATTTGTTTCATTTATTCTATAAATTAAAGTTTTTAACAAGAAACCTACACATTATGGACAATGAATTTCCGCATTTTATACAGCATTTCAACTACAACAATGAACTTTTCACATTCATTCAAGCCTTTTATAACTACATTGCAATTTTACAGTTAAGCTGTAGTAGGAACCGTTGATCGTGAAATTGGGCGCTATTTTCTTGACTTTCCAGGGCTCTGAGAAGCACTCTGTTCAGGAGAAAAGCATGCAGCTGGTAATAAACTGAAGCATCCATTCTGACTGAAGCGAGCTTCCTGATGCTGAAGCTGTTGAACAAGTGTCGAAGCTGTTGCAAACTGTGAGGGGCCAAGAATTGCTGAGCTGTTTCGCACATGTGCAGTACAAATCGAGTTACTGTGATGGAAAAGGTAGCGACAAAAGTTGCCTGCGAAAATGGCGTTTTCCGACTCAAAATGCATTGCGCAATAACGTGGCCTTTGAAAGTCCCATGGAGAGATCAATTTGAGTGACGCAGTTGCTGATGCAAAAGCGAGATGGAAATGGAGACGGAGGTGGACAACACACCAGCAAGTGGCGATACACGCATTACGTTCGCTTTATTAATCAAAAGGACAAAAATAATTCTGTGAAATGCACTCTATACAAAGGCAACATTTATACAATAAACGAAACGATGCGGACTATGCTCAGTGATGATTGGGCTATGATGTTTGTCCATGTACCCTACATGGCAAATGAAGAAACAGGAAAGGAAAGTAATAAGTAGTGAAGTTACTTTTTTAATGCAGTAACTAGGTAAGTAATCTCATTACAACTTACAGAAGTAAATACTTACAAGCAACAAATTACTTTTTACGAGTAACTACCCCAACACTGGTTATGGCCTGTATACCAGATGCTAATACTGCAGTCTGCCTATGCTCCAGTGTTGACAAATGAAGCCAACCCAACAGTCCATAAAACACTGCAGCCCTTCATGCATCCACTTGTGGATGGCTTGAAAAGTGAAGGAAGCCTCATAAGGTCCAACGTTACAATACCCAATTTCAGTATTGCAGAAATCAGCAGGTTTGTAGCTGTTTGCAGGGAGGCTAAATGAAATCATTTGCATGAGTAAACTACATGTAAAGTTCATACAAAGACACAAACTACTGTTCAAGACGTAGTTTGCTTCACTGGCGAGAGCTGAGAATTCTAAACACAACTGAATCATTCAGACCATGATAGTGAATCAGCTTGGAGCTTCGTATGTTAATAATGGATGTGGTGTAGTTGAATGTCAGTTCGGCTCTGTAATAAACAAATAAATAAAGTTAGTTCCTGATACTAAATTGATTGAGCTGACCTGAAAACATGTTACATAAACCTCCGTCTCTGTTTTGTATTGTTGTTGTTGTCTATCTCTGTTGTTGAGCCACAGGACAAAACCCCCGTCTAACAAAGCTTTGAATCATTTCAGGCAGAAAATATCAACCAAGGCCGCTCTGCTTTCCCACCCACATCAAAAACATGTATACAGACTGCTGTGATTACAGTATTCATGAAGTTTTCTGTCTAATTCAGCCGTGTCCAAAGTAAGTAAACCTGTAAAAACAAACCTATTACTCCTCTCTTTCCTCTTTCTAAGTAGCAGTAGGTTCTATTTTCACTCACTCAAGCATGAAAGCACTGCTCGAGTTGATAACAGCATGGGAGAGGACAAAGCATAGATTCAGGGTCTTTGTGGACACAGAAAGGGATTGTGGGTAACCCAGAGGGAGTTACAGCTTGACAAATATTTGAAGTGCAGCCCGACTCTGTTTACCTCAGCCTGAGCCTCAGGATGATGCTGCTACCTTTGAATTATGCATCACAAAGGAGGCGGAGAGCGGACAGTGTCAGGGAGAGAGAGAGAGAGGGGGATTCAAATTTGAAAAGAGTTTTACAGAGATGCTCATCATTAAAAAAAGTGTTTTATTTTTATTCCAGTATTTTACAATCATTTGGATGAGAAATTGATTTTCAGGAAACCTGAGGGAAATCAATAAAATTGATCGAAGAGGGCTAAAAATAACTCAGGCAGGACCAATCTTCTTTGTTATTAACATCAAAACACACACTGAGATAAGTCGCTCCACTCTTCTGATGAAATTTGTTGTCCAGGAAACAAGAGTGAACACACGGTCAAACTCTGAAAATGACATTTAAAGAACTCATCACAGCAAACTGTACATCTGCATTTTAGCTCATAAAATACATTTACGTCAAAACTACAAATAACAGCGATTTTTTAGAATTTGGAGACAAAATATACAAAAAGGGGACATGAGAGAAAAAAGGGCGACAAAATCCCAAATACTGAAGTCAAACCTGGAGATCAAAAACAGCCTCAAACAGGGCGGAAAGAGACCAAACTGTCACTGAGATGTGTTCATTTACAGAGTGCAATCACAGCATGACCATTAAACAAACGGGTTTGTTAGGGGGTTCATTATTGACTATGAAAAATGTATCAGTGCATCGTTGAGGGTAATTAGATTTGCACGGTGTTCATTTAATCACTGATGCCAGCTCGGATCAGAGAGGCAGACTTCATCAGAGTCTCCTACCATTGAGGAGGATCTAAACAAGTCACAGCAGAGCTACTGTATTTCTCACATCATTGCACATATTTCATATGGAGTGGATTTAATACCACTTACAAAGCTGAAAGGTCAAGAATTTAAGAGCAAAACTGGACTTCAGCTCTGTCTCCTCAAGCCGCTTTGCACATCAATATCCTGCTCCCTCAAGAGACCTACCCTGCAAGTAGGCTGTGTCCGGTCTTGCGGAACAGTAACCGGCAGGAGCAGCTCATGGATCCACAGCAGGGATGGTGCTGACCTTGTTGTTCCTGCTGATCCTCCGCTCAGGCCTGGGTTTGGGCAGTTTGGTCTGGATCAGCTCCTCTGGTGTGTTTCCAAGTGGAGGCAACAGCCTCTTTTTGCTGTTCCTTGTCTCTGGTAGCCACTGAGGCGGCAGCTCAAATGGTCCAAAGCCAAACTGGGTGGAGTCTTCGGCCTCAGTGGGGGTAGCCGGTGCCACCTGAGAGGAAGAGGTGTAAGCACATGTGTGGACTGGAGAGCCCCGGGGTGCTGTGACTGAAGGAGGGCAGTCTTTGGTGATGACCAGCCCTCCTGCTCCCTGCTGAGGGTCCTTTTTGGTGGTTCCGTCCCCTCTGAGGCTCCCCAGTCTGGACTGAGCTCTCTGGTCTTCTTTAGGGACAGTGCAGCCTCCTGATCCTTGAGAGGGGATGTCATTCTTCACTTCCTCTTCCTCCTCTTCCTCCTCAGACGGCCTGAAAATCTGCTGCTGGCCAATGTTGAACATCTCCAGCAGCTGACTCCCAGATCTCCCAGCTGTTTCCAGTCCTACAGGCTCCCCGATCACACCCTCTGCTCCTAAAGAGGCCAGACCTCCCGTGCTGACCACATTGCGACGGCTGTAGCGTCTGTAAATCCTGGCCAGCAGGTCCAGACAGCTGTGGCGAGCGGAGCGGTTTACAGTCAGGAAAAAAAGCGGGTTTGTGAGGAGGGAAATTTTTGGCAGCCAGAGAGCTGTCAGAAACAAAAAGACGGGGAGCTCTTCAGAGTCTGCTAAGAGGGTGCGATAAACCACCAAGGCTCCATAGGGGGCACTGCAGGCAGAAAAAGCCAACACCACAGCCAGCAGAGTGGCATGCAGCTCGGCCTCTCTTTGCGACACATATGGGATGGAGATGCTGTTCTGAGGAGTCCGCAGCGCCGCGATGATCACCTTCTTCTTCTGACTGGCACTGAGTGCTCTGCGGATAAGCAGCATGAAGAGGAAGACAAGAGCCAGAGGGAGGACCACCGTGGTAACGTTGTAGATCAACACGTAAACCATGTGGCCCACAGAGCGGGCGTGGTCTTCAGAGCAGGACGAGGTTACGTACACGTCTGTCACATTCGTCACAGCAAACACGGGGAGGCTCGCAACCGCCGCATGAACCCAGATATAGATGACCAGGTCTCGGGATTTTGCATCTGAGATCTTCCTCTCCAGCGGGTACAGCACAGAGTAATACCTGGACACAAGAAAAAAAAACAATGTCAAGATTTTAATGAAGTCTCAGGGATGTGCTGAACCTAAATCTTAAATTTTAAATAATTTCAATGAAGTGTCCCCAGAACTTTTTCAAATCAAGATGGCTGACACTCGTTAAAAATTCGGCCATGCAGCAGAGAAGTTTCTTGTTTATCAAACTCCTTCTCATTTACACACACAGCTACAGTCAAATCTTTTAAAAATGAAGAAACAACTGAGGAACAATACTGCTGATTTTCAGTTTGGAGAATCAATCAACCATCTGCTTAACTGTATGTCAGGCACTGCAGCCTTTTTTTTTTTATTTCAACAGATAATAACATTGTGATTTAAATTAATCTTAATCTGGAGAGGATTTTTTCCTCTACATCACTTGATGTTGTGCTCTTGCTCTGTCCTGCACTGCATAATTCTGATTTATTAATACGTTTGTTTAACAATTGTATTTATATACTTTTTTCTTTACTCTACTTTTATTTGCCGTATAAATGTTCTATTATTTTTCCCTCTTACTCTTTTGTGTTTTTTCTAGCTGACTACATTTGTGTTGCTGTGACAACTGAATTTCCCCTCTGGGTTGATTAAAATCTTAACTTAATGATCTAATCTTGACGACACTTTACTACACCTTACTTATCTTAACTAAACGTCACCAGATTTTACTTATTTGAACTTAACTTATCTAATCCTTCTCACCTTAGCCTACCTTATTTAATTTACAATCATTTGCTTTTATTTTCTTGTCACAACTAATCTTACCTTTTTTAGACTTATCTCATTTTAACCTCACATAAACTTGTCTTGTCTCTTTTTTAAATGCATCTCAGCTTATTTTGTCTTGTTTTGTCTTACCATCACTTAGGCCACTTTTAGACAGAAACGGTCTACATAGAAAACGGAAAAGTGGTGTTTTTATGCTGTGTTTACACAAAAACGTAATGTGGTTGAAAACGCTGTAATGTGCATGCCAGGTGCTAGGTGGCGCGTGTCGGTGTGACCATGCTCCCATTTAGACCAACAACGCATACGTAGAACAACTTCCGTTCTACATTAATTATTTGATGCAAATAATTCAGACACCTCCTCTGCTGAGCAGTATGATACGTGAGGATTCTGTACAGGTCGAAATTGAGCTCCTGTCTGTTCAATAATAATGACAGCGCAACTCGAATGTCTAGCATGGTTGTTGTTATTTTCAAGGAAGCTGTGCATGGCTATGATGTCATATACGTGAGCCATGGCGTCACAGGTTTGACCATTTTTAGCATTTTTGTACTTTAGACGAAAGCGGGATTAGCAGAGCGTTAACAACATTTCCACTCTGGAGGGGGTTTTCACTTTGTTACGTTTTCAGCTCCTGAAAACGCAGTTGCCATCTAAACGGACCCCCCTAAACGAAACTAAATTTCTCAGTTTTCTATGGAGACCGTTTCGGTCCAAAAGTGGCCTTTACTTATCCTAACTGGTCTTGTCTTAACTTATTCTATCTTAACTTCACCTAACTCAACCTAATTTAAATTAACCTTAACTTAATTTGTCGTGTCTTACCTTATCTGAACTTTCTCTTTTTTTCTTATTTTAACTTGGCTTATTTTACCTGTCTTGTCTTGTTTTGTCTCACTTAACTCATCTTAGCTCCTCTTATCTTCACTTATCCTATCTTAACTTACATTAATCTTAACTTGTCTTATCTTTTCTCATTGAATCTGTGTTGATAAGCTGTAACATACAGCTTTTTAGTGATGCAACAACAATTTTCAAGGTTTTACATCAGTATCAGTCAATGTGTTCCCATGTGTCAAGCTCCAGTCTGAATTTAAATCCATGTTCCCAAATAAAAGAAAAACCTGAGCTCTCTTATTTCAGTGCTTGAATTGACTGTTTCCAACCTTGTGGACGTGAGATGAATCAGAATAGAAAACTAAATTTGTTCTTGCAGTAGTAAAACAGAGGCATACGAATAAGAGACCATCTTAATCATAAAGTACAACCAAATTCATCGTTATTTTTCCCCATTAAAAAGTATATCTGAATATATCGTCTCTTAAGACATTGTGATCCTTTGAAATGATGCAACAACCTAAAAGAATGACTAAATAGGTTAAAGGACTGAAAAACCTGTGAAGTATTTTGCACTCATCATTTCAGGTTTTTCTCTCTCTTTTTCAGTGGTGCTCTACTTTACACAGAGGCTGAAATCTGTCGGGTGTTGTCAGCCCACATCTACAGATCTGTATTTCCTCCTCTCACAGCTAATGGAGCATGGAGATTGTTCTTCATCATATTGTTGTTAAGCAAAACAAATCTGGTGAAGGACTCACTCAAAACACTGGATTGTCTCTTCATCAGCACATGCCGCCATGTGAGTGTGTGTTTGTGGTGTCAGCAGGCTTGAAAATCCACACTCTCGATTAGCCTCCATGAGAATAAATAATTCATAGGATTTGATAGCACTGGCTGTATTTGTTGCTATGGAGGCAATATAATCTTTGAGGCAGAGGCTCCAGGAACACTGGGTCCGACTGCAATAATACTTAAATGAAAGCTTCATTTACAGTTATAATACTGCGCTCAGCTAAATTACTTTGATATAATTCAGTCCTGAGTGACTTTTATATGTCAGAGCTTGAAGCTTAATATTGTTTGTGTAGCTTTGCCTGTTTTCTGCATTCATCAGTTTTATTATTCCCCCTGCCCTATGTCATATCTACTGCCTGATATTATTGAAGAATTTGCAGGAAACAGCAACACATTGAATAAAACATGGACAATAGAAGCAGGTCTGTCACACCTGCTAATGCAAAACTAAGCTAAATTATATGAGCATAAAACTTTCAAATGTCAGTTTTAGTTTATTATTTGGTTGAATTGAAGAAAGTAAATACAAGCAAGAGTGTAAAGTAAAAAGTTGAGCACCAACATTATTTTTTGTGCTTTAAAGTCCCACACCACTTTTTTTTTTTTTTTACTACTTAAAGTCTTCTCACTGGTCTTTAAATTGTGATTATGACGTTTTCAGCCAAAATCACATTACCTGTGTTATTTTCACAGGATTTTCTTCTGCAGAGCTCCAGTAGCTCATGAGCAATTCATCTCTGAGTCGTGGGCGGAGACAGCGCTGCTCTGCACACTCCTCTTCATGCTAGCTTGCAGCCTAACATTGCTGGTGTAGCAGAAGTGGCAGGTAACATAGGAGCTATTCAGCTCTTGGACACTAATGTCTTTGGGGGCATGATGAAAGTTAATATCATAATTAACTTTCTTACGTGCATTGCAATCCACTTACGCACACACTTGTTCAGTGATTGTCCTCTCTATTTCTCGGGGTCTGGCCTGCATAGCGGGGCTCTGGGGGCGGAGCTCTGATTTGCTACATAGGAAATCTCACTGTATCTGAACCTGCCGTTTGGGTCTGCCAGAGATTCACAGCAATTTGAATGTAGAAATACTCAGAAATGCAATTTCGCACTCAGTTTTCTCATGATATGTCCTGTAGCTTCAGAAAAATGCCATATGAAAAGCAAGTTCTTTTGAGCTAATGTCAACAGTCTAAAATATATCCTGACGTTAATCGTCTCTTAAAAATCTTAAATATTGATACTGTGCTAAAAATAAGTAAATGAGAATACTTTGAGTCTATAGTAGTGCTGGTTTCCATGCATTAAAATAGAGGAGAGATGAAGAAAAAGAAGCAGACTGCTAGAGAGATAGCTGTAATTGGCACTTTTAAATAAGAATAGGAATAAGAAGAACTTTATTAATCCCAGAGGGAAATTCAGTTGTCTGTTGTCTCACCTAATATGTCTCTAAAAGTTATCTTCGATTTACACAAGAGTTATAAAGCCAGATGGCTGTTGGTACAAAAGACCTTCTGAATCTCTCTGTCCTGCAACGAAGAGAGGAGCCGTCCACCACCATTTGCCCTTTGGTCCATCAAGGTGTTGTGTAGTGGATGGTCCATGTTCTTGAGAATAGTCTCCACCTTCCTCAGTGTAAATTTCTCCACCACATCCTCCACTGAGTCCAGCTTGAGTCCTACCACAGAGCCAGCCTTTTTCACCAGTTTGTTAAGACGTCTTGCATCTTTGTGTTTAATGCTTCCTCTCCAGCAGACTGCAGCGTAGAACAGAACACTTGCCACCACAGACTGATAAAACATCTGCAGCATCTTACTACAGATGTCTACTGATTGGAGTCTTCTCAGGCAAAAGGGGCTCTGCCCCTTTCTGTAGATGTAGTCTATATTCTTAGACCAATCCAACTTATTATCCAGATGTACACCTAGGTATTTATATGATTCGATGTCCACTCCAAAGGTGTTCACTGGCTGAAGAGGGGGTTTGGATCTACCTAAGTCTATGACCATCTCCTTTGTTTTTGAGATGTTGAGGAGGAGGCAGTTTTTGTGACTCCAGTCACTGAAGGCTCTTATCAGATCTCTGTATTCAGCTTCTTGTCCATTTCTGATACATGCCACAATAGCAATGTCATCTGAGTATTTCTGGATGTGGCAGGACTCAGTACTGTATTTGAAGTCTGACGTGTACAGTGTGAACAGGAATGGCTCCAGCACTGTCCCTTGAGGAGCCCCTGTACTGCTCATTAATGTCCCAGAAACACAGCTTCCCAGCCTGACAAACTGTGGCCTTCCTGTCAGGTAATCTGCGATCCAGGAAAAACAGGAAGGATCCACTCCCATCTCTGTGAGCTTGTATTTGAGTATGGTGGGTTGGATGGTGTTGAATGCACTTGAAAAGTCAAAGAACATGATCCTCACATAAACCCCAAGTTCCTCCAGATGAGACAGGGTACAGTGAAGCATGTAGAGGACAGCATTATCCATTCCAATGTGTTCTTTGTATGCAAACTGCAGGGAGTCCAGTTTGTCTTTGACCTCAGACCTCAGAAGGCGTAGAATCAGCCGCTCCAGGGTTTTCATGATGTGTGAAGTGAGGGCCACTGGTCTGTAGTCATTGAGTTCAGCAGGACATTTTGTTTTTGGTACTGGCACAATGCAGGATGTTTTCCACAGAGCAGGTACCCGCCCCAGATGTAGACTCAGGTTGAAGATCTTGTGGAGAGGTTGACACAGTTCTGCAGCACAGTCTCTAAGCAGCCTTGGACACACACCATCTGGACCAGCTGCCTTCCCTGGACAAAGTCTTCCAAGCTCCATCCTCACCCCTGTTTCTGTGACAGACAAGGACTGGTGTTCTAGGAGGGAGGCAGTTGAAGTGGTTGAGACATTTGAATGAGATGGAGCAGGAAGGGGAGAAGTTGTAGTGGAGATTTGTTGCGGAGAGGAAGGTGGAGTAGCAGTTGAAGTGGGAATCTGTTGAAGAACAAGTTGAGTTCATCAGCTCTTTTCACATCACCCACCACTGGCTGTCTTTTCTTTTTACTGCTGTGTCCAGAGATGGTACTGATTCCTCTCCACACTTCACGGATGTTGCTGTGTTGTAGATTCTTCTCCATCTTCTTTTTGTACTCCAGCTTTGCCATCTTCAGTCTCCTCTTCAACTCTTGTTGCACTTGTTTGGGTTGTTCTTTGTCACCATCTTTAAAAGCTTTCTTTTTCTGGTTAAGGATTGCTTTTATGTCTCTTGTGATCCAGGGTTTGTTGTTGGGGAAACAGCGAACAGTCTTTGTCAGTATAACTGTGTCTCTACAGAAGTTGACATAATCAGTAAAGCAGTCCACCTGTTTATCAATGTTCATACTATCCACATCTGTTTCCAGTAGCACATTCCAGTCTGTTGATTTAAAACAGTCCCTTAGAGCTTCACTGGCTTGAGGTGTCCATCTTCTGATTTTGACTTTGGTCACAGTCTGCCTCAGCACACAAGGTCTGTAACAGGTTTGCAGATAGACCAAGTTATGATCTGACTTGCCCAGTGGTGGTAAGGCAGTGGCTCTGTAGGCTTCTTTGACGTTGGCATAAAGCAGATCCAGGGTTTTGTTTTCTCTGGTAGGGCAGTTCACAAACTATGTGAATCATGGAATGTCTTTAGTTGATTTGGGTGGGATGTAAACAACTATTGTTATGATATGACTGAATTCTCTGGGAACATAATATGGCTGAATAGCAACTGCCAACAGTTCAATATCTGGAAAACACAACTTCTCCTTGACAGTTCTGTGTGAAGGGTTACACCATCTCTGGTTGACAAATAAAGCCAGACCTCCTCCTTTCTTCTTGCCACTAGCTTGAGCATCTCTGTCTGACCTTATGAGAGTGAAGCCAGGTAGATCCACACTGGGGTCTGAGTTGTTTTGATTCAACCAGGTTTCAGTTAAACACAGGAGACTGCACTCACGGTATTCTTTCTCAGTCCTCACCAAGATCTCCAGCTCATCGCTTTTGTTGGGCAGAGAGTTGATGTTTCCCATGATGATTGATCGATTGATTTTTTTTTCTCACTTTTTCCCCCACAGACCGTAGAAAAAAACTACAAGGCAAAATAATGGGATTTCTATCTGCTTTGTATGGCAGAGTGGTTTTACAAATGAGTCAGTGAATTCATTGGGTGGTTTCAGAGAGTTACAAGGGTCTGTAAATGCAAAAAAAAAAAAAAAAAAAAACGTTGGCTACAGCAATTCACTGATATTGAAAAATGTAATTTTTACTTGTGAATACTTCAGTACAAAGGATGTATTGAATTGTTAAAGAGGTACTGTATATGTTCACACGTAGATATTATAAGCTAAACAACACTAAATTTGGCCAAATTCGAAAATGTATAAGTGGTAAAATGAAGAGCCGTTTGGTAGCCAAAACAGCCAGCTCTTCTTGGTGAACTGAGCCAAATTATCTGGCTCACTAAAAAGAGCCGTAAATCCCATCACTATTCTGGATTCCTGGTTACTCCTCTTGTAGTGGAGAAAATTGAAGATGAAACAACATTAATACAGAAACTAACCATAAGCAGTTGTATTGAGTTGCTGTTCTTCTCACTTCATTTTAGGAATTAAAAGTTATATTTGATGAAGGATTTCATCAGCTTGACTTAAAAACACGTGTTTATAACTGAGGGACTGTACGTGGGCAGCATCAGTCATCTCAGGATAGTTTAAGCTTCAATTTTAAGCACTGCAGGGAGGCCACTCAGCCTGGAGTACACATGCCCCACCATCGTACACAGGGTGTACATGAAGATGGCAAAAGAGCTTCTTCCCCTACTAAAAACCTCCTCAAGTTAAACACCATTTTGATCCTCCTGCTTTCTTTCATGTTGGGGGGGTGTTTTTGCTTTTCCATCTCCATTTTCAGGAAGAGGATTCCTGTAGCTGCCTCTGCCAACTGATGTATTGATGAAGCGAGCAGAGGAGTGATTTGAAACATCCACTTCTCACATGTGTTACTGTCAAATCCTGCTAGGTGAGTGGGAGGTAGCCACAAGCCCTATTCAGACTCATATTTCAAAGTCAGATGAGCAAAACACAAAGCATCACTTTTATGCTACCCAGAGTGCTCTTTTAGTAAAGCAAGAACACATAATGTCAGAATTTTCAGAGGAAAAATGGAAGAAGATTTCTCTACTTCAACACTGTGTGGATTTGGTTGGTGTGTTGGGTGTTCATTTAGCAGCAAAATAAGATTTGGGTTATCACAACAAAGAGGTGAGGGAAAACAGTACTTTAAGAGGCAGAAACCTTGAGCAAACTCGTGATCATTTATGGACAACTATCGGCAGACAGAAAGAAGGACAGATCCTGACCTGTCGAGTGCGATAGTGCTGAAGCTGAGCACAGTGACGGAGCAGAAGAGCTTCTGCAGAAACTTGATGGTCTTGCAGAACACCAGCGTGTGAAGCCACCAGCAGCAGCGAGGACTGGCCCCCAGCGCCACGTCAAAGGGGACGCATAGCAGGCTGGCGCAGATACCTGAGCATGCCAGGTTCTTGATGAATCGGTTGGTGACAGATTTGAAGACGTTGGTGCAGCAGGTGCACCACAACACAGTGGCATTTCCTACAGACACAAAGAAAGAGGAAACTTGTAAAAACATTTTTTTTTTTACTGTTAGGCTGTTGACATTACACTTAAACTCACTGGTGTCACATTTTAAAGTTACATTATGTAGAATTTAGCATTTTCTCAACACATGGAACATATTTTTGCAGGAGTTTGTTTAAAGACCCCCTCCAAAGAAAATCATGTTTTTCATGTTGTCTGTATGTTCATATGGCATTTTTCTTATGCTACAGGACATATCATGAGAAAACTAAATGTGAAATTGCATTTCTCAGCGTTTCCGCATTCAAATCGCTGTAAAACCTCTGGCAGACCAAAACACCAGGCTCAGATTCGGTGAGATTTCCTACGTCACAAATCTAAGCTCCGCCCCCGGAGCCCCACTATGCAGGCCTGACTCGGAGACATAGAGAGGACAATCGCAGAACAAGCATGTGCGTTAGCAGATTGCAATGCTCCTAAGAAATCTAATAATGATATTAGCTTTCATCATGTCCCCAAAGACATTAGTGAACAGCTCCTATGTTACCTGCCACTCCAATACACCGGCAATGTTAGGCTGTAAGCTAGCGTGAAGAGGAGTGTGCAGAGCAGCGCTGTCTCCGCCCATGACTCAGAGGCAAATTGCTAATGAGCTACCTGAGCTCTGCAGAAGAAAGCCTGTGAAAATGACACAGGTAACGTGATTTTGGCTAAAAACTTCAAAATCACAATTTAACAAAGAAGATCAGAGTGGGACCTTAAATATGTTTGTGCGAAAAAGAATATCACAATTATTTCATGTCTGATTACCTAGAAAAGGTCCTTATACCACAGAAGCAACAGGTCCTTGCTCTTGTTTCACCCCCACGTTTTCTACTGTAGCTCAGAAAGGACAAACAAGAGTGGACCACATCCGTTTTATCAATTACTGTGTGGCTGAGTGAGATGCACCAGTTTGAGCCAGTTTTTCTTATTTTGGTTCAGGAAGGCTGAACAAAACTATGAGTTGATCACGTCTTTACTCTCATAACACGAGGACTATATTTTTGTAAAACTATGACTTTACTACAACTTTTTTTGTAACAGTACTATCTACTTACTATCACTTTATTTTCTTGGCATAATGACTTATCATGAAGGAACTACAGCTCGACCTATCATTATCTCAGTAATGTGCAAAAGGATTAAAAAAAAAAATCAAATGTAGAGAGGGGGGCATTCACAAAAAGTGAAAGTTGCACGGACCAAGTGTGTGGATATCCTCCCTTCTATGTACCAAGATGGCTGAAAAATCTTTGTTTTTTTTCTGGGTCCCGAAGGCTCTGTTGTATGTAAAAAAATAAAAATAAAAAATAAAGAAAAATAATAAATAAAACCAATAATGCTTGCTTTGTTTAGCAGTACTTTGCTATTGTCCGCTTACAATTTGATTACTTTTGCCTTCTAAATTTTTCTCATCTCTCCGAATGAAAGACACTAAAAAGTTGAATAAAACCATTAGATTTTTTGGTGTGAAAACATTTTCTAACAACTAATATATTCATGATATTCATGCTGGTAAGGTCCATGAATCACCTGGAGTCCTCTGAGTACTTTTTAAGGTTTCCTCTGGGCACACCAATTTCAGTCCAAAAAGAAAAGGTTTAGTAATGTTCTGAAGGCTCTAATTAATACAATTTATTAAAGACAAATGACTAAGTAAGAAGGCACGTGTATGAATAATTTACCCTTCGTGCCTTTTCCCACTGACCTTCTTTGTGTCAAAGCACTAAATTAGATTGCACCTATACCCAAAACAGAGGCTGTGATTGAATAATCAAGGAATAAATGGACTGCATGGGCTAAGGACTTAGAAAGAAAGTTTAAAGCTATTAAAAATTTTATTAAAAATTGTGCCCAAGCTTCTTATGTTGTAGCCTTGCACCATCATAAAGCTTATTCATAAAATTGTAAAGCTTATTCAAAGATATTGGAGCTTTTTGCCTTTATTTGATAGAGACCTAGAATTTGGAGCCATGTAGTTTTTAAGACCAAACAAATAATTGAAATTTTTTAGGAATGTAGAAAGACAAAAAAAACAAAATGATGAACGTCAAATGTGATCCTACATCCATATTTCATTAAAACATCAATTTCTTTTTCTCCTTTTTGAAAGACACAATGGTCTAAAATAATTCAGCACCTTTACACATGTGAGATATTTTTGCATTCATATTTTCATTTTTTCAAGGCAATATTCTTTTATTGAAACCTTTTGCAACCTGAACTTTTGGAATTTTAATGAATACCTGCTTTTATTGTGCAGTACAGTCTTGTCATAAAGGGATATTCCGGCATAAATTTGAGTTAGGGTCAAACACACAGTAATACCCAGTTAGACACCCCCTCGAGAGATGAATGTTGCCGACTGCTTACTTCTCTAGTTATACTAACTTTAGTAACGACTGCATGAGGGATGGAAAAGGCTCGGTCAGCTTTAACCCTTAACCCCGGAAAAACCAGGAGGTTCCTACCTGAGTATCTATCTAATATCTTTAAATTTGAAATATAATTTTCCAGGTCGAGGCAAAGACTAAAACTATAACCCAAAGTGAGGGAGACAACCCTTCAGGTGCATTCAGGGACACTTTGGCATTTTGTATGTTAACACCGCTTCATAATTTGGAGACGGCTTCTTAATTAGGTTGAAAAAGGTGAACTTTTAGACTCCCTGTGGTGTGCAGACTGAAGTCAGGTCACACAGGGACAGAAGATGTCATTATCCAGCGAGTGTTAGCTGCACTCTCTTCATCACAAACAGAGCAGGATGTTCTCTCCTGAGGAAAATGGTCTATTCTTTCATAAGGTTATTTGACTCTCATGTCTGTAAATGCTCAAAAACAGGTCATCATCAGCTGAGATGTCAGTGAAAGGAATGTAGTTACAGCTAATAAAATGAAGAAAAACTCTCTGCACCAGGTTTGGTATCAAAATGAATTATCCTGGACTGGGTGTTTGAAATGTGTCCTGAGAGCTTTCAGATGGTACTGGAAGAGGCTGTTTTGATGAATGGGAACATGTTTTTCTTTACTGCTTAACCAGAGGATTTCAGGAACACATCATGTTACACAACAGCACACAGGGGGAGCATTTGGGGGAACCCTAATATAGCACTAATTAATGCTCAGCCTCTGCGGTCCGTGAAACCAACTCGCATAGATTAATGAAATTAGCACAAATAGACGTTGGGAATGCAGCATTACATAAAACCTCACATCAAGAGAAAACTGACATACAGATTCAATCAGCATGTTATGACTGAGAGATGCAGGTAGATCTGGAAGGAGCTTCCTACAGAAAATAGTCTGCAATTACTTGAGTTTATTTTATATAACTGACAATTCCCAGGGGACATCATCAAAAGGACATCAGAATCAGTTTGAACAACACATACGAAGGACTTAAATAAGGAAAAGTATTAGGAGTGTTGAGAGAAAACTGTTCATATCCTCATATATCTCTGTTTTCTCTCCTCTCTTTATTTAGGGGAGGTAGAGTGCACAATAAACCAGCAATGGTGAGCTCTTGTCAAAACAAGCTTGTCCTCTTTAAAATTGCTCCATCTGGCACTCACAAGAAATTCAACCACAACTGCCCGCACAATAGAAACCACACCGTGGAGGTCCACTATCGACAAAACCTTCCCTGCACTACTTATCTTTAACCTCTGGCCAAGCTTAGCATTTACAAACCCCTGAAGGTAATTTCAGCACAAAGAGAGCTCTTGACTGATGCTGTGTGAGGGTTCATCATAGACTAAATATAAAATGAACGCCGTCTGCCTCCTCACTGGGTGAAGCCACCCTAAGAACAGCACCCTCTGGTGACGGGCTACTGTAAAATCCCGGAAATACCGAGAGCAATTCAGCTTCAAATTTGTATAACGACGGAAGGCACGACCAAATTGTCCACAGTATATATACTCTATGGGGTTCGTCCATTATGTTTGTGGTGTGATGTTACCAGGGCTGAAATCAACCAAGGAAATTCTTGGTCGACTAAAACCCTGAATTTTTGACCAAAAATCAAGTAATTGGGGGGAGGGGGTTTCCAACTCTGACGGCAAACCCTTCTGCGGCAGGGGATGACGCTGCTCGGCGAAGTGAAAATATACTGATGTCAGCACAAGAAGGCAATTAGACACAAAAGGCTAAAATATAAATGTTCAGCAAACCACCGGACGTTGATTAACATGGACGCTCTTCAATCCTTCTGTTTCCAGCCGGTGGGTTGGGCAAATCCAAAATGGTGAAAACAAGGGGGATGTTCTGAGACAGGCTGTTACCTGTGAGATGGGGGTGCTCTGAAAACACCCCCATTAGCACTTGGTACGTTCCTTCTGATGAAATCAACCATAGAATTGTAAACTGAAAAAAAATCGAGTTGACCAATCAGAATTTTGGTCGACTCAGCACGTATCGACCAATAAGTTGACAAGTCGACTGGGACTTTACAGCCCTCGATGTTACACCCAGGTGGTGTGTGTGGGATCACAGCTCCTGCACAGTAATTAATACAGTAAAATATATTCATTTTTATATATTTTACAGCATTTCTGACTTAAACAAGATGAACTTAATTCATACCCTGCACTCTTTATATGAGATATTCTTTAAAACACGACTAGATAAGCCTTGTAGGGATTATCTTCATGTTCTTTGATTGAAAATTCTGTATGCAAATGTTACTAAAGTCTCTTTTACTCCACACAAGTACAGCCATAAGTGGCTTTTGAGCACTAAAGTTAATTTGAGTCACAATTTTCAAGGCTGTGTGTACAAACTGCTCTGCAGAACTGCAACTAATTAACAAAATAATGCAAATGTGTTCATGCAGACAACATTGGCCCCTTTATTCTCTTATCATGGGAGTTTGTTGTGTCTGTAACATCACTATGCCCCTTTGTGCATAAAATTCTCAACCAGTACTTGACAGACACCTTAGCAACCATGCTCAACCAATAAGGAGAAAGGGCAAACATTAAACATGATTGCTTTTTCCACTTAACAAATGGCAGCTGCAGGTAGCAACAAGGGGTGAACATTAAAAAAGCTTTGATCATCTGCTGCACATAGAAAAGTGTCCGTAGATCAGCATTAATGAGGACCTGCTTTCAGTTTAGAAACAGACTCGCTTGGGTGTTGAAACACGGCAGCATGTGTGAAACATCATTAGCACCATGAACACCTCCTTTGTTGCTTCACCTTGGTGTTATAGTCTGTTTAGTTTGAGTCAAACACCTTTTTATGAATGCTGAGCAAATACGAAGTGTTATCCCAGAAGGCCAGATTCTATAACTCCTCGTAGACTTCATCAGCCTGTCATTTTAGCTGCTGCTACGCTTAACAGGCACATTAATCTGATGAACAACCTGGTGATCTGTGCTTCAGGATAAGCAGTATTAAAAGTCAATACTGCACTTGGGACTGCGCTTGGCACAGAACCTCTAGTTGGTCTCTTATTAGATTCCTCATGTGTGGTCACATAAACTTGATCTTCTGATTCATGTTAATTGCTATATCTTTCAAAAGGAACACATAAAATGGAAAATTTAGTTTTTTAAAGGTGGTATATTATCATTTTATTACATTTTACATAAAAATATTGAGAGGAAATATTGGATGTCAGAGATTGCAAGTTGACCGCCATTGTTACCAATGGCCTTGTTTGCATTTGAATATCATGAAAATGCATTTATAAGAGTTTTAATCCATTTCATAAACACGTAAAAAAAAATCCTCATTGGAGCTTTAGGTGTTTCTTCCTAAAACCTTGTTCAAAAAAGTTCTCTGGAGATTTAAGGTAAGCATAAGTCTTCAGTTTCTTCTCCACAACCTTCTGTGGTGAAACACAAAGTCAACGCAACAGCACAAAAAACTGCTTTACCTCATATGCACTTGATGTGAGAGCTGAGGATTCTCCATTAGGGCTCATATTAAAAGATTTAAAATGAACATGTTTATCACCTGGTTTAGCAGTTGTTGTTTTTTTGTTGTTGTTTGTTTTGTTTTGTGGCTCATTTATTTATCTACACATACTGAATGAGAGGTCATCTTTTTATAACGCACCCATAAAGATAATGTAAAATGTGAAGTTATGCACAAATACACATAATTTAGGGCGTGGCTTGGCTCACAAGCAAGTAGACATGTTGGTATTTGTCAGTCCGCTTGTGACCCTCCTCAGCTCTGCCTTTTGACCTGGCAATTAGTTGACGGGGTCAACATTTTTTTTTTTTATTATGGTGGAGAAGCTTCATAACATCTCTTCAAAATCCAGAGAGGGGGTCACGTCACATAATACTTTTTTCATACAGCCTATTTAACCATAAAGACAAATCATGCTATTTTTCACATCAGGTTTCACTGTTTACCCTGATAAAACAGTAAATTACTGCTTCTTGGCTGTTCTCCTACCTGAACAAAGAAACAAGTTTAATGCTCAGTAAGAGCCAACAAAGATGACGCAACACTTTAAAACACTAATGCTCTGTGAGTCAGTGATTACAAATGCTTATTTTTAAATTGTACAGAAACCAAACATTTCAGAGGGATTGAATGTGTCATGCTCAACTTTGTGGAAATGGCTCGTGGGTAAAATCGTTGTCTTCATTTTGAACATTTCCAACAAACTGCTTAGATTGAAAAAACAAGTTAAGACAATGTGTGGCCTATGATAAGAGTAACAATCGGTTCAAATACCAACTACACAGTCAAATGAATAATCACTGACCTTTATCATAGCAATATACACCCCCATATATCATTTATTAAGGTTTTAAAGACTGTGAACAGTCTGCATTATTAAAGGTGTTAATAAGATTTGAACCCTTGAATACTTAAATAGCCAGGGACAATTCCACAGGAGAAATACAGAAATTTGACACTAAATCCAGCAAATTTCCCCACAGAGGTGGACAGACATGATCTCAAGCTCTCAAAATATGAAAAGAGATGTATCCTTTCATTTTCTTTATACCTTTTTGATGTTGTAAAAAGTGGTTTCAGAATAATGGGCTCGCATTAATAAAAAACTGAAACTCAGGGAAAGCCCTGTAGAGTCTCATCAGATTTATTATTCATTGTTTTTATTCTCTGGGTTATTTTTAAATTCATAGTCAGGTCGGGAGTGGAAATTGCTTTGAATTTTTTTTTTTTTTTTTGTGGTGAAGTTAGAAGAAAAGAGCTACAGTCTCTGATCAGCCATGCACCGGTCCTCATTGATCCCGATACATGGTGAAATAACGCCTTTGTAGTAGACACAGTTTGATGATGTGCAATTGCCCGGCTAAACTACATTTCAGCTTGTTTTGCGGCTGCCGGCAACAGTGCAGTGCTTGAAAAGTAGTCCAACATTTCCAGTGACACAATCTTTACTTTAATAATAGTTTGGGAAACTTCAGACTCACTGATTGCAATTATATCACAAAAAAGTTTTTTGTTTTCATGACCCACAGTGAAGCATCAGGGTGACTAACTATCAACAATAAAATAGATTCGCTGGTGCCTGACTGAGGGGCGATATGAAAGGAGAAGACAACATTCATTTTTCAGACATGTTTGGAAGGACAAATGTGCTTTTAGTCCAAACACACAGTCAACTCTGAAGTTCCTATTTGGACTGTGTATCCATCGTAAATTGACAATATTTTTATTTCTGATTTCTCCTGATTGAGCTTTTCAGCGCTCGAGTAAGTAAGGTCACTCGAATAGAAAAAGATGAATCAGTTCATTTAGCCATATGGACAATAAATAGAAAAAGCAAACAGTTTGATTCATGCTGCTAAAAGGAAATATTATGCAGTAATTAAAGACGCTCTGCTCTAACCCTGCCACATGCTGCACAGCCGGAGGTGGCACTGAGTCAGAGCAGTAGTCAGCTGGTCACTTTTTTGCCTGTTTTAGTGTGTAATCTAAATAGCCTAAATAGTTCTTCTTCAATTATTTCCAAGCTGCAAAAAGTCCAGTCTGTCATCAAGTTCGAACTTTTCAAAAAACCAGCAATCACTCCTGAGTGTTTTGTTCCATGATGAAAAAGACTCCTGATGTTAACAGTTTCACTTCGAGACAAATAACATGTTCTTACAAAGCACTTCTTTGAGATTGGAGGATTGTTTTTCTGGTTGCCAGTGAGACGTGGAGGATTTGGAAGCCAGGAGTGTTAGGGACTGATGTGCTGGTGCTGCTGTCTAACAATTCACACAGCTCCTTTCTTTATTACATCCATCACCATCATCATCACCATCATTGAGAGCAGCAGCAGCCTGAGCTTTTCCTGGCACGAGTATGAATATTTGTCTCAGAGCCAATGCTGTTTCAGCTTGAAAGAAACCCAAACTGTGTGTTTATTGCTGCCTGTGTCATCCAAATTTACGGTGGAATAAATAGCCTACACCTGTCATGTTTGTCACTACAGCTTCAACTAGATAATGACTCACTGTGCTGTCTTATCAAAAGCTTCGGTCTTATGAAAGGAGGCTAAAATAAACAAAATAAGATGGTGCTTATTCTCTAATTTACATATTAATATCAAGGTATTTAACATCCAACATATTCTGAGCAAAAAAACACAGTAAAGACAGTCAACAGATACACCAACACAGGCAACAAGATGACAAGTCCTGAGGTTGTGTCAAGTATGAAACACAATCCTCTGTCCCTGGACCGAAGTATTGCTACCCACAAAAGGCTGCAGATATCATGAACATTTTTAAAAACCATCGAAAGGCCGGCATATGTCGTGACTTTCCAGATATCTAAAGAGAAAATGAGGCTAGTAAGTATGAAAACAAGCAGATTGTGCACTAGAGCTTTTTCTGTCCTTTGCTCTAATTTGAAAACTTGGTCACACCTAAAGCTCCTTTAAAGCTACTGTGGGGGATATTTTGATTGGATATAAAACAGGCTGAAACAAGCTGCGATTCATTTTTAGGATGTAAAGAAGCAAATGAAACCATTTCAACAAGTTTGGCATTTTCTCTAATGCATTTTTTATAAAGTTTAAAGTTTCATTTATGATAAAGTTTGAAAATGGAGCTGTGGCTGCTCAGCTGACACCTGCCCCATGGCACCAATTTCAGGTATTAAAGATAACTATATAAAAATTTCAATTGTGTCACTACCGGCTTGTTTGCTTTTGTATGTCATAAACAGGCATCAGTATGAGTTTCAGTCTGTTTCATAAACATGAAAACTCCTCACAGGAGCTGTTATTAGTGTTAATCCTGTTTTAATTTCCTTCTCCTGTTCCATGACCTACTGAGCACTCTGATCATCAACAGTAGGCCCATGCATTCATGATGTCAAGAAAGATGTATAAATTTTAGTGCATATTTTAAGCCCCTGTGAGAAATTTAGGTTTAATTTCAGCCTGTGGACCAAATGTTCTTTGCTTGACTTGTTCTCTACACAATGAAGTAGTTTCTTTTGACAAAAAAAAACTCCCTCTGCTAACTTTTGGAAGTCAAATGTATAATTTTTGTGTATATTCTTTGATGACATTGTACAAACATGGTTTATTCTTCAGCTGCTCACCTGACCCCTAACCCTTCACACCAGTTTCAGGCATTACAAATAAGAATATAGAAATCATACATCTTGTCACTAATGGTCTTGTTTGCTTTTGTTAATCATAAAAAGGCATCAATGGGAATATCAGTCTATTTCATGAACATCAAAAAACTTCTCATGAGAGCTTTAAGAAATGTTCTTGTCCTTGGGCGCCACTTGATTTTTGCAAGTCTGGTGTCATTTTTATGTTACATCATGTTGCACTGAGTTGTGTCTTTTTTTACACAATTTTCAAGGCAAATTTTCAATAAGAAAGAATGAAGTAACTGTGAACTCTTAATTTGTGTCAGGTTTTGAGTTCCCTGTGGACAACAAAAAACATCTTTTCCTTTGGCTGACTTTGTCTAGATGGTGATATCTTACAATATATACTGTGCATTGATTTAAAGGCCAAACTTATCACTCACCACATAGATTTGAGAAAAGGGTTTAAAAAAAAGACTGTTTTCTCAGTGTGTTTTTGCAACACATACCCCGAGGCAGCATTTGCAAGCCTCATACATAGCTATTAAAATAAATCAATAAATCTTCTCCCTAATGATCTTTTTTAGATGACCATCAAAAACTGCTTACAGGAGCTTTAAAATGAACAAAATTACCTTCTTTTTAACTGAGGGCTATAATATCATTTTTATTTTTCATTTTCAAAAGGATAGCTTTACCATAATTCCAAGATGTAAAATAGTCATTTATGTGGAGTTCATTTAAGAAGAACAGCTTTGGATACGCCTCTCCTTCCTCATTTAGAGTCCTGCAGATTTGTTCTCCGCTGGACTTGTTGATTCCTCTCAGATAGGGTATGATTCTGTCATAAAGGGTTTTCCCAAAGGAGGGTTCCCTCGACCCAGTTTCACAGAATCAAATATTCGAGGCTCAAAGAAAACACAAACGTGGAGGTTTAGCCTGAATTAAGCATTTCTACCCCAAATGATATTTGATTGTTTTGAGTCTGTGTATTTGCACAGTGTGGTTGTTTGGGTGTTTCCACTCACCAAGAAGTGAACTGATAAGGATGAGGACCTGAATGGTGGTGGTGAAGTCCCTGTAGGCTTGTTCTCGGATGATCCTCTCCTGCTCGTCCAGCCCGGTCTCCCCTGTGGGCGGGCTCGTGCTGCTGTCCCACAGGGTCGGAGCGCTCGAGGCGTTGAGGAGCTCCAGCCTGAAATGGGCTGATGTCACATTGGACGCGGCGTCTCCAACCGTCACAGCCCGGCTTCCAGCATCCATGTCAGTTCCTGGAGTGCTTTTATTAAGAGGGCTGGCGGGTCGTCAGCAGCCAGCGTTGAAGAGGCATGCTGTGGGGGTGAATCAAAAGGGATGAAAATCTGCAGAACACAAATGATGTCAACGAGGATGCACAGGTAGGAGAGGTGAGGCGTGCAGCTGCCAGCAAGAACAAGATCTTCTGAGCAGAAACGAGTCTCTTGTATGGTGAAAAAACATGATGCAGCCTAATAACCAGACATCAAAGCAAACGGGAGTTAATCCTCTGCTGCACGCCCCAACGTTTCACGATGCAGATGCATGAAGAAAATGGTCTCAGCATCTGGAGTCCGTGCACTGAGAGGCTGGTTGGCTGACTGGATGCTGCTCCCTGACACCGGTTTCACCTCAAAGCACACTGGGTTGAAGGATGTCCAATCCAGGGGGAAAGCGTGCAGCTCCGACAAAGCAGCACTCTCAGCCCTCGCCTGTGTCTGTCAGGTTGTTACTCCTGCTGCCGCTGCCAGTCGCTCAGACTCAGGCTGTGTATTGGTCAACTGTGTGGTGTGGTGAGGGAGCCTGCAAAGTGATATCTTACTGAGCGAGGTGCAAGACTGGAGAGGGAAGGAGAGGAAAGCCCCTCCTCTTCGTACAGCACCGAGAATCTTATGAATGACGAGCATGGGAGGAGGAGAGGAGAGGCCAAACCACAGTCTGATCACTGGTGGTGCTGCTTCACAGAGAACTGTGGACCAACTACGAAGACCATCATCAATATAGATCAAGTCCAACAGAAATAACCTTTCTTTGTTCAGGTCAATCAATATGGCTTTCAGGGTAGTCAGGCTGTGTGGGGTGATTACTTAAACTGGGGTGGCATGGCTGCTCATGAAGTTTACTCTTGAAGACAACCCTGCTGTTGTTACTCAGTCTGCACTTTCACAGGAGATTGTGACATTCCTCTTTGGCCTGCTGAAAATACCAAAACAGGAGAGGACAAACCTCAATGTAACAAAACATTGTTTCAAAAATTAATACTAAAAAGCAACTTTTCACAGGAGCTCCAACAATTCATTATGAACTTCTAATTCCTGATTGATCAACACAAAAATAGTAGTTATTGCACATTTTAACTTGTGAATGCAAAACCACAAATGGCATTATTTGTGTAGGTCAGTAATCCAGTCATCTACAAATGCAATGCTCATACAGCTCCTGAGAAAAATATGTGCTGTAAATGCAAGTTTAAAGCTCCTCGAGCGCACCTTACAGTTTGTTTGGATTTTTATGCTCTCTGTAGATAAAGGTGAATACCTTACAAGTATTTTGGGATTTTTTTCAGCAGCAGCGCTGCTGTGTCTGTGGCCATGAGGATGCAATGTCGACCCGCATTCATGCATGTGAGTTTCAGATTACATGACCTTGCAATCCTTATAGACGGGATTATACAGGTTTGTATTTTGTCTCAATTTACAGTTTTTGATATTTATCTGAAAAAATAAAAATAATTGTCACAACACAGAAATTTACTCACACCTGTTATATATTTACAAACAAGATTAGTAACCCTCTTTGGTAGTTAAACTCATAGCCTGTATAGAATGGACAGAGTCTGCCTCCTTGCTAGGTGAAACCACCGCAAGAACAGTACCCTCTGGTGACAGGCTGCAGTATAGGTCATAAATCCCACCTCCTCCAGCCATTCCTATGGAGCTGTGGACAAACTAGAATTAGTTTGTGTATTCTGTGTAATTACAAATTAATTACTAATTAATTAGTTAACATATTAATTAAGGGGGGGGGGGCTTGAAGCATGCAGATGGCAAGATGCTCTTTTTTTAGCCTGTTCCTCAGGTTTGTCTTCACCTACAAATTTCCACTGTTACCGCCACTCTCTTGCTGCTCAAGGAGCTATGCTGTTACAATACGTTACCCATGCTACTCGATATATAGACCGGGTGTAAGCTTGAACGATACGATACGCTGCTGAATGTATGTAGTGGAAGCACTGCCTTACCTCTTTGCTTTTTTGTTTTATTAACAAAAATCTATTTGATTTTCCATTGAAGGTAAAATGCATCACTAATTGACAAACTTTGCAGCCAAAAATGACTTACTATTGCAGCATGCAAGTGTTCAAGTTGCCTGACAACGCCCCCCACCCCCAACAGTGATATAAGACATTACTGAACACAATATAGAATGTATAATTCTTATCAGTGATGGTCCTGTTCACTTCTGTGAATCAACTAGACAATAGTATTAATTTCAATCTGTTTCATAACCAGCTGAAAACTCCTCATAGGAGCTTTAAACCCAAGACTGAATAAAAGACCCCAAACACAGTTTTTTGTCATTATTATTGATTTTTAATAGTAATACTATACAAAGAGCTCTGGAAAAGTAGTGGTTTTAGCCTCAAATGTGAGTGAGGAATTTAATCATCTTAACTGATGTTTGACAACAGCTGTTATACTGCTCTGTACATACCCTGTTAACACTTCCGAAATAGAGGCAATGATCAGTCTACTGGGATTCAGAGGGGATGGATTCACTGACATCTCGCCCCCGTCATGCCCTCAAAATTGTTCCATGTTCTCCAGCAGATGACCCATCTTCTTTAGGCTTCTTCCTCTCTCCTTACCTTTATTATGCAGACTGTAGTGTTGAAACGTAACCGACAAAAGCTTGCATCATCAAAGCTCACTCACTCCCCTTTAAATGAGACCTGTAAAATCCAAGGTTTTGAACTCTGACTTATGAATTAGACTGCAAGAGTAGGATTTGTGTTGTAGAGATTAGTACGCCTTTGTTTCACAAGCTTTCATCATTAGAGTTCTACTTCTTCTCTGCTGTGCATCTTGTGCTGTGAGACACAACTATCCCACAACCAACTGGAAAAATCTGATGGATGTAAGTAATCTCAGCTGCCACTAGAGGGCAACATTTGTACAGATTAGTCACATCACAGAGTTCATATTAGGAGACACGTCACTGCTGTGTTTAACTGAACCAAAATGGCACTGACTGGTGTAATATGAGACAATATGATTTCAGTTTAGATGCGCAATATACATCAAGTATATGGTTGTTTGATTTTAGTGATCCCTAAAACCTCCTCTCCGGAGTTTCAATAAATACAGACATCTGCTTTCATTTGCCTGCAGCACGTCTGTCTCATGTTTGTGTCCTCTACTTGTACATTTATTTTACGTTTTTCTAAGTTATCTATCCCTGAGTCATCATGCTAACTCCAGTGTTTTTTTTTTTTTTCAGGTTTTCCAGGTTGATTAATGTGCATTAGATTCAGTTCAAAATCATGTAATTGTTGAATTTTTAGAGACCGCAAGAACTGGTGATTTTTCCTTTTAGATCAAGTTTTCTAGCTAGTTATAAATATTATCATTCAAAGTCTAAATAATATGTCAGCTCTTTTCAATCATGAACAAGATTCCCTAAAGAGTAGAGGAGTGTTTTTGAGAGACAGCTAATTATTGACTGATTCCTGCATAATAACCTTGTCATTATGAGACATTTATTTTGGCTTTCCACAGCGGTGATTAATCACAGAAATGACGGCTGCATCTCATTTCGATGTGTCTTGGTGTTGTTCACATTGGCTCACTGCTTTTTTTAGTGTTATACTTACCTTGAACAGAAGCTTGACTATCTTTATTATCTATGTTTTTGATGTTTTTGCTACGATACCTCAATAGCTGATGTACAACAACAAGAAAACTGAACAAATACTGAAGTGTTGGGTTAACAATGGCACAAACAGAAGCTTATGAAGGCAAACTGCTTCAAGATGATGACTCAGTCAGTGCTCCTTTAACAATTTGATTCATTAGAAACTAAAGCCAAGGTCAAGCATGGCTGAAGACTGCAGCTCGAAGATGGTTGATTCACTTGATGCAGCATTGCTCGTTAACAAGTGCTCTTGTTGACTAAGTGGCTCTTGAAGAACTCTTGGACTCGTTCCCATAGGTCCAGCTGAGCCTCTGAATGGGCTTTTGGCTCCCCACCAAACACCACTGGAGCCCCTACTGCTCTGTGAACGGTAGACGCACAATACGGCATGTAGGGGACTTCCAGAAAGTGACCAGCTTTCGGGTATGTCACCAGCTCGTAGGACTTCTTCCTGTGTTTTCTCAATGTTTCCACAGCTTGATTGGCAAAGATAGGGCTGTTCCAGTTGCGGTCATCTTCAGAAACAGCAAAGAGGAACTGGCAGGTAGCACGTTCGATTGGAAACAATGATTGTCTGTTCTCTTCCAAGGAAGGGTCTGGTAGGGCATCGCGTATATCCAGAAGCCCAGAGTCTAAAAATTGTATATTCTCTACGAGTGGATAGAGTGGGGGAATAACAAGGTCTTTGTAGTGCAGAGGAATCACAGTATTTGCATTGCAGGTATTAATACAGACGGTCGCAGAGATCCCAGAGAGGAAGGAAGCCATGGACAAAGCAATACCACCACTGTGAGAGATCGATATGATGCCAATGCCAGGACCTTTGACCTGCACCAAAGGAGAACTGTGTCAATAACCCATATCAGATGTACCCTCATCAATAGATAGGATGTGCTATTCACAATGTGCAGTAAAGTCAATAGTCTATGAATACACAACAACCGTGTCTTAGTTCTACAGATTTGTTTATTTTCAGGAATCTGCCTTGAGGAGATCATTTGGGCTAACATGTTGTGACCAACATAGTTGCCATCTCTCACCAGCATGTAAATGACTGATAAAGATGGCAAGCAGCACATAATCATAAAACCTGACACTGCAGCCCTATGTGTAACATTTATCTTCATTTATGACAGCAACACATGCTGCTGGCTCCACATTGGCATATTGATAAGCACACCAAAGGCATATGGTGTGTCAAACCATTTCCCACTCTTTCAATTTCACGGTCGCTTAAAAACTGAAAGAATATAGTTTTATATGAGGCACAAATAAATATAGAAAGTATCAATTTTATGAGTGTTATTAATGTTTTTTATTTTGTTTATATTATGGGGCTTTTATTTGTTGTTCATAAATAATAAACATTATGATTGAGGTGGGCACTGCGACAGTCTGATCTCATGGGTATAGGTTGCTGAGATTACAGTGTGATGCTGTGGTTTCTTTAATAAGCCTATTATCAATTGCACATTCCAATATTTTAATAGATCCTATTATAAAGATGAACATACTAAAAGATCAAAGATAATATTCTGTAGATGTGTTAGACCAGAGAAGCTTGAAAATAGGTCTTTAAGTTATATTCACAAGTTTTGAAAACATTTGAAAAACATTCAGAAAACAATCACAAAACAATTTCTGTCTTTCCTTTAAAATCATAATAAAATAAATAGGCAGATGAGATCATTTGTTTTTAACATCTCAAATCCATATAATTGCAAATGAAGTCCACTGATTTTTTTTAAGTCTTGTTACAGCCACAAAATATAGCCACTAGATGTCATCAATAGCACAGAAAATATCCCTTTACCACTGTAAGTATTAAATTACTATTGTATTCCCTTTGGGAATCAATTAAGTTCTTCTTAACTTATCTTAAAATCCTCTGTTTCTCTTCATATGTTATGTATTTATTACAATGCTGGCCAAGAGAGAATAGTTGGTAGTTTGAATGCTGTTAACTACCCTGTTTTGGTTCTCAAAACTAACCTCTGGTTGTTTCCTCAGATAAGTCACAGCCTCTTCAAAATACTCCAAATCGAGCCGTTTCGCAGTTTTTGGCAAGTCCTTGTAGCCCAAATAAGCCAGCGCCAGAACAGCATAACCTCTACTCGCCAGAAGGCTGGCTCTGGGCTCTGTAAGACCTCCACCAAATGTGTACAGATCCAGTATTCCAGGGAATGGACCCTTTCCTGAGGTAAAAAGAGAGAAAATAAAAAGATCTCTCCAATTTTTACGCAGCTTTACTGCTTCCAAAACCCTGACAGCTCACCTGGTGGGATGAAGAGGACTCCACGTATCCTTCCCTCTTGCACAGCTATCCTCTTCATTCCTTTTGTCATGTATTCTCTTTCGTTGGTTTCAGATGCTAAAAGCTCACCACTGTCTCCACTAAGTGCTTCTATCTTCACCTGTGTTGGGGTGAGCACATCCTTCTTCAGGATCTTATTATGTGGAGTCTCTGGTGCCAGGGACCAGAACAAACCCATTGGCTCCACTCCAGTGTAACTCCCTCCCAGAGAGGGTGCATGGGAGACATCTACCTGGCCAGTTTGATCTGCTTTGTACAGGGCAGATGCCTTGAAAACGACCCCTCTGTCATCGACCAGTTTGGATCTCAGCTCAATTGGTTTGTGAGGAGGGAGCCCATCCACTTTCACCTGTACCAGTTTGTCAAAGAAACAGCGAACGCTGGGTAGGATTCTCAGGCGGATCTGTGAGTAAGCCATGTGAGATCTTCAGGGTAGGTGGCCTAAATGTCCTTTCCTGTTACACAAGTCCCTATTTTAGTGAGATTATGTTGTTACTGCATCTGTGGAAGCAATCAAATAAAGTTTTCTATCAGATGTTATGCCATTACAACCATTATTCAGCCACTCCACTGAGTATTTAAACAAACGCTTAACAATGTAATGTAATGTTCTGCACGTAATTTAAAATTATTATTAAAATCATTTTGATCTGGGGCCAAAATGTAACTTAACTATGTTCCCTACACACAAAATGTATGGATTAATTAATTTGTTTACACAATAATTTATTTCTTATTTATTTCTTTTTACGCTTTTGAGGAAATAGAACAATAAATGGAGTCCAAAATTGAAAAGAGAGCGTGGGTAATTACACACAATCTAATGGATTTAAAACAGCTTTACATGATGATGATTTACAGCTTAAAAATTGTCAATTTATCTCAGACTAGTAGCGTCATAGGCCTTCATTTCAGCCCCTTTATTTAAGCCTCTGTCTCAAACATTTTGGCTTCGGTCTCTTTAAAAGCCCAAAATCTGGACTCTGCTGTTGGTAAGTATTACGGTTATTGGGGTATTCTTGTGAAAGATCAATTGGTGATGTCATGAATTGAACAACCCTGATTGCTATACCACAGCCAGAGTGGCCTGCTGTGTCATTGTGGCACAACTCAAACACAATTTTACCCCACAGTGTGACCTTGAAATGTACACGTATAAAAGCCCAATAACACTTCTATGGGGAGTATTTGTAGTGAGCTTAAAAGCATTTGTCAGTAATTGGTTACTTTGCTGTTCTTCTTCAGTGATTTGTTTTTGCATCGACAGTAGCAGCTGAATGATGAGAAATGAGACACGCTTTCTGTGATCAAAACTGTGAATCAAAGTCAAATAAAACCACACATTGTGTGAGGGGGTGGTTTGTCTCTGATTCCAGAGAAAGGGGTTGAAGAGGAGGACGTTCAGGGACACAGAAACTGGGTGAAAGGTCGGGTATAACTATGCGCTATCGTCAAAATATGATTTGACCACACAAATGTCGCAATCAACCACGTTTAAGATGTACTAATATTGTTGACGAATTCTTAGATTTGATCAAGTAGGACGTCAACATGACAGTTTTTTGACGGGAAATAAAATTCGCACGGATTGGCTTGCTCCTGGTTCATTTTACCTACATACCACGACCATATGGAAGCTGGTTTGAGTCATATAGTTAGTACATACAACAAATGTTATCTTTCAAAAGCTTTGCAGTGGCAGAAATGCATACCTGTACAGTCACACTAATTCATATGTTTGCAGAGAAAGACCGCTGGGGAAGAGGTAATCATAAACATAATGAAAACAAACGTCAAGCAGGAAGCTGCTGGGCGGGCTCAACCACTTTGACTAGTCGGGGGGGAGATCATTTTGTATGGGCTGTTTTAGTGTTTATTTCCAAACTGCGTGTGCCCTTCTGCATACTCAATTTATGTTTAAATGTTATGTGGACATACTTTTATCAAGGCTTTAGTCCAAATAGCGATTAATACCAGCTTATATTTTAATAGAAACTGGGGTTGCCCCGCCAGTGGGATGAAACTGTCCATATATTTAATATGAAACTTTCCACCATAGTTCGTTTATTTACCAAAAAACACAGCGGAGACAACAGGTTTAATGTACCTTACAGACTTTTTTGAAGAGAAGTTTTGATTTAGGAAGGTTTTTTACCCACAAGGAGACAACGCGGCCACCAGATGTCAGAAGAGGAGCAGAGCATTAATGAAGAAAGTCGGAAAAGTCAAGGTGTCCTAAAACAAGAGGTAAGTTAATATATTCTAATGCTAAAAAATGTTGTTGTTTTATATCCTTTTTTAAAAGAAAAAAACAAAACCTTTTTTTGTCAGTCATAGTTGTAATTTATATGAAATACTGGCCAGTAACTATTTTAAATTTGATTTGTTGTCATTTGGAATGGGAAAAACAAGTAATGATTTAGAAAAGATGGTGATGGTGAAATCTGGGAAAACGTTAATAGCAGAGTGCATGAGAGTTATGGAGTGTAGCATAGGCACCAGATGATCCCAATTAAATGCAATTGATCTGACTGATATATCAGTTTTTCTCTGCCCAAGATGAACATTTCATTTTGATCCCTTTACATATTAATGTTGTGTTTGGACTTTGTCCTTGCATTATTGACTTGAACACTAGAAGACAAGAACAGCACATGCTGAGACTCCTATTCACACCACATGTTCCCCCACTGGAATAGATTGTTAGATTAGATTCTGGACCACCTTGCTGCATTTATTTTCATATTAATGAGCAAAATTGTCGGACACTTGGCCCAGCTGCCTCTTGTTAATCTCCAGGGTATACCTCTTGTCTTTCGAGAGATTCTTCACAGGACTCAATGACATATCAAGGGCTACTGCAGGACTTACACCCTATTAATCATGTGTGGGCTGGCGCTGTTTTTCAAGAACTCTTGGGTTGGGAAGACTTCTTCACAAGGAGAGGGAAAGGAAGTAGACTTAGTTGTACAATACACAGGAAATTTAAGACAGGATAGGGGGGAAAGAGGAGGTCAGGTGGGGGACTAACCTTTACTGGAATTGGAGAAAGTGAAAGTAAAAATGGATGTCAACACAGTTTTGTTGAATCAATAGGCTTTGAAAAATCTTGGAAGTGGTTTGCCGATAAAACAAAATGTTCTGTCAGTGTTGCTGGGGCTCGAAATTTCTTCCCTCCTGACAGACTTTGCAAGGAATGATTCACTGGTTTGGAGCTTTGTGCCAAGAAATAACATCACAACAACAGCGTTTGACCACCATTTGGAGGACATTACTTTCTGTGAAAAAAAACAGCACTCTATGAATTTCCAGACCTCTAACATGAAAAAAAAACAATCTAAGACTGCCCTTTAAATGAAGCAGGACCTATTTTTTGTCTTCTCAAAACTTCACATCAAGCCTCCTTTAGATGCAATGGCTGCTGTGTATCTTTCATGAGTACAGAAAATCAATAATTCATTTGCTATAGAACAACTACTGCATATATGTAGACCACTTGATTGATTAAATGCTTTCCTGTGTCTAGCACCAAAAAAGAGATGTTCTTCATGGTCTGCTTCCTTTGGTGTATCTTTGCAGTCATGCACTGTGCTTTGCAAGTTGACAGTGCAGCATGAACTGTGGTTTGGTGTAAAGCAATGTCTCACTGTCCTACCACTTTGAGTGAATGAAAGTGATGTTTCCACCCACACTTTGTCTGCCTGCAAACACACCGTGTACATTTAATGCAGAACTCTATATTAATAAGAAAATAGTCCCATATACAGTCTGGATTTGTGTCGATTTATTCACTCTTCTTTTAACATTCTTGTTAAAGTGTAGATCTAATGCATATGCATACTGTGATAATGTAGTCTCTCCAGCTGCAGCAGCAACAAAGAAACCCCTACACAAAAGAAAAGATAATGTAACACCACAGCAGAGAGACCAAACAAGACTTTATCTGACATCTTGGAAGAGGTGGTTAAAGGGATAATGTTTTAATAGGTGCTGTAAGATCAGTATTTTAGTTGGATTTATCGTAAATATCTCAGCATAAATAGGAAATTATGAAAATATTTTTTTTAAATAAAAACATTAGTAAAAGGAATTATTATTGTAAATATTCAACAATGTATCAAACCCAACACCACTATCATAGGATTATTACATACAAAATGTGAGGGGAATCTTTTATTAAGGGAAACTAGCCACAATACATCTTTTTTTTTTTGTTTCACCTAAGGTATTTTTGCTGATAATTTTCTAATAATTGTTGGTACATTATTTCATTTGTTTGTTTTTACTATATATTGACCTATACCTTTATAATACCTTTATATTTTACTATATATCTAACAAATATTAGGCAAACATTGTACAAAAAACATGTACAACCTTCGCACAGGCTTACGGAAGTCTCTACATTATGAGTGTGAATAAAATTAAATAAATCTTTTAAAGGATACTGAAAGTCCATGCAACTTTAGGCTCTTCACATGTGAAAATAATGTGCCAGACTGTTTTAGTTCGGCTGTGATTTTATGAAAGTGGGGTTTTGAGGCAGTCCACTTTGGTTCCTAGATGTGTAATTTGTGTAATTTACTGAGAATTAGCAGGAGCTGAGTAATTTATATATTATTACTCAGTCTATTAATCAAAACAAGACATTACTAAATACATTAATCTGTGCTAGTCTGTCATATCTGTCCAGAATTAATTTGAAAGCTTACAGTGAAAAAATAATCAATATTGTATTGTAATCAATATTTTTATATAAAAAATGCACAGTAATACTTAAGAACAAGGGTAAATGTTTTCGGACTATTTTTCAGCAGGAAAGATAAGATACAAGACTTTCAAGGACACTTGCTTCACTGTTGGATACATGAAATCTTTATCATGATAGGAAAAGCCTTTATCCACTGTTAATTGCTCACCAAAGATGACCAAAAGAATTTTGCTGCTGAAAGGTGAACACATCCCTGAGCATATCGGACATGCTAGTTACTGTATTCTCTATTCTGATTATCAATATCTCCAATAATAAATGATAAGGACCGTTAATATTGATCTCTGTAATATTACTTTTTTATTTGGAGGTATCATCTCTGAATCGCATCAAAAACAACAGCCTAATGTATGGACGTCTTTGTCTATTCTTTTGTCTCCCTTTCAATATTCTGTGCTTTTATTTTGAAGTCAAGCCTTGTGGTTGCCTTGACACATTAGGATCCGCCCTTCCATCGGGGGTAGTCATGGAGACCGCGCGAGACCGAGGCAGCTGCTGGTAGAGTTCTCACAGCGAGTGTTTCCGCACACCTAGAATAAAGAGCAGGCGAGAAGACCGACGACGGGGAAACAACAGGGCAGCCTTTACGGAACTAAACGACAAAGATAGTATATTTCTATGAATTATCTACCCGCATTTTGTCTGGGTGTCTCCGTTTTACTCGGCCGTTCATGCCTCGATTGTGAGACGTTGAGAGGAGGGCTCGCTGGTAACCTTTACGTTGGTGAGTCTTGGCTGTTTTTTTTTTCGCAAGCTAAGCACAGATAGGCCACTACGACAGAACTGTCTCTGCCTTTCTCTTTCCCCTCTGTGTTTTTGTTGTTTTTCATTTTAAACAAGTTGTTTATGCTAAAGTAACGCGTATTGGTTTAATAACAGGAATAATGAGTTGTCACTTCGGCGTTTTGTCAACTATTTTAGTGTATTTTCAGTGACGCTGGCTTCAACGGTTAACAAACGTTAATATCTGACAACGTAATTTGTGATTATATCTGACATACCTGCAGTGTTACTTTAGCTTTGGTGGTTTTTAATAACATAATACTTTTGCTTTTAAAAAGGTGTTGTAATAATTAATTAATCAAAACCGACTGGAGTAGCTAGTCAGTCCTGTCTTGTACAGTTAACAGCTGTAGCATTACTGTATTGTTTTGTTTTGGTCATTTAACATAGCAGTTAGGAGCAGTTCAGATATGTAATAACAGTGAAAACAAATCTACTCAATAATCTCTGTTAGAATGAGGTTTTTGTCCGAAAGTGTGTGTGTGTATGTGTCAGTGTGTGTGTGTGTGTCTATGTATGTGTTCCTGGCAGCCCACCACAGTCTTTGTTTAAATAGCTCGCAGTACAGTTGCACGTGTCGAAGCGTGTGACTCCGCTTTAGAGCTGCTACGAAGGCAGATGACCACGTTTGATAGAGTTGCAGCATTACAGACGTATTCCTGAGTTTCGAGGGTGTCCTTGCGCAAATTTTCCTCCACGTTGTAATTTCCCACTCCCTCGCTTAATGTTGCAATGAAAGTTTGGAGTCATTTCCTGCTTGCTGGGAAGGGTTAGAGAGGTTGCAAAGGGTAGGGGAGACCAGATGTGAGTTCTTGTCTGTGATCATAACAGAGAGCAAGGACCTATGAAGTCAGGAGCAGGGGTGTATTCAAGGCTAATGTGCAGCCTAAGCAAATCATTTAAAGTGCTGTATGCAATATGGGGCTGACCAATGTTTACATGAAGACCTTGTGCGCTGCGTGTTGTTTTGAGAGATAAGATCCGGTACTTTGTGAAAGAATATACACTTGCATATGGCATGTTGTGCCACTCAGTCTACACAGCCCTAGCTATTAATGCGTTATGGTAGTGTTGATAACTATTTGCTATTTCAAAAGTGAGGATTTTCTTTACTGAAAACAAGAGTCCCTTTTGAGAATTTATTCATTTGCAGTGTATCCACTAAAAAGGTAAAATACTGTGGTTTACTCAGGTCTAGCAATACCTAACAACTGACTAAACACTAGTTTCTTTGTACTCAATGATTGCAGCACCTTTCCTTTCAGGATTCCTGCCAATAAGATTTTTAAGGTGATTAAGATATTGTTCAAATTTCAGAGAGTTAATTTGCTTGCTTTTGTTATTTCCTCATTCCTCGCTTTTCAGTGTGTTTCTTAATTCAGTCCAACCTTGTTGGAGTTGTTGGTTCTTTTTAAACGTTCAACAGTGTTTGCATGAGTGCCATGTATTGGTGCTTTATTCAAAGCTTTTCCTTTACGTAACTGATAAGTGTTATTTTTTTAAGTGTCACAATAACCAACTCCACTTCCACTGTTTGGATCGACTGGCTTTGTTTTTGCATATTGTGCACACTCTGGCTTCCACAGAGGGACTTGGAGATAAACAATGGGCAGCTCTAATGGTTTTCAGTTTTAAAGCCATTGTGTAGCCAAAGTGTGATTTTTTTCTTAATTCCCAGTCCAGCATTTAGGGGGCCTTTTCTGTTTGACAACATAGCTTAGAGAAAACATCTTGTGTGGACAGATAAGAGCACAGCATTTGGCTTCAATCCCAGTCAGCTTCCCTACCTTTCACCGCTGTCAACGTAACATGACAGCATTTCTCTCTGTCTTCTTTCAGACTTCTGCTTTCACTCCCCTTGTTTTGCCTTAGTCTTACTCTTTTCTCACTTTTTCTGCCTCCTTCCTTGTGGCAGTGCAGAGGGATGCCCGGGTGCTGTGGGGCTTACTACAACATAATACTTCATAACAAAGGCTCCTTTCTGTGCTGCCATGCAGAGCCTCATCTCTGGGCTCCCTCCGCAGGCCCAGGCGAGTTCCACCAGCCGCAGAGGCATTGGGGCCTATCGGGTGGAAATCTCCTCCCGGCTGTTTCTTTGGCACACTGAGTGCTCTCTGTTCCCGGACACATGCCTGCACTGCTGCTCTCCTTGGCTCCCTTTGCATTCCAGGAGCCCCGGGCAGCTGAAAAACTGCAGCAGCAGCCTGCTGGCTGGCTGGTTGTCTCAATGGCGTCTGAAGTGGAGGGTTGGATCATTTTTCCCCAGGTGGAAGACTAAACAGACAAGATTTTGCACTTTCCTTATGCAGTGGGTTGAAGCATGGCAACCAGCGTTGTCAAATGGCAATGCTGTTTTTAGCATAGTTGCAACTAATAATTACTTTCATGATAAGCTTATTTTTATTCAGAAGGTGTTGCTTCATTTGCTTGTTTCTGTAGGCAACAATCCCAAAAATAATAAAATTACAAGGATATAAACACCTACAGCATACTCAAACTAACGACACACACACTAGCGTATGTGCATAAAAAAACCCAGAAACAATTAAGCTAATGATCACAGTTATCTAACATTAATGTTTCAATCAGCTCATTAAATAGTCATTATAAAGCTCCAGTAAGGAACTTTTAGTTTGTATCGATTTTGGCAGCCCCTGTGAACAAAGTCGTTTTTTTTTGTTTTATTTTATTTTTTTTCATTTTTGATATCTTACTGTCTTTATCCTTTAGTGATGTCTTCCTACAAAAACCCCATCCTGCTGACTTTAGATTGTCAAATGTGTCATTTATTGTGTCCATTCTTTGTGGAAAGTGTAAAAAGAGGGCTGTTTATTCAGCTGCTTGGCTAATACCAACTCCCTCCACTCTGGTTTTAGGCATTAAAAGTTACAATATAAAAGTAGTCAATCTTGTCCTCAGTGGCTGTTTTTGCCTTTGTATATATAAAAAAAGGCATTAGTATGAATAACAGTCTATTTAACTGATCTGGACACAACACAGACTTGTTCCCAATTCTGTTTTTCTCAGTATCAGCCTTTTATCTTTATTTTTGCCACGGTGCTTCAGAAAAATGAACTTCAACACCACTATGTTCTGATTTACTTTATGATAAGGATGCCATCATGGTGATGTCAATCTGACCATAAGTTTGAGGTTTGGGACTTGATCCATTGTGAGGTACTCCTTCATTTCACCACAGTCCTAAACCACCATTTTTATCAGATGGATAGTCTCCCATTCGTCCAGCTTTGCTGTTTTAATTGCTGTAACTTTACTGGGCTTGAACCAAGTGATCACATGAGCTATGATGTCCAATTAAGCACAAAATGTTGACATTAAGTCTTCATATAATTTTCATAAGGCGGTGTGCCTTCTCTGAGACTGACACTGTTCAATTATTAAATGCAGTCCCAGCAACACAGAGCTGTACTTATCAGGAAACAAGGAAGTAGCTCTGCTCTTCTGTGTGGTATCAGGTTGTGTATGCACTTCATCCAACATCTGTGGTTACAGGCTGACGTGCTTCCTGTCACTGCATTCTTTTTTTAAAATCAGATATGCTAAACAGTCATCTGAATGTTTTTTCCTGTTTGTTCTTGTATTTATTTCAGTCATCTTGAGTGTTTGATAAGATGTGTTTTAATCGGCTAGCTATCTGTTTCCAGTAACACTCAGAGATCAGAGAGTGGTTACGCTGCGATAGTGGCTTATTATGTAAGACATTCAGAATGACTGTGCAGTGATACTAGATGTTTAAACATGTACGTCATACACTAATGTTGGGACCTAAGAAATAACATGGCTCCATTTATGACAGGAAGTGTTTGATTTCAAAGTTTCCTCCAGAAAAATAAGTCTTACCTTTTGAAGTTCAAACTAGCAGCATAGTCTTTAAAGTGATGTGTGAAACTCGACTTTTCTGATGAAGTCTGACAGAAAACACATGGTTGCCAGCGAGGAAGTTGACATCAGAATTTAAGGCAGTTCTGTTCTGTCACTGTCAAACTGCCTGCTGCGTTATTAATCAGTTTTGTGCTGAAACACCCGCTGTATTAAACAGATCTGCAAGAAATGGCTCTCCGGCTCTGGTAAGAGCTAATTGGAATGGTGTATATTTGTGGGATACGTAACATAAAGTTAATGACTTTCTCCTTTGTTGGAGATTCCTGTGTGAAAGCAATTAAGCTAATTCTGCCTTAGTTTTCACTTTTCAGATGTACTGGCGGGTCAATACTCTGCCCTCAGCTTTCTCAGGAGGTCAGCTGCACATTATAGATGCCATCCCAAGTGATTATTTACATCCCAGCCCGTGCGAGGTTTTGTCCTACCTTTGACTTTAGTTTCACTTTGTTATCTCTAAGACACTCATCTAGGAACAATATCTTAATCAGGGCCTATCTGTAAAACAGCCCCTTAACAGCACGGCTCGCATCCCTACATAGACAAACGAGGAAGCATCTATGGATCAAATAGCTGGCACAAGTCCCCTGCATGTGTTTTTGACCGTCTGCCCTTTGGCTCAATGCTGTACTCAAACTGTTCTGCCAAAGCTAGCTTACGTCACTCTTTCCCACTGGCCTGGGCTGCATGCAGGTATGATTTTCCGACCTATTCCTGCGGGCATCAGAAAGGTGGTGAGCTGTGTGACTCCCTGCAGTGTGCCAGTGTGTGTGTGTGTATATATACATAAATATATATATATATAGCAAAATCTGTGGTGATAAATTATCAAGATTGTTGGGTAACTAATTTACAACCAAGTAATGAATTAAGTTGTAAATATTTCTCATAAAATGTACATACAGCCGCTGTATGTAAGCGCCTACATTTGAGGCTTTAATTTGTTTTTCCTGTTTTTTGATGAGAGTACTGGGGCAAAAACAAAAGGTTCAATCAGTCAGTGTCTGTCTCATAAATAAATCATTGGTTCACAAGTGTCAGAAAGATGAGGAAAAAGCCCAGTGACCAAAGAAATGATTCCAAATATGTTTCCTTTTTTTTCTGTAATTCACCAAGGGAAAGTGCCAATAGTTCCAAAATGATAAGATGAGCCTCTTTCCATACATGTTTATACTCTGAATATCATTTATTTTGGACCTGTATGAAAGAGTAACTGTAAAGTCCTGAGGATAATTTTCCTTTCAATGGCCTTGTTTAATTACCTTCAGTGTTTTACCTCTATGGAGTATGTACATCATATTTCTGTGTGCATGTCAGGATCTTTCCCTATCACAATGGTTGCAGGTCGTCTGAAGCAGTGCCAGAGCCACGCAGCAGATCTGCAATCAAATTGGCGGCTCTCTAAGTGCAGCCATGCCATTACTGTAGCCATTAGCTCAGCAGCCTTCTGTGACTGTAATGGGCCCCCTGCCCTCTCTCGAGGATATGCTGCCTGCCAGCAGTTAGTTCCTCAGAAAAACGCAGCTACTGCTGCTTCATCCCAACCTCTCTGCTGCAGCATGCTCAAGAAGACTATATGCACCTGCATCTCATTTATGTAATGATAGTGTTTTTTCCTCTCTGTATCCGGATGCTTTTAGAAAGTTAGATCAGTTGGTATCATGGAGAGAGATTAGTGAAGAGAGGATGGGTGTTTTATTACCTGTGTTTGTGCATATGGCTGCATATTTTCTCCAAATTATGTTTGAAGATCTCTCAATATAACTCCTCATATCATCTGTCCTTTTCTCTTTTGTGTTAGGAATGCAGCATTTGATTTAGCATTGACACATTTTCTATATTTTGTAGACACTCAACACAGATACCACGTAATGTAGCAGCAAACTCAGACAAACAAGGCTACAACATTCTGTTATCTTTGACAAATACATTAATAAGTTGGCAATACTCATGGCTAAAGACTTAAGATATGTCTGGGAATTTCACTCCATTATGATCTTAATAATTAATCCATCAAACTCGATTCATTGTTACAACCTGCAGCATATGGCAGACAGTAGTTCCAGCTGAGCTTACACTTGGGTGACATCTGTTTATCACTCAACTGTAAAGTACTGCACCCTCACTATTATTAGTCTTTGGAGGCCACATAAGCTCGGCTGCTGTTCGTTTTCTATTACATACGCACACAAAATACAGATGCCGAACCAAAACCAAATGCACACAGACACATTATTGATATGCACTGCAACCCTAACACCACCAAACTGAGACTGTTTTTTCCAATAAGGAAGTTACAGTAAATGTAGCTCCTCCTCTTACCATAAAAACTCAAGCAGAATCTGCACATATTTTCGCTGTTTTGATAACCAGAAGACTCTCACCCTCCCTCGAACTCTTGCACATGTTTTAAGCCTCTCTCACCCTAATGCTTCCTCATTAGCTGCAGGGATCTGTTTCCCTGTTACATCATCTACAGCAGACTGTCGAGGCTGGTTTACTTGGTTCGATCTCAGAGGCTGAGTCAAAAGTAAAGATGGTGGGGAGATCAGATAAACTTCCTAGGTACTGCTGCTACTGGTTGAGCTGGAAATTGTGGTCGGTCTGTCTGCGTGTGTGTCAGATATACAAACAGACCACAGAGTAGGATGCAGTTTAAGGAACAAAAACAGAGAAGAGGAAACATGCACAAAGTTATTCATGGCATTATCAGTTAACCGTCTGTTACTTAATGATGTGCAGAGAAGGCCATTTCCTTTTCTCTCTTGTACAGCCTTGATAGCTTTCTCCCTCTATTCCCTGCTGTCTCTCTGTGTTGCTTTTGGTTACGTAATCCTCGCTCAATGTTGATAGTAATCCTCGCTCTCCCTCCCTCCCCCCCTTTCTTACCCTTCCTCATCTCTATGTGGCCTGAACAGGTTAAGCCGTAGAGGACTCTCGCTGGTCGCCGGGGGAAAAGATGTGCGATGGAATGGTAGCGTTTCATACGAGAGCCCCGTCCTCCTCCTCTTCCTCTTCTCCTTTAGCCCACAGGCTGGCTGCCTCCGTGCTCCTCCTCCTCTTCACCCTGCTCCCTAATGGTCACGCATCAGGTAAGGAGACACAGACCCACACACATAGTTTTTTTTATCTTTCTGTCTCTGCTCCCACATGATGCTTATGGACTTCCCCATCTCTGGTGAATTCACTGAGGTTATTTTCTCCTCATCCTGCAGGTCAGTTTGATTAAATTAGCTTCCTTTACCCTTGGTTCACTTAGGTTGCTCTCTCCCTCTTTCTCTCTTCGCAACAGCAGAGAGCTTGATCCCGCCTACTCTGTGAATCCATTCACTGCTCTAATGAGTCACAACAGTTTTTCTCCACTATTGAGTGAAACTGAGAGATGGTGTTGTCTGCGGTCACATCTCTGTCATAAGGTTTTAATCAGACATGACATTAAAAGTCCTGTGAGAGCTTTTAGCGCAGTTTGCCAGCATTGGTTATTATCTCACTGCAACCTTCAAATCAGGTTTTCAGCCCAAGAGCTACCATTGCTGCCTTGAAATGTCAGAAGTGAGGATTTCAAATTCAATTTGTTGAATAGTTGTTCGAAGTAGCACTTGTAAGTTGAAGTAAACATGGGTCATAGGGGTGTTTATCGACTTCACAGGACAAGTCGAGTTCAAAGTTGTTACTTTAGAGACATAAAATGGAGATGGCATGTACTCTCTGAACCCCTTCACTCGTGCCAGCTTCCCCTCACATTGCTCTGTGTTCCTGTCCCCTCCTCCTCGCACAAACACACACCTACACACATGCACTACCCACACAGACGTGCACTCATACATACACTACCCTCATGTAGCCAGCTCGTGAAATGTGCCAGATGTCCTTGCCACAGAGAGGAGGCGGACTCTGTGTGTGTGTGTGTGTGTGTGTGTGTGTGTGTGTGTGTGTAAGTAAGGGGTGGTTTTGGCTCTTGGATGTTTTTAAAGCCTTAATTGATTTCCTTTCTTAAACATCTTAAGTAAACCAATGTGAGTGTAAGCAGGAGAAATAGCAACAGAATAAATGTCTTCAAAAAGAGAGATAGGTGGATGGGAACAGCTGATCCTTAGTGTATCGTCACTCTCTCTCTCTCTCTCTCTCTGTCTCTCTTTCTCTCTCTCTCTGTCTTTCGCTGTCTGTCTGTGTGTGTCTTATGTAATACACATGATTCATGTAGAGCCCAGAGGGGCTGGTATCACACTCACGTTTTGCATCCAACACACACACACACACACACACTGCCTACCCATACCAAGAAAATGTGTCCTCAAATCCCCAACCCACGTGCTCTGTGCACTGTATGATTGTGTCTGTGTGTGAATGCTCCAGATATTCGTATTAGAAAGACAAAGTTTGGACCCAAAATTCTGCAGGTCAGTGCATCACAATTTTGACCTTGTATTGACCACATGTGGTGCAGGACATAGAGACAAATATGCATCTATTTTTGCATTACCAAAATGCACCTGTACCTTTAAGATAGACTGTAGAAAAGGATAGGTAGTTCTGTTGGCTCCAACACTTGGACTATTTTGGGCTGGTGTCTTTTAAACAGAGAAAGTTCTGACCTGTGTGGTCTGAATATTCTTAGACCTGGTGTCTCAACTGCTTGTAGGAACTGTTTTCATATCCGCGCCTGCTACTTTTTAATGTTGTTATGTATCCAAACATGCAATGGAACATTCCTGATGGTGCTGTGATGAATCTAACAACAATACAAAGGTTAGTTTTGGGTGTTGTCATAGCTGCATATTTCTAAGATAATACCTCCTTTTATAAAAGCATGTCATGCAGTGGTGTGTCCATGCTGAATCACAACACATACCACAACGCCACTCAGCTTTATTTATACAACACCTTTTGTACATAACAGTATGCAGTCTAAAGTGCTTCACAACAGAAAAGAGTGATATCAGTAAAAATAAATAGAAGTCGTGAATTAAAAAAAAATGAGGTCAAATAAAACAAAGTTTAAAACCAAAATAGTAATAATGATACATCTATTGTAAAATCCACGAGCTCACTGTTTTTATATTCAGAGAGTTTCAGAGTTTAGGAGCATCAAAACAGAACCCACCCTTACACTGATGTCTAAGAAACACAATAGAGGAGACTGAAGTGCATTTGGGTGTTGTGGTAAGACAGATATATTTAGTTAAGTGTTGTCGGCATAGAAATGACAATCAATGTGGTGGTGTGCAATAATATTTTGGAGTGGAAGTATTGAAAGGGAAAAAAAAAATTGCCCAAGGATGCTTTACTGAGGAACACCATAATCAAAATCATGACATAAGATCCAGCTCTGGAAAATGCTGTAAAGATGTTTGCTTCTTTGCATCTAATGAATAAACAGTATGTGACTTCAGGGTATAATAGTGTGCACAGGTTTCTAACTCTACCCCAGCATGTTAATGATGAATGAGTGCATTTGTTTTAGGCAGTTCTCAGGCACTTTAGCATAAACTTCAATATTTTATCCAATAAAGGCAACTTCCTCTAAATAATAAAACAGAATCGCCCCCTTAACAACAACAACAACAAAAACTGAAAACATCTCAAAGAAACCCTTGTAGTTCTGTTGATTCTTCAATATGATGAAACTTTGATGCTTTTTACTTTAAAACAGAGGCACTGCATGAGTGTGATCATAACATAAAAGAAAAGAACAGCACTCCAACATCTTGTGCACTACAGGCCAAAAGTTTGGAAGCAAGATCAGATTTGTAAAAAAAAAATTATAGTTTCATATATATAATTTGCAACAAAATAAACATGACTGTTGTGTAAAGAATAACTTATCAGAAGACATTCTGACTATAATAATTAGGTATTTGAGTTATTGTTGCTTAGACTTTGCTTTCTTTAAAGTAACCTCCTCTGGCTTTAACAACAGCTTGGCATATACAAGGCATTCATTCCACAAGTTTTTTAAGTTATGTTCCAGGTATTGCATTCCAAGCTTTCTTAAGTTCATTAAAAAGAGACTGCTGATTCATGGGACGCATTTTTCTGACCGATCGATCCAATTCATCCCGCACAAGCTCAATTGGAGAGGGGTCTGGAGACTTAGGGGGCCAAACCATCTTTTGAAGAACACCTCCCTCTTCTTTTTTGTCTAGATAACCCTGACAGAGCTTGGCAGAGTGCTTAGGGTCATTGTCTTGCTGCAAAACAAAGTTATGAGCCACAAGTCTGAGTCCAGATGGAACAGCATGGTGCTGGAGGATGGAGTGGTACTGTTCCTTCTTCATGATACCCTTTACTTCAAACAAATCTCCTACTCCATCACCTGCAAAACATCTCCATCCCATGGAACTACCACCTCCATGCTGAATTGTGGGTGTAACACATGGTGCTTTCAGACGTTCACCAGTTTTGTCTGCGGACATAGACTCTGCGTTTTGAACCAAACAGTTCAAACTTGTTTCTAATCATCATAAGTCCAATTTTTGTGAGCTTTTGCCCACTCATATCTCATTTTCTTGTTCTGTGGATGAAGTAGTGTTTTTTTTACAGATACACAACCCTTCAGACCAGCCTTTCTCAAACGTCATTTCACGGTTGTCAGAGATATGGGTTTTGACCTTGTGATGTTGATTTCCTCCCTTATTTGTGGTGCTGTCTTTTGCTGATCTCTCTTATTGGTGACAATGTTATGTTTATCCTCTGCTTTTGTAGTAACTCTCTTTCGTCCAGGTCTTTTTCTATCATCATAACTTCCAGGTTCCTCTAGTCTCCTTAGAGTGTAGTGGACACCTTTAGGTGTTTTGCAATTTCTCTTTCTGTGTATCCTTCTTTCCTCAATGTACAAATCTGTACTTTTGTTTCTTTACTCAATTGCTTCTTTCTAGCCATTTTTGCGGTAGTTTGTACGCAGTTGAGATTTACTAGGATTTTTGCATGCAGGCTCTCAAAAGCCAAAAAGTTGAAGTGAATAATCCAATTGTGATTTGTTTTTTTGCTTTTGCACTGAAGTTGTGACTCTTGCAAATGTTTTCAACCCTAAAACTAAGCCTTTATTATCTTTTGCTGACATTTAGCGATGGTCTGTTAACATCAATGTATATCTAAAGGATAATGGAGTAAAATGGTGCATTTCCATGAAAGCAACATCTGATCATGGAATAAATACATCCCAAAATACATAAAACTCATGCTGGATTTTTAAAAAAGCATTGTGAACAAAAACTTGAAGTTACTCCCAACTGTTCGGCCTGTAATGGCCTTGCTTCCAAACTTTTGGCCTGTAGTGTACATGAGCAGTATTTCCATCATGGAAGAATCTCTAATCTTCAGTCAGACATATCACCATGAGGACGACTCTGTTCTTCTAGCTTCAGAGTCATCATATTATCGGTGCGTGTGTTCTGTCACTGTCCTCTCCTCCTCTCCTGCTCACCATACATAATTCACATAGGTAATCCCTCAACGTGTTCCAGGGCTGGAGATTGCTCCGGAAATTTTCATGAATATGAAATTCCATCAGCGCTGACAGGCTTATCTCAAACTCGTATAAATAGCAGTGCACAGTATGAATAGAAATGATAGTTGAGAATTTACGGTAAAGCATTTGCATACCAGATAAGAAGCTGGAAACAAAAGGGACCAGGATGCAACACAGAGCAGCATCACAGCTATTTTTGCTCTGTGGAGGTTTAGTTGACTTTATTAGGACGTTTGGCCTTTTGGGAAACAAGACAGAGAGACAGGATGTAAGAAAGTAAAGGTTGTGGCCCTCTTTGCTCCAACTTTCAGTTCCATTAACAAAAAAGGAGAAGCTTCATGATCTCTGCTGAAAGGTCAGGTCTAGGATTTCTTATGTCTGTTAATGTGCTACTTTAAGAGGTTGTCACAAAGCCTTTTGGGGGCGTGCTATTTTTAGAAGCAATCACAGTCCAAGTCATGTCTTTTTTATCTGTTGTTCAGCTGTTCCATGTAAACAAGATTACCAGCAGGGTATCTGCTTTGCTAATGTAAAAGGCTCCCTCCAATTTGTTTTTGTGATTACTGGGTATGATTACATTTCTGTTTGCCATTCAGGACATTCTGCCAAAAGTAGCTACATGCTAAACAAAAACATCCTCTGCATCTGAGCAGCACAACAACAAAGCAGCACCTTGGGTTTTGTGTTTATGCACAGGATAAATGGAATCAGTCTGGAGGATTTTTCAGGGCGCAGTGTAAATATCGCTCGTTTCATGTCTTTACTGAGTCAATCTGACATCCTACTAATGTGGGCTGTATAGAGCTCAATTCCTAATATGGAGTCAATTCCTTACAGTGAGCATATGTGGTTTGTTTTCAGAGGAACTCAACCTAGACAGTGAGTCACAACTGAAAGAGTAAAGAATGGAGCTCAGAGCAACAAAGGGTCCGTTCACACAATAACACGCCGTGTTTTTGCTCAAGCAGAGTTGTATATCAGGAGTCAGAGAGGCTCAGACCATCCTTGCGGGTCCACTTAAACAGATAAACCAAGCCCTCTTCAAACCCTTTGTCTTCTGAAGTTGAGTTAATGCTGAACAGGAAAAGTGCCAAAAGTCCCCACAAACAAGCCTGCTGTGTGCTCTGTGTGGCGGTGACGTTTATGTATGTTCATGTGTGAGAACGGGAAATGGCTCTCCCCTGGGCCTCCGAGAAAAGTGGAGTCACGGGGTAAAAAGAAAGGAGCAAGGTGAAAAAGGCAAGGAGAGCATGAGAAGGAGCGGAGAGCTGCTTGTCTAATTTCCTCTGAGGTCTGTGTTTGTTTTGACAATCAGTTGTTGCACATTCTTGGCTCCACTTGAATACATATTCCTCCACCTGATGAAGGCATTGCACCAACAAGATCCCTCTGTGTTCAGCACGTCTTGCATCAGTATGTAGGACCAACCCCAAGGACACAAGGATGTTTTCTTGAAAGCCAACCCGCTCCAGGAAAAAGATTTGACGACTCCCTGTTCCTCTCTAATAACAGAGTAGACTCTGGTGGCTAGCATAGCGTCATCGCTCTTACCGCAGAGGAAAATATCTGAATGAGCTGTGCCCTTCTTTTTTTGAACAGCTGTAATCTCCGAAACTCCGGCCAAACAAAATGTTGCGTGTGTGTGTCTATAGGAAAAAAAGCCACAATCAATGGCTTTCCTTTCAAAACCCTGTAGATAGGTTACACCAACACTACAGGGGGGTACAATTGGCCCTGCGCAATTAACCGTTCAGAATTGTCCCCCAAAGTCCTTTTAGCAAGACGGTTTGGAGCCAGGCAGGAGTAAAGCAATACGTTGGCAACTGATTCCTTTCTGAAATGTGAGAACAAAGAGGGCTTTCAGGGGGGTGTTGGGAGCCACAGGCTGAAAAACCACAGCAAGCTGCAGTTCAGCTACATCACCAGTCTGCAATTAGGATTGCTACCTCACTGTGTGTGTGTTTTAGTGTGTGTGTGTGTGTGTGTGTGTGTGTGTGTGTGTGTGTGTGTGTGTGTGTGTGTGTGTGTGTGTGTGTGTGTGTGTGTGTGTGTGTGTGTGTGTGTGTGTGTGTGTGTGTGTGTGTGTGTGTGTGTGTGTGTGTGTGTGTGTGTGTGTGTGTGAGTGAAGCACAGGCCCTGTTCTATGATGTCTCTGCTCTTCTTTATTCCTTTCTTACTCTCTTTAAGGGTTTAGCCATTAGCCAGGTGAGACCAGAGCCCATTAGCAGTCGTCTGGTCCAATCCATCAGGCCTTTCTCTTTCATTACCTGTGTGTTTATCACTTGAGCCATCACTCTCTGCTCTCACCCTGTGTCATTTAACAGCTCTTTCACCCAATCAAGCCCCAAAGGGAAACTTTAAACGCTCCACCAGACCAAAAAAAAAAACAAAAAAACACTCAATGGAAACAGATACTGCAGAGCGAACAGACGATGCAAGACCACTTCATTCACTTTTAACAGTTGACCAGACAGAGCCATTACTCTGGGAAGATTGCAGGGATTGTTGTTAGCGACACAGCAGAGACTCTTACTCAGCTAATACACATCTTATATAGAGGGTAATTTTCATCCCTCCTCTGTGACAGCATTTCATGAGTTTCTTTTTGGGAGTTGCCGATGCAGGTCAGGTATCTGCGAGTGCACTAGACATGACACCATACCTTGACATGGTCGCCTTAAAAAAGTCAACTTTAGTTTCCTGTCTACTTTGCACCAATTTATCTGCACGGTGTTTATTCCAGATTTACCCAGAATTCTGGATTTTACATCTTTAAAGGGTGAGTCTGGAGACTTCAGTTGTCTTTGCAGGTTAGTTTTCAACTCCACCTTAATTTGCAAACTTTTAAAGGAAAGCAGAGTATAGGGGTGTAAAGTCCTAATCAACTGGTCAACTTATCTGTCGATATGTGCTGAGTCTAACAAAATTCTGATTGGTCGACTCAATTTTTTTCTGTGTTAATTTATAGTCCATGGTTAATTTCATCTGGAGGAACGTACCAAGTGCTAATGGGGGTGTTTTCAGAGCACCCCATTTCACAGGTAACAGCCTGTCTAAGAACAGCCCCCTTATTTTGACCATTCTGGATTCGTTCAACCCACTTGAGACCGGCTGGAGACAGGAAAACTGAAGAGCGTCCACATTAATCAACGTCTGGTTGTTTGCTGAATATGAATATTTTGGCCTTTGTGTTTAATAGCCTTCTTGTGTTTATATCAGGATATTTTTACCATGCCGAGCCACACTCCGCCGAGCTGCGTCGTCCCCTGCCACAGAAGGGTTTTCTGTCAGAGTCGGAAAAATCTCCAAACCGATTAGTCGAGTTTTGATCGAAAATTTCAGGGTTTTAGCCAACCAAGAATTTATTTGGTTGGTTTAAAGCCCTAGCAGAGTGACATATTGAGCATTTGTGTACATTTACTGTGGTGCCAACATTCTACAGAGAAGCGAAATAAGCATCAAACAACAGTTTAGATTTGTAGTAATCGTAAATATTTGGGGACATTTTGATGAGCATCATGGTTTGGCATGTCTCTGTTTCAAAGGCAGGGTATGACATTGCTGAGGTCCACACTTTGGTTATTATGTCTTCCTGTATAACAGTAGGATAGCAAAACACATATTGAGTAAAAAAAAAAAAAAGAAACAGATACCAGAAAACTACGCAATAAAGAGAAATTCTTGCTGAAAATCCCCCAAAAGACACGAAATTGATGAAACAAGGAGCTTAGGATGCAGATAATGTTCCACTAAAACATAGCTTGTAAGTGATATACTTGTGCAGTCAAAATTGGATGAGTGCGGCTGTTATCTGCTTTTCTGTCCTTTGCCACGTATTATGGCGGTTCCATGTAGGCAATGAAGAACAGGTTCAAGATAAAATACCTCATCAAAGTAGTAAAAGCAACAGTCTGATTCTGTTAGGAAGTGTAACATGAGTTGAAGGTAGTAACCTATTCTCTATCTTTTCTGCTGACCCATTTCAAGTTATTATTCTATGGCTGACTGGAACTCAGTCATAAAGGTTAATGAATATCTAAAGCAGGGAGTGGTGACATTGGCAGCATTGGACACTTCAACTGTTTGATCCGATTACACGCCATAAAGAAAGATACATAGACCTCTGGTTGTGTTTAATCCTAACTCTGTGGATGTCTCTTAAAGTCCATGCAGTCCTTATTAAGAAAGAACTGTGTAAGTTTTTGTTATTCAAAGCTTTGTTTTTCGGGCGTCTCTCCAGAACTTGAGGATTATTTTGAAGCTACATTAAGGCCGGGGAGAGATGAGGCAGTTTGCAAATTGTTTTCCAGTGAAACGTGTGTGGTTGTCTGAAGCAGCAGGCAGTCATAATGATTTCCAAAGGGCCTCATCTGAGGGACCAGCCTGCTGAGTAGAGGACATCTCTGACTAATGAGCTGCTAAATATATCCCCCAGTCTCTCCTGTCTTCTGTCGCCTCGACTTCTGTTTTTTCTTTCGTTTCTTAACTGATTCTTTTTCTTTGCCCACACTTTTTTCTGTTTTGTGCTTCTCGTGTTTTTCTTCTTTAGATTTACACTGTTGGGCTGTTTCTTGAAAATTTTGCCAAAGTATACATTCCTGTTAAACTCTTTCTTTAAAATCAGTGTCCTGTCCCCCTCTCTCTTTGTCTGTCTTGTCTCCCCCTCCTTTTCCCTGAACCTCATCTTTGTTGTGTGTTTTGTAGGCCCACTGTGATTGCAACAGTGTAGGCTTTACTTTTTTTCATTACACCGTTAGTCAACAGCGGCATCCTGTTCAAACAAGTTCATCAGCTTACACATAAGGCCGCCAGCGTCCCACAGACTGATGCCGAATTTGCCAATAGTTGAGACATCAATGCTGTGACAGACTGTGAGCAAGCATGTCAGAGCTCATGACGTGGGTACAGCATGAGTGGTTCTTGGAAGGGTAACAAATGAAATCTTCATGACAAGTTGAAGGCTTGAGGCTTATGCATGCAGCCATTTTTCTGTAGCTTTTACCAGTCTGCTAGTAGATGACTGGAAAACTGTTAAGAACTGATCTTATTTAAAAAAAAAAAATCACCCAGATCTTAAATGTAGAACAAGGGGATAGCAAATATTAGCAAACATCAGTGACCAATAAAGCTGTACTTCCTGTAGCTGTTTCACAATAAAGCTTTGCTGCTGTGTCTTGGCTCTTTCTGGGAAGCAGCAGCAATAGCAGTAAATATTTGGCTTGCATTAGCGCTGTCTTCAAACAGTAATTACAACACTTACCCACAGAAATGCTTTGGCCAGTCAGCAGCTCCTTAAGTACTCACAGCTGAATTTTTAGCAGCCTCTTTGACCAACAGTGAAGCATGGCACGTTCAGACCAAAAATAGTAAATCAGAATCAATGTGGTTATCACCTGCTGCAAGGTATCGACACTTAAAAGCAGTCAGTCATGCCTGAACTAGTCAGAGCTGTAGCAAAGCACCTGAAATTTGGTTATTGTGCTACAACAAGCAAAAGTTGTTAATCTGTCGATTCAGCTTGCAGCTGTAGATCAACGAACTTCGTATTGTCCAGGTTATCACGATATAGAAGCTGTTCTGATATTTTCCAAACATACAGGGGCTTCAGATAGTCAGTCTCAGGCAAGAAAGTAATAAACTTGATCGGAGTGACTTGCACATACTGTGCTGAAGGGAAAGGCAGGGCTGTACATGTGCTATCCTGCAGCATGAGTGTTGCTTGCCGTCATGGGTGGAGGAGGCATACAGCTGTTTCTCCTTAACAGTGTGCATTTCAGCAGAATAAGCTCCATTATCGCTGCCTTGTTTATTTTCTGACTTTTTCTGCCTCCATAGAGCCTCCCTATAGGGCTTGTAAACAAGGAGAAGAGGGGTTGACAGTCACCAACTCATAATTCTGAGCTGCTCTCTGTCATCTTTTGAGCCGGTCTGAATCACATTTGTCGCTTAATGAGTCTACAGTGCAGGCCATAGTTGCTGACTCTGGAGCCTGCGCCTGGATCTCGCTTAAAGCATGGTGTCCCTTGTTTCTTGACTCAGCTAGAAATCAGCTTGCACTGTGACTGCATCCTTCATTCTCAGCAGGATGTTCTAATTAACACAGAATATGTCCTGTCTACCTCCCATTATTTCCTGTTTTTGTTTTGTTGTGCCTGTTACCATCTCTCAGAGCGTAACCAGTCCATTAGATGCAGCGTAGAGATGTTTAGTACCCAGCTGGCTTAGCTCCACTCTAATGCCCTCTGTCCTTATTACATCATCGGTAAACAGCTCCCGGTAGCAAACAGCAGCCAAACGGCAAAGGTCTCTGTACAGACTACGCAGGAGTCCATTTGGATAATTGTGTCAGGATTTATGAGAGGCGTGCATGTCTCTGTGTTTATCTGAACCATATTATTTTGCATATTGTATTTGTATAAGCCTGTACTTTATAAATTAATCTCTGGTTTTAAAATCAATTTAGGAATAATGACAAATGGCCAGCACCAAGTATTAGACCCCTGAAAGATGTCTCTAAACTGAGAGCCTGCCTGTCCAACAGCCAGATTGTTCACATAATCAATAAGAAAGTATGAAATCTGAGCATCTCTCAGCATTCGCACGAATGCCGACTGCAGAGTTGAGTTTTTTTTTTTTTAATTCATCAATCATTGAAAGTACAACCAAAATTGGATAAGATGTATATTATTTTGCAATATCTATTCTTTCATGACAGCTATCTGTTCTAGCTTGTGTTTACATATGTAGGCTGAAGTCAGCATCATTAACTGTAGTTTTCAGCTAAGCCTGAGTCACAAATTTGAATATTCAGAACTCATGAAAATAAGATCTTACTGTGTAGTGAGGCATTATACGACTGTAGTCAGGAAGATTTCTTAGCTACACCCCTTATTTTGATATGAATAGATTTGTTTCTATAGTTTCTATTCTTTTCTGCTTCTCTACACTTTCACTGAAGAGTGGAGGTGATGTTTCTGTACTCTTTGTGTTGGCAGGAAGCCCATCAAGGCGTTGGATGAGTTTCATATCTGTGTTTGCGTCTACAAACAGTCTGCTGTGTTGGAGGTCTGGCCAGCAATATAAACAGTACTTTGTATCCATCTCATGGTGATAACAGTCGTTTGTTTGTAACCCTCTGCATTTCTGTTGGGTTTTTGACTGACTGTGGAAATGTTTCAGCTGCAGTTAAACCCTATACCTGATATCAAGCACTTTTAAAAATACTAGATTTCAGCTGTTTTCTTCTTATTTATAACTCTAAACTGCTACTGGCTGTGATTATTGTCTCAAAGAAATGTTCTATTGTAAGGCTCTTGAAGTTATGTGGACTTAATGGACTGTTGCCTTGGAGTTAAGCGTTTTTCTTCGAATTTTCTTTTCCCACAAAATGTGTGTTGGCTGTTGCTCATCCCAGCATTTCATAACTACTTTCTGAGAAACAGACATGCCCTCAGACTCAGAAAAGGGTTTTTCATACGGTACTTATCTGAATAGGCCATCTTGGAACTATTGAGTTCTACTAATGATACAATTGAGTTTAGTGGACCTCAGATTGTTTTCTGCCTTATACATGTCAACTATTAAGAAACTGGCCTGCTGATCACAATATGTGGTTTTGAATACACAGTATTGTATGAACTGAAATACAGTGTACGCCTGCTGTTGGTTTATTTTTTTTGTGCTCATATTTTCATATGCTTGTTATTTTGTTCACTGGGAACAGCTGTGGCTTAATCCAGAGCAAACACTGAATGAGAAAAGCATAAGCACCCTTTGAAAGTTAAAAGATGTATGTCTGTAGAAAGATAGAGCAGTGTGGGGCATATTACTGTGTTCACCTTTGCATACAAAACACTATTGGTGTAACTTTTTAATGGATTGGGTAGGGATGGGCGATAAATTAATATTCACCATTTATCATCAGAAAATTCCTCCACGATAAATAATTGCCATCTCACGATAAATGCTATAAATGCAAGTTGATAATGTAAGCGTGAGTGATGGACCACACAGATCAGAATAACAAACAAACATGGCAGAAGGTAATGAAGAAAAGTTTTCTGAGTAGCTTGTTACTGAATGAGGCTCCACATGAGGGATTTCCTCCAAGATTGGGGTTTAGATGAGTGCTAACAGGTATGTCTGACATCGGACAGTGGATCTGCGACTGTTCACTCTGTGCAATAAGAGTTTTCAATAAATGTTGAAAATGTTTTCACATTTCAGACTTGTTTGATGTCACTAGTTGTGGTTAAGTATCTTATTTGACTATGCCAACCGGTAAGTGCCATTCAAGAACAATGATTGTGGTGCCCTCAAGACACAATAAGTCAAAAATATCGATAGGAGTTATAATTTTTTGGGGGGACTTTCATTGTTATCACCAGAATGGCAAGACTTATTGTGATATTTTTTTTAGCCTTTATCCCCCATCCCTAGATTGGAGTATACCTGTTTGTCACCCATGCATTTGGCACCAGAACAAACAGTCAGTTACATTTGTTATAAAAAATTTTTCATAGTAGCGTAAAATGCTGGGCATATGTTGTGTCTCAGCTACAGTGCAGCAACATGCTACAAGCCAATGAACCCAATCCAGGTGAAGTGTAACCAGTACAATGATCATTTCAGGACATCCCTAGTAAGGAGATTGATAATGTTAGCATAAGGTTGTTGTGTAATTTTAAATGTCAGAAATCTGCAACAACTTGAATAAACAGTCAGCTGGCACTCGAACCCACCTGTGGTATGTTATTGTGACGCCACTTAATGTAGCGTTCACTTGACTAGAAAGTGCTGCACAGCAAAATACAATGTGATTCATTGATTGAACAAACGACATTCCACTCTCTCGTCAGTGAAGTCTGCCTGTGTGGAGACGATATGTGCTTGGTACCATTTGTTCACCCACTCGGTTGCTTGCTAAAGCAGTTGCTCCATCAAAGGTCAGCTGGACTTCATTAGGCTGATGATATACACAAGTGCTTTCACAGTCGCTGTTGTTAGGGCATAGCTGAATCATTTGAGATGTAAATATGTTATTTTCAGAATTTACTGCATCTTTTCTCATGACGATACATGAAAAAAATTCTGTAAACATATCCCAGAAATAGACGATAATTTTGCAGTCTTCCTTTTTTTCTGCTCTGTTTTAAGTCTATTCCCTTCGAGCTGTGGTGTTGTCTAAAGGACAGAACGTTCTGTGCTTTGACAGAGGACCTGGTCACCAAACTGCTCAGATTGTTAGTTAAAATAAAAGTAAAGTCAGCTTTACATCAGAGGTCATATAACTGTTTTATCCCTACAGATTTGAAATGATCTCACCTTAGAAAGACTACAAACATGTTTCTGTATGAGCCCCCCCTGTAAGCAGTGTTGGGATTATCCCCCTGACTTTCACCTTCAACAAATGTCCCAGGCTCAGCCCTCATACCTCTGTTGGCTTGCAAGTCCAGGCTGCTGAAACATGATCAGCCCACAGATGCATTGACAGTTTTTTGGGGAGGGGTGTTGTGTGTGTATGTCTGAACACATGCACGTGTATGTAGGAGGGGTCCCACACACTCTTTTGTTTTGCTCTGAAAGCTGAGGAGGAGGAATGTCTGCCTCCCAGCTGTCCTCAGCAGTGATGGTAGAGAAAAAAGGGGGAGCTCACTATTCGCCTTCGCTAACATCCACCCATCTGTTACACCGGGACAGAGTGTGTGTATGTGTGTGTGTGTTTGTGTGTATATGCTTGTATCTCGGGGTTAGAAAGAGGGTCACACAATGGGGCTCCCCCTCGCCCTCACCCACTTTGGCCTCCCATGCATATTTAACCCTTCAAATGCAAAGTTGTCTGTTGTCCTATTCAGAGGCACGCTGCTTAAATCTGCCACCGTGCCCCCTCCCTCAGTTACCAGGAACAATAGGGTGTAATGGCAGCACACGTGGCTTGCTAAATGCATTTCAACACTAAGGGGGGGAGACTGGGGATGTATCGGTGTGTTTGTAGACTTCCCTCACTCTTGTCGTGTGTGTGTGTGTGTGTGTGTAACATGAGTGTTTGCTTTTGTGTGACGCAGCTGCAGGAAGAGATGAAATGAGTTGACGACTGAGTTCTCTGGAAATTCTCCTTTTGGAAACCCACAGCTGTCTGACTCATGTCTTCTGGCCAGTTTCCTGTTTATTGAAGAAATAACACTGAGGATTTTAGAAGCTGTGTACAACATGGACACTAGCTGGCCTTTTATCGGTGCGCTTGTTTGTGTGTGTGTGTGTGTGCATGGTAGGGCTACCCACTCACAGATGACTAATTCAAGCATGAGAGGGCAGGATCCTCAGTTAGAGAAATTGCTTGTGTTTTTTAGTGGCAAATGTCCTCAGCGCAGCGTGGGAGTCACAAGAGGTCAGACTGTGAACCTCAGAAGCTGCATTTCCACCAAGCAATCTGGTTTGGTGTGGTATGACAGGGCACAAAGATGGGTGACCACACCAGACCACTTGCTGAAAACATGCTTAAAGATTCTTGATATGACCCTGTGGCGTTCAACATTATTTATCCATAGTCTCAACCTTGAAAACAAATAGACCAGACCATGACAAAATAATGGTTTGAATGCAGGGCAAAGCAGCAAAAAATGAAAGATTTTAATATTCTGTTCTTGTCAAATAGCTACAAGGGCTGTTAGCCAAGCAACTGCTAATATTGACTCGCTAGCTGACATAAATAATTTTAAAAAGTCATTTTCATGAATATAAAAAAATCTTATTTGTGCTTTAAGCAGCAAAAAACAGTTAACTTCTTATTGAACAATCAGATTGTGTCTGACTCACCAGTTCTGAGTGGCTTAAATCTCTGCTGTTTTGTAACAAAATAAGTGCCACATGTCCGATTTCTAACCGTTGAGCAAAACAAAGCTCCTTGTTAATCGGAGCACATTGAGACTCTTGCAACCTACATTTACACAGAGAGTTAGCTGTCCCCGTATACCAGACTGTGCTAAAGCTTTAGTAAAACTGTGCTGGCACCTTCCTCGCTCTGCCTCCCTGCTTCACCCTCATCCACCTCTGTCCTCTATTCCACCTCACCCAGGTTCTTCCTCAGTCTGCCCCCAGAGGCCCTGCAGAGCTAACAACAATGCTTTCTTTCTTTTTTTCCCTCTTATAATTTGGTTTCACACTTAAAGGTATCAGTTTTGATCTGCATTCTGTCTCGCTGCAGTGATACAAGTCCAGTTTTATGAGCATTTTTTTTTCTTTCCCATACCCTTTACCCTCATAGACAAACTGCTTTAGATCTCTTACAGTCAGCACTCAGCTGTTGAGATAATATGAAAGCAGAAATGAGTTGGAATATATCTGTGTGTGTGTGTGTGTGTGTGTGTGTGTGTGTGTGTGTGTGTGTGTGTGTGTGTGTGTGTGTGTGTGCGTGCGTGCGTGCGTGTGTGTAGCATGACGACTTTTCACCTGCTCAGTATAACATGACCCCAGTAGTATCACTCACCCAGACATCAAGCATCCCATGTTACGGTCCCGTGTCACCCACCCAGGCTAGCATGCATAGTTTTGTCACTGCATAACTGTGAGGTGTCTCGCACTGACATTACTGATGGGCTTTCAGGCCCTGTGAGAAAGAATGAAAGTGAGTGCAGGAAGCTTAGTCTGAACTCAAATTGGATCTCCAAATATAGCCACAAAACTTGAAGTGATTTCTTTATCAAGTTTCCAAATGATGTTTGAAAGTTTCACATTTGCTGTTATTGTTGATACATGAGACTGGAAATGCAGAACAATAAATAATAGATAAACCAAGTGGCTGCTGACCCATGCTTATCAAATATGTGGGTGTTTTGATATGTTATTGTACTGATAGGAGTTTGGGTTTTGTCACTTTCTGGTCTAGGGTCTTGGGATGAAGATTCTACATCCAGAGAGTCAGGTCCCGGGACATTTTGTTCTGGTTGTTACTCTACATTTTGAGAAAGCCTCTCTAGTTCTTACAGTGTGAATCAGTGTTTGTCTGCACTGTACAATACTTGAATAACAACAGCTTGGCATGAAAACCAAGTGGATTAAATGGAGAGATGTTGGAACAAAGCATTCAAAACACCCTCTGCCCAAAACTGACAGTAAATCATCAAAAAACAACAACAGAGGATCTGAGGAGAGGCACACAGGGGAACAAAAACATATTTACTGAGGCAAAGAAGAGCATCATCATCCCCTTGGTCTTTAGCTTAATCCAACACACAACCCCCCTTTAGCATACATTCACCCACACACAAATTCCCCCCGCTCCTTGACACTGATGAGCAGACAAACACTCAAGCTGGAAAACACACCCTCTTTTATGGCCTATTGTTTCATACTGTAGAGAGCCCAAACAGCTGGCTGCAGAAGTCATCAGTATCTGATCTGCTTTAGAGCGCTCCCAGCTTGTAATAGAGGATAATTAGAATTTTAATTTGCCTGGGCAAAGGCGGCTCAAACCCCCTTGTTTTTCCCTCCCCACCACCAGTGTTATCCTCAATCCTCCCCCCTCCCAGTTCCCAGCGGGCCAGCACCGTCGGTAACAGATGGGGAAAGGGAGATATTCACAGCCAAGCAGGCACTTCAGAGTAAGGCAGGGGATTTTAACGCCCCCCATGGCCTGAGTCTCCTCCGGCACAGCCTTAAGGCGGCGGATGTTGGGATTAGCAATCAGCCTCATGGGCGCTCTGTCCTGGCCCAGTACTCCCACTCTGTCGAGTATTCTTGCGACCTTTCAGCAATTAAGCCTTTTGATCAGCTTACAGTTGTGTGCCCAGAGGGTTTTTTATGGTTTAACCTTTTCATATGACCACTTTAACACCTTATGGTGAATAACAAAGCTTAAGCACCATTCATGTCCTTGGCAAACCCGGAATTATCTCTAATACGTCTTTGTACTCATGCAGTGGTGAATTTTGTAACTCATATTAAGTGTATTGTTCTCACCCCTTTTCCCCCTGGTTTTCACAAGGCACTTGTGACTCTGCTTTAGTCGTTATTGTTTTCGCCATCCCTGAAAAAAGCCTGTCCTCTTGAGCAAACCCTTAACGTCAGACCGGTGGGAGAACAGCTTGTGTTAAACTGTGACTCATTCCCTTCCTCATGAGCACAAAACATGTCGTTCTGACATCCATTCTGGCATTGCTCTGTACTTTTATCAGTTTTTTTTCCCTCCGTGTGTGTTTTCAAAGCCAATATTCTGTCTTGGCTGAGAGGGCGATGGTGGAAAAGGGAGGGACAGCAAGGTTATATATCTGAGGCTTTCCTCTATCTCTGGATACTGAACCAGTGTTTGCTCCTTCTTTAGACAGAGTCTCTGGAGTTGTGCTAGCCCAGCCCACAGTGTGGTATGTACTGTGGCTGACGGCTGCCTCCTCTTCCCATTGTTGCTGTACAGAGCCTCTCCCTTGCACACAGAACCAGTGGACAACCTGCCAGGACATGTCTCTTTTTGGCGTGTAATCGCTCAGGGCCACAGGGTTCCATAATGCTGATGTTTTGGTTTTTTTGGGGTTTTTTTTTTGCGCTCTCTTCATTTCTTTCTCCTTCTCCCCTCCCCCTTCTTTTCTCTATGCTTCTTTATCTAATGGTGAATACCTTTTTCTGACAGCCTTACTCTCTCTTTTAAAACCCGCCTTACTACTTTTTAACCTTGTCCTCATCTGTCCTGGCAATTCAGAGAAGCAGAGCTTGTTTTTCAAGTTGAATATATTTTCATATTTTCTTGGTGGGCACTTAGCTCCTTTGACAAGTTTAATCTCATGGGACTTCTCGAAGTTAAAAGCAGAAATCTTCACTCCTCGAAGTTTGGCACCCACTTTTAGACATTTCTTTGCCTTTTATGTTTAATCTTCATGTGAATTGAAAAGCTGTTGTGAGTTCCACTATCAGGGAGTTTGGTGCATGTCATTTGTATGAATTTGGAACAAGCAATGAAGATTTGGAACCATTTATTGTTATTTTGAACAAACTATCACTCATTCTATAGGCACAGTTTAATTGTGTCCTTATAAGAGTAAGGAAACATCGGGGAAAACATCATTAGTTTACTTGTTATGTCCACCATGCATATAAATGTTCAGTCAGCAATTGTATGTCAAAGTCATCTATAGATATCATGTTTAACTTTGGACTCAAAGGATATTCCAGGTTTGTTTGTTTGTTTTTTCCCCAGAGGTGATATTGTGCTTTTTTCATATTTTACAAATATTGAGTTGAAATTTTGGATGTCAATCGTAAAGAGAGGCAAAGTTTTAAATTGTGAGGTAAATATGGATTGGAGTAATCTTAGGATGAGACTGCATGCTGCTCTGAACAGCTTGTTCTAAAAGTTATATGAGAATTAAGCCCAATCCTTAGGAGATTTGCTCAATTCAGGACATCACCAATTGGTGAGCCTCCATAAAAGGGCAATATAAACACGACACATACCTTTTCTTTGTTGCTGCAGATTTTTAAAGTCTCTATCCAAACTATTCAGGTTTGGTTTTTGCTTTCAAAATATACACCAATATATTTTCTTTTTATTGATTATTTAAAAAGAAAAACACCAGATAATTTAATGGCGACAGTTTTGTAGCATAGCAACATTGGAGGAAGCTTCCAGAGTACTTGTCCCTGGAGTTCTGTATGTGTTTGTTTTGAAAGACACCAAACTAAGAGAAGTGAGGAATCTTTTAAGCTATAAAACATATAAAGCAACAACAAAGTTATTAAAAACACAGTTAAAGTCTGAAACACATGTAATACCCCCTCTTAAAAAAATCATTAGAAAGGTTTGTTTCTCTTTACTGAATCAGAGGTTCTTTCTTCTATGCTGCTGTGAGCTATGAACAGGATGATCAGTTTCTGTGTCATTACTGCTGCTAAATGTGAAAAGGACATGATTCTCATGATCTCTGTATCTGGTACAATGACTGATAGACTCAGTTGAACTGGTAAACTGAGCTCTTACATGTTCTGTGGTGTTGTACCTCGGACTAAAACAAGGATGTTTGGAAACCTCTGCTGTAAGAAGAGGCTGGCATCATAAGCTTTCTCTGCCAAGTCAACACAGTTTTTGTGGCAGCTTTGAATGAACCACTAGTATAAAAATGGACGTTTTACTGGCTTCATGGTTCATCCAGTCTAACCTCACTGCAGTGACCCCTTTGACCAAATCTGTCCTCTACAATTAACTCCCGGCTGGGTTAACCCTCACATAGTAATGATTTCATTGCGCTTTGTCATCTTACCCAATTCTAATGCAAGGCACCTCTATGTACTTAAATCAGTATGAAAAACACCAGCTTTGTTGGACCTAAAACTAGCATGTCTTATTGTGTATTTAAAACATCACTACAGGTTTAAACCTGGCCTTGCTTTGTGTTTAAGACAGATTGTATTGTTTATTGACCCCACTCCAGCTGAACGTCATCAGCATGTCCTTCCTCTGAGTGTATTTACAGCAGTGTACACACTGTACATTAAGTGCACTGACCGAATTCCTGTAGACTTCTGTTTGGACAAAGCTTTATTTTCAGTCATTTTCTGGACTATATTTAAATTAAGGGCACAAGAATACAGCTACCTACAGGTTTAAATTGAAATAGGTTCAAATACTCAAACATGAACTTATCTAGAATCTGTTAAACCCCTCCACAAAAGAAAGAATCTGTCTTCAGCAGTTATATTGATGGCTATGCGCACCACAAAAGACCAACACCGTAACTGCTGGGTTGAGGCTATTTTCCTAAACTGCCCCCTAAGGCCTTTTTTGTCCCCTGCTGCCTCCCAGCCCAGGGTCATCAATTCATCACCTTTAGCACCTCCATTAGCACCATCTCCCCCTCAGAGAGCCTTTAGCTGCCCTGGAGCAACCAGCCTAACAACTGCTCAGGTCAGAGTGTCAAATGGCATCCTGAAATGTGCGTGTGCAGATAGTGTTTCAGCATGTTAGAGAAGAAGCAGAAGTGTGAATGAGTGAGAACACAAGCCCTTCTTATGTTGCATCATACTAAACAAACCATCAGCTTGTGTTTCATATGACTCTTTGATTCGCCAAACTGCTGCGTCATGGTTTCATTCACTGTTGTTCAGATAAACGTGCATGTGGAGGTTATTATTATCATCATTATCATAATTGATTTTGATAACAATCCCTCTAAAAAGCTTGTGCCATGCCATTTGTTGACACTTAAATTATTGTCTGGCCAAGTTACAGCCATCACTATGGTTGTTTGAGGGAAATTTTAAGCAAACATTGCACCTCTTTTCTAGCTCTAGCTTCTCATTTCGAATCTACAGAAGCATTTTGCATTCACCAAGAAAAAAAGTGTTTTTTCAGAGTAATTTTTTTCTGTTTTGTTCTTCAAATGTTTTTTTTTTTTTTTCTCTTTTTCAGACATTTTTTTTGTTTTGTTTTGTTTTTCAGACTTCTTGTTTTTCCTATTCTCCCAAGGATTGTGATCATTTAAAAACAGACGCTTTTATCCCCCTCTGCTGGATTTATTGGAAGCAAACATGGCCCAGTTGCTTAGCGTAATCAAGTTTTACTTTCTTTGGGGTTTGAGACATTGAGAGATACTTCTTTCTTTGAGTCAGATAGATTGAATTGTCACAGGTCTGCCTCAGGATTTACATACCCTATGTTGAACTAATAACACGCTTTACTCTCATTGATCCTTTCGTCAAAGTTATCTCGGAGTTTGAATCTTCTGATTAAGAGCTGCAGTCGTTAATGTTGTCTGATTGTATGAGATTCTCGCAGGATTTTGAAGTTTCTCGCTTAGTTAGGGAAAAAATAGTCTGAAAAACAGAAACACAAAAATAGTACGCTTCTGTAAAAATGTGTTTACTTTTTTTTGTTTGTTTGTTTGTTTTATTTTTTATTTTTATTTGGCGGGGGGACCAGTACTGGTCATAATGTTAGCGCCACTTGTGCCATAAAGTCTCGACTTTCATGTCATTCGATAAGGACAATACATTTCAATGAATATTTTAATCCAAGTGTCAGCTTGCTGATTTTCAGCTCTATACCTCAGGCCAGATGTTTTCAAACCAATTAGGTGAAGAAGCATCAGCAGCAGTGAGCAGTGTTCTCACTTCTTGAGCACACTCACCAAATCTGTCCCCAGCTGGATTCAATAACACAACCTTTGGTATCACACGACTTAGTCCTGGGACTGCTTTTGTTTGTGGGTGTTGACTTTGTTTCTGTGAGCTTGTGTGGGTGTGTGTGTGTGTGTGTGTGTGTGTGTGTGTGTGTGTGTGTGTGTGTGTGTGTGTGTGTGTGTGTGTTTGGGTGAGTAGTAGACTCTCGCACATTTGAGTGTTTGCATTTAATCTTGTGCTGCCAGCTTAGAGGGACGTTTCTCTTCAGAGATTAGAGGATGTTAGAGGCGCTGCTGTGGAAATAGTCTCTCTTTCCATCTCTAAATACACACACACACACAGGCGAGACAAAGTGTCTGTTTGCAGTATTGGTTAGTGTGTGTGTGTGTGTGTGTGTGTTTATGTCAAGCGAGTGATAAGACCCTGCAATAGAGTGTGGCTAATATGTTTTATAAACACTCTGACCAAGGATTAAAGAATGAGCCATGTAGTTATTAGTTTTGATGAAGGCATTAATAATGTGCGCTCTTGTGGGTATGTTCAAATGGACTTATATCTGTGTGTTGTTACTGTAAAAAATCACTGGGCTCTGGATAATGTCATAATGAATGAAAAAGATCAAATGTACAGATAAAACCCTGAAAATCCTCCTCCTATTATGATAGATTAAATTATCTTTCATGGCCCAGATGGGTTTTAGCTAAGTGTTTATTGTGTTGGAAGCAATTCCAGTGAAACCAAGCCTGAAAGTCTTGCATAACAACTTCACAGATGAGCCAGATCAGTAGTAATAAAGTTAGTATGTCTGAGTTGCTGGTTAGCACAAGCCAGTGTTCAAAATCAGTCGAAACAAAGCCCGCCTCCTGCTGTCACGCCTGCGTTTACACAGGTGCTCTGATGTTTTGTCAGACTTGCTGGATTTAGGTTATCTGCTCTGGCCAGATTGCTCTACCGAATCTGTGTATATTTAAACATGAACGTCTGTGAGTTTGAGTAGACAGTTTTCAGAGCTGTGGGAGTGAAGAACGACTTCAGATAATTAACCCTCGAACTTCCACAAAGCACACTTAGACTCAAAGAGCTGGTGTGACGCTGCAGCGTCACAGAGCGAGCACAGGAAGATGGATCAAAGCACAATTAACACAAGGTCTCTGCCTCATCTTGTCCTCATTGGCTGGCTCAGAGTTTCAAGTCTGTCATTACAGATAATTAAATGAGTCTCCCTAAAGATCCGTGTCATTACTAGACAGACTAAACACTGACGTGGGATGTAGACAGATAATCGAGAGAAATGAGAGCTATATGAAGCTCCTGGAGATATTTTAATCCACTGTGAGCGCTTCGGACATTCCCTCTACTGCACAGCGTTGTTGTCTCAAACAAAGCCTGTCATGTTGAGACACTGCTTCACCCATGCTTGTGTAAAATGCAGCCTAGTTCCAAGTAACAATACCTCAGAGCTTTAATTATCAGCTCAACCTGTCAACTTGACAGAGTCTCCCTGCGAAAAGTTGTTTGACCCTGTGGCAGCTGCCTGCAGAGGAAAACCAGCCGGCAGTTTATGTGAGCGTAATGATGGAACAGCACAATATTGCAGCAACAACACATTAATGTAATACTAAACTTAACAGTCACGGTGAAAGTATTACAAATAGCACCATCCAGTCTTGTGATTGAGCCATAAAAAGCAGCATTATTTAGTGTAAAGACTTTGTTTATTTGACATTATATTGGTACAGAGGTTCAGGCTGCATGTGAAACAGATTGTTCTCTCTACTCCGCCAGGCTTTTAATACTTGTAAATGCTTGCATAAATTGAAATTAAAAGGCTGCATAATCCATCTACAGGTACTCTCTAACTCTTGCTGTATTTACTTACTTCCATTATTATAACCTTTTGTTCTTAAAATATGGTCCAGGATACGAGCCTGGCTGCTGAGAGTTCCTTACATAAGCAGTACCTGCTCATAAGTCCTGCCTTGAGCCCAAGGACAAGCTCTATATCTTACTTTTGCCCTGTTCCAGAAGCAAAATTTAAGGGCAGCCAACTAATTCTTATTCTCTTCACTTGTCTCTGTGTCTGCAGGTTGTGCGAGGCCACCCGGCGTACAGCACGGAGACCTGCTGAACCAGACGCAAGCCAACCGGGGCTCGTTTCCCCCTGGCACCCTGCTGACTTACGGCTGTGAGCAGGGCTACACTGCAGATGGGCCCACGAGCATCATTTGTACCAGCTCTGGAGCCTGGTCCCATCAGCCTCCGAACTGCGTCAGAAGCAGCAGTGAGTGACATTCAAACATGCACAACAAAGAGCAGGAGTTTTTCCTCTCCTGCTGTAAGGTCTTACCACATCTTAAAGGGTCTCATGATTTAATTAGCAGCTCTATGGAAAATTCATTCAAACTAGATGATTTTCTTTACTATATAACTTTTATTACTAAATCCATTTTACAGTCAAAGCCTTTGGAGCATAGTTTGAGATTGAGCTTTGCACTTCCACAAACTGCATCATGAGACCAATAGTGAAAAGTTTCGTCTAAAATCTGATGTTTTGAATGCCCAGGAATCAAACCTGACTGCTGGGAGTAATTCTTTTCCCTTTTCACAACCATCGAAGCAGTTTTACAAATCGCTGTCCTCTCTTTCCAGTTTGTTCGCCCCCCACTGAACCAGAGAATGGGGGATACCGCTGTCACCCATCTCCCTGTCACAGCCTCACCCAGAAGACTGTCATCGAGTACTTCTGCGACGAGGGCTACGCTCTGAAGGGAGACTACAAATTCCTCACCTGCCAGAACGGCGAGTGGGACGGTCCCATGCAGATTAGCTGCCGGCTCACACAAGGTCCGACACCGTAACTAACTCTGACTTTACTGACCACATCTCTTATGCAAAATGTGAAGTCTGTGAACCACATGACTCACCTCCTTTTCACCTTCTTCTCTGTGTCCCTCAGACAAGGAGCCCAGCTCACCTCTGGGTATACCAGCTCTGTCTATCGTGGCATCCACAGCCAGCTCTGTGGCTCTTATCCTCCTTTTAGTGGTGCTGTTTGTTCTTGTACAACCTAAACTCAAGTCCTTCCACCATAGCAGGTAAAACACACACGCACGCACGCACACATGCATGCACACCAATAAACTTATCTTGTAATTTTGGGTATAATATTGATCATGAATCCAAAAAATAACACAAGAGCTTGTGCCCCGGTGGAGTGCTTATACATTGACCATTTTTACTTTCTTATTTATATTTAAGCTGTTTTTATTCACAGCTGTAGGTTATCATAACAGGAAGTGCATATGTCATTTCAAAATAAAAGCTTGTTTTTACTTGATAGGATAGATTGGATTTACAAGATGTATCTCCAGCTTTGTCTTTCCTCTTCTTAATTTAACTGATTGTTGTTATTTTTCCACTTATTTTTTAAAGTTTTCCACAAATACTGCGATAAAGTCACTATCGATAATTTTTGACTATGAAAACCCTTAGCTTAAAATGTGATTTTATGAAAGTCCATGTAAAACATGAACATTGCAGGAAAATAGAGTCTATTATGTGCTCAGCCTATCAGCAGTTAGCAGCTTAAACAAGACGAGGAAATTAGATGCTGACCAACATGTTTTAGGAGCAAAGGCTGAAAGTTATTTGAAGAATGAAGTAGCTGCTATCTTGATATAAACATGCACTCTTTCTGTCTGTTACATAGTCGGGTATGAAAAGCCTTGAGCGGCTGTTTACAGCATGAAATTCAACTGTCTGAAGGGCTGGACCAGCCTGCACAGTTGCATTGTTAAATGAAGAAAAGTCTTTGCAGTGAGACTGAGGAAAGAACTGTGTAAGAACCCTGCCTGTATAATATCTCTGACCCTTTGAATTTCTCATACTGCCTGCCTGAAAACATGCCATTGTACAGTTGTTCAAGGGAAGCTGCCACTTCCCCAGATGGCTTAAAAATAAAATAGTCCTGTGTTATGTTTTCACAGACATTGAAACCACATCCACTCTCAGTTGTTGTCATAAAGATGTGCATATGCTTCTACCCCTGTGTTACTTACAGTGCATTTTCATTTCTTCTTAGCTTTACATAAGACAGTGAAAAGGAATTTAACATAAGCTCTTTGTTACTAACACAAACTATGGTTGGCAGAAACTCTTCAAGTGCTCGTTCTGCCTGTTTTCAAAGAACACTGCCTATTTTTTTCTTTTTTTGTTGTTCTGAGCTGTTAAACCACCACCCTGTTCTTCACAAAGTGACATGGCAGAGTCTGCTGGAGTCATTTCCCTGTATACACCTCACGGGTTTTTATTGAAACTGGTTTACAAACAAGTTGTTCCCGTAAGAGGAACACCCAGCAAACGATCTTCAAAGCTGTCCGGTTTAGATTACTGAGAACAGAAAGTAAAAGTAAGACACAGAAGGCACTGAGTGATAAAAAGCCACAGTGATCTGATCTAATGCTCATTGGCACTCTGGTTGATTGCGTGGCGGGTCTTAGGGCTTACTGCTGCCTGCTATAAAGGGTGCAGTCAACGCTAATCACCTCCTGTCAGAGGTTATGCTGCAGCACGCGGCACATATGACTGCAACATGACTCTAAACCTGAGCCTGCAGTTCTGATTCGCCCTGTCAACATGAGCCTCACTCTTTTTTTGTCTCTCTCTCTCTATCAGGAGGGAGCAGGGGGTCTCAGGCCAGTCCAGCTCCATCATGGTGGAAGGCGTCCAGGTGACACTGCCCTCATACGAAGAAGCCGTTTATGGAAGCGGTGGCCCCTGCGGTGCCTCCGGTCCTCCTCCTTCGCCGCCACCTCCCCCAGCTCCTCCAGAGACTCGGGTCCCCATTGTGCTCTCTGAAGGTCTTCCTCAGGGAGCCACAGGAGGCCAAGGTCCCGAAAGAACCCGTCACCACAGAGACTTAGACTTCTGTCTCCCATCCACATCCTCTTCATCGTCCTACTCCTCCCGCCGCCATGCGGAGACGGTGCTGGTTCATCAGGCCCCCTCCTCCTCCTCCTCCTCCTCTTCATCATCATGGGCCAGAGAGCACCCTGGGGGTGCATGCGCAGGCCCCCTACCTCTTCGAAGAGACTCTGAGAGCAGCGACCAGCACAGTCTGCTCTCTGTCACCTCTGCAGATGACTTTTCTGACGGTAAGACGCTTGTACATAAAGGCGAAGCATTAAGTGTTTCCTTCAAGGAAACTGTTTATTTTCAGGAAATCAAACAGAGATAAATCAAATAGTTGAAAACTCAATTTCATAATATTTACCATCCCAACATCTTTAGCAGTCACAGAAAGCAAACATTTGCTGATTTATCTCCCCAGCTCTGAAAATAAGACGCTCAGAGTCACTCAAAACTTTTTACTCAGTCGCCAAGGACAAGTGAAGACACAGCGCACCACTCAAGAAGAAATAAATTCAAACACATCTGTATTTTCTCAAAAACAATCAGTCACTCGGTTGTCAGTGCCATTTAGATTCAAGTACTACTCAAGACATCTGGCATAGAAAGCAAGTTCGAAGCTCACTTCCCCCTTATTGGGTTAGGTTCATATTTAATCCTAATATACTCCCAACAGTTTAGTAATTCCACCTTAATGCTTTGATTTCCAATGTTTCAAGAGCTTAAGTGTTGCAACACTCCTGGATTTTTGGGGAGATATAGCATCACAAGAAGCCAATTAGCAGCCTGAACCAGTCAATAGGCAACAAAAGCCCCTCTCAGACATGCACAACATTTCCTGAAACCAGACTGAGCTGCATGAAAACAAACAATTTAACTTTTCATCCCAAACAGAATGGCTTTTATTTCACACCATAATTTTAATCTTCATTTGTATTGTCAGAGGAAAAGGAGCGTGTTTTAATACTCTACTACACAATCCTTTAGTGAGATTTCATGATAAGTGTTCATTTATTGACCGATATCCTTAATGAAATAATACTCCCACTGATGACAAGAACCCAGGATTCTGGCTCTACATACACACTGAGCTGTTAAGCGGCACATCTGAACAGGACAAAACCCTTAAAAAGACAAAACATTAGGTTGACTAAAAGATATGGAAGAGTGAAAGTTAAAGATCAGCATTCTTGATCCCAGACAAGATTGCTGTGAAACGCTACATCAACGTCAGGTACATTTCCAAGGCAGAGCTCCTGATATTTTCTAGAAATATTCTGCAGTGTTTTTCTGACAACAGCTAAGCGCAAGGTTTTAGAAAAGGCAAAAGCAATGACTTCTCATGACTTAAACAAGAGCAAAATCCTTTAAAGTTGAATTGTTTTTGGTGATGTAATGGATTGCATGACTCTGCGGTGGGTAGCCAGCTGACCCCTGAACCTGGGTTCTATTCTAATCTGTCTGCTCTGTCTCCCTGCAGATATTCCCCTGCTGAAGGAAGCATGAAGCCTGCCAGCCTCCCATCAGCATCAGCAGCAGAGGCCCCTGTTTCCCTGATCTCTCACTGCTGACCAGGACTGACTGTGGCTGTCAACCCACTTCCCTTGACTCCCTTCAGCAGAGAAAAGACTAGAACTATGCTCACCCCCCTCCCCCTCCATCCCCCCACCTCCCATGCAATGCAACCTCTTCTGCCATCGCTGCCCGTGCAGAGCAAAACCAACAACCAATACTCACTGCATCACAAGCAATGATGAAGCACCACTGGACCCTGCTGCAGGACCAAACAAAGTGGTGTCAGCTCAACATCAATCCTGTAGATCCTATGTATATGAGTAAAACACACACTATAAGTCAAGGTTGTGTACCATAGGCCATGTATTACTATACGACTGCCTCCTCCCAGCTGTAGTCCTCTATATTAACTCACAGAGGCTTAATGGGAGAGGCTAGAGCAACCGAGACATGTCGACTCTGTTTGGGATTACTGCGGGTATAAAAAAATAGAAATATGAAATAACTTGTGATGTTCGCTGAGAACCCGAATCGTCTTCCCGCTGTACTTGAAGAGTTGTGATTGGCGGCTGGGTTTTTTTTTTGTTTTTTTAATTTCTGATTTTTGTGAATGCTGCATGTTGATTTTAGTTATTGCTGTCACAGCACGGTGGCCCACTCTGAATGAAGCATGAAGCCTTCTCCGTCTCTCACTCACTTTCTCTTTCTCCTCCTGCTCTCTGTGTTTCCGGGATGGCGTCGAGTATATGGATTAGTGGGATCGAGAACCACTTCACAAGAGCTAGAAGCAGGATGCAGCATTTGACGGAGCACCTTGTCACAGAGCTGCTCCTTTCTCTTTTCTGTTGCCAGCTGCACCCTGAATCTGGAAGGTGCTTCTTCTGTCGCATGAGTGGGATTGATTGCTGTTTTGGAGCCAGAAATGTGTAATTCGTCTTACCTGAATAAGCCGAGGGAGACTTAATGTCACACTCTGAGTGCTGGCTGAGAACAGGGTTGTCTTTAAACATGGTGATTGGGCACGTGACTGAAATTTAAGGTGGCTTGATTTTCTTCCCACTCTATTTATTGTTTGGTGTGTGGCTCAGCTTGCTGCATCTGAGTGCATGAGTGTGTGTGTGTGTGTGTGTGTGTGTGTGTGTGTGTGTGTGTGTGTGTGTGTGTGTGTGTGTGTGTGTGTGCATCTGAGTGCATGTGTGGGCATGTGTGTGTGTGTGTGTGTGTGTGTGTGTGTGTGTGTGTGTGTGTGTGTGTGTGTCTTTGCCATTTCTCATTTTGCCTATTTTCACATCAGAGACTGGCCTGACAATGTCCCCATCTTGGAAAAATCTCCCTCCCAGCACTGAATAAGTCACATGAACAAATCAGCGTCACTTCAGGCAAGCAGTCCACCACACAATGTGTGTATTATTCATCTGTTCTCCAGCTAGAATATTTGTCATTTTCTGCTGAATGGCTGGAAAACACAAGTCTCTTCAGAGGAACTGGCTCTCGCCCACCTTCACACTGTACCGAAGACTCTCCACTTTTGTGCTTTATTGACACGACTGCAACTGGTTGCAGTGAAAGGATAAAAAAGTTTTTGTTCTCTAGCACCCCACCCCCGCCACATACACTCACTCACCCTCCTCCAAGTGCGGATTTAAGAGAGAATCGTGTTATTTTGTTAGAAATCATCCTCTGTTTTTATCGCCACTTGAAAAGCTGTGGTGGTTGAGCTGGTCACCGTGGAAACAGCATGACTCTGGAGGATCCCAAGAATTACTTTTCAAGCTTTGCTGCTCAGAAAGAAAAGGAAGAAAAAAAAACAGAACAGTCCATCTGAAATCCTCAGTTTTATTTGGCATTCGTGGCTGTGTTTCAGTGTCAACGGCTACATTATTAATGCAAAACAATGTTGCCTTAGACTTGTACATTTTCTTTGTTTTTTTGTTATTTTTGGATGTATACTCTTAAGCCTCTGCGTTGGTTGCTTTACAGTATTGCAACATGTTCTGTTTCCCCCCAATGGCCTTACTCTGTTCTTTTCTATTCTATGCATACAACTGTCTGTGTATTTATCAATGAGTTTACTTTTGTCGTGGACACAGCTAAACGAATGTCCAGCCCTTCTCTGTCCTCCCCTTTCCAGCTACTGTGATGACGATAATGATGATGAAGATGATGACGATGATGATGATGATGATAAACCTATAAGCACCTATATTTCACTGCTCTTTTGCTTCTCTTTTGCTACAAGGCATTAAAATATTTGGGGATTGAAAAGGAGTTTCAAAAAAATACTTTGCGTTCATGAGCACTGTTGTACGGTGTCGCTTCCCAGAAAATTACAGGTTTAAAAAAACACACATTTGATTCTTAGTTTTGATGCTTTCAGCTTTGGTTTTTCCTCTGTACATGGCAGTGGGTGTGAAGATAGTAATTTAATATTTGTATAAAGTTTAATTTAATTTTACAGTGTGTATATAACTTTCTAATTAAAGCTTTCTTTTGAATGTGGATGATGACGTGTCATTATTTCATCCAGTGTATGACTGGACGCATTTCCAAGAAGAAGGTCCAAGATATTTCCAGTCCCTATCAGCCATGGAAATGGGTGTATTGCTCAATAAAGTATGATTCAGTTTTTCTTTGGTCCATTTCCTGGAAGGTCTGAGCAGTGTTTAGACATGGAAATCCTCCTCTTCAATGTCAGCGCGAATAAATGCACCAGCCTCCCTCCTGTCACCATGTAACTACTCTTCAATGCAATAAATTCTAAAGCTATCACTAGTGCGGCTAAGGTTTATGGTAGAACATTTGTCACAGGTCAGGATACTCTTCGCACTACATATACTCAAAATCAAAGAAGAAAGGTTCCAAACTACAGACATGTTACTATACTGCAGTATGATATTCCAACTGAGCTGAACTGCCCGCAAGGCTGTGGTATCTGCACATGAAGTCATTTTGAAAAGGAAGTACTCACTTTTTAGCACATCTGCAATAGCATAAAAAGTGTCGTTTTCTCATATCCCATTATATCTCTGTGTAAGCCCCGATTGACCTGTAGAATTCTCTCTCGGTGAGCAGTCTAATTGTGTCTGGTTGACATCTAGTGGCCAAAAGTATGAACTGCATCATTAGAAAGTCGTACGAGGTTAAATTGTGACGCCATGTTCGGAAATCCGACAACAGCACTTCGGTTTTCCGTCTCCTGGGCTGTCACCCACTGTTTGTCGTGTTTACCAGAGATTTCATGTTATCTATGATATTTACCCTTCAAGGATTATTAAAAAATACAAAACAAAGATGGTAAAGACGGGGGAAAATATCAAACCAGGCACGTGAAATAAGGCACTTCTAACGTTTGTGTTTTTTAGTGACGGCGTATGATTTGAGATGACATCTATGGGAAAGAGGGTTTATTTTGTTCACCATGAAATTCACACAAGCACATGTATGACATTATCATTACACATTATAAGAACCACTGATTCAAGGTTCAGGATTGGAGTAAAGAACCGTGCTACCTTTTTGATGGAAACTACAAACATTAAGTCTCAAACAAGTGAAAAATTACAAAAGAAATAACAGGTTTCTTTGATAATTGTTTTTAATAGCTTGAGAGGGTTTCAAGATTTTAATTTTCCTTATTTTATTATTACGTGCTTCAAAAAATATACTGAAAAAATGCTGGTGAAATCTGAATAGTATTAAAATCTTCATTTTAATACTATTTCTTTTTGTTTTGTTTGGTTTGGTTTTTTTATCCAAACTGTTGACTGTAATAAAACGTTGTTTATTAAATAGTTCGTCAATACGGTCAATGGTCCAAACAACACAGTTGCTGTAGTTTAACTTACAGGTAATTTAACGAAGTATGGCTGAGTTAAAAACGTAATTGCTCTTATTTCACGTTAAAAATCAGTTACATATCGATGACAACAAGCCATGGCAGCCGCACGAGCCAGCTGCCTAGACACATCAAGAAGAAGAAAACCCCGCCGTCATACGTCACGTGGGCTTGTCTTCTTCCCACTCCCTGATCGGCAGAGGCTCCATTTTGTTTGAATTAGGAGTTTGCGGTCACCGTAGTCAGCCATCTAGGATATACCCCGTAACACGAGGATTCAAGGTGTGTACGTTGCGATTAAAACAACACACGGCTTTAGTTTTGATTGTATGGATGTCATTCGTCGTGTTTTCGTTACGTTAGCTGCGGTTAGCTCCAAACTAGGCCTTGTACTGGTTGCTTGTACAGCAGATGTGAATTCGGCCGTTGGCAGGGCCGTTACCCATTATCATTGGTAAGAGGTCGGTTTTCATTTCTGCCTACAAAATAACGTTATTCACTGTTACTGTGGTCTTTGTTGTAGATAAACAGTGCAGTCATGAGTGGATGTCGTATTTTCATCGGCCGCCTGAGCCCGTCCGCCAGAGAGAAGGATGTGGAGAGGTTCTTCAAGGGGTACGGCCGCATCCGAGACATCGACCTCAAGAGGGGCTTCGGCTTTGTGGTGAGTCCGTCTGAATAAAATCATCGAAATATAGACATCACCCAACCCCTGAAGTAAATATACTGCAGTTTACGTTGAGTGTGGGGTGTGATTTGCCTCACATTTGTACAGTAGATATCATGGTTGTCCTACAAGGCCCACACAATGTCTGTAACAATGTGGTTACACAATTTAATACAATTAGTGTCACACCTATGCAGCTGGACCTGAGTTCACCTATACCATTGGTTACATACTAAGTCAGGGGATGGACAATTCTTAAAAGCCCCTCAGGATACTAGTATATGTGGTCTGTATTTACAATGGATGAATGTATGAACACTATGAAACAGAGTGGTGTTTGCATACGAATCCACTGACCTTTAAAAGGATAACAGATGAAAGATGGGGGGGAACCAACATACAATTTACATGCTTGAGAGATGTAGCAGATATAGAATGACTTCTGTTTGAAAAACTGCAGTTCCTCAAGTGTCCACTTGAGGACAGCTCAAAAAGTACCATTCACAGCCTATTCAAAAAAGCCCATCTCTACATTAAAAATACACAACTTTACCTTGGTTACACTTGCTTATTTTCATAGTTAAGTTTTAAAGATAGTAAGTTTACGAGTTTGGCAAATTAGAGGCACAGTTAACTTGATGACTGGCAGGCAAAGTGCACCAGCTAGCAAGGATGTAGAGATAGGCCTCAAAACTCAGCTTTAGAAACCAGTGGGTCATATCACTCGGGCTTCAAAAATGTTTGATTTAATCCATGTGGGAAAGACATAAAATTGATGTAGTTTTTGTCTTCTGTTTGTTGTAGGAGTTTGATGACCCTAGAGATGCTGAAGATGCTGTTTATGAGCTTGACGGAAAAGAGTTGTGCAATGAGAGGTAGGAGTTTCTACTGTGGTAGACACAACAAACCAAGAAGTACTCTTTCTTAAGATTTTTTAATTAAATCCATGCCTGTCACTACAGGGTTACCATTGAGCATGCACGGGTGCGCCTGCGTGGCGGCCGGGGCAGAGGTGGTGGAGGTGGAGGAGGACGGTTCTCTGATCGTTATGGCCGAGGATCCCAGAACAGTCGGAGGTAAAACATTTTTGAGCTGTAAATCCTGCAAAGTGGCCACAAAGCCATTAGAGGGAGATACTGCCTCTGGAAACAAAACAGCAGCACACTTAAATCATCCCTGTTAACGTTTGACAATAACCTTTGTTTTCTCAGCCGGAACCCCCCTCCAATGCGCACTGAGAACCGCCTGATCGTAGAGAACTTGTCCTCTCGTGTCAGCTGGCAGGTGAGCGTTGCTACATGTTTGTGATTGCTATGAAAGCTTCCTAAAATAACAGCTGTTATGACCCCCAACAGTCTGTCTCCAACAGTATACACATACAGCTTGTTTTACAAATCCACACTGCTAAATAAAAAAGTCAAAGTAATGAATCAAATTTGCTAATATAAATGAGCAATCCAAATAATACTAATGTTTTGAGGCCCAAATTTTTTCTGTGAAAAGCACAGCTCTTAAAAATCTAACCTAACCCTCAGAGAGCAGTGACAACAAAACACTGAATTTGTTCATATTTTCAAATTTTAACCAATTCTTCACCCCTTTATTTGCCAGCCTGACTGTTGTGTCATGTGGAAGAGCTCGCTTATGGTGGAGTTAACCCCTTCTGGGTCCTTCTGTCTGGGTTGAGCCTGTGCTGTCAGCCAGTCTGTCCTACACCTAGTTGATGCCTGCTGGTCATGTGAGCGCTCGCTCCACACTAGAAGGCGCTGGCGGCCCCTTCGCTCGCTCGCAACGCCCCCTGTTGAAGGCAGGGGGGCGCCTGGTGTGTGGCTGAGGGCGAGAGAGAGGAAACAGAGAGTTGGCAGAAAGAAAGGAGAGGAAAGAGCGAGAGTCGATGGTGATGGCGTATTGATCGATGGTTCGTTAATTTGAGGGGCTTCGATCGATCGATATCCCCCCTCCCCTCCCCCTTCTGGTGTTCCCGCACATCGTGAGAGAGAGAGAGTGTGAATGCCTCCCAGGTACCCGTGGATAGAATCTGCTGTTATGGTGGGCCCGTCCCAAAGGGTTCCGCTCTCAGGTAGTAGTTTCCTCTCTTCCACCCTGTTCACTCTCTTTACTGAGGCAGGGTGCCAAGACAGGGGCGGCTCCGGCGCTGAGCCCTGTGCTCCCCTTGTCAGGGAGGCTGCCATGGGGCTCTTCGTGCCAAACGCTGCCCAGGAGGTGCCACTGCAGTCCAGTTCATGCAGCTGGTGTTCATGTCTCTATAGTTGTAATGAGCAGTGGGTCCAAGAATCTCAAAGCTGTTTGTAACACTCAGCCTGTTCAGTCCTAGCTCAGTCTTTCATATTTGATCAATTTTTTCTGAACTGTTGTAAATCTATACTTTTCTGTAACACTTGTTTTGTTGATTGAAAGGCTGATGAAACAGTATCAGAGGTTCCTGGACTCACCCTCCTTATCTGCAGTAGCCTTTTTAGACCTCTCAAACAATCTAACCATCTCTCTTTTTGGGTAAAATCAGTCCTGTCAATGTCTGAGCCTGTGCTTATGCCTCGAACCACTCCGTACATTAACTGGTGTTTACATGTGTAGGACCTGAAAGATTTCATGAGACAAGCTGGAGAGGTGACATTTGCGGACGCACATCGGCCCAAACTCAACGAAGGGTGAGGCTTCATCTTTTCATCATGAATGAGAAAAGAAATATAAAGGTGTGAAACAGTTCAGAGATAATCTGACTGGTCTCCTGTTTGTCTTTTTTTTTTTACAGGGTCGTTGAGTTTGCTGCTTACAGTGATCTGAAAAATGCCCTTGAGAAACTGTCTGGAAAGGAAATCAATGGCAGGAAAATTAAGCTCATTGAGGCAGCAAAGAAGAGGTGAGTAGTCTGCAGCAACGTCCATTCAGAAAAAAAAAATCAATATATATTACAAGAGTTTTAAAAATGAAGGCTGCAAACAGATGACGACTCACGTTTCATTGGGATTCAAAATGTCATTTGCAAGAATCAAGACTTAAAACTAAAAAATCAGTCCTCTGCCTCAGATACTGTACGAATACGGCACAGATTAAACTTGTAGTGTAGTGAAAATGGAGTTGTAATTTTCAACAACCACCAACCTGTATGTTTGTAACATACAGGGGGAGTCTCAGCTTTTTGCATAATCTTTAAAGATCGAATGTTAACATTTTAAGGTGTCTTCATTATCCTGAGGAGGAAATTTGTTTATTTGGGTCTTGCATACCTGCAAAAACACTCAGGACTGTAAACTAGTCCACTGTATTATTTAGTATTCATCTATATTTGTTGTACTGTTGAGTTAAAACGTTTTTTTCTATATTTTTTAATGTTTATCTTACGTAATTTGCTTTATTTACTTTGTATGTTAATAAAATGTTGAATTTATCCGTAGTTTCTTAAGTTTTTAGTACGGATGCCTTAAAACTGGCAGATTGAAAAAAAATACCAAAAAAAATCATGAAAATAATCGAGCAATATTGTGCATTAGAGCTGTGTCCAATCACAGCAGCTTTTACATGTAATGAGCCTGGGCAAAGGTTTAGTTTACACCCTGCTCCCTTACCATCATGTGGAATACACTCTAACACTTCAGCACTTTCACACTCCGGCACTTGACCACTTGCCTTGCACTTGAAACACCTAATGCCTTTTCGCTCCAACTTGATCTCTGTTTGTCCGGAGCTAAGTTTTCAGCCGTGTAGTGCTATATGTGGGTCTGATAGAGTAGTATTGTCTGGTCTCTGCTTGTTGTGAGCCCATTATTGGCCACATAGCTGTTGATCTGCTATCAGGGAGTGAAATAGTTGAACAGTGTATTGATTTTTTCTCACTGTACCTTGCAGCAGTGACTTTAGGAAGCCTTTCCCAGATCAGTGCAGTTTGACTATGAACGAGAGTTGACTTCTTAAAATAGATGCTTGTTTACCCCAAAGCACAGTTACTAAGAGGACAGACTGTCTTTGGAAACATGAACACAAAGGACGGCATTCTTGATTACACTATGTTCTTTTTCTTTAATTTTCTTAGAAATGTGGTTTTGATTCAACCCTGATGATTTTGTTTCTTTTCTATTTCCCAGGTCAAGGAGTCGTTCCCGCTCCGAGAGCTCCTCCCGCTCCCGGTCCCGATCTCGTGGCCGCTCTCCATCTCGCTCCCCCCGCCGCTCCCGCAGCCCTGCCAAGGCCAGCAACCGTTCCCGCTCCCGTAGCCGCTCCCCTGCTGGCGGCGCTTCCTCCCCGACCAACAAATCAAAGGAGCCAGCCAAAAGGTCCTCCAAGACTAGCAAGTCAGCCACCCCGCCCTCCCCTCTGCCCGCTCAGAGAGCCTCGGTCTCTCGTTCACGTTCTCGCTCACGCTCTCGCTCACGTTCACGCTCACGTTCCCCTTCCACTGACAGCCAACGTTAAAAGCTGTGATTATCAACAGAAATTCAAACAGGAATCAGCTCTGAGCAGTTCAGACTGCAGCTCCAGTGACCCCTTTTAAACGCAGTTTCACTTAAGTAATCTTCTCTTTCTCTCTGGGTCTCTGCTCTGAATATTTTCAAGTTTTAGACACTGTTTAACCATACTGTGGTATCCGTATAATTTGTCATCATTGTCGGGCATTTCAGAATTTGATCAGAAAAAAAAACGGAAGGCATATTTAACACAGTGACACTGTCCATGTTCTCCTCAGTTCCCATCAATTAGATTTTGTTCACTCCTCCACTTCGAGTTCATTCTGCCAACTAGACTGCTGGTCCAGTTCTGCTGCACCGTTGTCCTTCCTCACAGAGTCACCAAAGCACCCATGTGAACCAGCCTCACTGTTAAAGGGTCTGCAGAGCTCGTCATCTCTATACTCCGAAAAGTTACAGGGGGAATCTGTGTTATTCAGGAGCACTAGGCTGCTTTTGAGAATTAAACGACCACTTTCTTCACTTCTTTTTTGATGTTTTTGCTCGTTTTTGCCAGTTAGCTTTTTTTAATGATTATTATATCTGTTCTCATGTCTTTTCCCAAAACCTTGAACCTCTTTTCTGGTATTCTTTCGACCTACCACAGCCAGTGTTCGTCATATCTATACCTTTCGATGCTTGCATGTGCTTTACTTTGAAGTAAATTTAGACTCTTAATCTTGTTAGGAATATCTTATTAGTGCTTACAGATCAATTTCAAGCCACCATTATAACTGGCATTGGCAGCTTCCGTGTAAAGGGCACTGTACAATAATGCACATTCTTACTGCGGTTGAACAGCTACACAGTCAATCTGTAAATTTCATGAACCTAACATTTTCTTGCAGTTCATGGTTGAGCTTTTATTTTGAAAAGAGATGTTAGAAATTCTCTATTTGGGATAAGGTGGAGACTTTATAGGATGCAGTATATTCTGGCATTGTAATGTTCTTTTGTTATGTTTAAGGGTTTTGTGTACAGCACTGCAGACTTTAGTTTTACATGAGTGTGTTCTGTAATTCCAAGTATACCCGTCGGTGCTGTTACTGATGTTACTGTGGTTTCAATGAACGAGCAGACAAACGTTTTGGACATTTTTGTACATAAGGATTTTATTTTCAGTGAAAAACACAACAGACATTTGTATGGTGTAGGAAGACTATGGAAGTAAACAATAAAAACCAATTTCAACTCGATCACTTTGGGTTTTGTCATGTCTTTAAAAATTTCATTTGTTTCAAGTAGTCCGTGAACCTCTTCAGAGAGGCGCGGCCTTTGGTCAGCAACAGTTCAAAGTGGGAATAGAAAAAAGAGCTTCATTTGTTGGTCACACAGGCCCTGATGGAGACTTCTCCTCTGTCTGGGTCTGCATGTATTTCTCTGTACATCAGACAGATTGATTTTTAGGAAAAACACATGGAAACAAACAGCCTAGTTACATGTTGATAAAGTCTTACCTTTCTTTTCACGTGTGAAGTATTCATGGGTCCTGAAGATCACGATTAGCACAGCGGCTTCTATCATCTGCAGACATCCATAGACGAAGGGGAACAGAAACAGAGGACCCATCAGCTCCATGGGAAAAGCCAGCTTCAGGATGGTGGTGCACAGCTGGACGTTCTGACAGCCTGTTTCCATGGCCACTGTCCTCCGCTCCCTGAAGAGGAGCAGACTCAATCTGAGGTCCTGAAGCCATCATGGTTTACAATACACCCCCACAGAGCTGGACTCAAACATAACAACTGTGTGTTGGACTTACTTGTGTGTAAGCTTGAAGAGCGAGGAGATGATGTAGCCGAAGGAGTATCCTATGAGGGGCATGATGATACCGACGGCCATGAGGCGAGGAGCCAGCACGTTCAGCATGGAGCCTCCGATTCCAACGGTGACCAGGGTGCAGACCACCACAATGGCTATGAACAGTAATATGATGCCTGCCTGAAAACAACAAACAAAGTAAAGAGACCACCTTCATCTGCTGTTTTGGCTTCATATCTGACTCAATATAGATGTTTCCCATTTATGTCCATTCATTTTACTCAGCATGTTATGTCACCTCCTGATCCTGTATACACACACTCACCCTTGTGATGATCTTGGAGTACTGCGGCCTGTAGTAGTTGAGGAGGATGCCAACGCCGCATGGGATGAGGATCAGGCCCAGGGATTTAATGATGTCCACGTAAGGCACAAAGTCCTGCAGGTTAGCAAAACCTTGGCAGTAGATGAAGAGCAGCAGAGGCATCATGCCCAGAGCCAGCAGGGTGGAGCAGGAAGTCATCACTATGCTGAGGGGATAAAAAACAAACAGACAAGATATTACTTATTCTGCCAGGATCATGAGTGGCTCAAGATGGAAGAGACAAATCACATGTATCTAGACTGGGGTATGTGTTTTGTTTTAAAGATCTAGGAGCCCTTCATCAAATGGGAACACCTTTAGATACCGACTGACTAGCTGTCACCAAAAACTGGCTCCACCAAGGCTCACACAACGTGATACTGGCATCCACAGCTGATAGGGAACACAATGTTTAATGGGATGAAAGGCTAAATAGTAAAAAGTTAAGCTTTTTATAGTACTTTTATGAGCTGTCTTGGTGAAACTCTGCAGGTCTTTACACACTTGAAAGGAAATGTGCTGTTGCTTATCAAGTAGAAAGATGTTCTCTGATTGTCTTACATCATCAGCTGCAGACACATAAAAAAGTCATAGCACATGTGCTGAAGCAGCAGAGTGAGTCATATATGCTCGGTTCACATTCGTCACATTTTTCACTGCTGCACAGAATAAGATTGTTTAAGCTCTTTGTTTCTTACTTGAACTGTTTAGCATATAAATGCAAAGGTGATTAGTCAGCAGTCTTAATTTCAAGTGGAAGGTCAACGCTGTGAACAAAACATTATCTGTGCTCACACATGCACAAAATTCTGCACGGGTGAACACATTCTTATCCAGGATTTAACCAGTTTTTTTTTTTTTTTGCAGATATACATTAATGTAAGGCTGCTGCAGGTTAAAGTCAGAAAATTTCACAACAATTGAGAAGATTTCTACTGAATTATGCAACTGGTGTGAATTTACCATGAATGAAAACAAAGCTGCACTTTGGAGATACATGTGACTAACAGCTTCTGGAAATGTCAGGGGAGGGTTTAATGGTGGAAAACAAAAAGCTGTAGACAGCTTATAGAACTTGTTGTAGCCCATGTAAAGCTACCTGTTATTTTGTTGACTGCAGTTTGGCAAAATGATCACTATGGATATGCTGGCCACACCCTGAACTGCGTAACAATGCAAAACTTAAAGCTCCTATGAGAAGCCCTGGTTGGTGGCATGAGGAAAATTTAACATGGGGTATTAGTTTCAGCTGTCCAGCTGACACCCACCCTCTCACACCAATTTCAAGCAACAAAAATAACAATATAAACAGTGTTAACCTTGTTCCTGGTGGTCTTGTTTGCATTTGTTTATCATAAAAAGGCATCAGTGTGAATTTCAGTCTATTTCCTAAATGTGGAAAAAGTCCTCACAGGAGCTTTATAGCCCTGATTTCATTTTAAATTCTAAAAGGAAGAAACACAAGGAATGAAAAACAACTGTGAATAAATGTCTAAACACACAAAATTTTACAAGTCCTGAATTTAGATTTTTATTCAAGGTAATGAGTAACAACAGTCTGTGTGGTTACATGAGTGTGTCCGTGTGAGAGTTCACCTGAGGTTCATGTCCCCCCGCAGAGCGAGGGCTAAGATGTTGGAGACGGTTCCTCCAGGACAGCAGCCACAGATCAGGACAACCACAGCCGGGATTTCAGCCAGCTGGAACGCCTGCAGCATGACAATCATTTAGAGCTTCTACCACTGTCTGTCACTGATGATAATGTTTAACAGATCTGATGTGGACTTTTGGAGAGTGAGTAAAATATGCAGAAAAAAGCAAAGTGAATGATTTGGTGTCAGGTGACTGAAGAGAACCACAAAATTCATCTGCAGGTCCTCTCTGTACGCATACATCTGCTTGAATATAACCTATAATGTAATGTATCATTTTTTCCCCTTAGCTTAAAATCTGTTTCAATTTTTAAAGCTCCAGTAAGGAGTTTTTTACTGTTTGTAAAAAATAAAACAAATCAAAAAAGAACCACTGACAGTTTATTTGCTGTTCTTTCAAATGGCTATAACTGCTGCAAGGGGGTAGGTATCAGACAGCACAATTTATGGCAGTGAAGAAGAAACTATTTTTACTCTCTACATACCACAGATGAGGGACTGTTTAAGAAGGCAGGATGAAACCTTGGAACGAAAAACATGAGCTCAAGAGCGTTTCATTTAACAATGTATGACTAATTATTTCTACAAGATCTATTACATACTGTTTATCATTAATAGAAATATAATTAGGTAGACTCTGACAGCAGGTCCTCATTTGCTCCCTGCACAGTTTAAATCCCATAGTTAGAAAATCAATCACCTGTGGGTCATTCAAGTGTCAGGTTTAGCAGCAGTTTGAGTTTAACCTGGTGTTTGTCTTTAGACGTGAAGTACAGCAAATATGTCTGGGTGGAAAATGATCAAACAACATGATGTGAAATAAACAGAGCAAACTTTAGCCCAGTGATTTGTAGTGTCTATGTGACAGTCTTATTGTTCATATCAGAACAGTACAGTACACCAACCTTCGCCAGGCTAAATGCTGTCAGAGGCATGACGCCATACTGGGCCATCACTGCTATTGCCACCCCCTTTGGTTTCAGTATGTGACTCTGGGAAAGAGGGAAAGATTTGGGTTTTACTCATGTAAAGGACTGTTTTCATTAGTTATATAGTCCGCACAGGAAATGTGTTTCAAACACATACATATCATCTGAGGTCACCTTGATTTTTGACACCTCCATGGTGCATCCCATAGAGACCATAGTGATGGTTAAGACGATAATCAACAGCAGGTTGATGGTTTTGTTTATCACAGGTGGAATTATGGGAGCAAAGGTGCTGTTGGCAATCGTCATGTTGAGCATAAAGTCCTCATACTGTGAATCTGGATCCAGCAGATCCAAGGTGTAGTCGGTGGTTTCTTCCATATCGGTGAAGCAGTACGTGTTGAGCTGTAATCTTGTAACAAGCTGTAAAAACATGGACACAAAGACAGGCAGAGAGGGATTAAAATATGAAAATAAATCAAGTGCAATGAAGCCGTAGGCATTTCAACACCATGACGTGTTTATGCAGGTCTCCCAATGAACCAATGTACAAATGGAGTAGCCGTCAGTCATGCATAACACCAAACTGCCTGGGTTATTCAATCAAATATCCCTACCTTGACAAGAGTAAAGCACCTGTGAAAAGAATTATCTTCTTGACAGTCTTTTTTTTTTTCAGACTGCAGAGCAAGTTTTATGTGTTCTTCAGTGACGAGCCGAGTGCAGTTGGTGATTTATCCTGTGCTTGATGGACTCAAGAGGTCTGCAATCAGCTATGGGCAGATTTTCAATAAAAGCTTTACACTAAGAGGGAAATAAAATCATAGAATATTGCCTTTAAAGTTGACAGCAGTTTGTCTGTGCTACATATTATAGTGCTGCCTTGGATGTCCCCAAAATTCGATGATCGCTATAGTGGAGAAAAGAGGGAAGCTTCTCTTCTTCTTGCTCTCCAAGATAGAATTAGAACATAATTTAGGGGCTTCCATTTCACATGTCTAGTAGAGAAAACATGATCAGGTTCAATCTGGTGGAAAATGGCATGGCTACTCCTTTGTTAGTGGAGAAAACATGATTGTAATACCCTCGATACAGTGCCGTTGATAAAAACCAACCTTGTCAACAGCCTGAGAGAGTGCCTCTAGTGGAGAAAACATGATAGCATTCATCTCTTTGCACTTTTAGAAGTGGTTTTAAAAAAGCATCCCTTTTCAGTTCCCTTCTATCAGAGAATATATGACATGCTCTTATGAATGTTTATTGGTTACGTTTAGAGATCTGTTTCTCCTCCTTTTGACATGTTTTGTTGAGGAAACATGCTCATGCCTTGACCATGGAAAAAATGTCATGGTTTAGTCATTTTGAAAGGGTGCTTTTAACAATGAAAAAAAAAGGAGAGATGGTGAAAAGAAATAGCATTCATTTTCTATGTACTCCTAGTGGAGAAAACATGATTCAGTGTGTTGTAGGAGGATGACAAGTGGAAAAGACATTGTAGTGTCTATCTAGAATACCATAAACAAAGAACAGTGTCCCTGAGGTTATGTCGTTAAGAGGGAAAATGTAAGGAAGAGTCTTTCCAGATTAGAAAACATGGTCTAATGCTTTCAGGATGACACACTTAGTGGAAAAAACATCTCACAGTTACCTGTCTGACTGCCTGTGGAATCAACAAAAAGTGATTTAAAAAAACCAAACAAAAATTTTTTTTTCCTGCCAAAGGAGACAATGAGGAGTGTCCTCATTGTGTGCAAACAAAACAGCAGGACTCCTCGTGTGCCTTTCCAGTGTAGAGAATGTGACTTTTATCGTGGTAAACTTGAACAAAAATTGACATCTGTTACCACTTGAAGGTTGTGATTATACAATCGACAGCTCTCAGCTCTTTATCACCGGGTATAACACTTTTCAAAGACAGGGGGTTGCTGATGCATTGACAGTCCATGCCTTTAATCATTGAACAATATGACCTCATGGTGTGTGTTATATGGCTCTTGGGACCTTTGAACTAGTTGTGAAGCTGCACAGTTTAAAATGTCTTTCAAGATATTGTCTCAACACTGACAGTAAAAAAAATCCTCAACATTTTACACTTGGAATTTTTGTTTACTTTAATCTCGAGATAAATAAAAAACACAAGATTTATGATAAAAAAATGTTTTTTTTTTTCATGAATAAATAACGTTACAGTACTTAAGCTGCGTTACTTAGATGCTTCTTGATTTTTTTATTTTATTTGTCTGTGTTTTAAGCTATTACATAACAGTTACTCCACCTGTGCTCACCGGCTTTACAACACGTAGTTAAGATATAAGTGAATGACCCCCGAGATAAATCCCCCTATTCAGCATTTTAAGACAGCGTACTAATACTCTTTGCTTTCAAACGCACTGAAATGAAGAAATTCCTTCTTCTAGGCGCTCATATTACATCCACTGACAACTAAATTATAGTGTATTTAAACCTGTTGGTGCACAATCACTTGGACTATCAGATATAACAAGTTAAACCATGCAGAAAAATCTGGAAAAGGCTCAGATTGAAACCTGATCATGGTGAAATAAAAGCTATATTCTTGTCAAAGCATCCAAAGTGCTGAGAACAGGGCTTTAGCAGAAATATTAACATTTTCCATAAGTAATAAAACTGTCATACTTTGCAAATTTACCCTTTTGTGTGTTTAATCATACTGTTAAGCCATTTTTCTAGAAACTTGAGCATAACCATGTGGATGTACATGTCAGCAGGAAGTCATTTAAATCTGCCTTATCTGTTCAAAAAACACTTTTCTTTTCTCCACAATTGCCAAGTGAGCCTCCATCCCCACACTCTACAACCACATCCTCCCTCCAGGTACACTCACATGCTGTGTGCAGACACATTACCTTCACAGGATTCCTCACATCTATTTACACTCAGACAAAGAAGCACTCAAAAATAGAAAAAAATACTGCAGAGCTTTATAAACATGCCACTCAACTACAAACTCTGCTCTGAATGTGGAGAAGGTGAGAATTACACACCTGCTTTTGCAGAAAATAGAAGAAAAAGTGACGATGAAAGAAAGCAAACACTTGAAAACAGGCTCAGGTGTTACTCTTACTGAGTAGATTTCAGGTATTGTGTTACCTGTTATGCCAGAGGATCCTTTGCTCTCCTTCTCTCCTCCTCAGTCCACATCAGAATCCTTCCCCTCATGTGTCTGCACCGTCTTTTCATATCAGTTATGAATGACACATGAAGGCTGACGGTTGTGTAAAAGTGCCACCTAGTGAACAGACAGCAGGAGTCCTCCTTAGATCTGATCTTACCCGGTGTTCAAAACAATCAGCATTTTTCTTGACAAAAAAAAAGTGTCCTTTTCGTTCTTCTGTCCTGACGAACAGGTGAAGAACATAAATGTTAATTTAGATTTGGGCTGCAAGAGCCTGGCGGAGGTGATCAGAATCTGACTGGCCTCAGGTATGACTTACACTGGACAGGGGCGTGCCCAAAACTTTCTGACTGGGGTGGCCCTGACACAGGCAAGGGTGGCCTGGAATTGTGTGCACATAAATTGAAAGCTTTCATCGATTCTTTTTTTTACTTATCCTGTCCTCCATTATTGTTGAAGTATCATACAGCTTTTATTATCATGTGAATGATTTTTTTGACTTTGACCATGTTCTGTTCGAAGTCAAAAGAATCGGCACTAATGAAAGAAAATATGCTTCATCTTGACACAAAGTCAGCAAATGCTGGCCTGGTAACACCCAAGACGGGCACAAGTCAGATTTTGCAAATTTTAGGTTTTGGATCACTAGACTATATCAAGTCTCAAATCCCTCAAGTGTAAGTCACAAGCAGGTCACAAGTTATCACCAAGTGCTGGAATTGAATTTCCCTTCAGGGATAAATAAAGTTATTCTTATTCTTTACAGTTTTTACCAAAACCACATTTTATACGTTAGAAATATATTCCTCCATTTGTTTAACATTATGTTATACATCAATTTTAATGAAGTGTAACATGCTATTATATATACAGTACATGCATACTAGCAAGGGGCACATCTTGACTTTTTGAACTTGGGTTGCTAAACAAGGGCAGTGACTTTTGCAGCATGTGCTGGTCCCAACTATCAAATCCAAGTCAAGTCTCAAGTCCTTGCAGGGTGAGTCCAAGTCATGTTTTAAGCTATATAAGATCATCTCAAGACCCGGTCCTAAACTCATCGTGTCTATGTTTTTGGTTAACACATCCCATATAGTCTAATAGTCTTTTAAATCATGACTTGGAATTATGAGGTTGCACCTCAGGGGGGCCAATCAGATTTCGTGGGTACCCATCTGGATGTTCAGAGCATGATTCAAAATTAAGAAAACATTACTCTGTAAGGATTGAGGCAGTTTCTTTGTCTTATTTTATATGAAATATATTTGTTTAAAACTCAGTAATCATTATGGCACTGCACTTTTAGAAGACCAGACATCTTAACAAGCATTTGCATTTAAGATGTTCTCGGGGAGGATGATTTACAAAGCCCTTTAAATGAGAATTGTGTGACTGGTTTACTATAAACTTCAATTAATGGTCTGTAAGAGGACAAGACTATCATCATTTCCCTTTGAGGCAGCAACAAGAGTTGTTCATCTTTATCTACAACAACCAACTGCTATTTTAACATTCATCTTTGTCAGTAAAAAGGTACATTTTCTCAGACAACAGTCTCAAAGTGCTTTATTTTAAGGCTCTTGTTGACAAATCTGAGTCACAGCAGCATTTTTGGAAGAAATCAGAGAGAACTTCTGAGGTTTGTGGGATGAACAACAGTATAGTGTACAGTACAGTATACTGAGTTGGACCTGAGTGATCAGGCTGGTTGGTATGGATGTGTGAGTTTGGTCAGGTGTTCTGGGACCTGGCTATTCACAGCTCTGAAAGTGATGGTGAGAATTTCAAACTTCTGTATTGACTGTAGAGGAGCAAAGAGAGTTGTGAAGCAGTGGATGAAAAAAGAGACTTTCTGGCAAAACTGACCTCTTTGGATCTGTTAGTTTCCCCCAAAAGGCTAAAATCCTTATTATGTCCCTCATTAAAAAACTAACAAACATTCACACATTTGTTTTTACTGATTAGTGCAGAATTAATTGTTGTTTTTTTGGGTTACTTTACACAGAAAATCTGCGGTTCTATTCAAAGGGGTTGGTTTCTGCCAAAAAGTGGTCTCCGAAGTTTGAAAAAGCAGGATAATAAGGCTAATAAGGGACTCGTGGGTTTGATGTCTTTTTTTATTGAAGAGTGGACTTCTGATGCTTCCCTTAGATTTGTTGGCAGTAGCGGTATGACCACCAAACAGACATTTTTTTTTTGCCAAGAACGAAACTGTGCACATGATCTCAAATGGGGAACAGCTCACAGATTGCAGCCCTGATGCTCCTGCCAGGGTTTCTGATCACTTTCACTCACTCACTGGGAAATTCTGCTGTTGCTGACTAGGCTGCTAAATCCATGGCAGCAGGGAGTGAATGAAGAAGGAAAATCCTCATACTGATACCCCCATAAACTTTTACATAAACCACATAAGAAAGAAAATACAGCAGATATGATAGACTAAAAAATCAACGAGTAGTTCCTGCCTTAACCTCGCATTTCTCATGAGTTGGATTTGAAACAGGTAGCTTCAGTTTTACCCAAAGGTGACATTCAAACTGGGTTTTGAACTGAACAACTTTGCTCTCAGTCAAACTATTAAATACCTGCCCTACAATGCTCGCTGGTTTAGTTATTCTTGTTTACCTGGGTTGAAATTTAACTTCTCTTCAGCTTTTTCAAGTTGAAAAAAATATCATTTGGACAGCATTTTACTATAACTTTACTATAACAGTGCAATTTAGATTAATTTAATCTGACAACACCACAACATTACAATCTGAGAGACGATGTTGATTTTTTCATCACAAACCAATTTTTAAAAATATAACTTGTATATATCTGCATTTCTTGAGCATTTTTTAAATCTTTTTTTGTTTTCCAAAATACATTTTTTTTTTTTTTAAGAAATTGTTTTGTTTTCAAAAATATATTTAGGCTTCATGAGAAACATTTATTGAGTTCTGCTAAATGTTTTCAGGTTTTAATTAAAGAACTATATTTTTTTTGTTTCATGAAATATTTATTTATTGTCTTGCTGAAATATTTGCACCATTGACCCTCAGGGCCACCATATTTTGGGGATGTGCTGGGGACTCTTTCTTAACTTTACAGGTCAGTGTTTTGGTCAAAAGCCATTTTTTATAATCTGTTATTTTGAATACTGACAGCTGTTAACTGAGTGACAACAACTTTGTAGAATGGCAACAGTGGATGAGGATTCTATGGAGCTTTAACGTGCCTTGAAGGGACAAATGCTGAAAGGAAGCATTTCAGATAGAGGCTAGAATGAGGCCAAAGACAGCAATAGGTTGAAAATAAAGGATCTCTGAATCATGTCAAGTTAATAGCAAGCTAACCTTAAGGAAAGTCTATCCTGGGCATTATTTGCTAAATGAAACTCTTTAATATTGTTTCTCACCAGGTGAAGTGTATAAAAAGTATCTTGAAAAGCGTGTGTTTTCTTGTGGTTATGATGTTAAACAGACGACTTGTGCCTCTCAAAACAGTAAAGAGGAAATGAAAACTGTTCTAAATAGAAACTTTGATCAAGTCACAATTTTTAGATCTAAACAAGACAAATTCAGAACTTTACCAGTGATGTCAAAGTTACATTAGCTGGAATTTGTCAACGCAGTTGTCCTCAGAAATCTCATTAGTATCAAATAATAAACATGTAATTTACAAAAGGAAGTGAATACAATCAAGTGGAGGAAGCCCCTCCAAAAACTTTATTTATATATTGAAAAATCCTGTCTGCATGTTCAAAGAAGCATGGTTCATGATCATATATAATGATGATTGGGGAAGTAATTATTGCATCAGTTTTCTTTTGTTCCTCCTCTGTTCTAAACTTTCTAATTCTATTCACCTAAAAGTTTTAGTTAGTTATTGAAATGATTGTGAATCCTTAATTTGATGTGTTTTCAAATGTGACCACCACACAGTTACTAAAAAAACAATCTGCATTTAAAACACATTAGGCTCATGCACAGCCTCTCAATGAAACCACTTCAGCCTTAATCTGATGACATATCTGACAGCTCACCCTCCCTCCTCCCTGTAAGTCATACACTGATAACAATGGCCTGGACAAAAAAAAATCCTCTGATGGTGAGTGCTTATTGGAGCCCGTCTAGTGTAGTCTGCAATATGGAATGGGACAAAAGGAGGGCATTTTAATGGTTTAAAAGGCCGGCCCTGAGAGGACACATGGGGGAGGGGAATGGGACTCTCCTTTAGCTGGTCAGCCTCTCTATTACTACAATTACAGCCCAGTGCTTTACATACCTGTTTTTTGCACTGTGTTTTACTCCCCCAGCCCCCTCTACAGCTAATCAATGTCTGTGCACCCTGCCGCCCGAATATTATGGACTGCAGTGGTGCTAAAACACTTCATAACTCAGCTCAGGCCTAGGGGAATAGCATGACGGGTGTGGCAAGAAGACACATGAAGAAAAAAATGTTGGTTTCAGCGAGCGCTGCCTCATTATCATATTTTTTCTGTAACATTACCCATTCCCTAAGGAAATCTAAATGTGCACAAATATAGCTTGATGCTTTTTTGCTGTCATGCATGAAGACAGAGAGGCTTGACTGCAGCAGATGCATTATTAAAGCCTTATTGTGTTGCCATTCTTTACATGGGCTATACTGTTATGGATCATTTCTGTTTGACCCTGTTTGGTGCGTCTGTGGCCTGATAGATTGTCCTTAAAATTGAGGATGGGGGTGTAAAAGAATAGACCTAGAGGCTGAGCAAAAAAAAGGTAAAAGATGCAGGGTGGGAAGGTGGATAAAAACGCAGTAGGATCAAGGTCAGAGCAGGTTTGACAGACCATGTGTCTGCAGGGTGTCGTCCACAACTGCTCTGGCCTCTTGACCCACCAGGGAATGGATGAGGCTGCTCTCCTTTTTTTTTTTTTTTTTTGTGCACTTTTACTGACCCACTGTTGCAGTTCAAAATAATCCACTGTGTAAGCTGCTTATCTACAGCACAATTTTGTGAAAAAGGAAGCACCAGAGCAGATTATTTGCAATTTGTCCTAAGAGCTGCCCCTGCTCGCCATAACCTCCCTTTCACCCTCTCCACTGCATGCAAATAGAGTGCTTATGTGTGTGTATTATATGGGTTACGCAGCGGATATTTAGGGATACCACAACCAACAATATGTCTGTTACAACTTAATCAACAAACTGACTGTAAATAGGGCACCAAAGATGACTTATTTTGCTCAACAAACCGTCAAAAATCCAAATATGCTACAAGGCAAAAAAAACTAGGAAATGAGAAAATATTTTCTCAGTACACAGAGTTTTGGGGGGTGTCTTACTGGAAATTGAACTAAATGATAATAAAATTGTGATAAAATACAAATTAATTCAAAACTGTCATTAAAAAAAGGTTACCTGTAGCTTTGTATCTGAACAAATTATGGGAGTTCTTATGATATAATCTTTAATTTTAGTTTACATGGATTCAAACAGACAAGTATATATGCTGCAAACTAAAGAAAATGAAAGAAAACAAGTCAGTGTAATATTAATAACATTTTGATTGACAGGAAAGAGGAAGCAGCTGATGCATATTTGTAGGCTGTTGTAAGTGGAGCTGGGTGTGTTTGAGTTTGTGTTTTATCTGTGGGTTCTTCAAAATCCACGTGTCTCAGCTATGGCCCTGTTTAGCTCCGCTGACATACATTTGGGACCTCAACTACAGTTCCCATAATGCAAGTGAAAAGAAAGGACGCCCTGACGTCACAAGCAAGCTAAATGACTACTGGATGTTGTAGTTCGTGGATTAAAATCACTTCCAATTTTGTTAATTTACCCGCGATATTTTTACGATTTTAATTTGTCGTTGCTAGTTTAAGGCTTTTGTTTTTAATGAGTAAATAACAACAAACTCCCAATAATTACACAACTGTCAATAATACGAGGAAAAATTGCAAGAGTACTACATAACCCAGCTGCCCTTCAGTTGTTGCGCATGCGTGGTGCGCAGCGGCAGCGATGTGTGTGCGCTGTAGTCACGTGGAGACGGTAGAGTCCTCGGTTCTGTCCAAACAGACCGCGATCACTTAGCAGTCAGTCTGTCGGAGCGCCGATCGGTGCTAAACTAATTCATGTTGTTTTTCTAGCCACCCGTCCCTTTAAACTAGACTATTTTCTCGAAGAATGAGCGATAACGATGATATCGAAGTCGATAGTGACGTGAGTATTCCCACTTTTGGCTTTTTATGGATGTTATTCAGCCAGCTGGCGATTTAGCTGAGCTAGCGTTAGCCTCCAGTAAGCTGGGCTAGTTTTGCTTTTCTGTCTGATTATTTCTCGTCGGGTTTCTTGTTAAGAATAAGAAAAAATGAATTTTTAAGCTCTATGGCATTGGTTATCTATTAAATTGTACGACTTATTGATGACTTCAGCGAAACAGTAAGATTTGCTGATAAATTTTGGCTACAATTGTACTTTTTGTTCTGTTTCTTTGCAGGAAGACTCACCGAGATATCACTCTGTGGTGCGTAATGCTGGGGGGGTTTGTCCAATGTCGAAACATGTTTCACTGCTGCTGCAAAGTTGATTTATTCACCACCTACTGCCTATTTTAGACATTGCTGTTTTGAACGCTTCGGTAAGGTGTACTGTGGGAGGTTTATGTAACTCCAAATGTGTGAAAGTCCTGCTTTCTATCATTTTGGGTCAGCTAAAATTGTGTTTTAATTTGATAAAATGCAAGATAAAATAACTATTTTTTCCCTCATATTGGGTGCATTTCTAAAATTGCTGCAATTGTTCCTTAGTTTACGCGCTAGCAGTGCATTGCAGGGTATCCCCCATCCTGTGCGTACGCGGCCATAGGGAGACGGTGACACGACATCTATATTTAGACCAAAGCTTTATCCTGCTGCAAAAGCCCTTTTTCTTACATGGGAATTATTTTTTCCGCTGAATACAAAGCCTTCTGTGCACGGAGGTTGTCGCTTTAGTCCTTTCCCTCGTCGATTCACCCCACACACCACGGGGATTCCGCTCGTGATCGGGTTTTTTTGTGCAAATTACACATCTAGGTCATCCCGGTAAAAGAAGCCAGTTTACATTGGCACTGCATTCGTGATGATGCAGGGGGAAAATAAGGTGGATAAAGAGGCTGTTGCATGTGTGGAGGAGGTGGAGTGGAGTAGCCGCGCCTGCATCTCGGGCAAGCCTCCGTGTCAGGAAGGCGTGCTGCGGGATGTTTTCCTGTGTTGCAGCCAGTGATTAGAGCCATCTCCTCTCTACAGGCCACTGAAGGGCTGGCAGCCTCAATGAATGACGTATAGCAAGCTGCATCGCATACTGGCCAGAAAAACACCCTGCACAGGACGTGTCTGATGCACAGGCTGTATGACAGGACGCCCTACCTCCGTGTAGATAAACAGGATTTAGATGCAGGAAGGGATTAGAGCGGCATCAGTGTTACATTTCAGGATATACATTAGAGATAACTTGATTTAAAGAGTTTCTCTGCACAAACACAGCATGGCTTTGGCACAGTCGTGAGCTCAGATGCAGAGTCACATGAGCAGCTCAAACCTGATTTCAGCTTATTTAATGTCATTACAGAAGCTATAAGTATTAATATGTCTGTTCCTTTAGCTGTCTGTGCCCCTCATAGTCAGGCTGTCTCTCAGGTTACAGATTTAAAATCTGCATTTTCACACACAAGGCTAAGGGTTTACAGGAAATACATCTGAATGTGATTTGCAACAAGGTTGAACTTTTGCAACTGCTGGTGAAGAAACTGCATATTCTCACAGTTGCATTCAAGAAATTCCACGATTGGGTTTTCAAAATTGCACCTTTTCAGGTTGAAGTGTCAGGTTGAAAAGGCTGCTTCATGCACAGAAGCACAGAAATTAAAACCTTGAACCTCTAATGGCGGGAACATTGTGGCACACGTTGAATAGGTCTCCAGGCGTAGATAGCAGGATAGAATCAGAATATTGTGTCACAAATTGAGCACGAAATTAGATGTGGAGTATGGATCCTGATGAAAATTTTATTATAAAGAGCCAAACATAGCAGATCCGGTTGCTCTAACAGTTAAGATAAATCTAGTATTAAAGTTTAAGGATTTAGCTGGTCAACTGTGAGGTTTAGCTGTTTGTTTTTAAGGTTAATTGCTTTAGATGTGACATTAGAAATCGTTTTATTGAGCAGATAATTAAAAATCATTAAAATCAGCCAATGAAAATGACAGAAAATAGACTAATAAAAAACTATGGCAGACACAGAGTAACAAATATACAACAGCATAATGTAAGTGCAATGCTGTATAATTAAAATGTGTTAAATTTAGTAGGCAGTCGTAAGCAAGTAAATCTTGAGCATGGATTTGAAATTTGATGCAGACCTGACATTTTCTGAAAGTTTATTCTAGATAGTTGGAGCATTGACTGCATGTTGCTCACTCTTTCTGGTAAATGTGAAGCTACAGTTGCAGGATAATCTACTTTAAACTTTTGAAACTTTCTCTTGATAAGTGACCTATCTTAGTAATAATAGCCAATGATTTTAAAGTGGCTTAAATTCTTTAGCTCTGCCTCTCAGTCCACCTTTACAGCAGGAAAGAGCCTGCTGTCCATCGTATACTTTCTATACCTCCTAATCACCTGCTTCAGCCACGGTCTTATCGCTGTTTCCTCTGTTATTAGAGCACCAAGGTTTTCCATCAGCCTGTCAAAAGTGTAGGCTTTCATGCAGAGAATGCAAACAGCTATCGTTAGCCTGGAAGCAGCTAGGAGCTCTGAGATTACCAGCTCTTCCAGTCGGCACCTGGAGCAGTTATGTAATATGTCATGGTCAGGTATGAATAGAGTTGACTGAGCCGCTCAGCTGGTGTGGCGTCTCAGGCAGCAGGTATCAGTTTTATGATGAACTGATAATGGTTGCACTGACGTAATTGGACACCTGTTTTTTATGGTGCTTGATGTGCTCAGCAGCTCAGTCAGTATGGAACAGGGGTGGTTTTTGAGTGGTTACATACCACTTTAACCTCACCTCACACAGCCTACAAGCTTAACTTCATTAACCGGCCCAAAACACAGCTGAACAGTACTGCACTCTGTGTTTGTTTACATCCAGGTAGTAGAGCAGTAAAGCAAAAAGGCAGGAGCCATTAATAGAAATATTTTCTTTCTTTATTGGATTCTAACAAATAAACAAAATTTGATCTCATTTACAAAATAATTTGATCCTTTTTTTGGACATTGATGTATAATCTGTTTAAAAAAAAATATTATGGCCCTCTTTTGTAAAACAGTCCACATACTGACACATCTAATCTGGTGGTCTGTTTAAATTCCAAAACAGCCCTCACAAAAGCCTCTTGAATAGTTGTAGTTTGTAGCATTTCTTGTACATTAAGAAACCAGTTCTTGGAAATAAACAAATAAACCACCTCACAAAAATAGCAATGACACGACAAAATGTCACTGAGTTTAAAATGAAAAGGAGTAGAGTTGAACTCAGTGGTAGTGAAAATGCGAGTTTCATGACTCCAGCTGTTTCAGTTAAGTTTGCTGTAGAGTGATATTAAGAAGAAGCGAGTTATCAGCGTTCAGTAAAATCATCCGGGGCTCTTAATGCCTATTACTGCTTTATGACTGTGTATGGAGTAACTCCAGAGGGTTGAGCTTAAATACAATCTTAGATTTTAATTAACTCTCAGAGATTGATGATATTTAGCACCCTGGCTGATAAAGAAACCATGTTTGTGAGAGCTTTAATGAAAACAGGACTTGTTTCTTGCAAATGTTTGTACTCCCTTAAAATCCTTTAATAGTATTTATCACCAGATGTGCTGAAAAAAAGACTGAACACTCAAAATTTAAGTCTGGAGTTGATCCTTTCGCCCAAGCTAACAATAAAAACAGGACATCGGCCACGTGTGCCATTCAACCTCTGCCAGACTTGTAATTGCACATGCCATAGATAGCAGTCATGTGTTTGTGTACACCAGGGTGAGCTCAGGGAGTGGAGTCCATCCCTCTGGTGGCTTCACATACAACATGAGGAGGCACATGGTCCTGGTGGATTTGTGTCTCCAGGATGGTTTTGTTGTGGCTGTTGAGCAACAGGAGCAGCTGTTGCCATGCCAGCCAGACTAATCATACGACAGGCTTTGTGAGTAATAAGCAGTGAATTCTTAAAAAGTGGCTTTTATTACGGTTCGGGTTCCACGTGGAGGCCTCTGGGGACATCTTTGTTTCCCTGCATTAAATGGCCAACTATTAGCTTCCATTTGATACACATGTTGAGGGTATGAGTCACTCTGAACATCGGACATACTGAAGGCCTGTCCTGACCTGCTCCGTGTCTCACATGTGGCCACTTTGGTTTTTTATTGTGAGTCAGAGGACACCAGAACACACGGCCCCCACCTTGTTTCCTATCCCCTTGAGGGTGTCCTCGTCTTGACCAGCTCATCCCGACGTTAGATTGCTAATATTGAGATCAGGCTTTGCTTTGTTCGGAAGAGCATGAGATGAGATGATCAGTCCGCTTTTGATTGGGCGTCAGACTTCATGTCTCAGCCTGGTGACTCGCTGGATTAGGACACAGTCAGATGTGATTGGAGGCTTGTGATGGTTTGGCCTAAAAACAGGTTGAACTACAGACAGGGAGCTGATCTGCTCCGGCTCAGGTCATGTGACCACAGCAGCCATCTTGTGCCTTTACATTATAATCAGAATGTAAATGCGTCGTTGAAGTCCAGAGTCTTGTAGATGCTGTTTGCAGCAGATATTAGCATCACATGACAATTTAACCTCACTGTATTGAGGTTTTGTGATCTGGGTCATGTTGCACAAGCCTCTGTGTTCATTATGGATGTATGCAATGAGCTTTGGTTTATTATATGAAAGGTCTTGTTGTCAAGCTTGGCGAATCAGATGCAAAATATGGTTAGATATTCAAAAACGGCCTGAAATGAACCTTTAAATACGGCAAAGTGTGGTGAAGTTGCAGTTTCCAAACAAGAAAAAGCTCATTTTTACTGCAGGAAACTAAACCCCTCTGCGCTTGGATCTTCAGTCCTTGCTCTCAAAAGAAAACCTCACGTCCCATGAGGTCTTTCTTACTGTTTAAGGCCGCCGGTTTAATCCCCATCCAGGATCTGCTGTTGCTGTCCGCCCACCTCTTTCTCCATCTGAATGATTTGAGTTTCTTGACTTTGACCCGGTCGTGGATTTGAACGGCCACTCCTGAGTGCTCCTGCAGAGAAGGGGGGACAGAAATGCAGCAGGGGGGTGGTGGTGGTGAGGAGGGCGTGGACACGGGGTCACATTGGAGGAGGGGGATGGAAGGCTAAATGGGCTGAGGAATGCAGCAACTTGCGGTGATGACAATTGAACCTCAAAAAGGTATTCTAAAGCAGCGTTTGTTGACCTTTTTTACCACGAGGCCGCTGGCGGTTCTTTCGGATAGCTGATTATAGTGCTGACAGTTAATTTGGCAGGGGTCGCAAAATTAATCAGTGATAACCGGAGTATTGATTAGCTGTCCTTATGTCTGCCAGGGAGCTTAGTTTCTGCTTCTGGCTGATTTTTTTTTTGCTCTTAATCCAAGAAATCTGACAGGTTTTTATGAGAAATTCAGTGCACACGGGCCAACAGTTGGGCTGTGATTAGTTTCTGGCGTGGTGGTAAATCCGGTAATAAATTAGGTATTTACTACGTCTTAGTCGATCGCCCCCTTCCCAATAAAAAAAGACTTAGAACAGGAAAGGTGGCATGGTTTATTCCTGTTGGAGATGCATTCATGGACTGGTCTCTCTCTCTTTTTTTATTTAGATAAATCAACAGAGTTAGTCCTGATTATAGAGGACTCTGGTGAAATATTCATAGCTCAGACTCATTTGTTTAAAGATATTTAAGTAACAGCCTCCTCTTGATGAAAATTTCATGTGCATATTAACCAGTAGTCTGAGTCAGACTGTTCTGCTGCAACCAGAATCCATCTGAATAAATCTGCATGAATCTTTAGCTCTTAAAATCAAGATAGATATTCATACAATTAGGTATAGATCGGAGTATCAGTCAGTATGCTTATGAAGTTAAAAACAGTGATGGGAATAACGGCGTTGAAAAACACAGCGTTACTAACAGCATTTTTTTTTTTCAGTAACGTAATCTAACCAATAACTATTTTCATTGTTGCAACACTGTTACCACCAATTAAATGAGGCGTGTTACAAACTACTCAGTGAAGCCGTTGTCCTCCAACTTTGCTCATCTCAGCCACAAAGAAAGCTGCAAATAAATTACTGTAGTTTTTTTTTTTTTTATGTTTTTTTTCCTTTGGTGAGAGGAGGGGGGTGACCCCACTAGTGATGATGATTGACTACGGCAGAGTAAGATTTCATGCTAAGCCAATCAGAGGCAGTGTTCTGTTTGTACACAAATCACACACGCAGCAGTAGCCTCACACACTACACAAACTAGCCAAGGGAAGCTGCAGCAATGGCGACTTTGGAGGGAAAGTTGGCGTTTTAAAGGGGAGGAACAGACACTATTTTAACCTCCTTGAGGAAACCCCCACCAATGACGGACTGTCTTTAGAAACCCGCTTCAAAAAAAAAATCCAAATTCTTCGACATATTAAAACATTTTACTTTTAGAGTGGAGTAATTCAGTTACTAACTCAGTGACTTTTTGGGAGAAGTAATTAGTAACTATAACCAATTACTTTTTAAAAGTAACGTACCCCACACAGGTAAAAAAAGACCATCACTTTTATGAATCAATCAATAAAATAGCTTCTTGAATTTGAATGAATAACAAAAGTAAACACTGGCGGTCTGTGTAGTCAGTTAGTCAAGACTGTAGGCGGAATGTTGTTACACAGTTAAGACTTCAGGCAGAGAGAGGCGGCTGTGTAAGAGCTGAACGAGCGTGTTTTAGAATAAATGTATTTTATCCGCTATCAGTTTAAAAAAAATGGCCGATGAAAATTTTGTAAAAATGCTAAATATCGGTGATATTATCGGCCATGCCGGTTGTTGGTCAACCCTTAGTACCAACTAATATCAAGGAGACTTTAACCTAAAGTTCAGTTAGCAAAAGAAGAAGGAGAAAGTGCAGCAGGAGGGTTAGGAGTGTAAAAGACAGCGGGCATCGTTACAAGGAAGGAAGCTAAGTGGTAAAACTGAGAAAAATTTTTTTTTTCTTCTTATGAACTCAATGACAAATTCACAGCTGTGCACAAATGTGTCAAATTTAGTTTCCAGTGCTTGTTTGTGTGCTTCTTCCCACTCCATGAAGCTGCCTCAAACAATTCTCACACTCAGGTCAGTAAAAGGCAGTCTAATGTTAAGACACGCTTTGAGTATTTCAGATTGGACACTGAAGCCACCTGAAACGTGTGTTTGCTGTTAGTCCTGATGGGAGGACTGTTTACAGGGAGCTTTACACCGCTCGATGACTGACGCTATAAAACGTCTAGGATAAGTAAATGACAGAGAGCAGGGAGAGGGCAGAAAGTCTGCAGATACACGTAACACAGACACCTCACATTTTATGTGGATCATGAGTGAATGAAGTCACCAAGCCACTTCTCTATAGGTCATGACTTTGGGGTTATTGGGCCTCTTTGTCTGATGAGATAGAAACGTATTTGAATATGTAAACAGGTCTTTTTGAATGATAACTTTTATTGTATGAAAACTGCAGAGATAGAGTTTGTGTTTTGTCATAAAGGCAGAGGTAGGACTCGGCGGCAGCAGCAGCAGCAGAGCGGTGTGTGTAGGCCGACCTGGGATTGTTGGATGCCCGCTGTCTCCTCTACCCTCACTGCCCTGCTGCCCGGCTCAAGGCCCTGTGACTCTTGTCATTGCAGGCAGACAAACGGGCACACCACAATGCGCTGGAGCGCAAACGTAGGGACCACATCAAAGACAGCTTTCACAGCCTCCGGGACTCGGTACCCGCCCTGCAGGGAGAAAAGGTTGGTAAAGCTCAGCCTGCAGGTCTGCCAGGCACACAAAAGGCTCATGTAAGAAATTTTTATATTATGTTGTATGTTTGATAAAGGTGAAGTATGATGTTTTCAAGTTTTACTGCACAGATAAGCTAATTGAAAGACTTGTAGCTGCAGATGTGTTGTCCTTGTTTTTGTTAGAGGAGGGTCACAGTGTTAGGGCCTGGGAGGAGGGCAGACGGAGAAGGACTGGCAGCAGCAAACAGCCGTGCAGTCTAAATACTTGGAAGAGCCTCAGGAAGTTATTATGTGGAAATTGAATTGCACTCTTCCTGTTTTGACATCCATGACATCGAGAATGTTTGGAGCTGCTTCAGTAACTGGGGCAGGCGGCGTTTCATTTTTCTATAAAAGACCTTTTCTGACTGACGCAGCATGAAGGGCGGGCAGATGAAATGATGAGAGTGACGGCTTGATGCTGATGCTGAAGTGTGTGGTTACATCCTCTGTTTTTTTCCCAGGACTGTACTGCTAATAAAGGTTAGTTTTAAGACCGGACTGCGGTATTTCTCTCTTATGAGAGGAAATTGAGAAGAAAATGAGGAGGATATTAAATATGGGTGCCAAAAAGGAGACCAAAACAAGTCTGCAGGATCATGTCTACAAACTGTGTCAAACTTATTTAGACTAAAAACTAACTTGAAAGTGAGTTATTGACTTAAGTTCCTAGGTTTCATGTCTTATTTTGTAGTTTACACAGCAGATAGGAACTTAAACCCTAAATAACACTCATTTTATACAAAAGCAAATTCTAAGAGTTGGTCTGTTTTTGCTCCTTTTCATCAGCTTGTCCCTAAAAACTCCCTCTGCTTGTTTTCTTGGTTTAAGTTTTTTGTGCCTTGCATTTGAATGAACTAAATATCTCTGAGCTTGTTTCCTTTGATTTGCACTGACTGTGTGTAAACATGGACGCCACACCTCATATTCTCACACTGTAAAAACAAAGTTAAGCCAAAATATCACTATAACATGCAGAGATAACTCATATTTGTGAAGTCAAGGTACGCACGGGAGCAGTCTGGCTGATGGAGCCACAGCACCAAGGTCACACCCTTTATGCCAACTGAAGCCCATGAGTCAGATGACAAAGATCCCTCAGATGTGTGCAGCTCAGAGCTGAAATCTTTAGTCTGTTGATTCAGATCAGACACTCATGTAGGGCTGGGGGACATGTCAATCAAGTTGATCAGCTTTGTGGTTTTGTTGGATTTACAAATGCAAATCAAGATTTTGCAGAGACAAACATACAAACAGCAGCATGACTGTTAGTGTGAGTGAAGGGTTCACTTCCTCAAAAGGCTCAGTCTTATTAGTTGTTTTAAACCACAGTGGTACCATTCATGTCTTTGTTAGTCTTAGTTTTATTCTAAGGAGAAAAAGAAAAACAGGGAAAAAAATGCTACTCAAGGTTGTGTAAAGTAAAATTGTCTCCTTTTGACCTGCTGATCTAGTTGAAAACGCCACCTCTCATCTGCTACAATATAGCAGGTGGACTTCAAGACCTATTCTGCACCCAGCCACTAGGGAAGCTCTAAAGATTTTGGCTTCACTTTGAGGGAACTCATGAGCCGTCCATGTTTTCATCAAGTTTGTGGTTTTCAGAGCCAAAAAGCAACTAGAGAGTGTGCACGAGAAAACTGTGATCATAGACCAAACATAGATGATGACTTAAAGGTTAACACAGGGGGAGGTCCATGTTTTGGCTTCTATATCGAGGTTTTAGGATTGAAGTAAATCTCACTCATGCTGCTCTTCAGTCAGAGGATGGTCATGGACACAGGAGGGAAAATAAACTCCTGTCGTCTTTAATCAGCTGCTCGCTAACTGTCTGCAGCAGTCCTGTTTGCTGTCATCAAAGCGACACAGTGACTGTAGTGTGTTGGGGTCGTGACCTGGGCTCTGAATGTCAGACTAGAGAGCTGGAGGATTTTCAGAGGTTAAGAGGGAGCCAAGCTGTGCACCAGCACTCACTGTTGTCCCAGATTTCCCTGATAGTGTCAGTGCAGTTGTTTTAGCGTGTTATCCTCCAGGCCTGTATCTGTTGCATCATACTTAAGCACTGCAGTTTTTTTATATATATGTATATGTGTGTGTGCGTGTGTGTGTGTATTAAAATGTGATAAAGACTGTATACTGGCGTCATTGCTTCAATTTTTGCATGTGTCACTAACAGCAGTCTACCAAACAGGCGTCTCGAGCTCAAATCCTAGACAAAGCCACAGAGTACATCCAGTACATGAGACGAAAAAACCACACACACCAGCAGGACATCGACGACCTGAAGAGGCAGAACGCTCTGCTCGAGCAACAAGGTAAACGCGGCGTCTGTTTCAGCCTACAAGAATGTTTATTTGGGTTTTCACTGCTAAACTGCTTCCCTGTCTTCCCATGTCTTGTGTGTCTTCAGTCCGCGCTCTGGAAAAGGTTAAAGGCTCTGCTCAGCTCCAGGCCAACTACTCCTCGTCCGACAGCAGCCTCTACACAAACCCCAAAGGCAGCGCCGTGTCTGCGTTCGACGGCGGCTCCGACTCCAGCTCCGAGTCGGAGGCCGAGGAGCCGCCTAACAGGAAGAAGCTGCGCGTGGAGGCCAGCTAGAGAGCGGGGCCCTTTAAAAACCCTGGCCAAGGTCGAGGGGGCGGGGCATTAGGGAGGGGTGAGAGGGAACAGCCTCCACAGCTTCCCAGGCTGATCGAAAACCCCCTCCCTGCTTGCCATCCACATCCTCTTCATCCTCCTCCTCCTCCTCCATCACCTCTCTCTCTGCCATCTCTGAGTGGGCTCGCACTGGAGACTCATAACCCCTCAAACCTCCTCTCACCTCTGCCCTTACTTGATCTCCAAAAACCAGGCAGGAGGATGTCAGCCGGGTGGAAGAAGACTTCAGGTCCTGTAGAGAGCTTCAGGTTTTTCTCCTCTCCTCGCCCTTTTTCTGATCTCTTGTTTTGTCCATCAGCGGCAACGTCAACAATCCAAAACCCAAAAAGAGGCAGCTTGGCTACTTAAGGACTGGATGCTTTTTTTGTACCCTCCTTCCCCCCCATTTCCTCCTTCTCCTCCTCCTCGCCCTCCTTTGGTTGTTTTTTGGGGGAGAAAGGGCGCTTCAGGCCTACTCCTCCAAGCACTGCTATATTATATATTTTTGTTTAATCTTTTGTTATTCTTGATGAGAACCTGTTTAGATTTTACACACACACACAGACACACACGCTCACACACACAGAGACACACACACCTAGAAACATGGTCCAGGAGAAGTTTACCTTTTTAAAATGAAAAGAAAAAAAAAACATTTCTAGCTTACTTTTTTTCCACTCAAGAATGTGAAGACGCTTTGAAGCAAATGTTTAGTGATACCCACCTCAGGCCCACTGGATCGCAGATGTTTTTCTGCCTGGCACGTTTGTGAAACACAAAGTGAATTAAAACAAAAAAAAAGAAAAGAAAACTTGCCTCCTTTGTTGAAAATTGATGGTTTGAAGGAGAATATTCCTAAACTCGTATCGTATTTCGTCCGTTAGCTTGAAGTAGTGAATGACTTTAGGTGGCTGAATACGTTAGGCATCTCGTTTTATATATATGATTAAAAAGAAAAAAAGATTTGATTGGATGTTTTCAAGTTCTAAAAGTATGTTATGCATTTTGTAGTAATCTCACAAGTATCATGGAGAAATGCCAATTTGTCACATGTAGATTTCCTTAAGGGTTTGAACTAGGTATTGAATGTCAAAGGTAGCTCCCGTCTTTTGCAGTACAAGAAGGCGAAACGGGTCCCTGTTCATGTGTTGTGTTTTACACAGTGAAAATCAATGTTGCTGAATCCCCCGAGGAAAAAAAGGAAGCGATTAGCTCGTCTAGGAAACGTGTGTGTATGTATATGGTTTCCATTTTATTTCCATTTAGGAGGATATAATTAGTGTACTAGGTCTTTGTTTGTCCGATTCCATTCCATGGAAATTACAAGTATGTTGTACATACTGCCAACAATTGTCTTGCAAGTTGAGGCCTACCTTTACTATGAGACTATAAAATAAACTATTTTATCCTTTAACCTGCTCCCTGTGGTCATTCAGTGCCTCAATGTGCAGCACAACACAGTCATAATGTCCTCTATTGAAGTTAAAGGTGGATTTTAGATGTTTTTACAGCAGATGAGGCTTTTCCCTCACTTCATGTGTGGCTGTTTGCTGATGCAGCATGCAAACACCACTTCAGGTTTTTCTGGTTTGAGTTGATGCAGGCAGGTGTTTGGGGGCATGATGTACTGCTCGCTCTGATTGTGCAACAACTGCCCCTCACAATGAGAATAAAGGATAAACAGGGCCAGCTGATTTTTGTAGCTAAGCAGCAGACACTTCTCAACCTAATTATAGTTTATTCTCTATTTTTGTATTAGTTTTTTATTTATTCCTTCTTTCAGGTGGTGAAGCTGCCTCGACTTACAAACACACACACACACACACACACACACACCCTGCTGCAGCAGCTCATGCTGACCCTGAAAAACTCTATTTGAATGCTTTATATTTTATTAACTGTGTATGCAGATTACTTTAGGCATGTCTGATTTAAATGGGGCAGTTTTCTCTACAGACCAACAGATCGCTGCTTTGATCCACATCAATATCAGCAGATAGGAACATTTTTGTCCATGTTAATACGGACTAAAAAGGTGACGCTATAGTTTTACAGTGATCAGTGAAGGTCTGATAAAATGTTCTGATCAAATCGACTGTCACAGCAAGAGTAACCGGTAAGTTCTGCAACAGAAGGAAACTTTTTATGCACTTCACAAATGAATGCTGTGTATGTATCCATATTGACGTTTATATTGGCAAATTAGGCATCAGTAAAACTCTAACATTTGCGTCTTTTGCATTTCATCACTATCAAAAGTTCAAGAAAAAAATTCTAGTCATTCAAAAGTGAGGCCTTTCTATGATCTTGAGTTAAGTATTTTACCAGTGAACAGAAATGTACAGAGCTTCTTAAGAGACGAAACTGATGCTGAGAAAGTTTCACCTGAAACTGCATGTTTTTTATTTTGGTAGATATAAATCCTCAGTACAGTGACTTGATTAACAGATCAGCCCTCTGAGGTAAATATGTGTAACTTTGTTTTAATATTTTGTAAATGTTTCAGTGGTACAAATATACACATTACCTGTACTGTTACTTACATTACTTAAAGGGATATTCTGGCATAAAATGAAGTTAGGGTCAAACACACCGTAACACTGTGTTAGACACCCCCTCAAGAGATGAATGTTGCCGACTGCTTGCTTCTCTAGTTATACCAACTTTAGTAATGACTGCATGACAGCAATACATAGTGGTCTACTTCTCCACGTGCAAACCTCAACCAAAAAGCCACTCTATAGCTACAAATAATGCTCAGAACAGCACCTAACTTCATCAACAGTACGTATAGGGTCCCAGCCATAGTACTAGCCGTCAAACATCATTTGAGCTTTGCCTGATTTCTTTAGCAAAGAGACTAAACACAACTCACCCATTCTCCTCCAGCAGCAGTTTGTTTGTGGGGGAGCCCTGACGAGTCGATCACCAAGTGTGAATAAATGCTGCAGTGTGTTACGATGTGTTTGACAATAACTTTAATTTACACCAGAATATCCCTTTAGAGCATCAACCATCCTTTTTTTAGTATTATATTAACAAAAATTATTATTCTGAAATTACCTGCTAAATTTGCCTGTCCACTTATGAAGTCATTTGTGGATGGTCCCTGCATTGTTCCATTTTAAGTCAAAGAGAAAAGCTTGTACCAACCCTCTTACAGTGGTTGACGTAAGTTTCTAGTTCTGGAAAAAAAAAAGTGAAGCTGTTGAGATACTGACATTAGACAGTTGAACCTGTGAAGAAATCCTGCTCCCATGTAAGAATGTAAGAAAGTCTCACAAAAGTAAAGAAAGTTCCACATTTGTCGAGCCTAGAGTCTGAATGTATTTATAGAGATGAAAACGTGGGTTGATACTGTTACTCCAATTACCACATCCCTCTGATGTGAAAACTGTGGTGTGTCGGACATGTTCATCAGTCATTAACAGTCGTGAGTCATTTTGAAACACCGTGATAAAAAGTGCTCTAAAAGCTTTATTGACTGGAGTCATATGGAAACCTCACAGAGTTTCACTTTTTATTCAGAGAAAGAAAACAAACAATGCAAGCAAAAAACTCAGCTGAGTGTGAAGCTGCCCACACATTCCTGTCAGCCTGTACTTGGGGAAAACTCCTCCTAAACTCCAGCCCTCATCTCTACAGAGGGTCGACCCTCTAGTCCAGCTCCCGGGCTCGTCTGAATCAGACCTGACCGTAGGCTGTGTGCTGGTTCGAGTCTGTTCCCTGGATAACATTGGCTGGTTCGTGATTCATACATTGATGTCACCGCAGGGGACTAACTAGGACTGATTGTCAGCTGATTCAGAGGCGGCAGCGGCGGCAGGGTCGGACGGTTGGACATCAGCGGCGGCCCCGGGCTGTCTGCTGTCTTCGGGGACAGGTAGTCGGTGGAAGTGCTGCAGGGCCTGAGCCACCTTCTCTGGACAGATGTTGTAAACTGGATGAGTCGGAGCCTGAAGTGCAAAAATAAAGAGTGTTGTTCTTTTGAGCCTCTTTTATACTCTGACCAGGTTTGAGTTAGTGACAACAAAAATAATCTTAACTCCAGGTGACATTGGCTGCCAGGATACAGGCTAGTTCCTGTTTTCTGTGATGTATGAGTCCAAGACATGACATGCTAAAGCACATCTACTGAGGGCAAACTTACTGTAACCAACTCCTAGTGCCAGTAATACAACAGGAAACAGAAAACCAAAGCACAGACCGAGGCATCTTCAAGTGAAACCACATGCAAGCTTGGCCTGAGAGTTTTATTTCAGCTCCTCGCCTGACAGCGAGAGCTTCTCCTTTAATATTCACTCACAGGAAATACACCCTCATACTTCAAAAAGATATTACAGGCCTGTGAAAGGGCAGTATTAGCTTTTTGGGGGCTGTTAAAGCAGGTGCATGCACCTGAATTTATACGTCAAACCTGCAGATATAAAGTGGCAGCAGCTCATTAATTTACCCCATGGTGTTGAATTTAAGTGTTAAAATGCATCAGAGGCTAAATGAGTGGTTGTTGAGACTTCTTTCAAAGGCGTTCAGTGATTTTAAGATTTTCTTTTCATCTTCAAGGAGCTGCAGATACAGATTAAAGCTACAGACTATAATTCCAACCATTAAACCATCAGAGTTGATCAGGTTTAATAACCCTACAAGGGGCCCACTAATGAGGCTCTATTTTGGGCTCTATCATTACAGAAACTTAGGTTTTCATTCAGATCTATTCTGGATACAGGACACCATATCTTAGCATTTAAAACAAGTCAAATAAACATTGATTCAACAAGCTACACCTCTGTCCAGTTGAGCACTCTTTCAGCAGAGTACATCGATCTGGAACAGTGAGGCCAAAAAGGGTGAATTCAAAACAATAGCAGAGAAAATATTTCTTTAATGACTCATTAATGAAAAAAAAGGCCAGCAGGATCTGGATTTTGATTCCAGCTGTTACTGAAATCTGAAGCTGTATGGAGAGCAAACATGGTGAATTACAGCTAGCCTCTGGTGTTTTCTGTGCAAGCTACACAGCTGTGTAAAAAGCAACACCCAAGAGCTGTGTCATACTTTATATCACTGGAAAAGAAGTGAAAACAGAGTGTCAGAAAAGACTGGAAGAGCGCTGAAACGAGGGTTTCACAGACATAGATATCGATAAGAAAGGCTGAGTCATTGGCATCCTTACACGGCAGCCATCTTACTCCAGTATAACATTCCAGGTACGCTCTGTGGTAGCTGACAAAGGTTGAGTAATTTGCATGATCAAAAATACTCTTAACTCACTGAAATCTTGACAGATTTACAAATGGTTTTGTTTATTACATACCTCAATAAAGTGGCTATGAGCTTGGACATATTAAAATTGCAGCTTTTCTTTAGAAAAATGATTTAATATAGCTGCCTTGTGTTTAGGCCTTAAGCTATTGCCCTACCTATCTGCTTAATGTTTATTTATGAAAGTCCATGGTTAAAATTATTCTTGAGTGTGCAGGAACATAACTATAACTCTGAGGTTTGTTACAAACTACACTGTTTGAAAATCGGTTAAAAATTAAGCAATCTGCAGTTATTGAAATGCTACCTGCACTGTAGACTGGAATGTTATGAACGGGCGTGGTGCCTGAAACAAGATGGCCGCCATTGGCTTACAGCGTGCGTAAGCCATCTAGTGTTTATATATATATATATATATATATATATATATATATATATATATCTATGTTCATTAAAGAGGCGTTTTGTGTGTGTGTGTGTGTGTGGGGGGGGGGGGGGGGGGGTTCCAAATCATGTACAGGAGCTCTGAAAGTGCCCCAGACTTTCATATCAAAACTTCATAAGACTAAGTTCAGTTTTTTTAAACCATCTGTTTGACAAGTTGGACATTAACCTGACCATATAAGAGCCTCACAGACCCTAGAGACTTTTAAATCATCCTTAAAGAATCACCTTTTCTCCCTTGCGTAAATGAGCACACACGAATCACAGGCACTGTCTGTATTTCATTCCACTGTTTTTAATGTTATTGTTCTATTGTTATCTATTAATTTACTTCTTTTATTCATCCTATGTACAGCACTTTGTTTGACTGCCGTCTTCTCAAAGGTGCCTTATAAAAAAGTTTGACTTGACATTAAGGGATTGTCTTAAAAGTTAAAGATACTTAAAACTTTGTGATGGATTAAAAAAAAGAAAGAAAAAAGACTACATGTTCATTTTTATGTTTTAAATACAAAGGTATAACTTGGCTAACTGTTTCCAGTCTCTATAGTATGTGAAGCTAACAGCTGCTGAATGTTGTTCATATTTAGCTGACAGACCTGAGAGTGACGCAAACTGAAATCAAAACCAAGAACACGCATTTTACAAAATATGACTGACAAAAAAACCTTAATCTGGCTTTTAAGAGCTTTTTAAATAAGGGTTGACAGCTCTGTAGAAGGGAAATCAAAATAAAGAAGAGTCATTATTATGAAAGAGTCAAAAATGTGAGAAAGGAGACCCAGCAAAGAGCCAACATCAGGACTAAGGCCCGAACTACACGAAGGCGGATATTTATTTATCTGGATATTTTTGTACTCCCGTCTAAATAAATGTATCTGTCCACACGTGTTAGTTCTCAAAAATATCTGCGTCCACACGTAGCCTTCAAACTCAATCCTATCTGGTGCCGCTTAAAAAAAAATTCAGGAACAAAGCTACCTGATTGGCCGATGAATCGGAAGTTTAGCTTCCATTCATCTGCAGGCACAGCCCCTCTAACGAAGTTGTCCCACCACTTGACCCAAAACTTACGCTTCTGGCGAACTTTAAAACGCCTAACGTTAACATTACGATTGCTCTCCAAAAAAATATTGGGCACAGCAGACGCCTCTGTGAGCTGGCTGACTGGTGGATGTAATTGTATAAAATAAGGTTCACTTTCAAGGCTGAAATTAGCCCCAAAAGGGCGAAACAAACGTAGAGAATACCCTGTATGTCCACCATCGTTGTTGTTATTGTTTTTGTTTTTAATTCGCATGCGCGAGCTGCGGTTTGACGTCATCGATCCGTAAAAGTCCGACCACACGAATCCACTACGGATACGGGATACGGATATTTTTTTATTTCTCCGCTTGTTTTTCCGGATTCAGATTTATCCGGTTTGAGTGCTCCAAACTCCCGGTTTGGTGTGGTAGGGAGGCCTAATCGGACATAAATATGTGCGGTTTGAAATATATCCGCCTTCGTGTAGTTCGGGCCTAAATCAAGTCTCACCTTGTAGGATAAGGCCATCATCTTAACCCATCAGTGTTGAAACATGAAGAAACTTAAACTTTTTGATCCGTGTAATCCGTGTAGCATTCATTCATTCGATTTTCAAAATAAAACCAAAAATGAGAAAACGAATTCTTTTCTAACATTCGTCTCTAAAACGAAAAGGAAAAAAATAACGGTTCATTTTCCAATTTTCCGTTTTCCTTAGCTCAAATGAAAATGGGATAAATGGATAACAACAGTTTTATCTGATTTAGACTTTTTCGTCTATACAAAGTTTCATGGGGGTGGTCCCCAGCTGTGTGACTGATACATGTCCTTTTCTCCTCAGCTTGTTTTGGACACAGAACACTCTGACGGACATTTCAGAACACCTCGACACTCCTGCCTCCTGCTGTGTGGTGGAAAACTGCATGAGTTCTGCCATCCTGAAAAAAGTGCCATATGTGCTCTGAATAATTTTCGAATCCAGCCATAATGCCAAAGGTTCATTTTCAGGTCACGAAACTTTCTACAGATGAAAAAGTCTGAAGCAGATAAAACTGTCGTTATCCATTTATCCCATTTTCATTTGAACTGAAGAAAACAGAAAATTAGTTGTTACCCTTTTTTTCATTTTGGTTTTAGAGAAATATTTAGAAAAAAATTTCTTTTCTCGTTTTTTCATTTTTGGTTTTATTTTGAAAACTGAATGAACAAATGATACACGGATTGAAAAACTCACTTTATGCACAGTGTCACTTGTTTCCGCTAAAAAGAATCTAGCTAATGTAAAAAAATAAATCAATAAAAAATCCACTCAGTTCCCTCCCTAAGCTTTGCTGCAGCCTTACCAGCCTGTTCTCCTCCCTGCCCAGGATCATCGCATGATGGATCTCCTGGTTTCCAAAGTGCTGTGCTATAGAGAGCCCACTCAGGCAGTAACACGTGTGGTAGAAATCTCTGGACCTGCACGCACAGAGACATTACACAGGACATGGATGTGTTAGATGCAAAACTATGAGGATCACACTGACTGTTTTGAGAGTATGTGTGGAGCAAATGCCAGTTTTGTAAGTGTGTGTGTGTGTGTGTGTGTCCATATGGTGTGGGACTGACTTGCCAGGCTTATCCACGAGGCCCCCTGCTGGGTTCTGACAGCAGAGGAGGATGTACTCCTGCAAGGCCTGCTGCTCGAACATCCACCGCTGCCGACTAAGCTCGGACTCTCCTGCACGGACACAATTCAAACACAAAACTCTCAAAACCTCCAAATAACAAACTTTTGCTCTGCATAGAAGATGACAAAACTAAATAAAAACTGAGAAAAAGTTCAGTCTTTGTCAAAAGCCTTCCAGAATTTCTGATTGAAAAGAACTATCTTTGTACAGACAGCATCCGCAGTGAGAGTACCTTCTTTAAATAAAGCTCTGTGGAGGAGAGGAAGGAGTCCAGCCTGCCAGAAAGAGTAGCAGCCGTCTACCAGCTTGTTACAGCGACCCTGGAAGCCTCCTTCAAAACGCATCTGTCTGCTGACCACCCACCGCTGAGGGGGACACACAACAAACACACACACATGCATGATCATCGGCGTTGGAGACTGAGGAGAAATCTCAGGAAAGACAAAAGTATTTAGGATCTCATGCATAAAAAATTATCATAAAATGATGATGACATTAAAGGGCTGTGTCATTATTACTAAAGTTGGTATAACTAGAGAAGCAAGCAGTCGGCAACATTCATCTCTAGAGGGGGTGTCTAACTCGGTGTTACCGTATGTTTGACCATAACTTCAATTTATACCGGAATCCCTTTAAGATACTTTAGATTTCATGTTTTAGCAAGATTTGCAATTAACACAAATATGTCAGATATTTGTGTCAATTCATCATTTTTCATTTTGTTTGTAAATTTTTGTATTTTATTGCTTTTATTTAGAGAGGATAGAACAGTGGACAGAGCAGGAAATGAGAAGCGAGCTGAGTATAACATGTAGGACAGGAACTCAGGCCATACAATTACAACATAATCTAGATATTAGGGGTACACATTGACCTCTAGGACAACTGGGGGAGCCCTGACGAGTCAATCACAGACTGCAGCGGATCATTTCCATGAAGTAATAATCATCATAATAATCATTTTTCACTGTAAACCCGATGGTTCTTCTGCCTTAGCGTCTCGGTCTGGTTGCATTTCCATGAAGTAATAATCATAAATGGCAAAACGCCACTGCACTCGGTGATCGACTCGTCAGGGCTCCCCCACAAACAAGCAGTTGCTGGAGGAGAGTGGGTGAGTTGTGTTTGGTCTCTTTGCTAAAGAAAGGCAGCCTTCATCTCTTGAGGGATTGTCTAACTTGGTGTTACCGTGTGTTTGACCATAACTTTAATTTACGCTGGAATATCCCTTTAAGTACTAGTCCATCCCTCAGTGAGATCAGCTCATTATTTCGTGCCATTACTTCATTATTTTAGGAAAGTTTCGAGGATTGACGTTGGTTTACATGTTCTTTTCCAGCAGCTGGGGCAGCATGTTCTCTTTACAAACACCAGTTTCTCCAGAGTGAATGTAAAACAAAGAAACACTTTTTAAATATGCATATTTTATGTGATGGGGTTTACTCTGGCCTCCTGTCAGCTTTAAATATGCAGGATTTGTTAGCTCTAGAGTTGTACAGAGACTTCCAGCAGGGCCTGATGTAAATGCAAATACCCTGGTGTTCAAGACTTTTCAAATTAAGGGTCTTTCTTTTTTTTGTTAAAAGTCAGTACTAAAAATCTGACATGCTTTCTGCTGCTCAGTTTAGTGGAGCACTTACTGCATCCTGTGAAAAACTGTCATTTTTAGGTTTTCAAACCTCACTTCTTAAGGTGTGATTTCTATCACTTGGTTGTGTTCACGGCTTTGTACTCTCAGAACAATATCCAACAGAGAGAAACGTCTCGTCTCTTCACAGATTGTTAACTCCATCCTCTGAAAATGAAACTTGGGTAATGCTCCCTAAAAAAACACACAACAAGAGTCTGAGAGTCGCCATCGACATGAATCTGTTCTCAGTGTTAATGATTTATTCATCCTCTTGGAGATGAAACTGGGACTTTTTCACCAAAATGACTCATCCTACATCGCTGCATAAAAGAAGAGTTAATTAAAGCAGCTTTTGTTCACATCAGTTCAAACACAGCTTCAGTTTAAAGGAACAACAAGGTCATCAAACTGGAAGAAAAAGAAAGAAAACCATTTTATTCAGCCTTGGATTCAACATAGTCAGAAGTCTCCTTATGAATATGATAAATTATAAATATTCGATTGAAGCTGTGTAGAGTCAGAGCTGGTCTATTAGGTTTATAAAAAATAAATTAAAAAAAAGGGTGTTTCTTAAGTGTTGTTTTTCTTCTTTGCTGTTTTTCGGACAATTTTTTTTCTTCTGTTTTTTGTTGTAATATTTTTTCCCCTCTTTCTGTTTTTTTTTTTTGAACAAATTTTTATTCTGTTTTTTTTTTTTGCACTATTTTTTTCGTCTTTCTGTTATTAAAACTATTTTTTTCCTCACTAAGTAAGATACTTAAAAAATCCTATGAGAATCTCATACAGTCAGATAACGTTATCAAATCAGCAGCTTCTCCAGCTCCTAGATAACGCCGACAATGGGGTCAGTGAGAGTAACGCATGTTGTGAGTCAAACAAAGGGGATGCAAATCCTGAGGGGCCTGCGCAAAGTAGACAAACTTATGACGATTCCATCTATCTGACTTAAAGGAAGGAGTATCTCTCAGTGTGTAAAACCTAAAAGAAAGTAAAACTTGATTAAACTAAACAAGTGGGCCATGTGGGTGGATGGATGGATGGATGGATGGATGGATGGGATGGATGGATGGATAAATAGATAGATAGATAGATACTTTATTAATCCCAGAGGGAAATTCATTTATTGCTTCCAATATATTGATAAAAGCACCTGTTTTTAAATGATCATGATCCCAGAGAATAGGAAAAACTATTAGTCTGAAAACATGAAAAATTAGTCAGAGGGGAAAAAATTAGTCAAAAGAACAGAACAACAAAAATTAATCTGAAAAACAGAGCGTTTTTTTTTGGAGAATGCAATACGCTTGGCAAATATCTTATTTTGTAGGACATAACAGTCCAGATCCAAAAGGTTTCAAATTAGGTTTCCTAAAAGACAGAAAATTGCAACAAAAGCTCTTTAAAAAGGAGCCTAACATGCAGACAGTCGTCATACAGATGAATCTTCTGCTACATAATCACTCTATTGAACATAAAAGTAATCAAACGTACTGAGTGACTCCAGCTTTTGCAGAAATGTGGTTCTTGTTGCTCAGGAATAACCTCAAAGTTACATTAACTCGAACTTGGCTGTTAACACTTTGGTTAATTTACCAAAGCTCTGTCCTGAGAATGCAACTGAACACGACACCAAAACCTCTTTAGGAGGTGAAGAACAGGTTTTCAGACCAGTCACATGCAAATGTGTCTTTATTGCAACACCAACTGCTTAATGCAAAGCAAGAGAGTAAAGGGAGTGACTGGGAGAGGATGATATTCATCCTCCTGCTACGAGATCCTGTTGTGCTTCCTCTTCAGTAAGTGGCGCTACAGGCTAGTTAACCAATGACACAACATTTCTCTCTTTTTCTTATGACCTTACAGCTGTGTGTCTTCAAACATGTGTACTTGAACTCGACTTCAGAACTTGGCTGCTGCTCTAACTTCTCTGGAAGCAGGAAAATAACAAGAAATGTTTCCCTATATAGAGCAGAACATCAAATCCCAATGGAGGAAACACAAACCACTCTACCAGAGGTTTATAAGAGCTGGTGGGAACATGACTACGATTAAAACACATCATGATCTCGCTCACAGCTACATTAGATCAGACTCCAGCGCTGTGCCTCTGCTCCAGTCCAAATTAAAGGGTTTCATTGGGAGAGAGAAGCTGAGTAGCACCTCACTTTAGGGGCTGATTTTCCTGCTCCTTTCTTTTTGTTTAGACAGGACTTTAAATATCAGATGCGTCTCACCAGTAAAGCTTTGAGATCCAGCATATGTTCTTTCCCCAGGATAACAAGGGCAGCTGTGCCGCAGAACGTGTACCCCCCATGGGCCTCTAACCCCGGCACCCCGCTTAGACCGCCCTCCCAGTTCTGACACCTGGAGACAGAGTAAAAAAAAAAAAAACACACATGAACAAAACCTCAGTGCTGCTTTATGTCGGCGCAAAACTGTCTTCAATAATTCAGCGACAGCCCGCTGTGTTTTTGGGTCGTACCTGAGGATCCAGCCGGTTGTGTCCTCGAAGAGTTTAGGCGTGAGGATGTTTGTGAGCGATGCTACAGAGGCTGCACAGTACGCGCTCCTGGAGAAAGGAAACAGCACAGACGTGGGTGAGGAGGAAGTCCGCTCCTCCTACAAACAGACATATTTTTCAGAGCAGAGCGTCTTATTTTTAGATCGCCAGCAGACCGAAAATAAACACCTGCACAGATTTTTGTGTTTGTGTAATAGTTGTAATCCCAGCTGATCTAAATTGAAGAAAGAAATCAGACCAGCAGTAGTTTTTACAACCTGAAACTGAAAATTTGCAAACAAAATCAGTGATTTAAATTGCAAATAAAAGGCTTAACAAATATGAGAGTTGTTTCTAGAGAGGCTTAGCTTGTAAAAACACGTCCTCCTACCAATAACCTGAGGAGCCTGACACACAGACTTCATCAGCTGTGAGTGCCGAACTTCAGCCCTGCTTTTGCAAAGACAGTCTGACCTGATGGGACTGATTAATCTGATCAATTCACTGATGGATTTTTGTTCATAATGAGAAAAGTTTTTTTAATATCTGCAGACATCCCCTCAAATGAAAAAAGAGACTGAACAACTTCTAAGTCTCATAACACTGTGAAGATCCAGCAGATGATTCTTCTTCGTTCATTAAAAGTTGACATTTTGGAGATTTGTGGTTTCCAAAAGAGAGAGAGACAGAGACAGAGAGAGAGAGAGAGACAGACACAGAGAGAGAGAGCGAGAGAGAGAGAGAGATGAGAAAATCAGAGAAACGGGGAAAAAAGAGCTGAAATAATACAGAATGACAGCAGAACATTAATTGGTTTGCAACGGATAACAGCGTCCTCCGAGAGCAGAGAAGTTATTCTGACTTTTGCGGTTCTTTGTAGAAACTGAAGAGGATACCTCAAAGTGGCTTATTAGAAAGTCACTACTCTACAAAGTAGATTCAAAGAGAGGGAAACTGACTCAAATCCACTCTCCTCCTGCAGTGGAGACACGGGTATATCTCCTCTTATTTATCAACACCAAAGAGAAACAAGAATAAAAAAAACACAATGGAGATGGACTTCAAAAAAGACAGATGTTTTTCAACCAGTTTTCGCCCTGTCATGATGAGTGCAGTCAAAGAAATGTGATACAATATCGAGGGGGAATCTAAAAGAGAGAGGAGAAGTGGGCAACAGTGTCTTACCTGACATCCACCTCCCCTCCAACGTGCATCACAAAGGAGCCATCTGGCTGCTTCACAGACCATAGGAAATCTAACAGCTTCTCCCTGGAGAGGAGTCAGCGCAGGAGGGAAGGAGATAAGGGAAGAGAGAGAAAGAGGGAGCAGTGGGATACAATTTCATTAGACAGTGAGACTGTTGACGGACCGAAAGCTGGTGGTGCTAGCTCTGCTAATGTTAGCCACACTTCAATGAGACATGAGACATCCTTTACCTTCATTAATGTTATTCAGTCACAGAGTAACACATGGTGTGGTGTCGGACCTGGACTGTACCTGTCTATAACGTTATAGGCCTCCTCTGTGCCGAGGATACAGAGGGCGTTGACAGCAGCATATGTAGGTGCGAGGTGAGCGTGTTGTCCTGGACCTCCCGCGAAACCTCCTGTGGGGCTCTGACAGCGAGCCAGAAACTGGCACACACTGGAGTGAAAAGACACACAAGAAATGTTGATTCCACTTTCTGTATAAATCAATCTTAGCCATAAAATACAAAGCAATGTTTTTTTTTACATTGGAGGGAGGTTTTATATCAACGCCTTTAAAAAGTGTTTGTGTTCAATGTTGAACTTTCTTTCTTCCCTTGACTCAGACATTTCAAAGCTGATTTGGCCACTAACTATCTCTCTCTCTCTCTCTCTCTCTTTCTTTCTTTCTGCCTCTCTCAAACATCCACTTCAGCCTTGCCCATTAAGGGAATTCGCAAAACTGTAAGCCATTTGAGTTGGAAGGAAAACCTCAGAAACTGCTGCCAAAACTGACCTGAGAACAGTGTGCACTTCATAAGAAACAATCTGTCGTAGGTTGTATTGTTACAGATCCTTGAGCAGTGCCTGTGTGTGTGTGTGTGTGTGTGTGTGTGTGTGTGTGTGTGTGTGTGTGTGTGTGTGTGTGTGTGTGTGTGTTCGTGAAGGCGTCACTGGCAGTGCCAGCCGGTGAGTTGGCATGCCTTACTGTCATAATGAGAGAGTGGGTTAGCGTTCTGGCACTGCCGCTCGCTCTGGGGTTTGCAGAGTTTCTTTGGACTGGCAGTAATTTAATCAAATGGCATTTTGGAGGCGACAACAGCGGCACTGTTTGAGGTCACAGCTGCAGGAACATGTCTGCGATATCACACCTGCCTGTTCTGCTCAGTTCAATCCTTAGACATGTTATGCACAATTACCTGCCGCAGTAATTTCAGGGAGAACATGAGGTGCGATGCTTCTCTCATCAACACCAAAACCAATTTAACTCACAGTTCATCACTATACCAGCCTCTCATTCCTGGGAAGGTTTTGTTTGTCATGTGAGTGTGTAAAGTTTTATATAGTCCCAGTATTGCACAGTATTGTAGTTGTTTTCATGTCTGACTCCTGTGTGAAGTATCTTTAAAGCTCCAGTAAAGAACTTTTGGCCCGTGTCATTTTTTGAGCCCCCCTGTGGACAAAACAAGGTTTACACCTTTAAATTGTGTTTCCTGACAAAAAAAATCTCACCCTGCTGACTCCTGACTGTCAAATGTGTCATTTACTGGAAAATGTTAGAAGAGGAATGTTTCTGTGTCTCGTGTCACAGCTGTTTCATTACTATTAGCTTTCCTTCCATCCACTTTGGACTATTTTGTCCTTGGAAACTTTTATTCTCAGTTAGTTGTTTTTTCGTTCTCCTGTTTGAACCTGTTTCTTATTCAAGCTTCTCGGTTTGCGTTTCGGGTCTATTGAACTGTTGGAACATATGACTCATTTTCAAAACCCTGAGTCTTCAAAACAGAAATTAATTGTACAAATTATATGAAAAGGGTATGAGCTGCACTTGCCTGGCAGCTTTTTGGAAACACAATTATCATTTGTAGGTGTTTTGATAAAGGGTGTTGATGGGAAAAGCTTCAAATTAACCCTTATGCAACTGTATTTTATTGGGAGCTTCCAGTGTTGCCAACCTAGTGACTTTGTCTCTACATTTAGCCACTTTTCAGACCCCCCTAGCAAGATTTGGACAGAAATGAAAGCAGGTAGTGATGTTACTCTTCTCAACGGGTAGCGGGTGTGAAATGGGAAGTGGGCGGGGGCTGGAAAATGACAGAATGAGTTTTAGTATCAGGTAGACGCTGTCTGAGGGAAAGTCAACCAAAGACTGTTCTTTTATCGCAAGCTCAGGAACTTTAATGTAGACAGTGTCTTGAAAATGTTTGTGTATGAAAATGTTTTATTCTTGTTTTATTGAACCTATTCTTACTTTTTCTCTTATCTGTTTTTATGGTTTACTCAATTTAAAAACAAAAACCGTCTCTTAGGCTTAGTTAAGACCTGCTGTGAAATTGCAGGCACTACCCTGAGTGATCTGACGGACCATTTCAAGCTCAGAACTCTTAACAAAGCCAAGTCTATCCTTGGAGAACCAGACCACCCACTATTTAAAGGAGTTCATGCTGCTCCCTTCTGGACGTAGATACGTCCCCCTACCATGTAAAACAAACAGATTTAAAAATTCCTTTGTCCTGACTGCTATAAGTCTTTCAAATAGTTCAATGTAAAATCTTTATATGGTTTTTATTTATTTTGATGCTGATGCACTGTTTCAAATGCTTTGTGTCTTAACTGTTGAGAGAACTGTGTAAAATGCTAGCTGTGAAGCAAGTTGCCCCTCGGGGATAGTAAAGATACCCTTGATACCTTGAAAAATTATACAAATTAGGCGATGGCGTCATCTAGTGACTTCTTGGCATCACTAGCTTCTACACTAGCGTCATTTTTTTCCCAGCATCAGAGGGTAAGTGTGCTTTGAGCATGACATTTTCCTCTTTGTCCTCTAATAGGCATAAACTGCATATGACTTATAAAAAATGTTCTCTTCTGCTGGGCAATGAGACGTTTGTGTTAGCGGCTGCGGTTGATCACTTATTATGGTGATTGCACAGCAGCAGCATTTTGCTCTGAAAGTAATTATGAGTACTTTGCAATTATAATAAATTCAGATTCTCTGGCAGCGCAGCAGCTCTGTTTGGCTCCAATACTGCCCCTTGGTAGTGGTGTAGTAGTCGACTGAGAGTGTGACTCACTCTGAGGCGACAGCAGCGGGAATGGGCTCCTCTAGAAGCTCCAGACTGTGAAGAATCCAGAAGCAGAGCCACGGTCTGCTAGCATCCAGACACTAAACACACACACACAGAGACACAAATCACATGATCAGATGGGCATCAGATGACCAATTACAGCAATGAAGGAGACAGTGAGATGAGTCAGTAAGAGAAGGAGGCTGTGACAGGAGGAAGAATGATGGAGCTGATAGAAAACGAAAGAGAAAACACTTCAGCGGGCAGGAAATCCAACAAAAAAACTTATATGCTGTTTCTGTTACACTGCATTTTTCATTATTGTCTCCTATCACACAGTCCTACCTCATAAGCATCTGACAAGTGCCGTAATCCTTTCTTGAGATACTGGTAGTGTTGTTCCCGCAGCAAGGTCGGCCTAAATTTTTTTTTTTTTTAAAAAGAGAGAAGAGAAACAGTAAGCGGCTAAAATATGACAGGAAATATAAACGCAAACATCTGAGGATTTGATGAAGGAGGCTGAACTTCTGTCTTTGTAGAAATCCTGTTGACCTGGAGCTCTCTGCTGCATGTCACTCCCACACTCTCCTGTTCACAGTTTCCTGCTCCATCCACTGTCCTTCCTCTCTAGCATCAAGCACAAAAATACACAACCCCCCCCAAAAAAAAAGAAAAAAAAAAGACTTTTGGCCATGTGGTTCACTTTCATTTCAGTTATTTATTTTTTTTGTCTTCACAGGGTGAGTAGAGGGCAAAAGGTTGTTGTGAAAGCTGTACCATAACCTAATGGTTTTTTTTGGCTCTAGGAGTCACTCAAAAATGCATCTAAAACATGTTACTGACTGAAACAACATTTATATACTGGAGAAAGGTGCATAGAACGATGTAGAAATATTAGAGGTCGACTGGTTTCACTTTTTCAGTGGCTGACACACTGATATTGATAATGAGAGCCGGTTGTATGATGACTGATATCTAATATTATCACACTTTTGTTGTTTTATTTCTGCATTTGATGAGATAGAACGGTTTCAAAGTGCAAACAAATGAGGAACCAAACTGTTGAACTTAATAGGACTTGGAGACTTCAATCCAGCTATCTGTAATTATTGAGGACGATAAAAACAAACAATAAGGTAAATAATAATAGAGCTATGTGGAAGGAAAAATGCAGAAATCCATTATTTCATGCACACTAAAATCTTCAACATCCTGCAGACAAACTCAGGCTATCACTGCAGTGGTGCGTGGTATGGTTCTGTGTCCATAGAAAAATAATGTTAAAATTGAAATTAAAAAGCCCTTTATTGGACCCCGGGGGGCAGTAAGGTGTCACAACAGCAGAAGTCACACACTGTCCTCCTCTTTCATCATTTTAATGTCAGTGTGCTAAACAGAAACACCAGAGCCACACACACACACACACACACACACACACACACACACACACACACGTCAAAGACAGCTGACACCCCCCACCTTGTCACCGCCCACCCACCCGTTCATATCCACAGTGTGCCCTTTTCACACAGAGCTCACCATGACGATTGTAATTACACTCTGCCTTCTCAGTGTTAGTCACAGATTGCTGCTCCAGGTTTCATGGCAGCAGTTCTGCAGCGTTAAAATAATCAGAGGGGAACAATACTAAACAGCGAACACCCACTGGAGCCCCTGCTCATCAGACCGGGATTCAACCCTGCTGTTTGAACGTACAGAGGCAGACCAGGCTGCAGAAAAGTGAGCAGAAACTAACACATAGAGAAGACCAGAGAGTCCAAATGCTCGGCTGTTTGAGGCTTTGACATTTCATTATCTAAGAGGTTCACCACATTTCATCATCTCTTGCATAAACAGGCATTATAATCAATCACTGCTGCAGGAACCTGATCCCAGAGATGTTTCTGCTCATTTTAATGTTTTAATTACTAAATTCTACATTCAAATCTAACAAACTGCTCAATAGAGCACACTTTATTAGACATGATGTGTTTGGATGTGTAATTTTTATATTCTTCAGAGATTTGTTAGATGCTACCGAGAGGAAACTAAATCTGTAGCTGAGGTTTTATACTAACGAGGTTTATGGTCCACCTGTGTGCTGTGGTTAGGGTTTAAATGGGTTTCGACTGTATATGTGCATTAAAATGTGCTTTTATGATCAAGTCCTACAAGAGATCATGATTAAAAACTATAAAGTCATATTTAGCTCGTTCCATTCTTGTGTTTTTATTTATTAAAATGAAACTTAAAATGGACTCTGAGGGATACTCTCGAGACCCAGACCCTGACCCCGACAGAATCTGGTTCGCCGTGAACTGAAAGGACCTGCTGCTATGAATCTAAATGCCAGACAGAAAAAAGTAAGTGCTTGTCCTTACTGGAGTAATTGTGAACTCTGAATGGATCTTTGTTCCTTCAGCGCTTCAAGAGCTTCAATACAGAAGCTACAGAAGAGCGTTCTTTGTTTGGGGAACATGGTACAAGAGGAAAGGTCTGAACCATTCTACCTTCACATTTGCTGTGGGAAAATATGACACTGAACTCCTGCTTACTTTTCCTCCTGTGTGTTGAACTCTAAGTCAGGACAACCAAAGTTCATTTTCATATAAGTCTGAACACACGCAGACTGTGACACTCAAGTCCATGCAGTTGTCATAGAAATGAAATGAGTCACCCCATTACGAGAGCGCTGATGATGACAGCTGATAGCAGGAGCTGAGTATGTGGGCTGATCAACATGGCATTTAGACAAACAGCCTTCATACATCACCGCACTGCCATCTCTATCTGCAAACAGCAGGTGTCTGTGATCAAACAACGCCGCAGCCAATGAGCAGTGTTCTTGGAAAGGCCTCACAATGGCAGGAAATGTAGTTTACATTATTAAAGTCTCATGAATACATTTTCACCATTACAGCTGCAGTACATACGGTATAATAGGACTGATTTGTTGCCATGGTTTTAGAGGAGCGTGTTCTTTATGTTTGGTTCCATACGGGTTCTTATGGATCTCTAATGTAAGGTCATTTAGGATGTCCTGATTGAAGCACTAATACTGACATCACACTCTAAGCAACTAAGGGGTGAAAGCAAATACACACATGCTCAGGTATTCACAGCTACGCCTGGAGGGTGCAGAGGCTGAGGTCATCTTAAAAAAAAACACACACATTCAGCCTCCTGCGGGCTTAAGTTAGTAACCCTGTCATCAAGTCTTCATCCCAAACACCCACCCGTTTAGTGCAGTAAACAGTGGTGTATGGGGTTCCTGTGTGTGCATACGATATGTTTGCGTATGTGTCAGCCTGTCCCTATGAAACCCTGACATGCAGACAGCAAGGAAGGGATAGAGGAGCTGTTGCTGACTACAGCATATTTATTTTTTTATTAGGTGACTATATTGGCACAAATGTTTACCTGTTATGCAGTGAATACCGTCTGAATTTACTCACCAGCCACCAAACTAAAAATCTGTCCACAGCTAAGACTTCACAGGTGTTAATTTGCAACCTTCATTTTAATTGCAAACCCCTTCCTGCATATAGTCAGAGCTACCTGAAACAGCAGTAGATAAACCTGCAAGATCTTGTTGATTTTGATGCTATAGATGATTTTTGTGCTCATAAATGAGTAAAGTACATAATTTAAAGGTCTTGTTTTTCTTGGATTTAAGTGTGTTTCATGTTTATGATGTCATCTGACTGTGTTGTATTGTTACATACAGACTAAGTTAATGGCCAAAAGTCCAGCTGTGATTGACAGGGGGTCAGTGATTTGTGGCTTAAGTTGTTGAAATAAAGTTTATCATCGGTAATCTTTTCTTATCTAAGTAGTCCAAGATTTGATCGAGGGACTGTGTGGCATGCTGTCAGAGTTTCCTGTGCTTCATTATCCAGCCACCCTGTGTTAAAACAACTGATGTCTACTGTTGGGGAAATAGTAAGAGCTTCAAAAAGCGAGAAACTGAGAAATGCCTCTGTAAAAAACAAAAAACAAAAAAAAAAAACAGCTTTAAATCTGTAATGGTAAAACTGATCCTGTGCTGTATCAGTAGAGGTTTCTAACAGCCCATGGACTTTGTGAATACTTACTGTGGTAAGCTGTGTATTTGCTTGTAAACAGTGAAGACTTCGTCGATGCTGCGCTCCACTTTTTTCTGGTGAAAAAGTCGGGACAGAAAAGGAAAGTGTGTCAAACATCACAACAGAGGTAAACATCAGACAGCAATAAAACAGTCTCTAACCATTATTACTGTGTGAGCTGGTACTGAATAAATACAACCTGACCTGGACCTGCTCATTTCATCCCATTTATTTCTACATTACCTTTAATACATTTTTACAAGTTTGTGTCTGAACTTCCTCGGTACTTAATTAACAACTGATAAATAGAAAGTAGATGGTGCGTTTATACCAAGTGAGGAGCAGACGAGCATGATTTTAGACTTAAAGAATATATCAGCGATCTGTCATTTCTCCAGGTTTCTCAGATCATTAGTGCTGCTGACCAGTTAGGTGGATAACAAACTGTAATCCAAGACCACAAAATACCTGATTAACTGAAACTAATTAACTGATAGGTTAGGTTCACAAAGGTTGTGTCGCATCTAAGCTGTGTAAGTATCTTATCTGACAGCTAACTTGAGAAATCTCTAAGTTTAAAGGCCAGCCTATGGAAGCCTTAAGCAGGCATGCAAACGGTTCTAAAAATCACTTTTCCCGTGTCAGCTATTTGATTTCAGTTGTTTTCTCTTGATTTTGACGCAGCATCAGATGATCATAACTCGTACCTCTGCAGCCGCAGGGTGGTTTGTAAACGTTATCATCTGAATTTTTCTTTTGGTACAATTTCACATAAATCAACTTAAAAGACCAGTCTCTTATCTAAGGGACTAAAAACACCTAATTAATATTATGTCTATTAAAATTGATGTAGAAAATATGACATTGATTTCATTCACAGATTGGAATATTTAAAGTTAAATCCCAGCCAATGGAGAGAAAATAATCTCGATTACTTTGTTAAATCTCTTCAAAATAAAAACAGAAACCCACAAAATCTGCTGCTCCACTGGACCCGTTACTGTTCACGTTGCTTAAATAAACTCCCACAATTTATTTTTCTTCTTTTTTTTATTAATTTATTTTTTACTATGGTTTCTGTTACACTGTTTTCAGCACCCTTGTCATTAATGTGCTTTAAGGCAGATACAGAGTAATGTCTGGCACAGGGAAAAGGAAACGAAGTATGTAAAATGCATGGCTTCTTAGCTTAGTCACCTTAAGCTTAACTATGCCATCTTAAGCTGGTTGAAGAGCTATGTTAAAGGAGGCGAACTTGTTTTCCAATTCTATTACCATCAATCGGAAACCCAAAGGGTCGAAAAAAATCCAATGTAAGCCAGTACAATAGCTGTCACACAGCCGCGCCTTCATCCAAAGCCAAGATCTGGTGGTGTTCTGTAGAGTTCTGCTCCTGTATCGAGAAAAGCCACCGCAGAGGGAATCTAGCAGTACCCTCCGAGAACAGAACATCTTTACATTAAACCCGTACTCACTTCATCTGCATAATCAGAGTATTAAAGGCATTTCGTTATTATATATTAGGAAAAAATAAGCAACATTTCATAAGTCAGGAGACGGGTCTCTCGATGGTCTATTTTTTCCGATAGAATCATCACCGCAAATACCTGACGAATTCGCATTGTGAGAAACGTGGAGGCATGTTACGATACTATAACACGAAACTTTCATCCAAAATTACAATAGAAACGCCCCTAATCTAAAGTAGCAATGAGTTATGGTCGAGACGATAAGCGCTCGGGAGAGCACGTTTTGAAAGAAGCACTTTTCGACAGAACACCGGTCTAGAGCGGCAGCATTAGCATTAGCCACATTATCTAAGAAAGCTAATCTCACCTGCTCCCTTGAAGTCACCGTTTCCACCCCGTCATCCACCAACATTTCTGAGGGATGGCACTCATTAAAGCACCGCAGGGGAATCGGTACATCGTCCATGATGATGTTCTGACCCGTTAGCTGGAGTGATACTACGGTGTGAGCGCCCGTTAGTTTGTTTTGATACTTCGCTCACTTTCCACACTGGACTCCACTGACTTCCTGCTGAGGTTGGAGTGGGCGGAAACTGCTGCTCGCACACCCGCTACGGCGTCTCCAAGGGAACACATTTCCCTCATTCATTCTTGTGCGAAAAACGGCACACAAACGCACGACCACATGTAAAACTGGCATAAGCTGAGTTTAAGACGAAACACGGTGAAGAATATACAAAGTTGTTTTTATATTTAATTTCTCCCATCATCCATGTATGCCACTGTCCTTAAAAGAAGAAATGCACCGCAATTTAGCCCTGCCTCTGGTGTGCGCCAAGTGCCAGTAAAACGAACAAATGCCGGAAAATTAGACGTTTTGCCTTCAAAATAAAACAATGAAGTTAAGTTCAGTCAACCTCAGAGTCATTCATCCACAATGAAAGCTTACACTTAAACAAAACGCAGTTTCTAAAATACCAAATAATTAGTAGAATAATACACAGCACAGAATAAAAAAAAAACATACATAATGAACTTGAAGGAGTGTACATATCGATTCGTACATAAATGTAAGTCAAAATAGTGTGTTATTTGTTTGGACAGACTTATTAAACTAATGTGTTATCGTGATTAAGGTAAGGTAATAAGGTCGTATTCAATGCTGTTGTTTGTTTGCTCGTTTGTTTGTTTGTTTGCTTGTTTTTGCAATATCTTTTGCCAATATTATGAAAAACAAGGACAAAACAAACGGTCCCTACACACTAAATGTAGAGCTGGCTGTGCACAGAGTTAAGGAAATTATCTTAATGAGGGAAAAAATGGCTGCAAACAGGTCATGCAATAATACTTAAAACATTTCTTCTTCTGGCCAGATGTTATATGTATTTTGAGGTGCTCTTAAAAAAAGGCAGAAAACATCTTAATGTTAGTTTTATACTTTGACCTGCCTTGTATAGGTTGCCTTAAATAAAATGTATGTGATATTTTGAAAAATTGAAACAAGTAAAAAGGTTTTTTTTTTTTTTTTTTTTTAAAGAGAGGGTTAGTTTAAGTTTAGACATAGTCCAGTCAACTGGCTTTCATTGAACTGATGCAAAGTTTTTGTTTGAACAATATAATTTGACTTAGTGACTGATGCTTTACAAAGTATAACTAAGATCAATATTTTCAACAGAAATTACAAAAGTAAAAGCATTGGTTTTCAGCAACTAAATAGCTTCTCAATTATAAAACTAAGAGGAATTAAAGGCTAAAACTAAACTTCTTTGCATAAGCTTAATTGCATTTGTTCCAGCTACACAACAGGGGCCTTCATTTTGAAAATCTTTACCGGAAACGTTTCTATTACGTTGATTTGACGTTGACGGTGGTCCACCGCACCCACCAAAGGCTGGAGGCTACCTGAGAAGCTGGAACATCCCTGTTTTGTTCCCTGCTGACCCAGCCTCAGTGAGCCGAACCATAGCCTCATGTTGACGGTGTGAGTAGTCATGGGATTGAGGCGGGGGGAGATCTCTCACCCATCACTGAGTTAGCTGACTGGAAGCTCTCATATATTTTATTTAAAAAAAAAAAAACATCCCAAACCATGGCGAAGCAGTACGATGTGCTCTTCCGACTCCTGCTACTCGGAGATTCTGGGGTTGGGAAAACATGTTTGCTGTGCAGATTCACGGACAACGAATTTCACCCATCTCACATCTCCACCATCGGTAAGAAATTGCAGAAGTTAGTTTATTATTTAAAATTTATTCGATATTTTGTCAGAGAAATTGCATCTCTCGTCATTTGCATGGTTTTCCTTTGATGCCATTTGCCTGTCACATTTTCTTTGTGACTGCTGAAATTTCAATGCAAACTCCTCAAATAAGACCTGAAAAGAAATAAGCAATGATGTCTTGATTTGTAAGGGGAAACGTGTTTATGTGGATTACACAAATGGTTCAGCATGAAATCAGTGTGATAACAGTGGTTGGGGAAGCCCTTAGGGGGAAGATTCAACACTTGGCAGCCATGAAGATGAGTTTACCAACTGTCAGCACTTGGCTCTGACAGTCAAACTTGGTGCCACCATCCAAAATAAGAGCATAGAATGCTTTTATATCCAGGGAGAGGTTGTGTTTGTCATCTTTGTTAACCCCCCCCCCCCCCCCCCTTTGAGCTCTGATGGTCTGTTAGTTGGATTCAAATCCAGACTCTAAACGATTAACAATATTACAGTATTATTCGACATGTTAGTTGACCCGATACAAGGGTGTCTCCAGAATTTTTTGTCCAGGCTGGCCTGACCAGAGTGGCCCAACTGGGGGGGCCTAAAATTTGTGTGCAAACCCACACTGGAGTGAAAAGTACTTTTATGTCTTGACCTGACATTGTTGCTTTCAGACCACAGGAACTTCTTCATTGTCCTAGGTACTGTTGGACCCTTCACAGCGCTAAAACAATGGACTATTTGGTTCCAAGAACATTTTTTCACTGGTCACCTGCTTCAGAGCAGAGATGGGATTCAGAGTGGGTATGTTGCCAGCACAACAGGAAAACAGTTGGTAAAAGCTCTTGGAATCATTAGAAATTAAGAAAACGCCAAGAAATGTACAATTGAGTCAAAGCTGTATTGGGTTTTTATGTGTCAAAGGAGGTATTGGCTTCGTAGAGCAAATTATTAAAGTATTTGAAAGTATTTTCTGTGAGCTCGCTACACTAGTCATTCACCAGACAATGAAGCAGTACTGTGGGAAGCTGAAAGACCTTTAACAAGACTACAAAACTTAGAATACTACAACAACTAAAGCAGTAGTGTCAAAAAAAGCAGTTATTCAGGTGATGACAATGTCCCACAGGATACAGCAGTCAAACTTTTAGAGGCTTTTGTCACCTGGAGCTAGAGTTCGTGAGTTGGAGCCTCTTCAGAGAGTAAGTGGCCTTCACTGCAGCATCCTCCATATTTTCATTTGTTTCATACAGCTGAAGTTGTTGTAGCAACTGTCAGCAAGCTTACCTCACTTCAAGGTTAAAATCAGCCATCACCATGGCGATATGCAGACAGGAAAAAGTCCCCATGTGTCTGGTTCTCAAGGAACTTCCCAGGTAATAGTACCCAGAACTGTTATTCTGAAATCACCTAATGTTTATATAAACTTGAAGCATCAGAGAATTTTTGCTGTGGAATAGTGACAAAAATGTTTTTCGTCATCTTGCTGTCTCTCAGGTATTAAAAGTAACCCTAATGGTCTCATTTGCTTTTGTAAATCATAAAGAGGCACCACAGTTAGTTTCATTGTCTTACAATAAGCTAAAAACTAATCCCAGGAGCTTTGCAAGGGTCTCAAAAACGTAAATATTTTAGAGTAGTCCTTACCTTATTTTAAAGCAACACAACAGAGGGACAACATGTATGTAACTCTTAAAGCTGTTGGTGTAAGTCACTTTTCACAAAGTACAAAAATGTCTAACACTAAAAAACAAAGAAACCCTGTTGGAAAGCTTTCAAAACAGTGTTTCATTTCAAAATTTCCACCTCTGAAGGACAAAAAGTGTATTTTCTAAAAAATGGTTAGAGTCTCTGTGAAGTCATGAAGAGGTTTCTAAAAGCTAGATCTTCTGATACCTAATCACGGTGGGCACCATATTGGAAATGCAGACTTAATCTAACTTTGAATTAACCTGTGGGTGGAGCTAAAGCAGGGTTTAAGCCTCCTGGCTAACAGCTCCAACCTGTGATTCAACTAAGCAACACCCCATGAAGCGAATAGATGTGCAAGCGACTTCAGTGTAACTCTTGCCCTTTTAAATGTGGCATGTAAGAACTTATTAGCTTCTGCAATGAGTCCCATGTGGACACTCAAGGAAGTGCAGTTTTTTGCACTTCCAAATTGGCTTCATTCAACATCAAAGGTCATCATTTGATTGCCAATCATAGTTGAGGATTTTGGGGTGGCCTCTCAAATACGACAGGGGGGCCTTGACTACTCCTGGCTGTCCCTTAGATCCGCCCCTGAACTGCATTAACAAAATGGACAAAGATACTTGACGTGTTGACTAAGGACATTTTTGAGTTACCCAGACCCATTACTAAGTTGTATTTTTTTTTAGGAAAGTGAAGCTGAACATTTTATCACTGACTTCTTTCTTCATATTTGAAATGTAGACTGTGCTGTGTCGTTCTCTGTAGTTTGGTTCAGATTTCAGAGCGCCACAGGAGTGTTGCTGAGCTTCACTTTGAAATTGGGCAAATGAGGACATACAGCAAGCCATGCTCTGTTTTCTCACGCTGCAGCGGTTTCTGCTGCCATCTCATTTTTCTGCTCCTCTTCCTGTGTGTTTATGTGCGAGATGTTTTCTCACAGTAATCTTTGATTTTTAGGGAGATACTTTTGGACTTTTCTTGCAGTAATTGGCAGTAATGTAGAGAAAAAAAATCCCATCTGTGTAGCATGTGGAGTTAAAAGGGAGATAGCTGGCTGCAAGAGCAGAAAAGACAGTAAGTTGTGCTAATGAGGTCAAGATTATGAATCATGAAAAGTCTGGGGTTTGTAGACAGATGGTGCATGAAAAGATCACATAGAAAAGACTCTGGACCTCACCTGCTTCATTTAAGTGTAGATTCAGGAATGTGCTATTTAAAGGTCTGCACACAGCTCTCAACAGGAAGCTCCACTCTCCTGTGAATTGAAGTTTACCTCATTTATTACAAGCTTTGTGCTGTGCCTTGCAAGATCTTTTGTGTCCTTAGGTTGCCATGTTTCAAATATTCATCACCATATGGATGCTGGAAAATCAGACTCTTCTGTTCATGCAGGCGGCTGTTTGTGTTCGACTATTTCTATAAGCCATGGTGGGAGGTCTTTCATGATCCTGCAATAATTCAATTTCCTCCTCTTACACAAAACAAGCCCACAGAGTCCAAATAAAGATAGAAAGATCAAGAGTGACCACCGTCAGAGCTCTCCTGTGGGGGATCAATAAATAATTTCCCAACCTTCATGGTGACAGAGGGATATAAATTCTCTTCAGGACCTCCTTCATGGGTGGCTCTATAATTCATCAGTTCATGCTACACTCTACAAGCGCCATGTTTGGGGTCAACAGTCTCAAAACTCCTTGCAAAGTCCTCTACAAACACAAGATATAAAGCAGATGGTTGTTTTGTTTACTATCTCCTGCAGTAAACAGGGCTCCAAGCAAACATTGTGATAACGAGAAGGTATGAATGAAGCAAAAATGAAACCCTGTATGCTGTTTTAACTCTTTACGCTCTATCTGTGGCTGGATGCTTTTCAGGTAAAGGCTCTGCTCTGTGCTGGTATATTAAGATCTGTCAAGTAGCTATCATTAACAAAGCCAACAGTAAAAGGCTTGGGCTGCAGATACAAATTCTAGACTCTAAAACATTACTCCCACATGATTGATTAAATCTTCTCCTCATTCACTGACATTAATATGCTACTTAAACCACCTCCACAGTTGTTATTGCTTCACATTAGATTTTGGTCTTTATCTACAGATACTGTGGAAAATCATTTGATTCCACAGGTCGTTGATGATTTTTGATGGCAGGGATTTGTGCAAACATGTTGAGTTCTTCAAAGCAAAATGTAGGAGGCTTTCTCAGTTCAGCGCTTGCTGAAGGCAAACTGGAGAAAGAGTTCAGTACAAAATGCAATTCAGCCAGGACCATGTTCATCAAAAAGAATTACCATTTTGTAGGGCTGAAACTATTCCTTGAGTACCTCGATTACAAAAAATTATAGAGGAATTTTCTCTCAACGTGCTTACGTCACCACAGTAGAAGGAGGAGTAAGTGGGTTTCTGTAATAGCAGAAGCAGGTAACATAGGAGCTATTCAGCTCTTGAACACAGCTCTGAGGCACTAATGTCTTTAGGGGCATTATGAAAGTTAATATCATAATTAGCTTTCTTACAAGCATTACAATCCACTAACACACACGCTTGTTCCACAATAATTGCACTTTAACTTAAAAAAAAAAACTGTGTTTTATCCAATTACTCAATTAATTGATGGAATATACAGTAGAATACTCTATTACTAAAATATTCGATAGCTGCAGCTTACTTTACTCATATTTAGCAGTATGGCTCCCACAAACTTAACACCAAAGCCAGTGGCAGGTAGACCACACCTCTCCGTTTAATTTATAAACTTGAAAAACCAAAGTTCAGAACAGAGCAAGCACCAGCAACAATACATGATGCTGAAAGGATTTGATGCAACATATAAATGAGGAGCTGGTGTGGAAGCAGGGGGCAAAGAGGTTGTGGAGAAAGCATGAAGATTAGGCAGGCAGAAGCAGTTCAATAGAACGCCTATGTTGACATTTGTCAACTTAGATGGGTTTGAGTCGTAGACTGTATAAACTATGGACAACTTGATTCTGCCTTCCGTCATTATACAAATTTAAGGCCGGATAGCTCTCGGTATTTCTGGGATTTTCTCCACTTCCTGGAACCACCACTTGCGCAGTAGCATTGTACGCATTTGGCAGGAGAGTCGCAGAGAGTCGCTGTGATGACACTCTGTTCAAACAGCATATCCCCCCGGGTGAGCTACTCAGTCTCACACCCATAGGCTGTATCAAGTGTCAATCATAGAAAACATGAACCCGCTAATAACTTTTAAAAATGGAGCTGGACAGAAAAAAGAGGACTTGAGAACAAACCAGTCTTCCAGTAACTACATGTCAACATCACAAGCAGGGGGGAGAAAAATTTATACTCTGTGTAATTAATTTCTAAAGTTTGTCCACAGGTCCTTAGGGATTACTGGAGGAGGCGGGGTTTATGACCTATACTGCAGCCCGTGCTGTTCTCATGGTGGCTTCACCTAGCAAGGAGGCAGATGGCGTCCACACTATATACAGTCTATGGTTTGAGCTAACTGGCCCAAACTCCATCCTTAAAAACATTTAAGGATGGAGGTTTGATTTTAAGTTTGGTGCTAACATTTGGAGGAAGGTCTCAAAGGCAGACTCAAATGGCTCTTTTGAACATACACTACAGGCCAAAAGTTTGGAAGCAAGGCCATTACAGGCCGAACAGTTGGGATTAACTTCAAGTAACTTCAAGTTTTTGTTCACAATGTTTTTTTTTTAAATCCAGCATGAGTTTTATGTATTTTGGGATGTATTTACTCCATGATCAGATGTTGCTTTCATGGAAATGCACCATTTTACTCCATTTACTTTTAGATAAACATTGATGTTAACAGACCATTGCTAAATATATGTCAGCAAAAGATAATAAGGGCTTAGTTTTAGGGTTGAAAACATTTGCAAGAGTCACAACTTCAGTGCAAAAGCAAAAAAACAAATCACAGTTGGATTATTCACTTCAACTTTTTGGCTTTTGAGAGTCTGCATACAAAAATCCTAATGAATCTCAACTGCGTTCAAACTACCGCAAAAATGGCTAGAAAGAAGCAACTGAGTAAAGAAACAAAAGTACAGATTTGTACATTGAGAAAAGAAGGATACACAGAAAGAGAAATTGCAAAACACCTAAAGGTGTTTAACAAAGGAGTCCACTACACTCTGAAGACTAGAGGAACCTGGAAGTTATGATGATAGAAAAAGACCTGGACGAAAGAGAGTTACTACAAAAGCAGAGGATAAACATAGCACTGTTACCAGTAAGAGAGACAGCACCAAAAATAAGGGAGGAAATCAACATGACAAGGTCAAAACCCATATCTCTGACAACCATGAAATGACGTTTGAGAAAGGCTGGTCTGAAGGGTTGTGTATCTGCAAAAAAACACTTTCATCCACAGAACAAGAAAAAGAGATATGAGTGGGCAAAAGCTCACAAAAATTGGACTTATGATGACTAGAGACAAGTTTGAACTGTTTGGTTCAAAACGCAGAGTCTATTAGCCTGGCTGGGCCATCCTGTTGCGTGAATCACTTGCCGTTCCTTCCCACAACTGTCTGGACTTCTGCCCATTGGGAGCGTGTATTAGCGATCAGAAAATAACCGGGCCAATCAGTGACTGTGTTTCCACTGTTCCCCGGACAACAGGGAAAGGCAGCCCCTGATTGGTCCATGTGTAGATGGTGACGTCTAACACATGCTGCGGGACTTTTCAAAGCGCTGTTCATTCAGAACGTCGTTAATTCTGCAGTTGACTTTGCAAAGTCGGCAGAAATCGTTTATATCCGCAGAAGACGTCGGATATAAGAAAGCAAAGTCTAAGCAACAATAACTCAAATACCTAATAATTATAGTCAAAATGTCTTCTGAAAAATACTCTTTACACAATAGTCATGTTTATTGTGTTGCAAATTATATATATATGAAACTATGATCTTTTTTTGTACAAATCTGATCTTGCTTCCAAACTTTTGGCCTGTAGTGTACTTCGAAAGACTTTGATTCATCAAACAACATTACAGTGAACCCCAAAGTTGTTTATATCTTGCTGAGGTTGTGTCTCATGTTGACTTCTTTCATTCTAACTTAAAGAAACTTAAGAAAATTTCTGCTTCTGATGTTTGAAGGCTTTTGTGGTAAACTTTGACAGGACACAATTCGCCCTTACATTAAAATGGTTTAATGTCTTTACAGACTCCATTAGACGCTGCAGAAAAAATATTTTAACCTTGTGGTTTTTCTGCAAAGTCTCTGTGTGCAGTTCTGAAGAAGTTGAAGGACAGCCTTTGGTTGATATTCACACTATCAAAGAAATTCACACATAAAAGAAAGCGAGCTGAAACCACAGAACAGGACGTACATTCAATTGTGAGCCCAGATATCTGCCTTGGATTTTGTCCACTGAAGATTTCTGACTCTAAATGTGAAACTCAGAAATACAGGACACAAGGTTTATTGCACTTTGCTATAAAATCAACTAAGTGTGTGACTTTATTCCTTGTTACTGCGATATATAAGAAAAGATCCAACACTTAAGTCCATAATCCCCCTAAAATCAGACAGAAAATCAATCAAACCAGTTCAAAACCAGTGGAGCAGCTCTTCTCACCTGAAGCTCCAACACTCTCTCACTCATACAGGTTGCTCATTTTATTTTAACAGGTCACTTTGTTCCTCATAAGGCTTTTATCTGGGCCGACAGTGCACATTTCTCAGGCAGAGAGCAGCTGCAGAGATGATTTAGTAATGCTATTCAGTCACACTGCTGGGTTTAATCTTCTTCACTGTTACCTCTGCAGCCTCGTCTCTGGGCTCCTCTAAAGCTCCAGGCTGACATAACTCCTGTGAGGTATACGAGCCTGTCCCGCCCTATATCATTGTTCAATAAGCAGTCGTCCTCCTGGTCGTGGTCCCGGCGGTGTTTAAGTCACGACCTGGTCAAACACACTGCCCTCTTCTGCTTCTACTTGACGGGCTCATTAGTCTAAAGGGCCAGGCTGGGGTCAAAGCAGCTATAGATGTTATCAGCTCTTGAAGAGGTTATCTGTTGTGCTGTTGCAACCTTTACTCCTGGCTTTTGAGGACCAAACATGGTATTTTCTGCCATCTTTGACCATAGGATATTGTGACTGTGGTGCTGTTTGAATGTCTCTTTTCCTTTTTTTCCAGCACACCATACCCTCTTGTGCTAAAGCTTAACCATACTGTACAACCGGCTTGTACAGTATGAAAAAATATACTTAATGCAGTTGGGTTGCTAACCCTGATCTTTGAATGTTGCTCATATAGACTCATTCATGCTCAACGTTACATACGGATCCGGATACAGACAGAGCTCTCTGTCCATGCTTCTTTTCATCCATATTTCTGCACCTATCTTTAAAGTTTACGGATACAGGCCAAACGGAGCAGAAGTGTTGCTGCTGTCACTACCAGATACGCATCTCTACAGAGAAACGAAGAAGACAATGGCGGGGCTATTTGAGGATTGTCATCACTTTCTTTCATTGGCACTACTGAGGAATTCTCCGTCCTCCAACTGCAAGGCATTTAGTGGCCTGACCATCCACCGCCTCCTCCAACGCTGCCTCCATTTCTGTCTCCTATGCAAAATATACATTATCACTAGCCCCTCCACAGTCGCCACGTTTCTTTTTGTTTGATGTTGTCAGAAAGTTTTGACTCTGGACTGCCCCTTGGTGGATGTAATGGTCAACATCCATGCCAATGCAAAGGACTCATGGAAGTATGTGGGCAGTGACGGAACCATCGTTTGAAACGGACGTGTACATTTTTGTACGTATGGCTAGCATAAATGAGCCTTAACTACCACTTCTTTGTCTTCCTTGCAGATGGCTTACCTACCTGGTCTTAAAAGCTGTATTTCAGTCAATGGCTCCTATTTTAAACATGCCACAGTTTCCACCCTTTTAAAGAAACCTTCTCTGTCTCTTCAATCACAGGCCCATCTCTACACTGCTATTTTAATCCAAGATCTTAAAAAAGTTGTGTCCACTCAGCTGGCTTCTTTCACGAATCACATTCAGTTCCTATTTGTCAAACAGGTCTTTTTCTGTAGTGCTTTGAAATGCCCCCTTCTCTTGTGTGGGGTCCCCCAGGGGATTACGTTGGGTCCCCTCTTGTTCCCTGTGTATGTGCTTCCCCTGGGACAAATCCTTCCACGACTTCCACTGATATGCCAATGACACTCAGCTCTATGCACCATTGAAACCTTGCACCGCAATGATATTCACATCATGTTCTGTCTTAAAATCAAGCACAGGATGTCTGAATTTTTTTTTTTTTCTGGAGCTGAATAACTCCAAATCTGAAGTCGTTGTCAGTTTGAGGCACTTTTCCCTTGCCATCAGTGGCTACCCCTGGAACTGATGACAAGTTTAAAGCTGGAAACAATCTGTTTTTCCTTTGTCCTGCTGTGCCCTGAAGACAACAGCTGAAGACAATTGCTTTCTGTCTCCTGCTGTTAACACTAACCACAGATGACAGAGCCGCTCCCCAGTGTATTTGTGCCACAGCCAGAGCATCCATCCGTCCATCCATTAGCGAGCCTGCCACCATCACCTACAGCACACTGACATGTGTCTGCACCTAATCCGTCTTGCATAGTCAAACACAGTCATCCTGGTAATTAGTCAAGTCAATTTTAGGTGTGTACCTATTAGTTTTTACATGGCTTCCACACTGCTGATTGTTAATGCTGCTGTGTTAAATTAACTGCTGTCTTCCCTCACACATTGTGCTTGTCTCTATTGTCGCAGCGTTCTCAGAGGAGGAGGAAGAAGAGAGGGAATTCTGAAGGAGGATTCTTCTTTCCTGTATGATTTAGGATTTTATTTTTTTAGGATACAACAGCAGGTGAACTTTAAGGGCATTGGTTAGTGTAGGATGTGAAGGCTGGTCTGAAGTCCAGAGAGGTTAATTGTATAGAAGTACCAAAACCACAACTCAGTTCGACTCAATTTATTTTATAGGACATCACCAGGATAGTTAAGTTTTCTTTGACAGCTTGCTGATAAGTTAAATAGCTCCAGATACTGGCAACACAGCTGTCTTTGAATGTATAACATAAAAACATTGAATACATTTATTGGACTTATTAATTTTGAGCAATTGTACAAAAAGTGGGACTCTTGCTGTAGCAATGAAAGCACCAACAGCAGCTTAAATATTGAACTTCATACAGGCAGACATTTCTTAAACCTTGGCAACAGCCTCAACCCTCTGGATCATTCACTCTTTGATCCAGATCATTTAGCTCAGCAAGAACCAGCTCTTTCAGCTCCCCAACTGGTCTTTATTGTATCCTTATAGACAAGAGCTGGCTTTTAGGGTCAGATCCTGCAAGAGTTTGAGGTAACATGCAAACAGCTTCCCGGGAGTGTTTGGATACATTCGCTATCTACTGGTTATTGACCGACTGGTAATGAGTTGAAAGCTCCACATTCTGAGAGGGGCAGTGACACATTCATGGACAAAGACAAAGATGGCAGAAACACAATGGCATGACAGAGGAAAACCTTTTGCTGAACTTCACCAGGCAACATCAGTGTTTATTGAGAAGTTTCCAGACTTAGTCCCTCTTGAAGTGTAGACACTTGGTGTGGAGCTGCAGGATCCATTAATCCTTATCTGCATTTCATATTAAAATCACTGCTGTGTGCATGAACGGCTCCTGACTGAAGTTTAATGTAGTGCCAATACAGCCAGACAGTGACGCAGGGAGACGGCTTTTATTTCATTATCTCCTCCCTTCTCCTCTGGAGCCTCAGGCAAAGCAGGCTGATTGTTATGCTGACCTTTCACTTAGTGTCGGTCTGAATGCTCGACTCAAACACTGCCTCACAACTCAAATGAGGCCTCATGCTGTCGAGTCAGTGAGCCCTAGACTTTGCAAGGTCTTCTCTTGGCTCAGTTTTTTCCAGGCATGAAGAAAAAGAAATCCACCAGTGCTTTATAGTGCATCTGTCAGCTGTTTTCTGTATGTCTCTTGGAAGTCAAAGCTGGCAGAAATGTGGCCGATAAAAACCACAAATGGCACTTTTCCCTGTTATGGGAATTGATCGGGCTCAGAGGCTCTTTCTCGGAGCGTGATGCCGGCTGTGACACATAGGTGCTGAGTGTCAGGTTAATTGGGATGAACTGTTAATTGATTTCTGAGGGATTAGTGTGGTCTATAGAAGCCTGTGGGTTTGCTTTTACCGACCTGACTGCATTAGACTGGGGAGACGCTTATGGAGGAAAGAGAGGAGATAAAAGAAATTCAGCTGGGAGAAATGAATGGCTAGACTCTCATTTTTCTGTATAGGAATTTTTTTATTCGAGGTGTAAATGACCATAATAATTCTTTTTGCTGGAGGTTTTAGTTGTGCAGTGTGAAATATTACCATGGCTGGAGCTGTGGACAAAGAGGTCTTGTCCTTGTCAGTGGACCGATTACAATTAAATGGGCCCCAAGGACAGAAAACCATTAATGGTCCTCAGACCAGAGACAGAGGAGTGTGGCTGCATTTTTTCAGCAGCAATTAGCCATGACAGAACTTTCAAGTTCTGCTATAGGGTGAACATTACCCCTGATCTGGACCAGAGGGGGTTAAGCAAACCCAAACCAGCTAAACTGAGAGTAATTTGGATAACATTGCTGGTAGCCTACAAGTACATATTTATAATAGAGGGTTACAGAGAGCTGCAGCCCTGGCTAAAGGAGGATGTTTGGGTATTCTTGGGGCTGGGCAATAAAATGATAACGATATGTATCGAAAATTAATTTCCCTTAATATTAATATGAAACATGGTCAATATGCTTTTTAATAGTCGGCATTCTGCCATTTTTTAGTAGACTATACGAGTAGCCAATGAAAAGGGGAGTTGCTCTGGGTCTGCTTCGCGCTGAACCAATCATGTGCTGAATTAGAACCACGTAGCAAATAACTGCGTAGTAGCAGGCTGCGTGAAGGTGACAGCACTGTTGTTGAGGAAAAAAAAAAAAGAGTGCTGCCTCTGGCAGAAATGCAGATGAAAACGTCGGTGGTGTGGAGGTATTTTGTTTTTTTTTAGGTCAGACATGAAGCAGAGTAATGTGCACTGTAAATTATGCCGAGTACATGTTCTGGTATACGTGGGGAATACCTCAAATCTTTTTCACCACCTGAAGCAGTGCCACGCAGCAGAGCAAGGAGCCCATGGCGCCTGCGCAGCCAAAACAGCCGACGGTTTAGTCCACATTCTCTAGAGCAACGCCTTACAACAAAACGTTGAAGAGAAATGAAGACCTCACAGATGCAGTAGCTTATTGTATTGCAAAGGACATGCTACCGATAAGCACTGTTAAATTTCATTTTTTATATTGTAATATATATCTATATCAACTGGTATGAAAAAAAATATGTAGTGATAAACTTTTTCGCATATCGCCCACCCCTTCGTGCTCCAAGACACCCAAAACTGTGAAACAAAATCAAGCAGTCAGACCTCTATGGAGGGCTGTTTTCTTGTTTCATGTTATTCACAGGCCGCAGAATCAAACTGAATCAAACATGCATCACCATCCTTTGCAGAATCTCAACAAAATTATAAAAAAAACACAACTAAAATTGTTGTTTAAAATCCAGAAAATGCCAGTACTTCCTGTCCTCTGACTCACCCTCTCTGTTTTTCCAAGTATCTCTCGTGCTGTGCCGACTTGCATCTTCTCTTCTCCTCTGCTGTAAAAAAAAATCACTGCCTGAATAGTAATTCTGTCATAAACACATGAGAATATGCATCAGCAAAACAAATTAACTAGTGGCAGCTTCTCCTTGCGTACATCAATATCTGTTTTGGTCTTGTGAAGTAACCTCAGGCTGGGCTTTAATGAAAAAAAAGAAAAAGAAATGGACCCAGTCTGTTATTCCTCCCTCACATGCATTCGTTTGAAACTGATCAGAGATCAGCGAAGCGTGAGTGACCACTTCTCATCTCAGCCCAGCTTCTCCTCTGCGCTGTGATTCAGTGCACAGCTAACGTTTCGTACCCGTCCCTCCTATTTCCCCGCCACGTAATCGATGCAGAGAAGAGAAGTAATGGAGGACTGGGCCTGCTGGATCGTTAGCCTTTCTTCCAGCAGGCTGATTACACGGGGATGATGTGGTTCTCCTTTGTTAATGCCTGCTGTAATATTTCAAAGCTGCAGCTGAAACAGGAGGGCTTCTGTCTGTAAATGATATGTGGGGTTAATGGATTTCCGTCTCTTATTTGGTTGAAAGTGCAAAGACCATCTAGAACATTTAACCTGAGCAGAATTAAACACTTTTAGAGCTCCTCTGTCAATTTAATATTGTTTCTCCTGATCTTCTTTTTTTCTCTCTCTCTTGCAGGAGTGGACTTCAAAATGAAAACCCTGCTAATAGATGGTATCAAAGTTCGGATACAGATATGGTAAGAAAGCGCCGTGAGGTTCAATATTGGAGGGCTATGTGTACGATATCTACAGAATGTTATCAGATATCACACAGCAGAGGTTATTACAAAGAGGATGATGTTCATTTTTGTGTATGTTATAACTGTCTCTGCTTGTGGTTGTATTTTTCATTTAGTACAATAGTGAAATCTCGCAGCAGCAACAACAACAACAAAACACATCAGACACAGTCAATAAAATAAAGATAGGACCAAACAGAGCTCATATGATCCTCAGATTTCTTCATGAGTTTTCGGAGGGTGTATATTCAATTATTATTGCATGTAATTATTGTCATATTTATCAATAATAATAATAAGAAGAAGAAAATTTTAATTATTAGTTTAGGAAAATGCGTTGTTTGAAAGTCTTAATTGACAAACTTGCAAATTGATGGTATATATATGAAGCTCAGGTTATTAACTTATTCCTACTTGAAAATGAAGATATCGCTTTACATAAAAGTCCCGAGGCAATCAGCTTGAGCTGCTGGAGACACAGAAGGGTTCTTGTGTTCAACAGGAAAATCTGACCCTGTTTAAGGTGAAATTAAGATACCTGATAACTGTTAGTTACTGCAGACAGCAGCTATGGTTAGCCTTTAGCCACTTATTGAAGCAGCTTACAGTGTAAATTAATGAACTCCTGGTGAACAATAAAGGAGAACATGGATATCTATATATAAGCCAGGAAGTGATTGCTAAAGTTTGCTAACAGCTACACCTATCAATTATGCTGTTTAACTTAACTTAAGAATAATAAGAATAACTTCTTGATCCCCTAAGGGAAATTCAACTTGCCTTGTCTAACTTGCCTTCACAGTCACTAATAAGTCAAGAAAACACAAAGTGATAAAGATTCATACTTCTAACTTAAGAAACACACCAACCCAACACACAACTGCCTGTTTGAGTTTTGGACCCTGGGTGAGTCTCAATAGCTTCCCTAAAACCCTGGACCCTGGGCCCTTTAAGACTTATTTAACCTCACCTGGATACTGATGGAGTGTGTGAGCCTGCATGGGCCTGCAGAATGTGACTTTGTGACCTCTCACTAATCACTGACAACACAACACCATGTTGTTGTAGTGGCATTAAGACAGCGTTAGTTTTGCATCATAATTCTGAAAAGGTAAATGAAAAGCAAAGGAGTTAGTTTTATATCAACTCTACCTGCAGATTTTACGACTATAAAGGCAGGAATTGTTAGTTTTAGTGCTGCAGTATGAATACAACCTCTCTGATTGGGGAATAAATATGCTTTAAATTTTTCATGGATGCACTTCATAGCATCTTGCTGAGATAAAAACAGGTGTACATGTTTTGCATTATTTACTATTTAGACTTACAGACACACTTAGTTTCTTTAGGTCAATGTTGCACCCTTTGCACTTACTCTCTTTCTTTTTTTTCATTTCTGTGTCCATGCATTTGTTCATTCTTCCATGCTTCCAGGGTTCTAAAATACTGTCAATATAGTTTCAGTACAAATAATTCTGCTTTTTTAGTTTAAAATCATGCTGTTCCCTTACCACGAAAATATGTTGAAGTGTACTTCAAGTATACTGTGTTTAAACTAAGTATGCCTTCAGTTGACTTTTTATGCATTTTTCAGAGATATACTTAACAAAGTCATGTTAAGCATGCCTGGCTATGGCTGAGTGAGTTAGCACGCCCCATGTATGGGAACCGCAGTCATGGGTTTGAGTCCGGCCCTGACCACGTGCTGCATGTCCTCCCCCCTCTCTCTCTATCTCCCCACATTTCACCCTGTACTATCAATAAAAGGCAAAATCACCCCAAAAAAATACTGTAAAAAAAGTATGCTTGGCTTCGCTACAGTATCTACAGTATAAACTTTGATCAAGATATACTCAAGTATGTATTTGTGCCTTAGGTTGAAGTATACTTGGCTTTAGTATGAAGTACAAGTCAGGCATATGTACTACTATAGAAATAGTAGCATACCAAAAAAGTAACTTTAAGATTTCAGAGTGGGTGCCCAAATAGCCAAGCGGGTTAGGATTTTCCCCTTGTTGGAAACCTTGGACCCTGTAGAGGTCGCAGGTTTGGTGCCAGTCATGACCCTGTGCTGCATGTCATCCCACTCTTTCCATCTCCCATTAGCAACAATGCTGACCCCCACCCTACCCAACCCCCCCCAAAAAGGTTGTATGCATCACAGTGTAATTTTATAAACTACAAAGTGCACTAGACATTTATCACTAGTTAACTAATAGTACAGCAAGAAGTTTACTTTCAAGTATTCTTCAAGTGTACTTTGATTAACTTAAATTGGGCCAATTTAGTCCTAAGAAGTTTACTTGTGAGTACACTGGTAGTATATTTGTATCAGTGTACAAAGTATACTTTTGGAAGAATACTAAAATTAACTTCAGTATACTTCATAAAATGTACTTGAGGTATACTTTTTTGGAAAATGCTGCTCCAGTTTCATGGAAAGTTTGTGGTTGGGAGATAGATTCATAAGTAACAGTGACAAAAACAGTACTTTACCTTGACACTTATGGTTAAGCTGATTCATAATAACTTCACAAATGCATCTGTGTGATCATGGCTTTACTGTTTTCCAGGGATACTGCAGGCCAAGAAAGATACCAGACCATCACTAAGCAGTACTACAGACGAGCACAGGTATGTGATGATCTCCACCACTGATTCTGCTGCTGCTGCAGGAGACATTAAACGCATAATGTTGAGAAGTGTTGCACATCATTTACCTGTGAAATGATATTTATTGCAGCCGCAGAAGCAACACAAACTGTAAACTTGGCACCACTTTAGCTACCTTAATAAATCATGCAGGGTTTGTTCAAAAGGACCTTGTATAAGTGCTTCAGCTTCACAAGGCCACAGCAGAACCATTTCAACACAGCATTGTATGAATTCCGTCTTTGTTCCAGGCTTAAAAAGTCAAACTGACTTAAATTGAATTGTCCGTTTACCAGAAACGGGCAATGCGATTGTGGGAAAGTGCCCTGTTGTTTTTTTTGTTCAGCAAATCTTTCATCCAGTCAGTGGCTTATAATCCAACACCAGAACTCAGTCCAGGCTGCCAGCTTTCTAAGTGGTGGTCTGCTGTGTTTACTGGAATCATATCCACGTGTCTAAATATATTGATTTTATAGAGCTGCTCTTAAGGATGGAGAAGATTCAGGACGTTTTTCACCTTTAAAGTGCTTCAAATGCTCCACGCTCTCCTCTGTTTTTTAATTTACACATTTTTCCTCAGGGAATCTTCCTGGTGTATGATATCACTAGCGAGCGATCTTTCCAGCACATCATGAAATGGGCCAGTGACGTGGATGAGGTGAGTCACAGAGAAGAGGGATTTATGATCAACAGGCTTTATGTTTCCTGTATTGAAGAAAAGCAACCATGCAGAAGCCCCAGGCTGACACGTTGTGATAAAAAACAAATGCTCTGAACCCGGTGGAAGCTCCGATTTTATGATCAGTTTTAAGATAATTGTGTATTCTTCGGTCATAAATACAGGAAGGAGATTTTTCTCCTCTGTCAGTCACATTTTTATCAGTCCCGTCTGCTCTGCTTCCCCGGTCAGGTCCCTCCTGATTTCATTCTATTAATTTAGTCATTATAGCATAATTTCCTCCATGGGTCTGTCTATATAAGGTCTATTGATCTTGGCACGCTCCCACCATAATTTTAATCTAGGTCTCATTTCCTGAGTGCTCTTGTTCCTGGGTTTTTCTCTCCTGCATCCTCTTGACATTTAAAATCTCTCCCTGTCTTATTTGACTGTGTTTATGTTTCCCTCCTTTTATCTGTGAACATCTCCTGCTTTCTTTCATATGACAAACCCCTGCAGTACGCTCCGGACAAAGTGCAGAAGATCCTCGTGGGGAACAAGTCAGATGAGGTGGACAAGAGGCAGGTGGCCACAGAGCAAGGTCTTAAGGTGGGTCAGAAAAGTACTCACAATGTACCTCAAGACCCCTTTTTGTCAGCTGATTCTAGGGCTGCACGATTTTGGCCAAAAATAAAATCCTGATTTTTTTCTCTGAGACCTTGATGGTAAAATTTTAATTTCAATTTTGTATTCAGTGACAACTTCACCAAACTTTACTTTAAAAATGAAAAGTTTTCTATCATCTCTCTTCATCATTCTCTCAAAACGAGACCACTGAAAATGATGTAGAGAAGAAGAGTACAGAGCCTGCGTATTTAGGCTGTGTCTCATTTCATCCGCATGAGGCTGGGCGCGCTCAAGTGTGCTTAGCTGAGTGCACTGCTGTTATGTGGACTTGCGTACCCTGAGTGAGATGGTCCGGTTTTTGTGAAATGGGACAGACTACCCTTCGGAGGACTTCCTGGTTGGGTCGCCAGATGTCCCGTCCTCAGGCTCGCGTCACGACTGACTTGAAAAAAAGCCGCGGAGCACAGTAGTTATTTTTTAATTGTGCGACCTTTCACAGACACAAAACAGTAGATACATACAAGCACAGATCATTCCCACAAAATTCATCCAGTGATTGTTTTGCATGAAGGAGTATGAGGGCCATATCGGGAATTTTTTTCAAGACTTCGAGATTTAAGTCATGAATTTACAAGAATAAAGTCATTAATTTATGAGAATAAAGTCATAAGGTTCCCTGTTATTTCAGAGGAGACTTGTTAAAATTAGGACCATGTAGCATTTGAAGGAACTGTGCTTCAGTATAGGTTTCACAAACAAGGAGATACTTCATCCTCTGGCACATCAGCATCACATTGTCACAAGTATAAAGACTTAAAAAAGAATATATGAGAAATACATCTTTTCCACAGGGAAAAAAACTGGTGTACTTGAAGAAAATCGCTGCTTTTGTGGAGGCAGAAATGAATATGCTGAGGATATATCCGTTTATGCAGCCGACAGCCGTAAATATCCGTGAATGACATTGAGCTTTAGTTTATGATATGAATCCATATGCCATAATAAGGTGTTGGTGTCTCTGCAGGTGTAGGCTACCGCCGCTGTCAGAGACGTGGTGCTCGTCAGAGCTCGACTCCCTCTGCATCACAAATGTTGATCATAAGTTGGATGATACACAAAATCTCTCTGAATGACCCTCTGATACATCCACAGATAACCCTGCAGATGACCAGCTTCAGTCATTTCCCCTCCACAAAAGCAGCTTTATGACTTTATTCTCCTAAGTTTACAACTTTAATCTCTAAATCTTTACAAACATAAAAAAACTCAATGTGTCAATGATACTCTGCTGTAGTTTTGTCAGCTTTCTTATTTTTAATGTTTTTGATTGTTGAAGCAGAGCGGATCAGTTCGTCTCTAAAGAGTATAATGTTTGGTTTGCAGATTTTAGTGAGTTAAGAGATCATGCGCTCATGCAGCCTGAGCTGACTATCTGCTGTTTTTGGATTTCTTTTATTATCTATGACGACGGGCTGCGTCTCCAAGCGAGTCCGACCTCTCACCCGAAATACGTAGCTATGATTTCAGACAGACGATTTAAAATTGATTAATCGTGCAGCCCTGGCTGAGTCGATCTAAATCTTGTTATTATGTCTGCATTTATTAAAGAGTCTAACCCTGGATCATCACATACCCAGCTTGGTTTTACAGCCCGTCCTCACCACAGGTTGGCCCATTGAACACGCTTTCTTGCGTGAACCTTGCTACTTCATCCTGCTGCTGTTGCTGCTGCTGGAAAAGCTTTGTCTGCTAAAAAAGTTCAATATTTTCCTCTAGCTATTTAAAGCTCCCGTGAGGAGCATTTTCCTGTCTCTGAAACAGACTGAAATTGATATTGATACCTCTGTCTGAGCTACAAACTCCAAAAAGACCTTCAGTGACAAGATTGATGATTTCTATAGAGTAGTTGTTTATGCCTGAAACTTATGTTGGGACGAGGTGTCAGCTTTAACTGTTTTCCCTAATGAATAATGCATCTGTATGTCAAAAGTCAGCAAGATGATACTTTATGTTCCTCACAGGGCGGTGGTAGCTCAGGAGGTGGAGCGGTCGTCCAATGACCGGAAGGTTGGCGGTTCGATTCCCCCCTAATCCAAGTCTGTCCGTTGTGTCCTTGGGCAAGACACTTAACCCACCTTGCTCCCAGTGTGTGTCCTCCACTGGTGTATGATTGTGAGTGTTGTGTGGTGGTGGTCGGAGAGGCCGTAGGCGCAGAATGGCAGCCACGTTTCCACCACCACCAAAGTGTGACTGTGTGAGCGAATGAATGATGTATCCAATGTAAAGCGCTTTGAGGGTCTCTGATAAAGCGCTATATGAAATCTGATGCATTATTATTATTATTATTATTAAGGTTTTAAAAAATTTTGATATTTTAGACTTATTACACATAAACTGAAATATTTACCTGTTAATACCCTTATCGGTCCGCACCCTTAAAAAAGTTGTCTTAAACCAAAACAGTGGAGTTTAAAAAAGAGCCTTATCCGTACAAATGCTGTCTTTGTCAAGAGATACATACTGTATGTGATGGTGCTCATGGGAAATTTAGACTCTAGTCCTGGAAAAGAACAAATTTCGCCTCATAGATCACCAAAATCAACACGCCATGGTCTGAACTCAATCTCTAGCTGTCTTCAGATATCAACGTTTTGAAAAGGAGCATCAAGCAGCTTTTTCAAGGCCCTTGGATCAGCCAGCAGAACAGATTTTCTGCATGCAAATGTTCCCTTATAGACTTTTATGAGAGTTCGATCAGTGCCCCTCGACTGCAGATGGAATTATAGCATCTATGCTGCTCTTATAAAGGCTGTTCCTCTGCATTCAGCTAAAGTCCACTGAAATGCTGCTGGGTTATATTACTTGTGCCACCAACTAAGTACAGAAATCTGGACCTTCACCTGCACATTCTTATGCAGAACTAAATCCTCTATGCTAATTGCATCTGGGCTTGAACTCTTTCAAACCTGTACATGGAGTATGCATCAGCTGCCTTATCTTACAGCAAAAGCTCCTTGTTACCTCAGCGCCAAGGGACCCCCCAGGCTTAGTTTAGATACTGGAATATAAACCACAGCGTAGACTCAGTCAGGTGTTTGTTTCTACTCCATAAATATGCTATATGGTCCCTGACGCACTAAGCAGACTTTCCTCTGACTAATACTTCAGCTCCTGTTGCCTCATATCTTCTGAAAAAGCTGCACTTGGATGCGTGACTGCATCCGACAGCCGTCAGACCTCTCTGCACCTGTGTGAAAGGAAATAACTCGTCAGTGTGTCTGTGTCCAAAAGAGACACAAAATGAAGAATTGAGTTAGTTGAGGGGGATGAACATGTTCCTGTTATCTCTCTTGCAGCTGGCCAGAGCTTATGGAATGGACTTCTTTGAGACAAGTGCCTTCACCAACCACAATATAACAGAGGTGAGGAGGGGATCTGGATGGCCTGGAGTTATAACTTAATGAAAACAGTGCTGGTAATAATCACAGAACAAAAGGGTGACTTGGAAATAACAATGCCTCCTTTCTCTTTCTCCCTCTATTCCTAAGACCTTCACACGATTGACGGAACAGGTGCTGGCCGCCAATAAAAAGGACCTGGATCTCCTCCGGATGTCTATTAATGATGAGATTAATCTTGCTGCTCTGGAGGAGGAGGAGGGACTCTGTGACGGCGCAGCAGCCGACCAAGGCAAAGGCTGTTGGTGTTAAAGAAACAACACAAGTTAAAGCTAATTACCTGTTATCACCAGACTGTTTGCACACTTTGGGTGAAGTTTATCTCTTTTTGTTGCCGGCTGAAACAAAAGAGGAACATGAAGCTGAGGTTTTCAGAGCCAGCTGTGTCCCTCTGACTTTCATGTAACGCAGTAACAAGACGATAAATGTTGGTTTGACGGACTAGTGAAAGACATTTAGCCACAGAGTGTGTCATCACTTGAGGTCCGACTGTTGAAGTTATCTCAGAGGGACAGTTTTCATCATCTTACACGCTGGTGGGTACCTGCTCAGTTTTGTGCATCCTTGTGAAATCAGAAGTGATCTTTATCTGTTAAAAACTCAACATTTGAAAAGAAAATTTAGACTTTATTTCCTCATAGACTTTGTACTGTTTCCAGGTTTAGAATGAAGGGAGTGGCTCAAAAATGTGCGACACAGACTTAAAACTCTTCAAAAGTTGTATTTCACCCTAGTTTTTAATGCATTTCTCCATTATTGATATTGAATAGGGCTGAGTGCCTTGAAAATCAACAGTATAAGTGATTACATTTGGCCTCCATTTGCCCCTTAAGTGATTTCTTTATGTGGGTATTAGCACTGCTGCCCCTACAGCCTCCCTACCTTTGAATGCAGTTCATGTAGTGTGAAGATCTGACCACAAGAGGGTGCTGCTTGCTCTGCAAAAGCAGCACCCTCACTACAGAGACGTCAAGCTATTTCAGTGTTATTTTTTTTGTTTGCACTTACTGCTGCCACCTTTAAAGGGAGAGAGAGTTCACATATGCAGCTTTTTCTGAAATTTTCCTCATTATGTTTCATGCAAATGCTCCTCAGATTCTATTTTTTTCCATGTTAAGTTCACACATACACTTGTTGAGAATTTGAAGTTGCTAGTAGAAGTTGATACTCTGAGAGGAAAATCTTTATTTCCTTGTAGCAGAACTGAAGATGCATCATTTTGTAGTCTTTGTGAATAACAGATGGTTTGATAACTGTCCATTGCATTGTAAATACCAGGTTTTTCAAAGCATTGTATATAGGAGTATTAATTTATTCTATTTCCATTAGAGGGCTGTGTGAAAAAAAAACTAGTGTCAGATTTGAGATGGTCTTGAATATTCACACTTTGAAGATGAAAATCTGTCATTTTGTCTTCTCCCCACAGTTTTGTACAAAAAGTCTAATGGAGATGCCATTTTCCTCATGGACTAACAAAGGACAGTGTGAGCTTTGCATGTGATTCACTTTTTTTTTTTTCATCCCAACTTCAGTGAAGTTAATAATCTGCCGACCATCATACAGAGCATTTGACCAGAGCTGCCTGTTTCAGTCTTGAACAGAATGACCATCATCGGACAAAGTTAAACTACGTTTTTCTGCAACTTAGTAACCCCAAACAATCGTTAATCTTTGCAGTGTGTGAAATGGAAGTATGTTGTTCTGGACTGAGCTCTAGATACAAAAATCTATCAGTGTTGTTCTCTTTATTTTTCTTCTAGACTTCTTCGACCTGTATTTGTGGAAATATATTTCATGCAACATGTAAAATGGAACCTGTTATTCTTGGAGAAAAGATGTCAGATGTTTGAGTAAAGACTTGCAGATATGAGTCACTGTGAGTGAGTCTTCTTGGTTATCTGTAGGAGAGCCCTCAGTTTGAGACGAACATACAAAGCAGAGTGACGCACTGTATTCGAGTTTTGAGTACTAGAAGTCCCTGGATCGCGGGGGGAACGTGATCTGCATTACAAAGAGACTGTGCGAATGCAAAACATTTACACTACAGATAAAAGAAAATACAGGATGTACAGGTAGCGCACTGATAAAATTCATCATACTAAAGGCAGTAAGTAGCAAAAAGGAGTAAAGGTATATGAGTGAAGAGGAGAAAAAAAAGGAGATGAGTGAAGAAAAGGGTGCTTTGCTTTTTTTTTTTTTTATGTTATTATTGTGATTTTCATGGTTCACATGTTAATTCAGATATCAATTCACCAATCTCATCCATTCATCTGTATATTACAACTAAACTACACTGTAATACATCCACAAATCCACTTGCAATACAGAGGGATGATTGGTCCTCCCTCAATCACAGAAATAATGGAATTAATAAAATACAAAAATTGAGAACACCGGAGAACAAGAATGCTGGGGTGCACATCTGTTATGCCATATATATACAGTATATATATATATATATATATATATATATATATATATATATATAATATATACATTTATATACATTTATTATTATAATTATTATTTTGCATAAGGGTTCAAAAAGAGAAACAGATGAAAAAGGGAAATGGATGTAAGACCTGATACTAGACAAATGATGGACCAATGGGAGCGGCGACACATCAAACTGTTCTTTCCCATCTTTTCAAAAACAGTCCCTGTTTTAGTCTTATAAAAAAAGTAATTCTTTCCATCTTAAAAATGTTATAAATAATGTCAAACCACTCGTCCACTCGTCACTCATAACTCCTAAATACAATAATGCAAACTCAAAAGTAATATCTGCCTGAAATACTTTTTGCAAAACGTTGTAGACCTCTTGCCAGAAAGGCAACAATATAGAACAAGACCAAAATATGCGAAAATGATTTGCCTTGAGGCATCCACACTGTCTCTAACATATAGATGAAATGGAACATTGTGTTTTTTGAGCTGGTGTGGGTTTTCCAACAAAATTCTCTCCATAGTGTTGAATTTGAAGTTTTCTATTGTACAACAAGGATGCTTTTTAACTTCCCTATTTGCACAAAAAGTTGATATTTTGATAAACGCATTTCATTGTCAAAAAAAAAAAAAAAAAAGTGTTTTTTGCATGCAATTACTATTTCAGTCAGGACCAGGTATGTTTAAAGCATAGTTTTTTTTTGCATGCATATGGCTCCGTTTGAGCAGGGAAAGCACACCTTCACTCTATTTCATGTGCATTCATGAAGAGCTAAGGCAGGGGGCAGCAAAGACCCCAGGTACAGGGGGGGTTGATACATATGACACAGGTGAGATCCGACACATGAAGGAGGAGCTGGGTAAAGCAGGAGGAGTGGGCAGGCTAAAAGCTTATAAACAGGACACCCAGATGATATAGGATGGAGTTGGACTCAGTGAATGATCTGTGGGCTAAACTTAACCTTATGGCCTGCCTGAACTAACACTGAGTTAGAGGACATTTATTTGATCCAACTCTTGGTAATATTTACTCAGAGGGGATTGACTGCAGCTTTATCAGTGTTATAACCCATACTTTTTAAGGCTTGTATGTATGCTTAAATTACCTGAAGCTTTAAATGATGTTTGACTAAATACAGTATTCTGAATAAAAAGTTCTAGGCAGAGGCTTTTCAGTGAGTGTGTTATCCCTTATTACACCACCAGATGACAGATTCAGCACATTTTACTCTACCTCTACTGTTCCTCTTTTCTTTTAACACCCTATGAAGACTGCTAAGAGTGCAAGGCGTCTTTCTGGTGTCAGACAAGGAGGTAAGTGAAAATAAACAGGAGAGCTGCTCCCTATTGAGTCTTAGTTCAGTGTTCTAGTGTTCACTGTTATTGAGAAACAAACATTCAAATACCAAAAGTCCATTTTATTCCAGAATAGTCTGACAGATTTAGTGGTTTACTGCAAGTACAGAACGATAATAATAATAGATTTGTCATTAGGCGTCAGTGGTGGGGTTTTCTCAGTAAGAACTGCCGCATAGAAAAGCTGCAAAGCTTTTGTTCATCGCCTCCTCTGAGTTGTTAATGCTGTGAACTCATTAAAGCTCTCAGAGTGGAATTAGCATAGCGATGAATATGCATGTAGAACTGTCGTCTGGTTGACAGATATGACAACTTAGTATCTCTCACAGGACAAGACTACTAGCACACTGACACATGGCACCCACCCACCCACCAATACACACACACACACAAACTCACACACAATTTATTTACACAAGGGGGAGTGTAGTGGTGTGCAGTGCAGTGTAGTGATGCTGTTTGGAGCAAAAACCCTCATTATCATCATCTTCATCATCATTTTCTGCAACACAATCCTGCACCATGCTACTTTAGGTCATGCAGCTGTCTGACATTCAGCCATATGGTGTGTGTGTATTTGTGTGTGCGTGGCAGTGTTGGAGAGTTTAAATGGCTGATTGCTGGAGTTGTTATGATATAGTATCTGTGTGGGGGGTGTGAGGAAGAAGCAGGAAATCAACCCAGCTCTCTGATGAGGACAGGACACAGAGCAGAGAGCTTATTCGTGTTCACACAAGAGATGGAGCTGAATTTCCTTGACCTTCATACCGCATGGTACAAGCTGTGATTTGTACAGTTCTGTCAACATGGTGGTTCACTGCTGACCTCTCAAAAGGTCCTCAATAAAGGTATGAAAAATGTTCTTTGGTTGAATCTGTACTCTCACCATGAAGCACAGAACTCGTGTATGATTTCATGTATGCTGACGGGTTAACAACTCACATCAAGTCTAAAAGGTAGGCATGCCGGGCAGGTGTGAAGAAAGACTAACCCAGCTTCATAGCACTACTGCATGGAGTATCCTGTTGCATAACATAATATAATGTTGCAGGTTTGAACCCCAGCAGCAGTGTCATGATTGTGCCACCTGGAGTCTCTGCCAAGCTTCTATTGCAATGTACTGGAAGCAAATCAAACAATTCCAATTGAACAATTGAATAACACGCCTTTGAACAACCACAATGGACTAAAAGGGACATAAACCTAAGAAGATGGTGAAAATTAGTCTGGAGGTCTGCACTGTTGCCTCGTGGCAAGTTGGTTATTGGTTCACAACCTGGCTGGGGGCCTATTGGTGCCCCTAAGTTCAAGTGTCCAAGCCTCCTTCCACCGGAGTGTGAAACAACTATGAAGTCATGCAAGTATATGTGCTGAAAAGTGCATACACTTAAACAAGTTGACCCAAGCATCTTATTCCATGAGTACATAGGTTAGCACAGAAGTGTTACAATGCAAAACTATAGTATTATAGAGTTTGCTCACTGCTGTTTGCACCATGCTTTTGAATATAATGAAATGCATGTGAACCCTTGAAAACACCTGGTCAGGACAGTGAGTAAGTTGATGGTTTGTTACTGGCTGACCAGATAGATGCAGAGATTTCAACATAGCAAAAGGGGTGCAGGTAGAGGATGAGGAAAGTCTCTTCAACCTTAACGGTGTAGAAAGGGCACAATTTCAAGTGGAGCACAACTACTTGGTTCACCTTGTAGAGCGTATGTTTTATTCACCAAAACATTCTTTCTCCTCCAGGAAACTCACTTGTTCTCACTTTAGTTTATTAATATTCTGTTTTTTCTGGCATTTAAATTACAGTCCCATAAAAACTTGGAAAACAAGTCCCATGAGAATGTGCATGACATCCAAGTGTTGTGCCAAAAGCTCTATCTTCTGGAAGAAGAAAATTATTGAAAATCATATTCCATAGTGACCATTTGAGCTCATTTTATCTATCAGGCTGCTGTGTACTGTTCTTCCAATTTCACCTATACATGGTGGGCTCTATCTTTGTGCATGCCAGTGGTATTTTAGTGCACTGCAGCCTGGCGCACAGCCAGTGTAGTATTTTCATAGACTGAGGTGCACCAAGATGCGCCAAGCTGGGCATGGTGGCGCAGTAGGGGAAGTTGTCCACAGAATCAGCTAGTGCACTGACATTTTCGTGCTCGCCAGCAGCATGGAAAGTGCGCTGAAAGCTTGTAGGCGGAGCGCAGCTGGTCTAATGGTATTTTGGTAGACTGGCGGGCCAGTGCGCACACGTCACCGATGCCTCACCGGCAGGTTTCCACGGTGTCAGGCACATTTCAGTGCAATAAATAATCAACAACAACCACCATTCAGTGCAACTATCTGAGTCAGCACATAGACATTTAGATCTTTATCTTAATATCATGATCTATATCTTATCTGATGAGCGCATTTGGCACGTGTTTGGACCTGACTGAATTAACACAGCTGAAACTGCATTATATTAAATAACCAGTAAATAGTCACACATCATGAAGTTAACAAGAAATTTAATTCGTCTCCCCCTTTGTTCTTTCTTCCTCTTCTTCCTCCCGCAGCTCGACCTTGACATGTCCCTGTGTCCTCTCTCCATCCTGCTGCTGTGGGGGGCAAGGCTAAACAGATGATTTATTTTAGTGATCAGATTATTTACTTCGAAAATTTGAACAAAACAATGAAAGAAACTCTCATTCAAAATCACCTGTTTATCTAATGACCTCCAGTCATTAAAATTCTGTGAATGTTCAGACCAGTGTTAGGCCCACATACAAATATTATAATATGCAGTTCTGTGAGCCAAGTTCATTTTATATGCCAACATCAGTGAAAGAAAGAGCCAAGCCACCAGGCGCGAGGCGTCCTTTAGGCACAGGTAGTTCAGATTTTAATGTCATTATTGGAATTTGTTTATGTTGTGATCTGTGCACAAAACCCACCTTTGTCATGTGGGGTTTAAATATATGCAACTTGATGTGAGTGTCTTACTTGTGGAAAAGGGTGTTTGTCTTACCAGTGGGTCCAACATTACACACACCAAATCCCTCTGTGCTTATTTAAGAGAGTTTGGAGGA